GAATTTCAAAGATTGAAAATATAGAGAAGTTTGCGGTTCATGTTTTCGTTAAATGTAAAATTTTCTTTTTAAGAAACAATAACAAAATCAAGCAAAAAAATGAAAAATGAAATCTTAAAGAACCAAGAAACAAATTGTAAAATTTCAAGTGGCTGCCACAAGTAAAAAAGGAAAAGAAATTTTGGATTTTCTATAAATTTACTCCTACCACATACTTTTCCTTTACAATTTCCTTTAACTACCTATAATGTTTTAAAGTGGAATTACCTATTTTTGCTTTTCAACATTGTTTTGTGTTTCATATTTACAGAAATAAAAAATAACCACAAACATTCCTAGGAATGAAAAGCTTCATAAATTTGTGAAATCAAATGAATTTTTTTTTAAATTTTTCCTAAATAAATGATTATTTAGTATTTATCACTAAACCAGTATTTATTCCATGTTTTCCTAAACAGAGCTTAAAAGAGATTATTTTGATAATTATTGTACTAAATATACTTATGGGCATGGCTTTGAAACCATAAGCGCTATTGATTTAAGATATTTTAACGATACAATTAATTGAACTTTACACACGAGTCGTCATTGAAAATCATCAACCAATTTAAACTTTCTATTTAACCTTAATTGATGATTTCATATTATTATAGTAACTAATTATACAAGCCGGAAATCCGCACTCTTCTGATTTATTGTTGGCATTATTTACACTTTTAATTGAACATAAATTACTTAGGCGTAAACTCATAACGAGCTGAGGTCCAAACAAATGGTGGTTATTGATTACTTAAATATGACATCTCATTACAAGTTTAATTCTTTTTTTAAAGTGGAAGATCATCGGATATGCATTGAGTTTGCAAACATCTTCAATGTTGTTTCCATGTGTTGGCTGTCATGAAAGAATTTCTTTTTATTTTTTTCCTTTTTCTCCTAGTAACAAAAATGTTGCCTCACCTTTGTAATGAACATCCTTATACATCGTTGGACATGCTTTTCCGTTGGGCTGTTTACTACGAAAGTCGATGTTTGTTCTCACAGGTCGATGTAAAAGCGGTTGAGGTGGTCGGAAATTATTTCCGAGTGGTGCCTTTGGATGGTCGGGACCGCCCTGCATTAACCGTCGCAGTGCATGTAACTATAAATATATTTTTTTATCTTTTAGAAAGCAAATATTAAATCAAGTTCATAGAAGAATTCATCAACCACATCACAGTCGCGAAAGTGGAATTTATGTGAAACCGCATAATAACGTCACCACTATCACCACAAAATCGAGTACAGACATGAGATTAACATCACCCATTGTGAATAACTCTCATCTGATGATATCCACAATGCTTTATCTCATTATCATCATTTCAAAAATTTGCTTTATTGTCACACAATTTTAAGTAAATTATTTAATTTGTTTTAATTAAAATCTCCTCTTATTTTTAAACGTGTTTATAAAATTAGTTAAAATTAATTTTGTGATCCTTAATTATTGATTTTATAAAGTTAAAAATGTTCATCATCATCATCAGATCAAGGACAGGTACCTATAGGCCAATCCTGGCCNGGTTTAGTGCATTGAAGTAAGAAATTTTTTTTGAAATTCACTTGAAAACAATAATAGTTTATATAGGACATTTGCCATTCGTTTGAGAAGAAGGATTTGGCCTCGAGGTACGAGTGCAAGAACTTGTACCAGAGGTTCTGGGTTCGAATGCCGGTTGGAAAATTTTTTTTTAATTAAATAAGAGAAACGGGGACGATGGAGAATCACGGGACAAGGTAAGCCAGCTCACCAAAGCAAGCCGAAAAAGCAAGCTGAAATATCCTGAAGGCCTCGGCAAGCCGAGAAAACGAGCCAACAAATATCCAGGATCACAAGCTAAGCAAGCAAGCTAACGGAAAAAAAATCACAAGCTAAGCAAGCAAGCTAACGGAAAAAAAGGCAAGCCTAAGCAAGTAAGCGGGTTCAACATAAGCGGGTTGTTTCTATGATATCAACAGTCCTATCAATAAATAACTCCATGATAATTTGATGAAGTAGTTAAATACAAAATAAATTAACACGAATTGCAAATATCTTAAGTATGATTTATTATGTGTGTACTTAACGTTAACTGATGAAATCATTCAATAAATTTAATTTAAACTAATTCCAAGGCCGTAGTTATTCGCGGTTCCTAAGTAGTATATCTTATCAAACTGATATCCTCAATAAAAGTAAGTAAATTACAAAACAAAGAAAAATATTCTTTCTAATACATTTTTTTTTTCAAACGTAACGTATTCACGTTTAGACGTGTAATTTTTTTTATTTCACCATAATACTTATTTGATAAAACTCGTCAGAGTGTTCAGTTGATAACAAAGTCTATGATTCGATGACATTCTTTCCTTTATTTTACTTTTGAGGTAGATAAAAACCAGTATATGTAGAAAAACGAATAAGAGGTAAATTTGGATATTTCAATCATTTTAAGTATTTAATTTTTTCTCAATTTCTATCTCGTCTGAAAAAAAAATTAAAAGTGAAACAAAACAATTTAATGAGTAATATCATGTAATGTTTTATTAGATTTTAATTTAATTGAACTGCAGTTGTTTTCTTTCCTCTTATTGAACAGTTTGTAATATTCGATTTTATTTCATTTTCATGTATATTCACAATAATTTTCACATAATAATTTCAATTCATGTTGTTTGCTTATATTGTTTTGGTATAATTATTAGATATGTTTAACTGTTTCTCATATAAGTTATTGACAAGAACTTGACAATTTAAGCTTATTTTGTTTGATCTTTGTATAAAATATTGGGTGTTTATGCTGCTTAGTTTCACAAACATGAATCTTTAAGTTTCTATAAAATTTCATGCGTTTAAATTGTAAAACTATGATTCTTTATTTGTCTACAAAGTTTTACATCCGGAGAAGTTTATAGAATTATAAGTTTTCGTATTATTTACTACTCACTCTCGTTTGCATGCAGCAAAACTTTACTCCAGATATTTTTCGATCTCAAAAAACAAATCACTTGAACTTTTCTTAGAGCGGGAATCAGAACCAGCAGTTTCACACTGAAGGTTTTAAAAATGTTTATAACTACAGGCACAAGAACCTGAAAGCGCTTGTTCTGTAAGTTTTCTACTCTTTTCTTTAACGCGAAATTTTCATGGAAAAACTGAAACTTCAAAACTGAATTTCAAAGATTGAAAATGTAGAGAAGTTTGCGGTTCATGTTTTCGTTAAATGTAAAATTTTCTTTTTAAGAAACAATAACAAAATCAAGCAAAAAAATGAAAAATGAAATCTTAAAGAACCAAGAAACAAATTGTAAAATTTCAAGTGGCTGCCACAAGTAAAAAAGGAAAAGAAATTTTGGATTTGCTATAAATTTACTCCTACCACATACTTTTCCTTTACAATTTCCTTTAACTACCTATAATGTTTTAAAGTGGAATTACCTATTTTTGCTTTTCAACATTGTTTTGTGTTTCATATTTACAGAAATAAAAAATAACCACAAACATTCCTACTAGGAATGAAAAGCTTCATAAATTTGTGAAATCAAATGAATTTTTTTTAAATTTTTCCTAAATAAATGATTATTTAGTATTTATCACTAAACCAGTATTTATTCCATGTTTTCCTAAACAGAGCTTAAAAGAGATTATTTTGATAATTATTGTACTAAATATACTTATGGGCATGGCTTTGAAACCATAAGCGCTATTGATTTAAGATATTTTAACGATACAATTAATTGAACTTTACACACGAGTCGTCATTGAAAATCATCAACCAATTTAAACTTTCTATTTAACCTTAATTGATGATTTCATATTATTATAGTAACTATTTATACAAGCCGGAAATCCGCACTCTTCTGATTTATTGTTGGCATTATTTACACTTTTAATTGAACATAAATTACTTAGGCGTAAACTCATAACGAGCTGAGGTCCAAACAAATGGTGGTTATTGATTACTTAAATATGACATCTCATTACAAGTTTAATTCTTTTTTTAAAGTGGAAGATCATCGGATATGCATTGAGTTTGCAAACATCTTCAATGTTGTTTCCATGTGTTGGCTGTCATGAAAGAATTTCTTTTTATTTTTTTCCTTTTTCTTCTAGTAACAAAAATGTTGCCTCACCTTTGTAATGAACATCCTTATACATCGTTGGACATGCTTTTCCGTTGGGCTGTTTACTACGAAAGTCGATGTTTGTTCTCACAGGTCGATGTAAAAGCGGTTGAGGTGGTCGGAAATTATTTCCGAGTGGTGCCTTTGGATGGTCGGGACCGCCCTGCATTAACCGTCGCAGTGCATGTAACTATAAATATATTTTTTTATCTTTTAGAAAGCAAATATTAAATCAAGTTCATAGAAGAATTCATCAACCACATCACAGTCGCGAAAGTGGAATTTATGTGAAACCGCATAATAACGTCACCACTATCACCACAAAATCGAGTACAGACATGAGATTAACATCACCCATTGTGAATAACTCTCATCTGATGATATCCACAATGCTTTATCTCATTATCATCATTTCAAAAATTTGCTTTATTGTCACACAATTTTAAGTAAATTATTTAATTTGTTTTAATTAAAATCTCCTCTTATTTTTAAACGTGTTTATAAAATTAGTTAAAATTAATTTTGTGATCCTTAATTATTGATTTTATAAAGTTAAAAATGTTAAATGATGTCGGATAATTTTTTTAACATTTAACAATCATAGCTGATGAAATTAATTTTCGTGACGATTATTTCTCGTTGTTCCATTGAATGAATAATTTGCGTGACTTTCACGTGAAAAGTGAGTTAAAAATTCTGAATAGTTATTAAACGATATCGACTACTGTGTTTGTTTTAAACTTCAATCATTGATTTAATTTATAATACGACGATTGTTCAATATCCAAATAAACGTTTTCATCTGTGGATTACAAATTGCAATTCAAGTTTAATGTAGTAAAATATTTAAAGTGTTTGCTTTTCAAATGTTGCGTGTTCTGTAACCACAAATGTTTAAAAATGAATTTAAGCTCATCGATATCGATTTAAATATTTAAATCTATCATTTTTGTAGCAGATATTCTAACCAGCCAGAGATTTACGTAAAGTAATGTAACATAATTGAATATTTCTTTTTAATTGAATCATTTAATGGCGTTCCATTCTATTTGTTTTAGATGTGCAATTATAAAATGTTGAAACTATTTGATGTCGAGAGATTTTGCTAGATAATGGAGAAGAAAGAAAAGCATCAAAGATTGTAAAGCAAGTGGGGAGAAATATCAAAGCAGAAAACTATAATTTTCTAATTAGTTTGATTAATGGATGCAGCATTTCATGTTGATTAATAGCTTTGTTATCTTTCCTTAATGCTAAAATCTTTTGTCAGTTATTCAATATCTGGTTCATGGATATTTTATCCATCAGAATCTTGTAGCAAGCTTTTAGTTCATTAAAGAAACGAGTAGGACATTAACATGAGTGCTATAACTAAGCTTCTGATATGTCAGAATTCAGTCAATCGAGGTATCGTTGAAATTATTTAATTCAATTTCCTTGCAAACGTTTCCACATTTCAAAATAAAAGCAATTCAATTTTAGCAACAAATGATGTCATCATGAGTCATATTTAAAATTTAGAAGTCTGTGCTGTCGATGTGCTTCTCTATTCCATTTTGTCATGACGAAAAAGGAACGTGATAGATGTCAAGGTTCTTGATGTCATATTGTTGTTTGATTTACCTGTTGTTTTGTTATGTAAATTGGTTTATTTAAAACTATCCACGTAACAGTCTCATGACATGCAGGAGATGTAGTTGAACCCTCGTAGGTCATGTAATGTTCAGTATCAGGAAGAAGACTTCGAACGGAAATCCGTTTCACTGGTGTTTCATCACCACCAAACCGTATTTTTTCTAATTGATCGGTCAGCATTCTCAGCTCGGGATTAGACAAGTCTCCCAGCTAATATTTCGTTGGAAAGAAAGATTTTCTCATAAAATTTTAGTGCTTTTAAAGTGATGTTTATTCACCTGAAGCAACACTGAAACAGCCACAATTCCTTGAGCTCGAAAGACGGCATCTGAGAAGTTTGAGTACAACTGAGAATTGTACCCAAATATTTGAATCTAGACAAACAAAATGAATAATAAAAAGAAATTGGGGATAAAATCATCGTTAAATAAAAGTCAAGCAAAAAACTGTTCGTTCAACGTAAAATATAATTAAATTATTTTCATGTTTGTTGATTTGGGCGATGAGAGAAATCTCGTGAGAATGCAAGATAAGAAATCTTGTTGGAATGAAACGGTTCATTTAACTCGAAAGTAAACTTAGACACTTTTTAACGTGCTATGTACTTTTAAGAAGCGGCAATCAGAAAAGCAGACGATGAAAACGAATCTTTATGTCAGGAATTTTCGTCTGGAATGTGTCCTTCAACTTGTTAGTATAAAAATCTTTCTCTTCGATAAAAGTCTTCCAGACTTTGTAGATTCAAGCCAAAAGAAAAGAAAAAAAATAAGAACAAATTCACTAGATAATTCTAAATAGTTTTCAAGCGACGGGGGGTGGCAGATTTAAACATGTAAACATGATGAGAGTTTAACATGCAAAATTGTCTTTTTCAGCTGATGTTAATCTTTACAAACAAGCTTCCCTTTTGGGGTTTTATTACTTGAGTAACCAGAAAACTTTATCAGATCGCTTACATTTGAAAATTTTCTCAAAAAGGTTTCACACAACTTTGTGCTGTTGTGCAAACAAAAATATTTTCTGATTCAACTATCAAAATTTAAAATAAATCTTTTCTTCTCATGAACATTTTGTACTTATTTTGAGTAGGCTCAGACTGAATGCGTCCAAAACATACAATTTATAACGCAGCCATCTTAAAATATGACTTATCATCATAATAAATGCCTTGATAAGGCAAAATGACAACAAGTGTGGGTGGAGAGAGATAAGAAATTTGTATGTTTTAGTTATCGAATGAAATGGATTCCAAAAACTTTTCTATGTGTGATGAATGATCAAACGAAACATTAAATGTTGATTTTTCTAAATTAAATATGCTTTCGTCGAGTAAATATTTTTCATTACTCAATGAATTTTCCTAAGAACATTCGCCATGCCGTATATATCTTCAAACTCAACGTAAGACTTTCCGAAACTTTCTCTGTTTATGTAGATATTTACTCTAAAATCCAAAATCAACACTTCATTGTTAAACTTTACATCTCAATTTAGTTAATGAAATTTGAGAATTTTCACTATCGAAGCTTTAAAAAGGCTTTCCGTGCATAAGCGCAATATTTCAACAAATTAATCTTTTGCTACCTTTATTGATTACTCTTTCACCCTCGTTCGCTAATGGAAAAATTTTCCACAACAAACTTTAAATCATCAACTATTATTTATTAAACAGGAGAAAAAGAAGTTGTTTGCTTAAAGTTAATAATGTTGTCGAGGGAGAGATAAAGTAGAAAAGTATGCACAAAGATAGTTTAATGCTCCATAGGAAGAAAAATTCTTGCGCTTTGCTTACAACTACAGAAAGCTTCAGTGTTATAAAAACATTAATTTTCATTTCTTTCCTTATTTAAGACTTATTTGTTGATGGGGTTTCTCCTAGGATTCTTTCATCGTGTCCAGTTTTGTATTTACCGAAAGCAAGGAAACATTTGTTAATTCTGTCACATTTTCTGAAAATTACTTTGCACTTTCATTTCAAAGACAAATGTTTTGATACACAAAATCTTATAACGAATCCAACCTTAGATAAGCTGTAAGTTCCAAAGCAACCACCAAAGAAACATTAAGAGAAAAACTATTTTCTCAAGGATAAATAAACGGTATTTATAGTTATAAAATTTATTAATGTTTGAGCTCATGAACAACAACAAATGGTTGGAGAATTTTTGCTTCTCGTAATATTTTTGCTGTCTCAATGAAAGGAAGACAATGAAAAGCGCATGGAAGAGAATGAGAATAAGTGAAGATAGGAAGAAGAAATAACTTTTACTCATTGTTGTGCAATTTACTATCATTTTTATCCTTTTTATCTTTAAGCGCACGCTTACGAGTGATGGTCTTCTAAACTACAATTTATGCAACACAAAATAGCGAACAATAAAAAGTTGATGAAACTTTATTTACCTCTGCCGGAAATGTATAGCCTTCAACACTGTGCTCGCTCCCAAATTGATCATGAAGGCCGTAATGAATGTGAATCTCGTGGAATCTATAGCGATATGAAAGTGGGCCGCCCGTTAAATTAACCGGAATTTGGTTGCTTATTTGCATGTTGCTTCCCATTCCACTCATGCTGTTGCTATTGCTACTGTATGAATTATATATTGTATCATTGTCAGCTGTAAATATTACACTATGTCCTGTATTTGCTATTGTTCCACTAATCTGTAAAGCATTTATATGAACGAACATTCAATTAATCAATGATGTTGTCTATAAAATTCAAGAATTTCTTATCTCATTTAAAGTGCAATTAGAAATCATGTTTATTTGCCAACAATTACTCACTCTATGCTTATCGATATGCAAAGGCCTTAAATTAGGATCAAATAATAATCGTTGTGGCTCTAAATTTACAGGTGATTGTCGTCGACCTTTGTTGCATAAACTCCATTCAGGATTTATTAGTCCCCAAAATGCTGGACCTGAATATAATAAAAAGATCAATAAAAAAGAGTGACATTAATTGAACATTTGCTGCATGCTTTAAAATATGAAGAATTTTCACAAGGTGAATGTGCTCGATAAAATCGATAAACATTTTAACGAGACAAGCAAGCGTCGAGAAGAATCTTGTTACGATCACTAATTGGGTCATGTAAATTTAACCCTTTTGTGGTGAATCGATTAAAAAGCTAAATTATAATTAATTAAATCTTACAAGCTTCTTGTAAATAAAAATTTCTCTTCCATAACGAGGTTTTGTTAGAAAACCGTATGGTAATCGAATTTTGTGGTTCCATGGAAATTTGAATTGACTTGCTGAAACTAACTAAGGGAGCTTCTGTTCATGAAAAAGATTTTACAGCACTTTTCACTTAATTCCAAGATATTAAAGTTCATCATTTTTTATTGGCGCTCCAGAAAAACCACTTAAAACGGGGGGAAGGATGCCGATATCCTCTTTAAATCACTTTAAAAGCTCTCCTCAAATTGCTTTACCTTCATCTTTATGTCTCAGTTATCATTAAAGGGAGGAAACTTAAAAAGCTCAAAAAAAATGTGAGCGACCACCCGCCACCCACAAACAAGTTTTTTATAGTCGCAACCACATGTGCCAACTTTCAACATAAAAACCACTTAGAAAAACGTTATTGGTTCACTTCTCATTTGCTTTTTCTACAGCATTTTTTTATACCCAACAAGACAAATGCTACAAAAACAGATTAAAATGAATTCCTTCCTTATTCACGTTTGTTCCGGACTAGAAAACAACACAAAATCGTAGGTTGAGAACCGGTTAAGTTGATTGGCTGTCGCTTTTCTCTCTTACAAAATTGAATCAGGATGGTGAAGAGATTATCGATAAAAATTTGCTGACATCGATTTTCATGGTTAGAATTTTTTTCAGTGATAGAAATATTTTCGTTTCTTCATAACGTCATGCAGATGATGAACAGAATGTCATTGTTTGCATTTCATTTCACCGTGTACTTGTGAAAAATTTAATACAAAAAAACAATAATTCAATCGATAATAAATTCGATTGTGTCACCTTGCAGCATCAACCATCACAGTTCAATCAGTTAAGATTTCACATCAATCACAAATCCAAAGCTTAATGGAAGTGACGTTTTTCACTTTCATATGGAAAGAATTTAATCGGAGTATCTGTTGATATAAAATGCTATGATATGTAAAGGCGACAATGGCAAAATGCATTTATGGAATCATTCTATACAGTTAAATGTTTCCTGCTGTATATGGTAGTCGCTAGAAGGTTAGACAGGTCGATTTGAGAGCTTCTCTTTCATTCCATTTAAATCACTTTGTATTGTGAATCCCGAGAGGGGGAAACAAAAATTGAATCAATGTCGATTGCTAATCTAGTCATACAGACAAGAGAATAAGCCACAATACGATCCGCATGTATATCGTTTGAATACCACAGACTTTGGTTTTTCATTGGAAAAACGAGACAGGAAAATAATTTTTAAAAGGAGTCAACTGTGATATTATAATAAGGATTATTGGGATATGTTCCAATTTTTCACTTTAAATGTCGAGCATTTTATTTCATGTTTTAAGTGTCATTGGGTGGAGTTGATTTCGTGTGTGCTTATCGTAATTCGTTATCTCTTTAAATGTGTGGTGTTATATTTACTTGTTTGTGTATTTTAATGGGGAAGGCATAGCAGAAAGGGCCAAAAACTTTATGAAATATGTTAGATCATGATGATGATGTGGGTTGTGTTTTGGTCGGAGTAGGAAAGTATTTCGATAAATAACATTTTATGTTGCAGCAACAAGTGCTGCCTTTCTACTCAACATCATTGTAATGATTTTTCATTCTTTTTTCCTTTCCTAAAAATCTTCTTTGTTGTAAATCTGTACTTTATGACGTTCTTCAAACTTAATGATAAGTGAAAAATTGTCTGGATATTGCTTTCTCCATGATTTATGGAATTTTTCCTTCAACGAATTCAGAAAATCATCAAGAACACTTGAATGAATGCTTTCCGATTCAGATCATTGGAAAAATATTTACAAATTCAAATCAGAGAGACTTTCATCTCAATCATCTTTTAAATCAAATAAAAACAACACTTTGAATCGATTAAATAAATCTTCTTGTATTGAAGGAAGTTTTCCCCAGGAAGAGTAAACATAGGAATGTTGATTTAAACAATAACTCTGATTCATGGTGTTGAATTTTAATGAAAATAAGAATTTATGATTCGATAGATTAAATGGAGAAGTTTCCCTCGTAAAATAAATTCTTCTGATCTCCTTTGAGTTTTCTTTAGTCGATAGAAAGGAAAATGGAATTAAAAGAAGTCAATGGGTGTTGAAAGGAATGTTTACATTTCTCTCGGTGAATTTTAGAACTTTTAGGATGATGAAGAGAAAATGCCGTAAATTTTCCAATACTTTCGTTCTTAAAAAAATATTTTCCTGTCTCAACAATTCAAAAGAATAATTCAGGGATGTTTTAAACATCACAGATTATCCCCACTCATTTTATAATATACAATTTTTCCATGCTTCAATACGCTTAATATCGAAGCCGAAGAGTTAAAATTTCGCCACGTTTATTGTATTTATTTTAAGAAAGAATTTTTTGATTTATTACTTTTGGAAGAAATGGAAGGAGAAAGTTAAATAACTCGGAACTAATCAAATGATTTAAGGCATTGAATTCATTTTGCTTTATTTCCGCTATCAACTCATTCAAATTATCAAAGATAATTCTAAGTCAAATATCTGTGCAATAGAAACCAATATTTCTTATTTTTCAATAAAGGAATCACAACAACCTTTTGGGTCATTCCATCTCCGGTATTTTCCTTTTTTATCAAATTTAATTCTTATATTTTCGCAACCATAAAACTGAGTTAAGTGTGGTACATATAACAAATAAACATAAGGATAAACGTTGATCTGTTGAGCATCGTTGAAACTTTTTCACCCATGAAAAATCAAGTGAATATTAAATTTCCTTCCGACTCCTTCCAAATAACCGCAAAAGCCACAAACCATTCTCATATTTATTAAAAATCGAAAGACATTCTACAGTCAACACTACGAGATTGAAATTAAATTTTGAGGGAAAGAAAACGAGAAATTGTGAAATTTATTTGGATAAGCTTTTGTTAGTTTTGAAACTCTCAAAGTGATTGTTGTAGAGTGTTTAAGAACTTTTAAAGTATTTTCAATTGTTTGTCTCCATCTGGAAAAGCGACCAATAATTTATTTTATTTCCAAAGTTTATCATAACGATTGTTCTTCGATGATTTAGATAAAATGTAACAAATGCGATAAAGAGTTTCAATTTATTAAAGTTTTATGATGAATAAATTCTCACCAGAAATTCCATCGTAGGTCCACCATTCTTCCCAACTAACTCCTAAGGAACCTGAAATATTCAACCAAAAGAAAATAAAATTAATTAAGCTTCAGCTTCAAGTTGCATTTCATTAAAAACTTTTCTTTTATATTAAAATCATACAAGGATGAACTCAGAAGACTTTTTATAAATTTAAACCTCACATGTTGCCGCACTCATAAAAAGCTTTTCTTCATTCACTCTAAAGTTATTTAAACGACGCGATTAAAAATAATTTCATTTAAAGTGATTTTAATTCAGAGGGTAAGCGAGAATGGAAGATTAATTAAAATGCAAAGGCATGAAATTTATGCTTAAGAGACCATCTAATCTGTTTCAATTAAAATAAACTCTCAGATTTATATTGCAGCAAAATTTATAGCGTTTCTTGCTACTACTTAAGTACATAACTTGAGTTTATCATATTTGGTTTGGCGTTGGAGAATTCTTTTTCAAGTATATTTGAACAGGAAGCAATTAAACTATAAATCTAATAATTTTACAATGTAGTGAAGGATTTATAGCTTCACATATCCTTTCGGGAATAACCGCAAATTGAGAGAAAATTAGCACAATAAATAATCTCGATAATGTTTGTCTTTAAATAGATTAAGTATTATCTAACAATAGAAGAGAATCATTATCAATTAAAAGTAAGCATATTTGCTTGTTTATATTTGTTGAAATGTTTAACTAACAATTTTAATACATCGAGCAAATATAAATCTTTAATTAAAGAAAGATTGAAATTTCATTTCTTTCGTTTTATTTGTTGTGTGTTTAAAATGACATTCGACATTTATGCTTATGGAAGGGAATTAGAAATCACTCACACACATGCAACATAAATATTTTTCTACCTAAGTTTTCTTGTTTTCAATTCATCCCCAGTCACTAGTCACCACAGTCTAAAATTTCATTGTGAAATATTTTCATAACAAAAATGATAACAAACACTCTTCCAAACGCTTCACTCAAATAACAAATAGCAACATACATCCATAGAAATGACGTCGTTATGCCGCTAATGTGTGTTTGGAGGCAAACTCAAGTTGTTTTGCTTTTTATTTTCGTTATAGAAATAAATGCACGTAGTCAAAGTTTTGTTTTTGTCGAGAGAGGTTTTGTGTTTTTCGGAGACTAGACGACAGTAAAATTATTTCTTGGTTAGCAACATAATTTATTAGAATTTATGGCTTGGATTTCATGTTGTTTAATTAACTTCATGTCATTACAAAATATTCTTCGCTTTTAAATAGTCAAAATGAAAGTTTGTGTTAGTTTAAATTTCATTTGTTTTGCGGCTATTTTTATCTTTGTATAAAATTGCGATAAACTTAGTTTTCCCAAGGTTTTGCAAATATATTCTATGCAACAAAAACTTATTTAACTCGTTCCATTTTAATGTACTGAAAAGTTTGTTTTACCGGTTTTTGAACTATTAGCAGCATATTTTATCAAACTCATTCTTTTTATATTTATTTACTTTACACGATATGTAGAAATGTCACAAAAAGGCGAAGCATTTGATTCTAATTGCATGACCTTGACAAGGTTCGTGCTTCAGGAACAGAGGAAGTACAAGGTATGAGACTTGTTTGTTGATATTTAATAGCAAAATAATATAAAATGAATATTATTCATATTTTTGTAGGGAGCAACAGGTGACTTAACTCAGTTGCTAAACAGCATTCAGACAGCAGTCAAGGCCATAAGTTCAGCTGTAAGAAAAGCTGGAATAGCGCAGTTGTAAGCAAATGTTACTTTTTTCAATAATGATAAGAAACACGTAATGGAAAACCACTTTGACCCCGAAAATAAACTTTTTATAGTCTTCATCTGCCTTCAAGTTATCAAGTTTAAACTCTTATCACACTTGTTGTCTTGTAGATATGGCATTGCTGGCGAGACAAACATTCAGGGTGAAGTCGTCAAGAAGCTCGATGTTCTTTCAAATGACATGTTCATTAATATGCTTCAATCGTCCTACACGACATGTATGCTAGTCTCCGAAGAGAATGAGACTGCCATTGAAATTGAGACTGATAAGCAAGGAAAATACATTGTTTGCTTCGATCCACTTGATGGATCATCGAATATTGATTGTCTTGTGTCGATCGGATCCATATTTGGAATCTACCGAAAAATATCAGAAGGGGCACCAACAGTTGCTGATGCTTTACAACCGGGAAGAAAACTCGTCGCTGCTGGTTACACTCTTTATGGATCAGCAACAATGTTTGTGCTAGCACTTCAATCTGGTGGCGTTAATGGATTCACTTACGATCCAAGCATCGGCGAGTTTGTTCTCACCGATTTCAATATGAGAATTCCTGAACGAGGAAATATTTACTCCATTAATGAGGGCTACTTTACTCAGTGGGATAGAAGCGTTCAGGAATATGTGCAAGCGAAAAAAGATCCAACTAAGGGAAAGACCTATGGAGCCCGTTACGTTGGATCGATGGTTGCAGATGTTCACAGAACCATTAAATACGGGGGAATCTTCATTTACCCTGCGACAACATCGTCGAAAAATGGCAAACTTCGTCTACTTTACGAATGCAATCCAATGGCGTATATCGTTGAAAAAGCTGGTGGCAAAGCGAGTGCTGGAAAAGTTGAAATTCTCGATGTTGTTCCAACAGCAATTCACCAACGCTCACCAATTTATTTGGGAAGCAAACTCGACGTCGAAGAAGCACTCAGTTACATTAAGTAATTTTCTTTGTTCCCGACTCGTTTAAAATGCATTAGATTACTTTTTTTTCTCTTTTTCTACACTTTTTAAATTGCAAAACTTGTGGAGAGTTCCAGAAGTAATGACACAAAGACATGTTAAATTGTAATCTCTTTTAATCTTTCTTTTTTAATAAATATTTTACTATCTCATAGTTCTTGAAAATAATTTTAATAAATTGCTTTGAATTATTTACTTTAAATTTAAATTTTGTCTACAATGAATTTTCATGAAACATAATTAAATAAAATTTTATTTAGTGTTTTAATTAGTAAGCGTTCTGTTTTGATGTTTATTTTACGAGTATTTTCTTGCAAATGATCCAAGTGGTGACTCAAAGATCAGCACTTTCTTAGCACTGAACTCATAAAAAACATTGGTTTATGCAAGGTTATATGCAATTCCAGATTATATAAACTTACCACACCTTCCACAGTCGCCTAGTCGTCACTTTTCTCCCTTTAGCAATAAAACTTAACGTTGACCGGATTATTTTTGGCTTGCCATGTTCTTCATCCATATATACAAATTTATTTTATATATTTTGCGATAAAAGTGGAAAGCTACATAGACACACCTTTATTAAATAGTGTCGACGGAAAATGTGCTTTCATTTATCAATAAGTCGATAAAAAGGAATAATTTTCCTCAGCCTTCAAATCAAGTAAAAGAAAATTTCTTAACAAGCTTGAAAGAATTTCAAAACCTTAATTTAATTCAAGTTGAACTCAAAATTGTTTGCTTTTAACTTTTCTCATTGTTCTTTTTTTTATAAATAACAACTCAATAAAGGAACGGTCAGTCAAGTTCAATTGAGTCAGATTAAAATCGTGAAACTATTTTCTCGATAGCAATAAAAGCCAGGCACACCTCTTTTTTTATAAAAATTGTTCATTTCCTTCTCAACACCTTATTTTGTTTTGCCTGACCTAGAATCGTTGTGGATTTTGTTGCACTTTCTGTTTCTAGTTTTTAATTGTTATGCCATCACATGATGACGTGTGATGATAATGAAAAATCGATAACTATGAACGAATGTCAGCATTTTAGATTAATTATGTGGACAACAATTCAAAATAATGATTAAGGATTTATTTTTATTCAATTTTTTTAATAAAACAATAAAAAAATGAATATTACGGAACAAAAATCGAGACGCATTGTAGAGACGATGTCAAGTTACAAAGATTTTAAATAATTGCTTGTATCTGTGTCGCATGCCATGCCATTTTATTGCTTTCCGTTCGTTCTCATGTGGAATTCATATTATCATTTAAAAATAATTTATGTTGAATTATAAATGCTTAAAATATTTAAAATACATAAATTGGAAATTGTAAATAATTCTGAGGGAAGTATTTTTTACAAAGAGAATAATAAAAATATTTTTTGCTTGCTTATTATGTTTGCCTCTTATTTGTTCAGCTTTTTCTGATCAAATGTATAATTAAAAATGCACGAGTTGTTTTCAAGTCCAATAACCAGAATAACAGACAACATGAACTATTTATTCGCATGAGACATTCAAAAATAAAAATAAAAATGATAAAGGTCCCTCGTAGATTTTAATTAGTCGTTGCCTGCTCATCAAACTCGTTTTATTGGATCACTTCAATAAATGGCAAGCATTTGTTCATTGCTTATGTCACAAATTTATTTGCATTTTACGAACAATTGTCTCTTGAAAGGAAACAATAATTATACGACTATTCAGACGGCGAACGTCATTGGCAATCAATCCTAAACTGAATAATGAGAAGATATATAAAAATTATACAGTTTTCCCTTGTTTTCCCCAAGCACTCAAAAAATAAAAAAGGAAAAATATTATTGAGATATAAAATTTCATTATGTTTCCTGCCGCTACCATCAATTATATCCGTTGTCCATTCAATTGATTTCCTATCCACCATTTGGTGCTGTTGTTCATAACCCGGGATGACATGAATGAATATTTATGATCACAAGGGAGAAAAAAAATATCTCGACATGTACACACATAAATGAATTGTTTCATTATAATATCTTCCGATTCTCGTCGTCGCTTTCATGGCTCAAACAACTCAATTTTCTTTTTGTTTCATAATCCATGACTCGGTCATTTGTCCCTCAAACTCTCGTCGTAGTGGACGGTGATATGCTCGATAAAATCTCATTCCAACTGATAAACAATTTTAAGGCTCGTCCTTCCGATTAAATTTGCATGTGAAGGAGAAAAAAAACTTTCGTGTGGTTGCTGCGGCATTTACACTTCGTTTTAACAAGGAAATCGATTTCCAAAATTTATCGATCAAAATTTTACTCTTATTGTTTTGAAATCAACATTGAAGACAATTAAAAGCTTTTAAGAACATTTTCAGTTTTCTTTTTACCTTGTCATGTTCTGAATGAAGGAAAAGGTATTGAAATTTATTGAATCGTGTGCACAGCTCGACTTTCATGAATTATGATGCAAAATGTGCTTATTTAACGGTTGAAGTAACGAGACAATGAGAATTTCATCGTTGAAAGTGCATGAAAAATAACAAATCTTTCCATTTGCAATGCGTTGCTTCGATAATAATTTAAAAGTTTGAAATTCTATTATGAAACAGAATCATATTTAACAAGCTTTATTAGTAAGTTTTTGAAAACAGAGAAACAGAGAAAATGTTAATCCATAATAATTTTTTTGAATTTTCTTGCTGAAAATCTCAACTAAAATTCAACACAAAAAGTTCAAAATTCTTGTTATTTAAAACGCAATTTCACCCTTTAGCCTTTAATTTCAAATGAAGCAAACAAATAAGATCAGACGTTTTATTAGTTTTGCAATCAATACGAAAGAGATATTGTTGAAGTGCAGTCGTTCAACGTTATCGAGTTGCAATTGATTTTCTTCTCGAATATAAATAAAAATTCAATCGAAAAAAATTTTCACATGAAAATGTGCACATTTCATGTCAAGAGATGAAAGCAATCAAAGCATCTACATATGCGTTAAAGTCGTCCATTAAAGCTCATTTCGTTGGCATGTATCACAATCTAGCAATCATCATATCACAATCTAATTCAAACCTCATTTTTCTCTCGTTTTGTCGAATCACACGCTCGAACGTAATTTGAAAACTCACAACAAACACGTGTTTCTTCATTTGCAACCGCGTTCTTCACACCTAATGTAAAACTGCTCACAATTTGTTTCATTCATAATTCATAAGGAAAGCAAACCACAGAAAAAGCGAGCTACATGAAGGTGCAGTGTTTTGACGAGGCGTTAAAAAATTAAATGTCGTTTTGCGTGATATTTGGTATTTCAGAACAGTTGATGTTTATGCGATTACTTGCTGATGAATGAAGCTTTTAATCGTGTTGCTAAACTTTTTTTATTCTTTTGTATCATACCAAGGTTTTTAAACTTTTTCTTCTGTTGAATTTTTAATTTCCTTTCAGGAACTGAAAACTTAATTAATACTTTTTTCAAGCTATAATTATCAAAAACTTCAAAACACTCCTTCGATATTAATTGTTTTCTAATATTTTCCAGTTTTTCCTCGTAGGATTTGAAATAAGTCATAAAAAGTCATTTCATGACTTAAATTTGGTGGAAATATCCCGTTGGACTTTTTAATGTGTAAATTCAATTTGAATAACATAAAACTGAACTAGGATAGATTTACATTTGTGCTTCAATGAGTTTTTTCATTTAAATTCTTCACAAACTTCTGATACAACAAGTCACGCTAGTGAATTCATTTTTCTTTAATTAAATACTTGTTAAACGGAAATTACAATTAGTAAATTTTTCTCTCTCTGGAAAAATATTCAACACTTTGTTCTCACCTGATAATTGAATTAGTTGCAGCGCAAATATTGCACATGCATACATTAGCAGTTCCATTTTTTCCTCATAAATGATCTTTTAAAATTTTTTCGCTTTGCCAAAAGCACAATGCAATGAATAACAACACTTCAGGGAAATTATTCTTATCTCACAATAGTTTTAACACTTCCACAATACTTTCCCAGTAATTTATAATTCACTTGCTGTCGCTTAAGCCAAAAGCTTTCTACTGAATTTCAAATCGCTTACATTTGTCACAAATCCTTTTAACAGCTTTTAATTTATCTGAAATATTTTTTTCTCGATTTTATTAAATTAAATTTACCTCCCAGCAGTTTTTGTTGTTATGATTTGATGCAATATTTAAAATCTAAATCAAAGCTATGGAAACCTTTGTGTTTTTCATTCATTTTTTAATTAATATTCAAACGGCGATGTTTTTTCCGTATTTTGCCCTCAATAAAAAACATGATTATTCTCTGTTTCCATGTCTATTATACTTTTTTGTACATTATGATGTATCTATGCAAAAAAGTAAAAATGTTTTGAATCTCTCTTATTCAAACCATTCAGATGTAAACGTAAAAATGATTCCAGGGTAGAAAAATGAGTGAAACTTTTAGAAAATGTTGAAATAAAAATTACAATTCCAAATGAACAATAAAGTGATGTTATTAAGTTCATGCAACATGGAAAAATGAAATATTTACTGCTTCAAACCATGAAATAGATAATTAAATGATTATTCTCTGCCAATTTTAAACAATGTTAAATTTAAATAACATTCCCGTTGAGAATTGTTGAAAAAGGAAAGTTTCCTTCTCGTTGAGCATACTCAAAATATTCTTTCTTCATATACATATTTATAACTATCTAATATGTATTTATGGGTCTCAGTTCAAATTAACTGAATTGGAAAATTAATTTATTTATTTTGAGAGCGTTTTTAACGAAACCTTTAACTTACAAATTATAATAATAATTAAATAATCTCTATTTATTTTCAGAAAAAAGTTCACATTTTCATGTTCCTTTGTTAACAGATTGAATTGGGAAAATATTTTCTGAAGTTGAAAACTTATTTCTCACTTTTATTTACCACTTTGGTCTTAGTTAATGTTCAGTTCTCGTGACTAAGCTAACGAATTTTTAATGCATACGCGACTAAATACCGATAGCAACTGAATTCACAAAATTATCCTTTATGTTTGCTTTCTATGGAGTAACCGATTTTTCCCGTTCGCTTCTGAACTGTTCTGAACACATTTTACTATCTCTATTTTTTTTCGTTTGTAGTAATCATGTGGCGTATGAAAATGCACATTTTCCGAGAGTAGCAGTGAGAAGAAAATGAGAGAAAAATTTACTCTCTCAAATTGTTCTCTCGCCGTTGTGAATATTCCAAGAAACATAAAATAAATTCTTAATTTAAGACTGCCGGTTAATTGAAGAAAGTTTACTTAGAAAATCTTACAACTTGAAGAAATAGTTTTAAACTTCTACTCTTGATATTTCTTTCAAACACAAAAATAATTTATTAAAATGGATTTTAAAATAAGATTTAATTTGATTGGTTGCTTTACTAATCAATTTGTATGTTTTAATTATTTGCATTTATTAGAAGTTGATAAAATTGTCATCGTCAGGTAATGACATTTTATATGAAAGGAAGCAGCCTTTTTATTGGATAATTAAATCTTGTAACATATTCTTAAAAAATGAGCATATCGAGAAAATGAAAATGTGGCCGAAAAGTGGCCGAATAATTGAACTCTCTCAACTTGAGAGAGAATTTTCTCAAGTCTTCTGATACAAGTTCTGATATGTCAACTGAGACATGTCCATCTAAGATAACAAAGTGGAATGTCAAATTTGTGAAAGTGAACGTAGTAAAAGAGAAATCTTTAAAATTCATCAAAACTTATTCATAAATTGAAAAATAACATGCAGAATTTTCTTCAACATTTAATAGATTCGAAGACTGATTTCGTATTATTTTTACGAACGCATTTATCTATTCACATAAGAAAATTTTTATCTCATGCAATTTCCCGAAATTTTTAACTTCATTGAACTCGTTTTTCTTTGAGATCTTCAAAATACAAGAAGAAACAAAGTTCATACATGTGGAAAATAATTCGTAGTAAATGATACCCTCGAAAATCATTGAGTTTAAATTTTTTGTTTCTGATCTGAATTTCAAACACTGGTAGACTTTGTTAGAAATCTTTAGAAGAAATTCCCAAGGATGATATAAGTTTTTCGTTTTTTCTGCCTTCTATATTTGATAAAGTTTCCCCGATGAGTTGAAAAAAAGGTTAAATTGTAGAGGAATATATTTACCTTCTTTATAAACCCTCGAAGAGATGAAAAATCCTTTTTCTTAACATTTTTCAAGACACGGAGATCGTATGTATAGATTATCGTGAATGAAATTAGGTGAAATTGAATTAAATATTAGGCAAGTTTATCGCATAAGGAGCGCTTCCCATATAAAAAGATTAAGAGAAAAATTAATAAAATATGTGCCTTTGGCATGTTTATTTAAGATGTATTTAATCCTAAGTAAGGTGAATTCCTTGAAAACGCTTAACTGCAGACGATGAAAGAATATTAGAAACTTCATAACTTAGAAGGAACTGTGGGAAAAAAGGAAATAACCTATAACTCTCCGATTAAATGGCATTATGTTTATTTAGATGGAAATTTATTGAAATGAAGCAGAAATTAAGGCGACTGAATTTATAGTGCTAATAAATAGTTGGAAACTGTAAATAAAAGAATTTTGTGACTTGAAAAAACAATTTAGGATACTTCAATAAATATTAGAACTAAGAGAAATATTTCGAAACCTCTAAAAGCGTTGATATTAAATATTTTTTGAAAATAGATGTTGAAATACATGTAGATGTAGTGTTGTTTCTTATTTCTTTTGTTTGAAACTTTCTCTGCTTTCAAAAGCACTTCTTCCAAACTTTCAGAATCTAGAAATCACTTCACAAAACTTTGAAATAATTCCCACTGCCTTTATTGCAAAACTTGATTTATGAACTTTGTGGTTCATCTATTTCTCTTCTGTTTGTTGTTTTCAAACCATTTTTTAAAAAATTGATTTTTTTTTACTTTTAATACTAAACTCGATTATTCATTCAACTTTCTGGTTTCTACCCTTGTCATCAGCAACATGCTCCATTCTAAAACAACAGATTTTTTTGTTGTGCCTTCACTTTTTCAAAAGCGAGCATAACACATAAATTGTATTTGAGAATATTCAAAAGTTTTGAGATCAAACATTTTCTATCATCATATCAGTAGATTGATTTATGTGGTCATCACAAATCACTCTCTAAACATCATTCAAATTTATCTAAATTGTGTTGAATTATCATTTGCTTACAATTGAGAACTTGGGAATGTCAGATTTCTTTTGTTTTCCATAGCTTTTAATCATAAATAATTAATTCGGGTTTTCGGGGAAAAATCAATGGAATTGAGGTTGGAAAACAACAGTTTTTGCTGACATTTGTAAATTACATGTGAAACATCTGGTCAGTGATTTTGAATAATTATTTATATTTAATCATTGATTTAATGTATAAATAATGCACAAGCACTCGCATTGATGTATAATTTTTTATTAAGTTTCTTCGTCTAAATGATTTTATTTAAAAGAAATCGCCATCTAATTATTTATCATAACTTCGCAATTGATTGGCCTTTTCAGTTCTTTAAACTTGTAGAGAATTCATTCAACATTTGAAGAGTTAAAGATTCCCCATCAATGGAATTTGAGAAGAATTTTCACGATGTAGTTAGCATTCTGAATTCTGATTCACTTCATGTTCAAAGCATACCATTCGAAATGATTTTCTTGAATCGTTTTTATCCTCACGAAATCAATAGTCGATTTGCATATTTCTCTCTCGTTAGAAAGTTTCAGAACGAACGCATTCTAATAGATTCAGCTTCAATAGAAATTCTCAAAATAAATGTTTTTCTATTGAAGAGACCACTCGCTTAAGGGTTTAAAATAATGAACTAAATCTCGTTCTATGATTCATTTAGCCAAAAGAATTCGTCTAGCATATCAGTCTGCACAAAACTTCTTTTTTTTCGATTGAGAAAATTCTTCTGGAATTTTTTTATCATTGATCTGATGTTTTGAAGAGTTCCAAGGGAACAGCTGCCAATAAAATATTTTTAATTAACTAGATATCAATCTCTTATGAATTTTTCTCTTTATAATTAAAATTTATCAGCAAGCAAATAAATTCTCTTTCGAGTTGAATATATGATGAGATTATTATGCTTTTATTTCTGCACTGAAATCTCTTGAGAATCACTTTAACGATGAGAAATTCAAGTCCACTGTGATTATATTAAACTTACCTTCGGTAAATATTTTTCCAATTATAATTTACCAAAGTTTCAATGAAAAAAATATTTAATATAAAAGTTTAATATAGTTTTGCTGTTCTCGAATTTTAATTTTTTCTACGATGAGAAAAATGTCATATAAACATAATCTACTTCAGATTCTCCAATGCTTTGTTTTCCAAAAGAAGCAATAAAGAGGAAAATAAATTTATGTTTAGAAAAGTGGAAAATATTAACATACATGATTATTTATCTACTTACAATTTAATCTCTTTACGATGGAATTGGAAAAGTTTACGATTTAATAAATTTTCTGCATTTCTATGCAACATTTAGATTAAGTTTTTCTTTTTATGGTGGAGCTTAAGTACATTCACTTTTTTCCTTTTAAAGATTATATAGACTCATAAAACTTCCATGCTTGTTTGCATTTTCTATAAAAGTTACATAAAACAAACACAAAACGTTTGACAAAATTGCTTACTAACGTTATTCAAAGACATTTCCCTAAATTGTGTTCAGAGCAATTTCAGCAACAAATCTGCAACCTGCATTTCCAATAAAACATCGATTGATATCGTTTGGTAATGTAAAACAAATCTATCATCGGTCACGTATTCAATTTGATATCGATACATCAATGATAGAAATAACACTTGGAGAAAAATAAATAAAAGATTCTCGTCTTGATATGTTCTCAATCTGTTCTCAGTTCAGATTGCATTGTCAGATTTTCGTGTCTTACTTAAACTAACAACAAGAATCTTATATTGTTCCTTACGAACAACTCAAGTCATCCGTCTTCATGTTTTCATTAGGAAACATCTTCCCCATCACAGATATTTTAATTTATTATTGCATGTCGCTCTGCTCTTCCTTCATTTTCATCACTCTCATCAGCATTTGTTCCTCAAGTGTTGTGAAATAACAATTTAAATGTAAATTTTCATGACCATTTTAAGGGGGGAAAAGCTTTGCGGTTAATACCATCCAGAGAATTCTATTTGATTCATGACTGTTTAATTACAGCTGTTCACATAACTAAAGAAGCGCTGCAAACTCAAAAGCACTTAAATGCAAACAAACGATGATCTCGTTGAAAGAAAATGCAAGTACATTTTTATGTTAACATAATTAACTTTAATTATGTAATAACATTAGAAAATATCACCACTCGCTCCACTTTTTTTAATGAAAAAATAATTTTATAGAGCAGCTGTCAACTTTAACTACCTACATCTTGCGTGTTGTTGCTTCCAGCAATAATAACACAATATCTTTAGGATCTACAAAGTGTACCGCATTTGTCTTAAACAAAATTCGAAGAAGAAAAGAACATAATTAATAGTCAATCACAAATGTTTGTTAGTTTCTTTGAAAAGGTAAAACAAAAACTTCTTAAAGATTAAAAGTTTTAATAGACATCTTGAATCAAAACGTTGAGGTTTTCATTTCATTCTCAGAAGTAAGCTGAAATAATATCTTTTCTCAAGACAAAGACTTTAATTAATGACTTTCTATTACTTAGCGAGAAACCAAAATAGAACTTGAAGAATCTGAAAGTCCTTTCGTGACCGAAATTAAATCCTTTCTTGATGGAACGATGGAACGTTCTTATTGATTCGCCATAAAATATTTCCATAGAAATTAAAATATCTAGTCGTGAAAAGCAAACAGTGAAAACTGAAAGCTGAGTCGAGCCAACCCCCCATTCACGGATCATAAATCATTAAAAAGGTGCGGATTACAGCTTTATAGCCTTTTCAAGGCTTTCTTCTTTTCCAACAGTTTATGATTAATTAAATTGTTGTCTACGAGCGTCTGGAATGCTATGGTTAAATCCATCGCAAAGGTTAATCGATAACCGGACACTGTCGGTGATTTTTCATGGTAAACTCCTTTGACGCCGGATTTCGGAAGCGAATATTTCCATTTAATTAAACATGATTATCGATTTACAACGTAAATTTACAAAACTAATCTCTAGGCATTAAATTCGTTTTGGGGAATAAAGCTTAGTAGTCTACCTTTCATCTTCGATTCGTTTATTACCAGTTTCATTCCACCTCCATTCGTTCAAAATCATTCGAATTTATCAAATAAAATGTGCAAACATTTCTCTTCTTTTTATTTCCTTCGTTGTGATTTTATTTTTGTCACGTCAAACCAATATCCCTGATACTGCGAGAGCAGAAATTCCCAATAGAATTATCGAATTAAACTGTTGTTGTTATTGTTGTTTCTCCTTCTCATTGTGTGTTCTTCTTGCTTGAATGAAGTTGGATAGAGTGGAAAGAAAAGAGGAAAAAAGAAAAAAAAAAGCGTTGAGAGTTGATAAAAGTTTTACTTCGTTTATAGATCCATCGACATTCTGTTTTGATGATATTGATAGCGGGTTGTTATCGGTTAATGGATGATTGGACTTTCAAATGACTATTCTGATGTTTGTTCACTTTCAACTGAGTTAGTTTTTTTAAGTTGTTTTCTGTCTGTTCAACGAGATTTCACCATAAAAACTTCATGAATAATTACAGTCTGACTGTAATGAATTCATTCATTCAATGACGATGGAGACAAGGGTGAATTGAAAGAATAATGGAATATTAGAGTTAAACAAGTCAACTGTGAAGAAGTATCGGGACAATTAGATGAGCTCCAGAGTCTGGTGTCTATTTGAGATATTGTGGCAAATTGGAATGGTAATTAAATATCTCAATGAAAAGGGTCGAGCTTGTGAAAGGATTGAAGAGATTAATTGGAACATTAATGTGAGATTTAGTTTTGATTTACAAACTTCAAGGGTTAAGTGATGATTTTACTTTGCAAAATTTCTCAAACAAACAAAGAAATAAAATTCAGAATCCGAAAAAAATTAATCCGATCCATCATTGATAAAACTTTTCAAATTATAGTTGGGGGTGGAATTATAATTTGATTTTTCCTAAACCAACAAGAATGTGCTTTCTAAATTTCAAACTACAGTTTTCTGGAATTCCGACTTCAAAGTGAAGTCTTAAAGCAAACAAAAAGTGTGATTTATCACTTTTAGCAGCAGACTTACATCACCTGAAGGAATATAATCATAAAGTATGTTTCTTCGCTTCTATTTCTATCGCTCTGCATGCCGAACAAGAATCTCACGCGACTTGCAGCATAAGACGATTTAACGAGAACGACATCATGCGCTTCCTTCTTCGAAAACAGAACATTCTCGACATAAGTATGAAGGGAATGTGAACGTAAAGTAACTCATAGATGTAGATAACAATTGAATTGATCGAAAAATCGTGATCGTAAAGTGCATTGCACAGTTTTATTCGTTTCCTCGTTTAAAAATCGATTCGAATGAAAAATTATTTGGAAAAATGTAGAAAAACAAAGTCCCAAAATGGGTTCGAAGAAGGCGACAAAAAAAAGTGCTTCGGCATTCAGGTTACATTGTAAACATAAATCGTCGTGTTCAACATTTTATCTCATTCTATGTACATACTTTGCTATGCCTTCCCCTTCCGCATAATCCAAATTTTCATCACACAAAGTGCCTTAACACCAATACAGCACAAACAGCAATAAAATGATTGTTGATTTAGAGTTAAAATCAGATCAGTCTTGATGTTTGTTTATGGGCTTTTAGTTAAGCTTCTAGCAATGAAAAGGGATGATGGAAGACGCAGACACATTTCACATCTTTTCCACATTGTTGTTGATTCATTCGACGTGTGAAGCTCTTGGAATTCAAAATTGAAATCTAAATTCATAAGCGCGCTGCTTATTTTCAAAAGGCAAAGAAAAAAACTCATGCAATTTTAATGCGATTTCTAGCAGTGCTCATCAGATGTCTAAATGGCGTTTCCTTGTTATTTTAATGTCTTTTTGATGTGTTATGTTGTTTCTCTTATACTCCAGCTCTCGTTCGTTTTGTGAAGTTAGCAAAAGGCGAGGGCAAAAGTCACACGACGACCCATTTGAAAGTTTTCTCAGCTGTAGAAAATAACAATAAAACCTAAAGAAAATGCTTTTGCTTTCATTTTTTATGACTGCTCTACGGTTGCGGTGTGGCTCGTGTGGTGTATACAGAAATAGAAAATTATTTCTAATTACCGTTGAGTAAAGAAACGAAAGACTATTTAGGGGTTGAATTGTCTGATTCCTGGAGGAAAAACTTTTCACATTTTCACTTTTCTTCTCTGTGAAGTTTGTGTGTGTGTATGTGTAGAATGTCTCTCTTCCTTTACTTCCGATCCCAATGCACATTATCAACATCAAAAACAGGAAGTCTTTATACCACAATGCAAATAACATTAGGAAATTAATTAACATCCATTTACGTTACAAGCGGAAATTAATGGTTCGGCGGTGGCGACGACGACGACGACGACGAAAGGAAAATCGTTCAACATCCTTCCGACCATCAATTCATCGCAAGTAATGCTAATGTTCATTTTGCGCGCAAATAGCAAGCGTGAAGCTTTTGAATAATAAATTTAATGACATTAACTATCATCACGATATCATAAAGAATTCATTTGAGTTGAAAGAAGTAAATTGAGTGACGTGGGTGACGTGGTTGTGCAATTAAGAAACTCTTGAAAACTTAGAATGTCTACAGTCACTTACATAACATGGCTTAAGAATGATAACAAAATTGAAACAAAAGCGTCACGTTTTGTACGATGAATATTTAAAATACTTGCAACCAGTTTGAAGATAAAAAATTTCTTTAGAAAGAAATGATAAACATTTGACGAAATTCTGAATCTTCCAACTGGGTCAGATGCGTTTGGTCTAAGATATTTTGTTTAACTATTTTTTTTGTTTAAGAGTAAAAAAGCAAATGATGAGAGAGATGACAAGGAAAGTTTATTGTACAGAAACAAAATAAGAATCATTCAAAGAAAGAAGTTTTTTTCTTAGAGAAAACAGGAAAAAGATGACACACGTAATGTCAAAACCAAATGTTGGCACGTGAGTGGATTTTTTAATCAAAGCCTCGCTACGTCGTGTTACGGTTTTCATTTCATGTTCTTTATCAGATTTGTCTTTAAGGGCGGTAGAAAAACTTTCCTTTCGTTGAAATCTGAAGAACATCATCCAACGATGGCAAAAATGTCAAAAGAATTGACTTCAAAGTCATATCTTAAGAATCGGTAGCTACTTTTGATGTCATTCATAATGACACCGAGTATCATACACACTTTTCAACATCGTCGATGTCAATTTAAGGATTGGCAAAGACACATAAAGGACCGATGAGTAGGAGACGAAAAGAAAGCAAAGTTCGGGAGAGAAGGGAAACATCTCTGATTGACGGGGAAAGGAATTCACTCGACAAATATTTGATGCCTTATTGAGCGAGTCAGACGATGAAACGATGAAAGCCCTCAACAACAGTCAGCAAATACTTTCAAAAGAATTTCAATGTAAAGTATCGTCGTCGATGACGTTGATGAATGCTCAGTGATTAAAGATAATTATCGAGTAAGGTTGTTTCACAAGTGCGGTAAAATTTCCGCTTTATCCACCCACGTTTGACTTTAATCCAGATTTGAATCAACTTTTGCGATTTTCAATTATTAAGGGCTCATTCAACCGTGAAATCAGATAATTTAAATTTAATTATGCATGGAGAGCGCGAACAGAAAGTGATTATGTTACATTTTTCCAACTTTTCGATTGGTGAGCGTAACAAATAGAGATTAATTCAATGACGATGCTTTTAGAAGATTCCTAAATCATGATAAAAAAATTTCCACACCATACCTTAATTGCCATGCAAGAGTCGGAAGCCGATGAAAAATGAAAAAGAATTTCCACTCAAATAGCTTTTCGGTTGATATCGTCTTCAAAGCTTAGAAACTTTTGAATGTTGAAATATTAAAAGCATGAATAATGAAATGAGAGTTTTCAAAACAGAAAGCTTCTTAAACTTCAACTTACTTCTATTTATGTGTTTGAAAGTTAAACGAAACGATTTCTTTTTTCCCATTATATATTTTGCACTCACCAAAATGTAATAAAGAAGCGTTTAAACCTCGAGGGTCTCTAACATTGCATTGCAACCATAAAACTCACGCTTCCTATACTCGATGTGTATGCATCAGGCAAATGTGATAACAATCTGTTCTATTTGAATAATTGTATCAGCATTCCTTATACATACTGCACTCTTGAGTGCTTTTCCTTTCTCTCATTCAATATTGCTATAATTTCCTTTACAATTTATTACATTTGCGAGTACGATGCGAGCCCGAAGCAATAAAACTTTCTGTGAGAGTTCAAATTGCACATTTCATACATCAGTATCTTTGGATCTTAATGATTATGAAACATACGCACACATATCTCTCCATTTAAGGAAGAACTATTAGAAGAGGAAAACTTTATGAGTATTTAAATGATTTTTACATTTCCATGATTGTTATTTAATTACATTTAAGCGCAATAGTCCAAAGCATTAAAAGATTCCAGCAGCAATTTGCAATAACAAAGAAGAAAAACGCTTTCCAAATGAACATATTTCATTTCCGCTTCCATATGTGTGAAAATTATATATCTAAATCTAATCGCTTTAGATGTCGTTCTATACTCGAGGAACATGATATAAATTTAATTTATTTGCATGCATATCTTGGTTGTACGATCGCATGGCAATATTGCTTTGCTACTATTCTCTGACTGTAGAGTTTCTATTATTATTAAATTGTCAAATTATGAACCCATAACTTATTCATATACAGAACACAAAAGTAGTTTAAATGCTAACACAACAACCGAAATTTATGTTTCGCTTTCATTTTCGCCTTCAGCAATTTTTTTACTCAAAAAGAGAAGTTTTTATAAGAGAAAAAAGTTTTTTATTTCCACCCACACCCCATCATAAGCTACTCGCTTCTATTGAATAAAGGTGTGTCGACGTGTGTTGTTGAGGGTTATTTTTTATGGAAATATGAACTGAGTTTATCGTCTTGTTGCTGATAGATAGAAAATGAAAGAAAAACTCATTTAATAGCAAATTTTCAAGCATTTTCATGTGAATGGTTTAAGGTTATTTATTGCTTTCTTTGCACTGTTTATCTTCTCACACAAACACCAACTTTATACTGGACAGCAATTTGTTGACTAAGGTGTGGCATAATTGTTGCAAATTGCCTATAAAAATGAATTTTTATTTGTTCGTCTTATTCATAATCGATATGGATAAGAAAGTTCAGCATTTCAGGATCGACACGAGAAAACTTCTTTTTTTTTTCGCTTAGAATTTAAATTCGATTTAAGCTGTAAAGTTATTCATTCAATAATGTCAGAAATTGCAATGTGATTTTTTTCCTTGATTTATCAAAGTCTTCAAAAATTTTTCAAAGAAAAATAAAAAATGTGCATGTGCTACCAAATGCATGTTATGTGCCATAAGAGGAAACTTTTTTCACTTTCCTTCAAAATTATAAGTTTTTTAACAAACTATTGGTTTCATGGTTTTTGGTTTCGCCGTTTGTTGGTAGTTGAAGGATAAAAGTTTGAAAATTTCGTTCTTTCCATACGGAATTTTATTTGAAATAAATAAGTCGATAAGTACTATTTTTATGTTTCACTTTTGCTTGTGGTGAATGTGTAAAATAAAGCTTGGTTGAATTTATGGCTTGTAAGGAGGTAGCAGTGAAGGGAGGTGAAGCAAACAAGTTTTAAATTTTTACTTAAATCGCTGCGATAATCCTTTCGATTTACTTCTACATTTGAAATTGTAAACTAGACAAAACTCAAAAATGTTTAATAAATTATGTGATGTTTAGAAAATTATACTAAGTAAGTAAATGATGGTTTTCCATGAACACTTTCATAACAGCAAATAGTAATTTAATTAAAATTTTTATGTTTGTATTCACCAGACAAAAGAAATTTACAATAAGAAGTTGTTGCAATCGACATCAGGTGCAGCAATTCCTTTAAATGGTAGCAAATGTTCCGTTTTTAAACAAGCAAGCACCAAGCAAAGTTAATTTTTAAAATTCACTTGCACTTCTCCTTAACTTACCAATAAATTGGTTTCGTGTCCTTCGCGTTTAGCTTTTGCAAGAGTTCACTAAAGATGCAAAAAAGAAAGAAAATTTTCCTGTTATTAGAAAACATAATAGATTTTAATCAGGCACATTTTTGCATTAAAAGCTGTTGTTAGTTTGCATAATTGCTTCCACTACTCCACGCCCTTCATTCATTTTCTCCAGTGCGATGCAATCACTTTTTAATACCGCTTCGCTTCACAAAATTAGCTCTTTGTGGAGCAAGTTTTAAGTGAAATAATTTCTTATCCAACAGTGAGAATCTGTTTGGCATTAGTGGTTTAGCTAGACAAAAGCAACTTGACTTCATTAAAATCGATGTCAGAATGAGAATGTCGGAAATTAAGTGTTGAAGGTTTATTACGATTACACATAAGAAAGTTCATAATACTTTGATCAAATAGTCGATTTCGAGAAGTGTTATCGCTAAACTTCCAACTGGGAAGGATCCATGAAAGTATAGAAAAATCCTCGTCTTTTTATGGCTCTTCCCATTAGCATGTTTTCTCAACTTTTCTATTCAACACAAGTTGAATGCCTTTTCACTCTTCGTCTCCTCCTTTTATTTACCCTAAGTTGCAGACGTAGGGAATGCACTACACAGTCTATGAATTAATTAAGTCTTTATTATCCACACCACCACTCCCTGAAAATTATTGTTCAACTCTCGACGCTTTTCTCGTCGCTACAAAACTTTGCAATTGGAAGTTTATTTGGAAAATATTAAAATCTCTTGTTTTTAAAATAATATGAACAGACAAGGAACAGACTGTAACAAATGACTTTTGGTGTTTTAGTTGTTCTTGATGAAGGCTTATCTGAAAATCTTTTTGATACCTCACATGATAAGATTTTTCATACTTTCAGAGGAATTTTGAATTAGAATTCGTTCTATTGAATTTAATTCTCAATGATGAAATTCTCACAAACCATTTATTGATGCGAAATCATAATTATAAAATCATTGAACTCTTGTTCTATCAATTAAAATTTTATTTAAAACTTATTAAACATTTTTTCCATTTATTGCTTTCAGAAATTTTCTATTGACTTTGTCAAAAAATAAAAGACCAGCCGCTCTTTCAATGCTCTCTGGAGGAACTTTGAAATTGTCAAGTGGCGTGTCATCAGAAATGACTTGATTTGGCATGACGTAAGACTCCATCACGAGTTTTCCATCGGCACTTTCACCGACGACAACTTTAAAGAAATGAGTTGGTACAGCAACATTCTTGTCACCGATAACTTCGTATTTCACGTAAAGTTTACCATCAGCTTCTTTTCGCGGAAGATACAAAGGACCAGTGCAAACGTAAACATTGGGATAAAGTTTTGTCAGCTTTCTTACGTATCGCTCCAGACGATTCCATGAGTCACGATTAAATCCCTTGCCGACTTGAGGAGACATATTGGAGAGATAGAAAGTCTGTTCCATATGTTTTTGGTGTCTTTTATGATTTCCAGCTGCTGCAAGATGTCCCCGATCATAACCCGATTTTTTATAGTCAGAATTTTCTGCTCGAAAGAAGGGATGAATAGATTCATCAACTTTAAAGTCACATTTGCTTCTATCAACGTCATCATTATGTTTCACATGATCTGGCGTTAAATGTTCAAATACCCAGTTTGCTGTTCTCGTTCTTTTGTCATAACTTAGAATGAAGTCATCAAAAGATCTCACATTATCTAAGGAAGGAAAGCCAAATCTCATAATTTGAGAAACACGACTTTCTTGAGAAACTATTGTTGGTTTATCCGAAAATTCATTTCTGGGTATTAAAGCTGCTGCAGACACTGTGCTAAACACAGGAAGTCCTGGTTTACTCTTCAAATTTATCTTTTCATCGCAAAAAATATTCTGTAATAAAGAACAAAAAGCATAACTTAAACTTGTGAATGAAAATAATGGATGTTTTAATAAATACCTTTAGCTCACGATTTTCTACAGATTTACGACCTAAATAAAAGCCAGCACTACCGATACTTGATAACAAAATAAATTTAGAAACAGCACTTTTAAAATATTTCACTCGCATTGTTTACAAAATGAAATCAGCTGATGATGAAACTACGTAGAAAGTGCTGCGCCCTCACGGTGAGATATGAAAGTTCAAACATTGCATGAAATTCGAGAGAATGAGAGAAAATGATGAGAAAATGAAAATCCTTGTGAAAATCTATTTTCCCTTTAAACACTCATAATTTAAAAGTTGAATAACATGCTTGTAAGGATTCCATTAGAATCACTTATATAGGTAATATTTTGTTATTATAAATACGTAATGAATGGAGATATTTCGGCATTATCAAAAGAAATTTTAAATCTTTTTCTTACCACAATTTCATGTTTAAATAAACACATAAATAAGAAAAAGAAACCTCAAAATTGATTTCAAAGAAAAGTCTACTTCAGTCTGTCAAATACCGGTCATTATATGACACTAAGCCATAATTTAAATGATAATAGCTTTCAATAAACAAAAAAAAATATTTGAATACAGTATCAACGCTCATAAATTAAAGCATATTTATATTAGACTCTTTTATTCAGGCTTTTTTTTTGTTGCACGATTTTAGGTTCACTAAGCGCTTAATTATAATTAACGACACTCCCATGATTGACCTTATTTGAAACAAGGAAATTTTCCGATAAATTTTCCTTCCTTCAATAAATTTTCCTTTCTAAGAACACAATCAATTTTTTTAGAAAGCTCGTTGAAAGGTTAAAATTTGAAATACAATACCCTACTAAATAGACTCGCCTTTAAACTTTCATTGTTCTCCATACATTTATTTGAATGATAACAAATTGATGAATCTTCTAACTCATTAATCATCATTATTGATTGATTAGTTTCATTGTTCATAATTGTTGTTATTGTACATTATAATTACATTTCCATGAATCGACCTTTTTAATCATTGCAATTATTTTACAATATTTGTTCAGGAAGTTGAGGGAAATATGTTTTCATTAATTATGTATACATGAAAATATATAAATTCAATTTTCCCGTGTAAACTCATGTACAGAAATTTGTTAAATGTCAATTTGTCTACGCCTTACTACTTTGTTAAGAATTCATTTTTTTGTAATATCAGCAAAGCATCTGCCCTCACAAAAATCCTTAATAATTTTTTGTGAAACATAATAATCGCTTTCATCAAATGGATTTGTTGCACATGTTTACATATCGTTTAACAAGCAATCAACTTAATTAATTTATAATAATAATTCCCTGATATCTAAATAGTAACTAGGCCTTCTCTTTTCACAATAACTTCAGAGTTCCATCAACATAATTTTCATACCTTAAATTTTACCATAGTAAAATATTTTTAAACTCTGAAATTGACTTAAAAAAATTTTAAAGCCTCCTGAATAAAATTTCCGAATAAAAGAAGCTTCCATTAAATGTTCTTTGCGCCACAAGATTAATCAGACATAATTAAAAATTTCTTTTTGAATGTCAAAATATAAAGTCTTCCTCTTCTTCTCCTTCTTTCCACATTATAGTCTTGAAAAACGAAGAAAACAGATGAAGTAATCCATTTTAATTAGATAATTAGGCATACGAAAGTTTAAAACTCTTCTCGTTTCTATTCACCTTTAGGGGCTTTCATTCGTTCTCATAATCAATTGAGTGAAGAAAGAAAAGTTAAATTTAATTAACTTTCAAGAAATTTATAAAAAGATTTAAATTTTTCTTTTTCTGAAATTTATTCTACAATTTTCTTCTTTTATTTTTTAGAAATGATTTGCTTTGTTGTTAAGAGTCACATATTGCTATGTTTTCTAAACATATAAATTAATTAATGTTCTAATTGAATATAAAAATAAATAAATCTAAACTGCAGATTTCCTTTTTTCTATTCTTAAAAGAAGAAAAGTTTACGGGAAGCAAGTTTTCTTTATTAGATTTTATTGTTCATTGTCATGTGTACATTGTAATCCTTTACCATGTAATGTTTAATTGAAAATTATGTGATAAACTATTGAGAAACTCATGTGAACTTTCGGATAAGTACGAGAACATTCAACGATGCAGTAGTGGTGAAAAGGAAGATAACTAAATAGAATAATATAAAATCTGAGACAGAGACAAAGTTTTGTCATGCTGTAAAACGATTCAACGTTGTTTGCTGATTTAATTACCCAAACTATTTGTTAACTGCTTTGACACCGCAAAACTATTTCCTTCCCATCTCATAACCGTGTTAAGAAAATTTCCTTCTTTGTAGAAATATCTTTAATTTGTGGTTTACATCTTAAACAACTGTTGTTTGAAAACTTTTGACAGAAAAAACTTTTGTCTCGTTTCGTCTTTTTTTTGTTTTGCTTGTTGAAAGAAAAAAGAAGGAAAATCCTTTGTGTTTCATGCTGAGCGCCACAAAAACGGATGAAAACAAGGAGTAGAGGAAGAAATATAAATTCCAAAATGTTATAAATCTATTTTATTCATAGCTATTTATTTATTGTTGGGTAAAGACGTCGGTGCCATAAAAAGAGAGAAAGCAGAAAGAGTAAATGTAGATTTCATCCGAGTAAAAGCAGATTTATTCATCCAACACATGTTTTGAGGGTTTGCTTTTGATATATTATGAAAGACTGGAACGTTGTGGATGCAAAGAAAACAAAAAATGAAATCATTGTTTGTTGGGGGGTGTAGAAAGGGTGCAAGGTTAGACAGTGAGAAAATAAATTCATATGTTACCGTCTACAAGTTTATGATGAAGATTTTATGTGTTCAACATGTAAACAAATCGCATGTGATTTATCCATTTCTCTAGATATGATTACTGCTTTGAGTTTTCATGACGCAATTCATCTTGAGATTTCATTTTATTGCTTTCATTAATTTTTCAAATTTAATCTTCAGGTAAATTTTCCTGTATCATTTCAACTTTAAAGGGAAAGTTTTCTGGAAGCATATAAGGAATATTCAGGAAAGAAATTCTTATTTCATTCATTTTTTAGAAATATCAGATTATCATATTAAATTTTATTCAACTTTTAATGATATCAAAAGCATTATCTGTTCTGTTAGAATTGTATTAGATATTCAAGACAAGAAACTGTTGGCAGCAATTGCAGTTGTTGATATCAATTTCATGTTTCATCGCTGCACTCAACACAATTAAAATAAATTTCATTTCATTGAACATATTTCTCAAGCGTTTTGAGAATTGAGAAATCCTTAACAACTCTTATAGAAAATAATCCTTTAAGATTTCATTTGTTGGTGTTTGAGCATCTGCTTTTCAAAAACTATTCTCGTTTGTCGAGAATTTCTCATCGTATTATTCGAATATTTCTGCATTAAGAAGCGGCACCTTATTTTGAATCCGACGAATAACAAACATAACAATAGTATTGCTATCGAAACATAAGTACTCTTAATGCAGTCTCTCAATATATATACAACAAGAATGCATCGAAAAGGATGACCAGATTATTACAGAGAAATAATATTAAAGTTTCCCAGCTTTTCACTATTCTTCACATAGACAAAATTTCAACTTGAAAGTCATCACAAACTTGAGCACTTTGTTTCGTACCATCAGCGCAACGACGTTGAGAAATCAATAAAAATCGTATTGAGTCATATTTATTTGTCATTGAAATTTTATTCAATTTTTCTTGTGAAAATTATGTAAAGTGAAGAAAGGGAAAATCTGATGTCGTAAAAAATTCGCTTTAATGCATTCACCACATGCTTTTCATTCACTTTTCGTTTCTGCATGTCAATGGAATGAACGAGTCAACGTGTTTTCCAACAGATATGAAAATATTTTCTGACAGCTTATATGTTTTTGTTTGTTACTGCTTTTTTTGCATCGAATTGATATTAGTAATTGCTTTATTTGCTACATTTGTAGTTCAATATAAGAATTTCATATCTAAATGTTTATTAAACTCTCTTAAGAAATTTTAAAGATGAACACTCAACTTTGAAAAGAATGAAACACGTTGCGGTTCGTTCCATTTTGGAATGAAATATAAAAGACATTCTCATGTTATCAACAGACGAGAAAATTTCAATTTTATGCACTGATGCTCCCCTAAAGTACTCTCCTTTTTTCTTATGAACTCTTTGTTTCCTTTAAACACAAGAAAATAAATGATGAAAAACCATTTGTTAGCACAAACTTAGAAACTTTGTTGTTTCACTTGTTTTCTATTTACTTGCAATAAAATTTTTATGTTATCTATGTATGTATGTTCAATGATCAGTAAAACAAATCCACTTTTCGTTTCTCCTCGTTTGTCATTTCAATTAGCCATGTCAGAATAGAAAGCGATTCTTCACATCCAAATGACGTTTTAATTTCAACGACAAATCGATCAAAAAATGTTCTTTTTTTATTTCATTCAAATGTCTACTGTTAGTCACTGCTTTAACAGAAATTTTATTGTCAGTTTATACAGGAAAAGCGTCTAGTTTTATTTCTGTGTGTTTTTGTTCCAATTAAAACGAAAATTAAAGACGTGAAATAAAGTAAGCATCATTGCTCGTATTAATTAAAGATTCTTTCCTCGCGCTTTGCTGCTTATCTTCCGTTTTTAGTTACATGGGAGTTCGTCTTAATGAACTTAATGAAATTTGCATAGAAACAGCAAACAATAAATGTTAAATTAAACAAAAATCAAGACTGTGTGGAGAGCAGTTAAACAGCAGCATGTGTTCATGAGAATTACAAAGTTTGAGTTGAATCTGCCACTTTTTGTATTTACTTTCTCGTGTAATTCAAATATAAATGTTGATGAAAGCACACGCAACTCAATAATGTTTAAAAGTTATCTCAACGAACGATATGAATGCTTATTGCTCATAGATTGCTCAATTAATTGTACATATTGAAATTATTCTTAAGAATACATTTGTAAACTATGGAAAACTGCAATGAAACCGAATGGAAAAATGTTTGGATTATAACTGAATTCAAACGATAAATTTTCAGAGTGTTTCAGATGTTCCAACGAATTTAAATTACTCACTTATCAGGAGGATTGTGGAAAAGATTATCTCGAGCTTAATATGATGTTGATTATTTTTTAATAACTTTATAAGATTTGTTAGCAAAAAATTACACATGAACTCATATAAAGATGAGTCCCTCATCAGCTTCATCGATCCCATCGACTCGGCCCCATTGACTCGCACCATCGACTCGACCTCATTGACTCGCCCCATCGACCCCATTCCACTATCGATGGAATTGTTCGGATTGTTTCAGATGTTCCAACGAATTAAATTACTCACTTATCAGGAGGGTTGTGGAAAAGATTATCTCGAGCTTAATATGATGTTGATTATTTTTTAATAACTTTATAAGATTTGTTGTTAAACATAAAATCAAATAAAATTTTATAATGATAATGGAATTTTAATAAGATTTTTTAAAAATTTATAAATTTTTGATGCGAACATTTTCAGACCATTTTAATGTAATTTTAAACTTAAAAGTGTTGAAACATTTCATCGTATCTGTGAAGGAAAATATGCAGCAGCTATTAAAAATCTATTTCATTTCATATATGTTCGCTGTTTGTTTTTGTGAGGTAATAAAATTTATTAAATTTATTCTGATAAGAAGTTACAAACTTTAATAAATTCTTTGATTTCAAAGCTCCACTTTGCAATTTATAAAATCGACTGCATCAATGAAAAGGACACAAACTACACTAAAAATATTTCCTGCTTCTTGAGAACAATTTCTCGAGGTGTCAACGCGTTGACTTCACTAAGTGACTTGGTTGTTCCTTTAAACTTGATAAATGCAAACATTGCTGTTCATGAGAAATCTTCTGCTAACACTTACGCATCAACCATCATTAACAACACTTTTGAGGTATGCACAATGATGAAAGGCAAAGGAGTTCCACTGTTCAAATTTGCTTTGCCATTAATATCGAAATTTGCTCCTGGCTTTATACATCCATGTCCATATGAAGGTCGGAAAGTTGGAGTTGAAAATTTTCCCATAGACGTTTCGTTACTTCCATTGATTCAATTCAGTCAAATTCCCATCGGACATTATCGTGTGGTAAATTCATAAATATTTGTTTTAAGATTTCTCTTGATTTGTTGCACTTACTTCTAGGATGTAAATTTCTATGACAAATATTGGAATACAATTCATTGGTTTAAAGTCTATGCAGCCCTTCAACCTAAAAGATTTACAAAGAAACATTCTAACAACCCAAACAAAGTTCCATCAGCAACAGATGCACCAGATGATGAATAAAATTCATACACAAATATTGCTTGACGAATCAAATTATTCTGTGCTCTTGCACTACAAGCATTCAAGTCATAAACTGAATAACATTCTGATGACTTTCAAATTGCTCACTTTTATTTTATTTCTATCAAGACGCCAGCACCAAATAAATAATTTAATGACTCGTGATGATCAGACAGCACAAGAAAAGTATTATATGTGAAAGTTTTATATGATATTTGGGAAAAAATGGCAATAAAATTTATGACTTCAATATTTATGACTTTGTTTTTCTTTCCCAGTACAATTTTATTACTTTGCCTTCCTTTGGAGTTGTTAGAAGGAAGAAGGAACGTCGCTGTTGATATTCATGTCGAATTGGACTTCAATGAAGCATTTCCTTCTTTCATAGTTTAAAAAGTTTATTTAGAAACTACAAATACAAATATTCTTCCAATGCAGCATATCTGAATCTAACTCGAAATATTGCAAATTTACTTTTACCAGAAAGTCATCAATGACGTCTATTTAAGGAAGATTAATATACTCCTGAGGTTACCTTCGTCTAAAAGCATTTTTTATAGCCTCTTTTCACTGCTTACGAAAGGTTGTTTAGTAAATGTGCTGTTTTTCCGGCTTTCAATATTTCTCTGCTCGCCTTCATAGCCCGAAACAAAAGTGTTCGATTTACACTTTCCCCATAGGTGAGATTGTTTGTCGCCATAAATTCACGTCTTTGAAATTTTGTTTTTCTTACCATTCGCTTTTAACCCACGACATCACCTTGAGACATTACTCTCAATTTAGTGAGATAAGGGCTTTTATTGCTTTAAGTAAGGTTTAAAGGAACACAAAAATGTATGCAATTCTGATTAACTGTTACTTTTAGAGGAGAATAAATATTTCCTATATCTTTGAGGATCTTAAAATTTTTCTTTATAAATTGTCTATGAACATAAAAGTTGCAAAGACATTCTGAAGGAAGACGGAAAAAGTTTTCGAAAATACATTCCAATTACGAAGAAAGCTTTGTCATTACACTAATAAGTTTAAGCTGACCCTTCGATGATCTTCTAAACTACTAACCACCTATAAATTTATGTTAAATTTCGTACAACAAATTTCATGTTAAATGAATTGCATTTCAAGTTAAAGTTTACCAATCGTTTGTTTGCCATTTCAGTCACGTCTTTCCAATACATATTTTCCAAATGGACTTATCGAGTTAAAATGTGTTCAGAAAATAGCAAAGGGCGGATGTTCACTTGTATTATGCTTCACACACTGGTAAGTTTTGACATCAGATCTCGTTCAACACATTATGACTTTGTCCGATGTCGTATCATCGGTGACAAAGGTGCTGAAAAGTTTTCCAACAATAAGATAGTTTTTTCGACCTTCTCATAATGATAATGATAAAAAGAAAAGTTTATGTAACTCTCCTGACTGTTACCATGTCCATACACATTGGAAAACTTTCTGTTTCTGGAACTTTTATTCAATAATAAAAATCAATAAGTCGAAGGAATGCTACAAGAATTCTTGTTGAACAATTAATGAGCTCATACTCTAAGTTTACTTAACTGAAGAAGGCTGAATTGACAAATTGTGTTAATGAAAATAATTAAAATTATCGCTTGGATGTCTACAATGTTAACAACATTTAATTAAAAATAATTAAATATTGAGAGTTAAAGCTGAACCAATTTCTATATTTGGATATTTTCCAAATTCGATTTAAATTTTTAAGTGAGAAAATGAAGATATTTTTAAATTGATCTGATTAAACCTTCGGCCTTGCTTTGGGCTGGAAAATTACCATGTATCGATTTTCTTTCAACATTCAACGTTCCACAGCCTCTTACATGATATTCTGAGATTATTCTTCCTCCCAGACTCTCGTTGTTTACGCTTGATAATTCTCTTGATCCAGATATGTCACTGTCATTCAATTTCACTCTTCCTTAGTTTTTCTTCCTATTCTTGGAATGTCTGAAATGTAATGAAAAGCTTCTTTTATGTTTCGTGCATTGTCTGTCTGTCCATCAGTTTTTATGTTCATAACGAAGGTTGCAAGATAAACTCCTTAGCTTTTAAATATTCTTTCATTATTAAAAAAATTATCTTCTTCACTAATCAAAAAAAACTTTCTTATCAAAATTTAATCCATTTTCTGTTGCTAATTGAAGTGTGACCAATAGACATTTTCTAAGAAATTAAATTAAAATCACACCTTCACTTCAAACTTATCTATCCAGCAAATACTTACGACGAAAAAGCTAAAAATGTAAACTCTGTCAAGCTTTCTTTTGATAACTTTGTGCCATAGTATTAAATTTCTTTTTCCCTTTTTTTCAGAAAAGAAGACGACACTAAAGGGGATCCCAAAAGATGAAGAAATCATGTCACATTATGTGAGAAAAGAAAAGATTTCTATTTTCTCATCTCTTGTTCTTCTTTATTCTTTCGTTTGTCTCAGCCCATCTTTGCATTCTTGATCGTCATAAAAACAATGTATTGTGAGGGTTGGGGGAATTATGTTAAGGAATGGCACTTATTTCATGCATAGTTGATGCTGTGATATTTCAAACATCTTTAGGTGAATCAAGATTTCTCAATTATTTTGTTGGGAAAATTTGTCGCATGGAAAACTCAATCTTAATGCAGCAGAATTTCCGCAAGATTTCCTTTCAAAAGGCTCAATAATTATCTGCAATATTTCACTAAAGCACAATAGAATAGAAAAAAATCTCACAGCAAATGTTATCATCATCGCAATTTCTCTTTTACTCAGTAATGCCCATCAGCACATTTGCGAGAATTTCCCATTGTGGCATTTATTTTTGGGCATCTACACTTAATGATTATTATGTGAATGGACCAATTAATAACATACCGAGCGAGCGATTTGAATGAGTGAAATGTGGAAAATATTGAGAGGAAAATCCAATTATGTCCGGTGATTTGGATGCGCAAAAATCATTCTTCAACCTAGAAAAAAGGATAAGAAACAAAGAAACAATTAGTTTAGTTGCGGGGTGAGTCCATTTACTTTTACGGTTGCCATCCTTTTTTATGTTTCATTTGTTTTCTTTTTGTTTTTTCATACCAAGAAACTATTTATGAAAATGCCAAAGGTTCATTTGTTCAAATAATCATCATACTGTTTTGCTGTTAATTACAATTCTTAAGCTGAGTGAGAAAATAGAAGGCAGAAGATTGAAAAAAAGAACAAAAAATCTTATTTATTGTTTCATTTCCCTCAAGCCATAATTTTTACTTCAAGACGTTTTCAGTGCCGAACAGCAATATTTTTAAGCTTATCTCGTTCCGGATAAAGAATTATTTTATATTTTCTCCAACACCCGAAAAAAGCAAAAAATTTAATGTATTTTTAATGAGAAGTTGTTGTTAAGGTAAAAGTTCGAGAAAATAATTTTAACGATTATTGCTATGTTAATTGTTTAATTGCTTACAATACCAGCGAAAATTAACCGGAAAAACCTTGCGTACGAACGTTTACGATCGTGGGGAGAAACAATGAAATTAACGACGAACGGTTGAAGCTGCCGAGGGCGATAAACATTGAGGGGTTTATGGTTTATTAATAGAATCACAATCATTGTTATTCAAATTCAATTTGGCGTGAGAAAATCTCTTCAGCTGAATTTTATCGGTGTCTGTTTAAGTGTTTCGTTCTCTTTTCGGCCACTTTTAAGTGCAACGAGAGAATATTTCGCTCTCTTTCATCACGCAAACTCCACCAAACATTTAACATCCAATAAAAAGCTTTTGAAATTTTCAGTGTTCGTCGAGCTTTCAACAACAACGGTTCGCTCTTCGTTCTTTAATTCTCACAAAACTTCGACTTTATGTGACTTGATAAAGCAATTTAAGCGTATGATCATGTAGAACGACAATCAAGAAAATGCTTCATGGTCATGTCTTTTGCGTTTCGAATTATCAATAAAAAATAATATTTCCACGTCATTGAGCTTATTTTCCTCTGATTAACACACGTCTTGCTTGCATAAGCAAGATTTTGTTTTATTCTTATCAGTAGATTTCTTTTATTTTCTTGCGCAAATATTCACTAAATAAGAAAATTCTTCTCTCAGTTCATTAAACAACTGTTGAGAGAAACTATTGACAGTAATTGTTTTGTATTCATTGCATCGTATTTTAAAGTTGGAAAACTTTTGGCAAACAGAGTTCAAGAGCAACAAAGTGTCATGTAAGATCTAACTTGAATCGTTGAGATTCACAAGAAGTCACAAGAGAATGAGCTTCAAACTCTCTTCCTGAGACTGCTTAATTCAGTCCATAAAACCGCCACCACAAGTAAATGACAAAAGCCAGTAAAGAAATCTACGTGATACGATTGCATAAATAATGTGGCAACTGAGCAATCTGGAACTGATTCTTTTCATGATTGCTGACACTGAAGTCGCATCAATGCTTTCTATTCACAGTGTGGGTGATAATTAAATAAATAAACATGATTACACTTGTCGTGATGATGCCAACAGAAAAGAAAGACATGACTAAATATTCAAGACATTTAACGAAGGATGAAGATGTAAATAAACATAAATCAATATCGTACATAAATCAGATTAAGAAAAAAACTTCTACATTAATTTGCAGACATGAATTTCAGAAGATTTCTTCTCTCATAATTTTTATCATTTTATTACCGCAGTCAAGACAGCAGTAATATTTTATGACGATGGCTTTAAATTAACATAAGTGCGTAAATGGTACATGCAAGAATAGATAAAAGAAACTTCTCCATATCGATCTTTCGTTTCTCCCTTTTTTGATGGCTCAAGCCATTAGTAAAATGAAAATTTTATCGACACAAAAATCAACCTTTTTTTACTTCTCGTCGACCGATGGTGGCGTGGAATGAAAAGCAATGAACCATTTCGTTATTTTTTCTTATCTATGTAAGGATAAGATTCGGCAACACCACTGGTGTAAGTAGTAAATATAAGGAAATTAGCGAGAATCTGAGAAGGAAGTAAGAGATAAACCTCAGTGGAATTCACGCTTAAATAAACGGAAAATGATTTTAGTAAAGCTGAGTATCTACTTAATAGCCAAGATTTCTTATTTCTTTTATATATCGTAAATTTTTCAGTACACGGGAACTCTAAATTTAGTAGAACAATAAAAATATTTGGCATCAGCACTAAAGATTTATTATCCCTCCATGCTTTGTTTATTTCTCTTCATTTCAAAATTAATTGTTGCATGTGCACATGAGACTAATTTATTTGATTGTCATTGATGTTTTTATCTATTCGTGATAAATTGTAGCTTAAGATTTTCAAGTCAGAAACATTAAATGTTTAGGCCATACACGAACAACAAGAGTCTTGCTAATTCTTCCCATGAGAACGATAAATTAAGGCTTTAAATAATGCAAAGGATCTGAAAAAGAAAGTAAACTCTCCAAGGTTATTTCGGTTCATATATTTTAAAAATGACTTAAGTGAGGTTTTCCGCCTAATTTCACGAGAGTTTTTATAGTCATACGAAGAGTTATTTGTTTTGCGCAAACTTTTATTTACAAAGAACTCGAAATGGAAGGAAAGACGAAAACATTTCAATTGGGAAAACATTACAAAAATTCCAAAAATTAAAAGCAAATTGAATAAAAAATAAAATTTATTTCAATGAGAGCGAACAGATGCACTGAACGAATTAAAAAAAATAAATTCTTCAGTTGCATTGGAGTATTTTCTTAATCCCTGAATATGCCGTAACATTAATATCTCATTTTGAAAGAAGCAAAAACATATATTTTCAAATTGTAGTTAAGGAAGAAAAATCTGTAAAGTTTTGAATTAAAATCGCAGCTAGACGAGAAAAAAATACAATTTATTATAAAAGCATCAATAAAACATTAAAAATCTCTTTTGTACCTTTTGATTTGAAGTGGAAACCAATGAAAAAGAGTTTTTCTCCGACATACCCGGAACGAATGCTGAAACATTCCCTTGATGTTCAACGAGAAATAGTTATTTAATAGAGAGCTCTCGAATCATTGCAAATTTAGGCGAAACTTCGCTTTATATGTTTCTCTACACTAACGATTGCTATATCTGCTGCAACATAAATTTCAAGCTTCACCCTTTTGGTAGATTTAAAATAAAAGAAGTTGCTTAAAAATGCAAAATTCGATTTGGGCATTTTTCTGTGTGAACATTAAACGCTAAAAAATAGTGAAAAGAGTTTTCAAACATGAAAGTTATTGCTTCTGTGTTTGATTTCCCTCAGGATTTTAAATTTCTTATTTGAAAGCTACCTTTGAGTATAAAGAAAATTGATTGGATTATAAAGTTTGAGAAATCATGACATGACTTGTTTGATTCAAAATTTCATTTTAATGAAAATTTTCAATCAACAGAAGGGAAATTTCAACCACATGTAGAGATTATGCCATTAGCTACAAAACGTTATTTTAATAAGAAGTTTTCTTCTTTCTAATCTCTTTTGTTCTGTTAGATTAAATAAGCATTCATCATGTATGGCTCGTTATGAATAGAGAAATCATTTTAAAATATCATTTTCATGCATGAAAACTCATCTGAGGTTAAAGGAAAGCCACAGACAAGTATTCATGGAAAACGCTTGGAAACTTATCATTTGAAAATGTTATTTCATGTTGAAAATTATCAGCCGCACTCCACCCATGATTCGGAGGTTAAAATCTTTCCAAAGCTAATTTTAATTTCGTCAAAATATGCTAAAGACTGTTATTGAAATGTTTTCATCTGACTTAATTACGTTAATTAATTTTCGAGGAAATATTCTCGCATATTTCTCACAAAGGATTATGAAAAGAAAATCATAAACAGCGAAGATTCTCTTCAATTTCCTTTTTTCGATTTGTTTAATGAACAACGTAAAGGTAAAAGCGATTTTAATTAGCTAATGACTTGCTGTTCCTGTTCTGGATATGGAATGAATTTGACATTATTTTAATTGAACATTTCTTACAAGTAGGCTCACAAAACAAAAATATTCAACTGAGTGTCTATAAATCCTTTGTTGTTGTTGTTACTCAATCATAAAAAGAATTTATTTTTTAAAAGAATTTGTTTAAAATTGTTAAATCTTTTTTTATTCTTTTCTTACGTGGTTTCAGCAAACAGAACAAATAAAATCTTCGGTATTGTTGGAATGAAATAAGAAAGAAAAAAATCTTTTACAAAATATTCAATTTCAAGAGTTTGACAGGTTATTTTTTTAACAATTTTCTGTGATAAATTCAAATCTTACTGTCTCTGACATGCCACATTCTTTGCAATTTATCATAACAAACGAGACGCAAAAACTATTCACAAATAAATATTTTTAAGTTAAAGTAAGGTCAAAGATCATAATTTACTCATTTGGTTCTCCGCTTCTTTATCATTTATTTCAGTAAGTATTAAATTATGATCCAATTAGCACTTCTTATTTATCTTTTGTTTCGGATTTATCTCGTATAAACCAAAAACTGGACCCAAGCAAAATTATTATCCAAGCAAGCAGAACAAGTAAAGCGAAATAAACTTGCGGCTCAAAAACTGTCGAATCTTGCACGAAAATTCTTCTGAGAGCGATCGTTGGAAGTGTGAATGGTGATAAGTATGAAACATATTCCAATCCATACGGGAGAGCTTCTTTTGGCCACATCAAACCTGAAAATCATTACATTTAATTTAATTACTTTTGGACCATTTTAAAAGATTTTATCTTCTGTCTGTTACCACTGATGAAGCCAAGAGGATACGCTATAATTTGAGAGAACATTAACGATGACATCACTGTTGTCATGATTACTGACGTCAATAAACCAAAAGTAAGACCAGAAAATCCAACACCGAATAAAATCAATCCAATGGTTATTGCTGAATCAATATTAATTGTAGGAGTCAAGAATATTGTAATGTAAAGATAAAATTCCAGACATTGAATCAGTAAAATTAATGTTCCTTCAATTAAATGAGATAATAAGAAGTGAATTGGTGTAGCACCAGCTACAATTATTCGATTCCATGTTCCATCAGCACGTTGTGTTATAATCCCAACTGATGTCAAGTAAGCAGCAATTGAGAAGAAAGTTCTGTGAAGAAATAATTAAAAAAGTTTCTTTTTATCTAAGCTTTAATTACAAACCCAATAATATATCCAGGAATCATCGTTCCTCTCATGTCAAAATTTAATTCGCCTGCAGCAGCATCAAAACGAATTGGCGCATTTCCAGCTTTTCTCGATCTTTTACAAGCTGTCATCAAACCTTCAGTAAAGTTTTTGTAGGTCTCATAAAGTTTTCTTTGAATATAAGATGTCTTTTGCAGATCAGTTTGATCGAGAAAAACTTGAATCAATCCATTATCACTGTAATCATCTTCAACATCGTCATTAAAAAGTGGTAAACTACTTGAAAAATTGGCGTCAAACAGAACAAAGCCAAGAATTTTTCCTTCTCTCGTATCTCGATAAGCTTCTTCGTAAGAGTCGTAAAATTTCTATTGAATAATTCAATTGTTGAAGCTATCAATATTTGTTTTGTTTTAATGCGAGGTCATTAACGTACCTTTTCTGCAATGTTATCGTCAAACTCGTTAATAAAACGACATGACACTTTATGCAAAATACAATCAAATCCAGATGGAACAACTGACGACACTGATTGATTAAGACAATCTTTATAATTAGTGACTTCATTATTAATAATTCCAATTGTCAGATATTTAATCCTTCCACCAGCTGCATAATGTAAACAGAAGCAGGTGATTAAGGGAACCAACATTGTTATTGCAAGCACACTAAGTGATAAAAGAAATTTACATATTTGTAACATATTTGTTGACATGAATTCAATATCTCGTCACTTACTCAATATTACGAGCAACTTGAATCAAATTTTTCATTAACAGTGCTTGTGTTATTCTGATATTTGATTGTGTGGTGTACTTATGAGTTCGAACAGTCTTCAAACGTTGTGCTGTTGGTTTTGCAGTGACAACATCCATTTCAATGTATGGCGAGTTTTGTGACGTTACATTTTGATTCACATTGTCCACCTCTTGCTTTTCACTCAACTTCAAGAAGGCTTCTTCTAAGTTCAGTGCTTCACACTTTTCTAAAATATTTTTTGGAGTATCTTCTGCTATCAAAACGCCATGTCGTAAAAGGCCAACATGTGAAGATTGTTTTGCTTCTTCGGTGTAATGTGTTGATACAAGAACTGTGACATTCTTTTTAATTGTGATATCAATTAAGTATTCCCAAATTCTCGCTCTCAGTAGAGGATCAACACCAACAGTTGGTTCATCAAGCACCAAAAGCTCAGGTTCATGAACTAACGTCAATGCAAATGAAATTCGACGTTGTTGACCACCACTACATTCCTTTATAAGACGCTCTTCATCTGGAAGATCAAGCAATTGACTTAAAAACCAAAATCTTTCATTGATTTTCTCAGAAGTCATTCCGTAAATTGTTCCATAGAACCAAATCATTTCTCGGACATTAAAGCAATTGATAAGTGCGGTTTCTTGTGGCATGTAACCGATATTTCCTTTGTTGTTCTTGCTATTTGGTGCACCAAAGATTTCAATCTCTCCCGAATCTAAACTATTTATTCCAACAAGACATGATATTAGCGTGGTTTTACCACAACCGGATGATCCCATTAATGCATAACTGAAATTATTTCCACTTAATAAAAAAAGAATTTTTCAACCTTTGAACTTTGTTAATTCCTACATTGATCCTTGTTTTACTGTCATGTTTAAATTCTTCAATACCGTCTTTGTATCGGACGTATTTGAATTGTACTGTTTACACCCTTGCTTCACATTAATTAAACTCATTATTACCTATTCATGCACGTAATTACCGAAAAAAAATTAAATTAATATTCTTAAAACTCGCGGTTTAAATGTTACTCGCTTGCGTACCGCCGAACATCTGAACATTCAGTTTTCTGCTCTTATGATTTTACTCATTTTTTCAAAACAGAAACTCATACGTACTAATAGTAGAAGAATACGAAGATTCGAATGTAGATGATTAATGTAATTACTGGATAACAATTCCACACTATGAAGAGATATTAGGTATGGTCATAGTTTAAAAGACGAACAAACGAGAGGAAAAAAACCAACACAAACATTTTTCTATTGATAAATAAAATATTTTAAATTTCATCTTTTTTTATGAAAGAAATTAAGCGATTGTTGTCATTCATTATTCATGACATAATTGATTTGAAAGATGCAAAATTTAAATAATAAAAAACTAAATCAATAAACTAATGAAAGCTTTTTTTATTGTCATGCGAAAACCCTGAAACAACTTTAGAAAAGAAACTGTTTTGGATATTTCCATTCCAATATTGACACATCTGTAAAGTTTATTTTAAGAATGTTTAAAACAAGATTTTTTATAAACTCTCTTCAAGAATTCAAATTTATTTCAATTTGCCAGGTCGTTGTCTGCCTTCTTCGGATTCCCTCGACGTCATTTAAAGCGATGTCTTGAAAATGAAGAAGAACGCACAGATTAATAACCTTGACAACGCACGTGCAGAATAAAAACAATTTTAAGAGATTCTTTTTACTATTTGAGTGGTAAATAAATCAACAGATGTGTGACGGCTTTTTAAGTTCTATAATAATATCAAAATGTGCTTGAAGTAAATAGTTATGATAAGATTATCAAAGCAGAAGCTCAATGGGGGCTTTCAAAAGCTTTTTAAATGTGAGAAAATCATTTGTGAGTAAATCAATAGAAAAATAACAAAGAATCTGCCGGCAATAACCTGTACATAAATAAAGACTGTTAATTACTTTAAGAAACAATTTTAAATTGTCACCTAATGGTTCATGGAGAAGAAAGAACATTTATTGTCAGGCAAAACAAGTTTTTATTGTTAGTTACAAATGATAATTTCAGAAGCGAGTTGAACATGAGTGTGAACGTTCGTTGATGAAAACATTTATGAGAAATCTGAAAAACAGCATAAAAATAGTTAAGCAAAAAACAAATTTATTCAAATTACCAAACAAAATTTTCTCTTTTTTTATTATTGACACAGGAAAACCATTTAAAATTTTTGAAAGAAATCAGGATCAAAATCACTTTAACTTGTGCTTATCAAAGTGCGTGAGAAGCTTTCAAAAGTATCAAGAAAAGTGCCAGAAATAAATAGAAAAAAAAAGAGTTTTTCCCACAAAATTCCTTATTTCTTAATTATTTTTCTTTTAGATTGAAGAATGAACAAACCCATAAATGGAAACTTAATCTTAAACAATCTTTTCTTTCTCTTATCATATTTACAATAACTCATGTGATTGTAAGTCGTTTGGCAACTTTCATCATTCAAAATTTTCTTGGCAATTATTTAAATTTATTTAGAAGATTTCAATTAAATGAAATTGAAGAAGCATCTTAATTTGGCAAAGTTTCATTTCATTTAAATATGACTTGAAAAATCTTCTTATCTGATTCATTGTTTGCCAGTTGTCATACAATCAATTATTATTTATTAAATTTAGTTTAGGAATGGAAATGTTTTGAAGAAGATGAAAACAAAAATATGAAGCGTGTAAATGAATTATCTACGTCATAAAATAAATAATTTAGTTAGGTGAGACTATTGAGTAATGAATAGTGCTGAATAATTATGACGAATAAATCGTCATGAAGTCTCAAATATTGTGCGTGTTCTCTAAGGCAAGAAATTTTCACTTCTATCTACTTATGTACAATCATTCGATCTCGTATCGAATCTTTTCATAAAGTTTCATATTTTTTTTGGTTCAGCAGATTTCACTTGATGTTTGACATCAAATGAAGTCTCAGCAAGAGTTAAGAAAAATTGTATTCGTATCATTCTTTCCCTGTAAATTTTAATTTAAAGAAGTTCTAAGAAATATTTTTATGCCTGACTATTGTTGGTGGTTTTAACGGTAACAGAATTTAATGGAATTTCCTCAAAGGGACTCACAGTGTCCTCCGGTTCTCGTCGATTTTTCATGTCTTTTTTATTTGTTCGACAACATTTTGTTTTAATTCCACATGCATCTGCTCGACAAATCAATCCAATAATTATTCCCAAAAGTGTGATTGTGAAAATTCCTGTTGAGAGAAATTCAAACGATGAGAATCAGAAATTAGAGAAAACGAAATTGCCGCATGACTCACCAATTAAAATGTATTTGATCGTTTCATTGTCAATGTCAATCGCTGCTTTCGTAGTTTCAGGTTCTGTTTGATTTATTTTAATTTCATTTGATGCTTCAACAACGTTTATCGCTTCGGTTGTAGATGTTGATAATTTTTTATCAGAATTTGTTGCTTGCGATGGTGAAGACGTTGAAGTTGTTGAAGCTGTCACTGTTGTTGTTGGTAATGTTGATTTGGGAACGGCCATTGGAAGTTCGTAAGACAAAACTGAGGCACTCTTGGGCTCACCGACTGGATCGTTTGTTATGACACTGTCTTCAAAAGCTCCGTCATCAGCCAGAACCAAGCAAGTTATGTTAAACTCATCAAAGTTTACTACGTCAATCGCAATGAGCTTATTACAAAGCTCATAAATTGTTGCTTGTGTAAGATTTGGTATTCGAAGTTTTATCAGATTTGTAAGCTGCTCAAATGCAGTTAGGTCAAGAAATTCATCGAGTGGATTTCCAGCAAGTGTCAAGATTCTCAACTGCCTCATGTTGTTAAATGTTCCATCAGGAATTTCCTTCAACTCGCAATTGTCTAAGTTTAACTCTTCTAAACTCGATTGAATAAGAAATCCTTTAGACGAAGATCTTCTAAGTTCAAGTGGATTATTCTTCAAACTCAATCTTTTCATTTTCGTCAGTCCCTGAAAAACTTCTGGTTCCAAAGTGCTGATTTTATTGTCGCCAAGTAAAAGAACTTCGAGATTGTTAAGATTCTTAAAGTGCCTTTGTTGCAGCTCCGAGATGTCATTATGCGAGAGATCAAGAACTTTCACGTTTCTACAACATTCATAAAACATGTCATCTTTAATGTCATCGAAGTTATTGAAGCTCAAGTTCAAACTCTCAATCCATATCGGCAAGTCTTTTGGTATCGCTGAAAGTTTTTGCTTCGAGCAGTCGAGTGTTGTATTCGATGTAAATATGCACGGTAATGAAATTAAAGACGACGGTGTCGAAAGCGTGGTGGCTAAAAACAAATGTTGAAAAAAGTAAACAAACAGCAAGTATCCGTTTACAAAAAATTGCACGTTGAAATGTAATTAAAGTCGAGTGAAATAATGCAATTGTAATTTCACAAATTTCTAGTTTTTTTTTCTTTAATTGCTTTTGTCGCTACAATTTTTTAATTAAATACAAAGAAATTAATTTTTTTACTCTACTTCAAATTCTTCTCGAATAAAATTAAAAGAAATTGAAATTTCTTCACACCACGTCGAAAATCTAAAATTCTGAATGTATTTTTCAACTTGCATAATAAATATTACATCAGCGATTTAAAATCTCACCTTTTAAATCTCCTTCTAAACTCTCCAAGCTACCGACTGTTATCGCTGACTGCGTTAATCTAATGACGTAAACTAATGCTATGAATATCACGTAACTACAACTATGGTGTGGCACTTGTCTCCTCACTCTCATCATCATTTTTTTCATGACTCAACCCCACGATGTCTTTAATAGTGAAATAGAAAAAGCGCGCGCGAGTTTGATATTTGCGATGTCGTTCCGGTTTCACGTAAGTGTTCTGAATAGATAGGAGAAAGGTAAACTGCTGAGTCAAAACGAAAAAAATCAATAAGCAAACAAAACCAGAAAGAAAAAACGATTTATTGACCGAAAAGTGTCATCGTATCACAAAACTATCGAATGTTTCAATAATTTATGGAATCGACAAATAAATTTACATGTTACAATGCCATCGCGTGATTAATAAATGCTTAAAGTTGCTATGGGAATAAATTACAGATGCATTTTTCAATAGTTTTAATTAGGTTTAATAAATTGTTGCAAAATGTTTCTCATTACACACAAAAGATAAGAAAAAAAGAGAATTTAAACATTGAGTGTCGCGCTACGTAAACTTTTAAATAATTTTTTTTTAAATTAAGGTCAAAGGTCTTAAAAAGTGTCATGTTCATATGTCATGTACATAAATGAATTTCCAATTTCAAATTCAAAATAGGAATTGAGTTATTCAAATTCAATTAATTTTGATATTTTTCTTTTCATTTACTCAGCAGTAAAAGTTATGAATGGAATGAAATTGTTTAAACTTACCAAATACCAGCATAAAACTTTGTTCCTATTTGAGTAAATTATTATCAATTCAAGTTGTCTGTTAGATGAGATTAATCTTTAGTCGGAGACATTCTTCTTTTTATTTTTCAAGCTTTAGAAAATTGAATAATTGCACTTTAGTTTTTGATTTGGTTCTTTTTACTTCTTAGTTCTTCTGATATTGAACTCTCAGCTTGTATTGAAGGAGAGAATTTCGGAGAACCGGCGAGTTAGAAAAGAATTGAAAAGTTTTCCAAGAAAGCATTTTACGCAATCGCTCAAACTCCCGACAAAATTTCTGGACATTCCGACAAATTTGAACTTCACTTGACTATCAACAAACCCTGAATTGTTTTGTTCTTCGAAAAATTCGAAAATATTCAAAGAAAATTTTTATTTCTTAAAAAAAGGAAATTTTTCATTAGGCGGCGATGCGAACAAAAAATTTTATATTTCTTTTGGCTTTAGTGATACTCTTCAGCTTTCTCCTTATTATCCTTGGTCCGGGGAATAGCACTAACATCACCAACATTCAAAACATAGCAAATCAACAATTTAAACAAATTAAAGTTAGACAAACTTTCATTTAAATTTTGTGTGAATTTTAATTGTTGCATAATTTTTATCCAGGAAAATCTCCGTACTGAGAAAGAGAAGCAACTCGATGTAGATGAGAAATATTTACGACTTTTAGGATTTCAAGAAGATGTCAGTACAACCCGGGGAGGTTCCACAAATCTTCTCAACACAACCAAACAAAATTTCTCAGTTGTGAGCTATGTACTAGAAGGACAATTAGCTGCATCGATACTACAACTTCAGAATCTCGCCAGTGTCATGGCAAATGAAAATCTTCACATATACAACTTGGGATTGTCTGAAGAAGATCTTCAGACTTTGTCAATAACATGCAATAGCAGCAACATTAAGTGCACTATCATTCAGCCTGACTTTAGTGTCTACCCTCTTTACATCATGGATGACAAGTTTCATCTTTATCGACCACTCATTATTAAGCACGCTTTGTCAAAATTCAAGACAATTCTTTTCACAGGGAATCATGTGAGATTGCGAGGCAATAGTAAAGTGTTTTATGACATTAAAAGAAAAACAGAAGAACAAAATCATGTGAAGAGTCTCGAGATTAAGAAACTACCTGTTACAAGCAGCACTCATCCAAGAATGTTCGACTATTTTGACTCTGATGATGATTCATTTTTATTTGTTCGTCAGGTGACACTTGATGCTGTTTTCTTCCATCAAAGTAAATTCCTCGATGATAAAATTCTCCTTCCATGGATAAAGTGCGTCTTGACACCTCAGTGTATACAGCCAATCGGTGCCAGTTCCAATACAAATCACTGCAAATTCAACAAGAAACCAGCTTACAGGTATTCAGGGTGCCACGGCTACGACGAGTCAGCCTTCAACGTCGTGTGCGGTTTAGCATTTAATTTTAACGAAGCTAAGTATTCGTTGACTGATAACGATAGTGCATTGTTCTACAAAGAAAAGCTCGAAGATTCAATAAGAATTTTAGAGATTAGAAAGAGAAACATAAGCGAACATCATCCATACACAAGTGAACATCCTTATAACGATGAGTAAAGTAAATATTGACGTTGAAATATTGTGAATTCATCTTCAAACACAAAACTGGCTGTAAACAAATTTTTAATTTAATTAATTATCATTTTCTAGTTTGATTTATTCATCATTGTGTGCTTGAGTCGTATGAATGCTTGTAGTGATAGGAAGCGAATGAATGCTCATTATTTATCGATAACATGAAACCAGTCAAAAAAGAAAGACTTTTGAATTATTTCCAAAAAAGAAAAGAGAATAATTAGGGCTCGGAATCATGAATAATTCTGATTCTGAAAAAGAAAAAAGAAGTTCTTAAAGTTTTATCCAATCCTTTCGAATTCCGATCCTAAGATAATTCTGATGATTTCCATGTGATTTACTGTGTCTCTAATTCCAATTTCTCAACATTTTCAATATAAAATCTTCTTATGAAAATATTCCCTTATTATAATTAACTCCGAAACCTATTCTAGCTCCAGAAAAAGAAACCTTTCCGATATTTGTAAGAGCCTCATATCAATGAACCACATTTGATGAAGAAAGAAACAGTTGAGAATCTTTAAATACGTAACGTACTTAAATTCCATAATGATTAATGAAGAAACCACTTAAAAGAAACAAAAAGAATCCTCAAGAATTTACATTGTCGAATGTCGTTTTAATGACGATAAAAATTGATCTTTTTTAACTTAATGGAAAAAGTTGAAGCTTTAAGCTTTCTTAAGGGAAAAAATGCCACACATTTTGAAAATGTTAAATTCAATCGCTTAAAATTACTTTACATAGAGTTTTATACCACAAATATTTAATGAATCATGAAAATCAATTTATAATTATTTTGCACTATTTGTCCAGCATTTCTTGTATCTAATTAAAATAAACTTTCAATTCTTGTTTCATCTCATAAAGTGAAATCTCAATTCATGTGACTACTGAAACTTATTAAATTTAACTACTGCGAATATATTAAATAATGAAGGAAACTTTTACTTTCTCTCTCACGCAATTATTGAGAATCTTCTTTAATTATCAAATATTTTTATTCTTTTCTTCAACGCAATTTGTTTTTTGTACAAAAAAGAAGGAAAAGGAAATAAAAAGCACGAAAATAAGTAAAAATGTGTCTCTAATTCTTTAAGTCTCTGAAACATTGCTTGAGTTTATTAAAAGAATGTTTACAACATTTGCAAATAAAGGAAAATTTGTCTAATGGAACAACGATAAACGTTTGCCTGGCAAAACTCCGTTTTGAAGAAGACCAGCTTGAATATCTTTGATACTTGGCAAACCTTGAATTTGACCACGTGCAGCAAGTGCTGGAGCTGATGAAAGAAATCTTCTAGCGACACGTTGAATGTCTTCCGGTTGAATTTTTTCTAAAACATAAATTTCAATATATTAGTTAATGAAAGATTTAAAATCATTCTCCTTACCAATTGAATCAATAAAATGTTGAGTTTTCTTTCTTTGGCCAGTCGCTAACACTTGTCGTCCAATATCTTCAAACACCACCGGCCGACTCTCTAAATTCATGAGTAACATTGACTGTAGTTGTGTCTTAGCTCGTCTCAACTCTTGTGCAGCTGGTGCTGTTGCCATCGTGACAAGTTCCTTTGTAATCACTTCAACCATCCCACGAACATGAGTTGGAGGTGCACTGGCATGAATACAAAACAATCCTGTGTCCATATAAGCGTGATTATAAGCTGTAGCACTGTACATCCAGTGATAACGGTTCAAGACGTTAGTGTAAAGACGAGTGTACATTCCTTTTCCGGGACCCCCAGCGGAGAATGAGCCACCACCTCCCATCATAATGTTAAGAACACAAGCGGAAATAAAATCGTCATCTTGATGCGAACAACCTTCAAGACCAATAACAACATGTGCAAGTTCTGGGAGTCCAACAGAAGCATAGATTGGAATATCACATTCTTCAGTTTTCGTTCCTCCTGTGTATTGTGCAATTGATGAATCAACTAAGTTAGCTCCACGATTCTTTAACGGCTCCATGTCCCATGTCGCTTGACTTTCCACAAAATGCTTCTCTACCAATTTCACAAACTCATCGTGATGAACACCAACACCAGCAACAACCATTCGCTTCGGTGTGTGATGATGTTTAAGATAAGTAAGCAACATGTTGCGATCAATTTTCGATGCATTTCCTGAAGGACAAAGTTTGGGTAAACCTAAAGTGTTGTCACGATAAGCTGCACCATGAATCATGTCCATGAGAATTGGTTCTTGTTCTGGTCGCATATGAAGTGACTCAAGCTCAAAAAGTACTGCCTGTCGTGCCATGTCAACTTCTTCCGGCTTGAGTTGAGGTCGTAAAACAACTTCAGCAAGAACTTTCGTAACTTGATCAAGTCCACGAGAATCTGCTGATGCTGCATAAATGAAAGTGTCTCGTGATGATTGACAATCACAGATTCCACCATGGCGTTCTAATTCACGTAAAATTATATCTTTTTCAGGATACTCGAGAGTCGAATTGAATGCGAGTTTTTCAAGAAAATGAGCAATTCCACTTGGATATGCGACTTCATAACGAGGCCCTGAATCAATCACCACACCAACTGTACAAAATTGACCAAAACGATTCTCAGATGCAACTCGAAGACCATTTGATAGAGTTGTCACATGAGTTTCTTCCTGTTCTGGTCTTACTGTTGCATATTGAATTGGTGGAAGATCTGAAAATCGAAACATCCAGAAATATTATGAAATTTTCATTTTTTATTGATATTTTTGCTTACCTTTAAGTGGTTCTGTGAGCGGTGGGAATGGGGTTACTATTTCTTTTGACGGTGTGTTTACTGATGATCCTTTGGTACTCGATGCACGACCATCACTTGATTTCTCTGTTGCAAAATTTCGAATCAATCTTATAAAAAAAGGAAAATGGGGATAATTCATAACATTTCATTGATTATTTTATTCATTACTTACTTGTTCTGGTTTTTAAATAGATTACATGATGTTATACGCCTTAAATCCAATCGAAATGCCATGTTTTTGGTAATAACAATTTAAATTGTGTGGTGCTTTGAAAGAAGAAATTTCTCACTCACACCAACAAACACGTTAATTTGATTTTTTTAAAACCGTTAAAAAAGATTGAAAATGCTGACCAACATATAAATCATTTTGAAAAGCTCAGGAAAATCACGCTGACAAAATCTGATTTGAAAAAAAAAGTGTTGAATGGAGAAAAAATTGCTCCCGGTGAGAATTGAACTCACGACCTTTGATTTACTAGACCAACGCTCTGCCACTAAGCCACAGGAGCTCCACATTTAATAAAATTTCAATGAATTATATTTTAATATCAAATGTGGAAAATTGTGGAAAACAATTATCAAAAAAGAAAATCAATTATTGCTCCCGGTGAGAATTGAACTCACGACCTTTGATTTACTAGACCAACGCTCTGCCACTAAGCCACAGGAGCTCCACATTTGATAAAATTTCAATGAATTATCTTTCAATAACAAATGTGGAAAATTGTGAAAAACAATTTTCAAAAAAGAAATTCTACTGCCCCCAGTGAGAATTGAACTCACGACCTTCGGTTTACAAGACCGACGCTCTACCACTAAGCCATAGAGGCTGGAATTCACTGAGAAAATACTGTCATTAAACCCATAAAATTATTATCAAATGTTACAAAAAACAGATGTTTCAACAACGTCTGTTTACCTAAATGATGTATAGTAAAACTTCATTCATACTCAAATATGTTATCTACATTTATTTCTTTTCTTAAAAATATTTGAAACATAAAACAAATAATAAACTTCTTAAATAGATTTACCATTTCTTCGGCGCTTTATGAACATAAGTTTTGATTATTGGAACCTATAAGCGTGGCAACAAAAAAAAATTTCATTCATTTTCAATATTCAATTAATATTTTCTTACTTTAACCGGGTAAGGTTTCGATACGTAAACGGGATAATGCTTTTCAATTTGATATTGAACAGGCTTCTCTACAGGAACAGGAACATGTCTGTGAACCGTATAAGGAACTTCTTTTTCAATTGGAACTTTAATCTCTCTGACAACTGGAATTAAGTTAACTAAGACAGGATATTGATTTGCATTTGGGAAGTTCTTGGGGACAGTATAAGGGACTTTTTTGTAGATAGCAGGCACAGTAATTGGTTGGTTTAGTTGTGTTGCTTCACCATGTGGAGTAAATTCATGGGATGGATTTGTTTGATAATGTTGTGGAGTCGGTGGTTGTGGATAATGTTGTGGAGTTGATGATTGTTGATATTGTTGATGAGTTGGTGTTTGTTGATATTGTTGCGGAGTTGGTGTTTGTGGATATGGTTGACTTGGTGTAAAAGATGAAATGCTGTAACTTTCTTGATTGTTTGAATCGTTGGGATTTTCAAAGTGAACTGCTGGTGGATAGTTGACGTATTGTGGATTGAAATGTTCTCCATTCGATGTTACGAAGGGTGAATGAGATGTGGAAATTAATGGATTCCCAACAAAATTTCCATAACCAGAATATTCGTTATTAAATGATGAAGTTGTGTAAGAACTTGGACCACGATAAGATTCAGCAGATACACCAAAATTCAACAAATTTGTCTGTCGTGATTGTCGAGAGTTTGTTGAAATACTTTTTGAAATGGCAAATGCACTCAAAATTAAAAACAATTTCTGAAAATTGATAAAGAAAATTTAAAGATTTCAGAATAAAAATGAACTTACAAATTGAAACATTTTAAATAATTTCACTACAATTCAACTTCACTTGATGGTTCACAAAAATTAATTAAGACGTTGATTCCCCGTTTGAATGCTTTTATAGTTAGCTGAACTTCAAATCAGTTTCGCTCTTACTTTCATTGATAAAAAAATAGAAGAAAGGAGAATGTTTTAAAGAAGAAATTAAAACGAAACTTTAGAAAAAAAGAATTTTAATTTGTCACGTTGAAACTAAAAGTAAATCTTATGTCACATAATTTCGCGCACCATTAATTCAAGTTTTTGCCATCATTTATCTTTAAGCTGTTCAATAAAGCTAAAAATAGTTCCCATTCAATCAGATACAATTTCAAATTAGCGAAAATTGATTTGTTATTTTGACGGTCACGATCTCTTCATGCGAAGTTCAATGTCAAGAACGGGGAATAACTTGATTTTACTTCTTCTTGTCATGTTGATAAATAAACCTAAGAGATGGACAGGTTTAATGGGTTCGAAAAGTTACACCTTTTCAACAGAATATTATGAATCATGCTTTGCAAAATCAACAATTTTCATCATTTAAATTCAGTTAAGAGAAAAAAAACTTTTGAAGTTTTCAACCATCAAAATAAAAATAATTAAAACTTTCTTCATTTGCCGTAAATATTTTATTAGCGAGTCTTTGTTCTGTTAGTTCAGTCTCAGTATACAGCGAAAAATATTTGTTGTTGTCTGCATTCATATCCAGTTTGTCTAGTCGTGTTTGATTTGTAAGAGAACCTCAGAGCGTGCTTATAAAATCACCGCACAACTTTGAGATTATTTCAGTTGCGATCGTTTTACCGGCGAAGTTGGAAGTGTAAACAAAACAGAAGAAAATGAAGTTTATTTTGATTCTACCGATGATTGTTGCTGTATCAAGTGCTCGAAAGCTTGATGAGAAATTTGCTTGGAAGGAATTAGACTTTGCTTGGCCATCTGAAGAGGCAAAACAGGAAGCCATCCGATCAGGGAAATACATTGAGAGTCACAACCTTCCATTAGGCTTGGATATCTGGCAAGACAAACTTTTCATAACCGTTCCCAGGTGATTATTATTACTTAGATAACACTAAATGTCGTTATTGTGCCAGTTACTAAAAGTGAATGTGAATTGATTTATATTGTGATTCCTACCATCGATTAATTCATGTTGTGCAATAGAACTACATGCGATGCATTTGCCATTTTTCAATTTCGAAGCATCACAATCTACCGACCTTGATAAACACTTTCGATGAAACACTCAAAAGTGCAAGCAGACGTTTCATTTGCACTGAATCATAACAGGTTTCATTAAATGAAAATGACTGGAACCAGAAGCGTTCAAGTCTTTCGTCTCTTACTAAGTAATGAATTTTTTCGTGGTCAAATTTAATTTATTTACTGCTTTAATTGATCAGATATTCAATTTAAGTTCCGATGATGGGTTTTTTGTGTGGTTTTCTAAAAAGTTGTTTCTGGTTTCTGGGGATTGAAGCTTAGTTTTGTTAATTTATTCTGGGAAAATTTACACTCGATGTTGACACAACAATAAAGGAAATTTCCCAACATTTTTTGTTCAAACTAGAAATCGAGAAAGAACATTAAATATTTTAATGCTTAAACATTTTTCCTAATCATACATCAACAAAACCTTGAGTTAAACTCGTTGGATGAAATATTTATGTTGAGAGCCATAAAAGGTGAATAATGCAATTGAACTCTTGTTGTTTAAAAGTTAAACCTGCTTGCCGCTTGCACACGATCTTTATATTTACTTCCGATATGATTTTTTCTTTTGTTTTTATTGAATAAAACAATAGTGACTGGTGATCATTGAAGGCTACACAATCTTTGATGTTTCCTCTTCCGAAATTGCATAAAAAGCATTGTAATGTAGGTCAAACAATACCATAATTTAACTTGACAAATCATTCAATGCTTGTACCTGAATGGGGAAATGATACATCAAAGTTTGTTTCACAATGGTCAATGACATCAACGCTAACTACCAAATGACTTTTTTTCTTCTTCGTTTAATGTTTATTCTGATGAATAGCAGCTAATTTGAATCATTAGTGATTAAATTGCGTTTTTATTTATTTAATTTTATTTGTTGTTGTTTGTTAAATCAGATGGAAAAGTGGAGTAGCAAGCTCATTGAACTATGTGAAACTTTCGGAATTAGAAAGATCGCCAGTTCTTTACCCTTATCCATGTTGGGAAGCTCATGACCTTCCACATGACGTTCCCTCAACTGAAGGCGATGCTAATTATGGTGGTGGTCGAACAGATGCCAAGGGAGCTGAGAAAGTTGAGAATATTCTTGAGAAGAATAACGAAACAATTGTCAGCACATTCAGAATTCGTATTGATGAATGTGATCGTTTATGGGTCATGGATAGTGGATTGGCTGATATCTTAGGATCACCCAAGCAATTGGCACCGAATTCCATTGCTATTTTCGACTTAAACACCAACAAACTCATCAGAAGGTTCATCATTCCCGCTGATCAAGTCAAAGAAGATTCTTTCTTCGCCAACATTGTAAGTACTAATCGAATACATTTTCTCAACATTTCATAACATTTTTTTGTTTATTTGATCAATCAGATTGTCGACACACAAACTTCACATTGTGGTGATGCTTTCGCATATCTTCCTGACTTGGGTTCATATGCTGTCGTTGTTTATGATTTCAAGAACGATCATTCATATCGTGTCAAACATAATTTCTTCCACTTCGATCCATTACAAGGTGACTTGACTGTTGCTGGTGTCAACTTCCAATGGACTGACGGTGTGTTTGGAATGGCTTTAGGAAAGCCAACGAACGAGCATGGGTAAGTTAAATTAAATTTTTAAAGCAGAATTTTATGACAAAAGTTAATTATTGCAGAGATCGCACAGTTTACTTCCACGCTCTTGCATCAACAAAAGAATTTTCGGTTCCAAACACTGTTTTGAAGAACGAAACTTTTGCAACATCAAATGACGCTTACTTTGCTTACACACTCTTAGGAGATCGTGGTCCTAAATCTCAATCAACTGCTGAACATTACGATGACAAAACTGACGTCATTTTCTATACACAAATTAATCGTGATGCTGTAGGCTGCTGGAACATCAATAAACCTTTCACACCCGAGAATCAAGGTCTCGTCGATTCAGATAGCGATGCTTTGGTATTCCCAAATGATCTTAAGGTTGACAATGATGGAACGTTATACGTTCTCAGTGATAGAATGCCTTTGTTCATTTATGGAACATTAAAATCCGAATATAATTATCGAATTTTAACAGGAAAAACATCAGAGATAATCACCGGAACTCCATGTGCTTAAAGTTCCTTTTTTAATTTTAAGTTTTATTTTGCATAACTTTTCTAAAAGCAATAAATTTCCAAGAGCTTTCATAAAAGCTCAAAAAAATTTTTGGAAACAAAGAAAACTTTTTTTTTCTCATCATCAAAGATGACGACTAATTAATTTTATTTCAATTTACTATCATCATTCATACATTTTTTTATAATTGCACACTAAATTTGATTGCTGCAAGTCTAATTTCACACAATTTCAATTTCAAATTTCTTTTTTTTACTAAATAATTATCAGACGATGTGCAAATAAAAATAAAATAAAACGTAAATCAAAACAACAAATACGTTGATGTTGTTTTGGAAGAATTTATGTGTTAATTGAAGGGAGGAGAGAAAAAAACAAAGGAACGAAAACCAACAGACTTGTCAACTATTTTACATATGATTTGCTGACTTGCATTGTCGAATAGCTTCGTTGAAACCTTCGCAAAGTGACAAATCGGATTGTTGTTGAGCACATTGAAGGAATTGTTTGATCTCCCATGCACATGGGCCTGATGATGATTGTTCTGATGAAGCTTGTTGAGTCGCAACTGGTTGTGAGGCATTGTCTTGTGTTGCTGGTGCATCTGAAGATCCTCCACTAAACATTCCCGTAATTGCATGTCCCATAGTGTGTCCAATTGCAACACCAGCAGCGGTTGATGCAATGTTAGCCATCATTCCAGGTCCCTGAGATGGTGCAGCCATTGGTGGAGCAACAGCCGTTGGTGGCGGTGCCGCTGCAACTGGAGCTTTTGTTGGAGCAGCAGCTTGTTTAGGAGGCGCAGCCATTTGTCTACAAAATTAATTATTTCACAATAAGTACAGGTATTTCGATAAACAAAAATCACATGATAAGATTGGAAGATAGCCAGAAGATGATTCGCGAACTTTGCTTCCTTTAATCATAATGATTGTGACGTCAGAAAGAAATTTTCTTCACAACTTCTAGAAACTTCCATGATTCCATCAAAAATTTGTTGACACGCAAAAACTTAGGAAATAATCACAAAGGAACATTGTTTTCATAATAAATCACTAGCTATTTATTGAATCTTCTGAGAATTTTCCAGATTATGGTGATGCAACACAATAAATCTTAACCTCATATTTCGGTTAAGATTTCACTCAATTTACTTATTAATTTTACATACCTGCGAGATGCTGGTGGTGGAGAAGCTGATCTTCCTCTTCGTGGCATTTTGAAATGTTTATTATTTATTCTTGGTATCAAATTAAGACTTTTCTGAACTTTAGATTTTGCTTTTACGAGCTTTGATTAAAGACTGAGCATGAAAGAAGCGAAATTTTTTATAATATTGAAAGGAAAGAAGCGAGCGAAGACACATTTTTTCTATTGAAAGTGTAATTGGTTTGTGTCATGGGAGAATTTGATTTTAACTGAAAAAAATAAAATTCATTCTATCTACAATTTTTCTGGATATAAAGAAAGTAAATAAAATGTCCACCAAATTATTTAATTGAGCTATTTATTTATTTGACTTTATCAACTACTTTGTTAACTATCAGATTTTAAAAATTTGTCTTTTTCATCTTTCTCTGCATTATTAATCACAGTTGAAGTCTTAATAAAATTATTAGATGACTTTCTATCAACTTCTTTCATGTCTATCGATTTAATGTCAATATTTTTAATATAAAGACGATCACGAAGTACAATCAACCATGCCATAGGAACAATCATCATTAATCCTGTGACTGTTGACAACCAAAAAGTTCCAAATTTTGCATATAAAACTGACACACAAATTGGTCCAAAAATTCTACTTAAACATCCACTACTTGTCATTAATCCCATCCATACACCTTGTGGACGAGGTCCAAGTACTTTTGAAAAGATCGTCGCGATCAATGTCAGTCCAATCGGATAACCGACACTTGTTAACAGATATCCTAAGACAAACTCAGGAAAACCAAGAACGGGTGTAAATTTACACCACTCTTGAGTCACTGGACATCCCAGAACTTTGGGATCATCTTCATTATAAATTCCTATCGTTCCATTCTCATAAATGAATTCTCTGTCAACAGCAAGTTTCGGAAGTTCATCTCTGTAAGGTATGTGAACGATTCTTCCAAGAACCATCAAGAAAAAGCCTCCAACAATCAAAACATAATTTTCTTTAAATTTCTTACACAATGGTGTGATCATTAAAAAAGTTGCACATGCAATAACTCCCCCAACAGTCATTAAAATTGCCATGTTTTTGAGTGCTTCTGTCTTCGTCCAAGCAAATTGTTCCATTGTCAAAGGTGTGCCTAAACTTTCAAGCAACACAAAGTTAAATACAAACACGAAAAGTGAAAAAATTAAAGCCCAACATGTTGTATAGTCTGGTTTGATCGCTTTCCACGTTTCTTTTTCACTCTCCTTTCCATGTAATATCATTTGTTCACGTGCTGAAACTCTTCGATCTTGGAATATGAAGGGAAGGAATAAGAAAAAGTTTATGACGCCCAAGAAGACATTCACCCATCCCGGTGCTGTGTACATGTTGATATGGAAGAACTTAAGAAAAACAAAGCCATCACTTCCAAGTGGTGTAAATACGCCTTGAAGCGATGGGCCAAATATGAAGCCTTAAAACCTTTCCATCAATTCACTAATCATTACAAAAAATGAAATTTGTAACTCACCCAAAGTCTGTGCAAGTGTTAAAATCGAAACAGCTTTCGTTCTCTCGTCTAAAGTTGTTGCTGCTGACAAATAACTTCGGCAAATTACGATATTCGCTGATGAAACACCAACAAAGAATCTCGCAATAAGCATCCAATATTTTGCATTCGTTTCAACATGATCAAGAGAAGAGTAAAGTGCACTAGCAGCACAAAAAATCACCAGCGATACAATGAAAGGAATTCTTATTGATGACACTTTATTAGCCCACCATCCAAACACTGGCGAGAAAATCATTTGCCCAAGCGGATTTGCTGTTAAGAACATTAAATTAAATCGAATTGTCAATATTTACCGGCAATTATTACCTGCAACTATAAAGCCCATAAACGTTTTACCAGCACTCGTGTCCAACTAGATAACAAAGAATATTAAAAGTCTTAAAAATCCATCACAATGCTGATTATTTACCGTATCTAAGTATGGCCATATTCCTGTCAAAATAATCGAAAAACCGAGTGTCATCAAGAACATCGTAAAGTAAATAATTTTTAATGATAATAAACGAGTTTTCCTTTCGCTTTCTGTTTCTAGAATTTGAAGTTTCTTTTTATTCTCTACATCTTCAGCTTTTAGTGTGAGTTTGCTATCTTCCTCCATTATCGGTTGTGTTTAGAAGATGATAAGTTGATAACAGATAAGGTTTACAGTTTTGTTTTCATTTGCGCGATCTTATCATAAAATTAAATGTGTCTTTGACTTGTTCAACATCAGTCGGTGACCGAGCATCTCATTGAATTTTATAAATAAAACATATTTAATCACTTGTTGCTGTTTCTGTTGTGTTAAATGTTCTGTTTTATGTATGATTTTTTTCTTAAGTAGTCGATGACTGACACTGCTCTGATGTATTGCAAATAAACTTAGAAAACTTCAAATCCTCGTAAATTTGATTCAAACGAAATTAATTTCAACTTCTATTCCACTTTCAGTTATAAGTGAGTTTTTTTTTATCAGAAATTGTTTCAACAAAGAAAATATTTCTGATATCTTCAAGAGTTTCTCGAATAACGTTTTGCTCAATCGAGTACGCAACGAAAACTGATTTAAACGAGAGGGAGTTTAAAATCGTGTCTGTGTGCCATTGCGACTAGACGCCGTATTAAAAATCACTGTATAAGTCTCGCGCACGCTTTCAATTTGATTGTGTTGCATGAAAACACTCTCAGCTGGTAGATTATTTATGTCAAATACAAATAAAATTCTAAACTTTTTTGTTTCTCAATTTTTTCTTTATTTATCTGCATCAAATGCATAATAAAAAGGAACAGTAGTGCACACAGAATGAATTTGCATTTATCATTTACTAGTCAGTGTCACATGAATTCATGATGCTTGAAATTTCATAGCGCTTGAAGTTCGAGGCTTACAAAATAAATATTTATAGATAATGAAACGAATTTTTGTTGGCAAAATGTTTTAGGAAATAAAGCTCTCGAGATATTTCATGCTAAAAGCTTTCACAATTCACAATGAATGTAATTAAAATATCAAGTTACTCGCAAAGACCTTCACTAAGTTAGCAGCTCTTACATTACTTGTATTGACAACTAAGTATAATGAAAAAATGAATGAACGGTGGCCATTCAATGAATATTTATTAATTTTTTCTTAACTTAAAAAAAACTTAAGTATACAGCTAAGCATGTTTTTTATTTTTTTCTTAGACATGTGAATAATTTGTATGATTACAGACACCGTTTAGTATGAAATTATCTGAGACATGCAAACATAAACTAGAAGAAAAATCTCTTTGTAAAATATCCTGAATAAAGTCTTTATTAGAAAATTTGAGTTTACTGATAAAATAAAAAAAATTCTCTCCTCGACAGAATATTGATCGTAAATATTTTGTTTTATGTTGTTTTCCAAATATTTATGTTATGAATTCTCATTTGCAAAGGATTCATCTCTATAACCATATTCGAACACATATGATATCATGATTACCAAGAAAATTGGAAATGGCCAATACTTTTTTTTCTAAAGAAACACGAAGATAATTTTGTTTTTTCTTTTTAATTTACTTCACACATTTGTAATTTATCGGTAGCAATGTACACAGAAGATTATAATTTAAAAATGCATTCCAATTTTAATGAAAAACGCGGTCATTATTGAATGACGATTTCTACTTCAAATAATTTTTTAGATAATAATTTTATTTAAATAGTCTCGAGTTCTTTTAAAACATTGTGCAAAATAGAACTACTGAAAAACATTTCTCAAATAACGGTTTTAATTTCAAATGTATGCTAAAGTGCTTAAAAACCTTACACTTGCATGGTCTTACAAATGGCTTACACATAAATGACGGCTATAAAATTCATGACTCATACTCTTCTTAATACTGACTATTTCATCATATTTTAATCTTCATTATCTTTTTTATTACATATTTTTGTATAAATGCAAACTAACCAAGTGATTACTTATGTAATAAATGAATAAAACATTATTTTTCTTAGCAGATTTTAGCGGCAATAATAAGTTGACATCATTGGCAAATGAGGAACATTTGGAAAAATTATAAAAGGCGCTTGCTTGAAAATTTCCTTCCATTAAACAAAGTCTCTCCGTAAAAGCCGCACGTGTTTGCGTATTAGTGTTCAAGCCAAGCCCAATTTGAATCAATTGAAGAAAGTTTTAAAGTCAAATTTAAGGATTTAAATTCGCTTTAAGCTCCAATTTTATATATATATTTAAAGTTTTATATTTTTCGCGTCAAACACTCAATTCAATATGCGTGAAATCGTCCACATTCAAGCTGGTCAATGCGGAAACCAAATTGGAGCTAAGGTAAGTGAAAGACAATCAATCGATTGTAATTGAAGAAGTGATAACTTCAGTGTGAGATTTGACCCGAAAAGCGAGATGAAAGAATTTCACCGGAACGGAAGAGAAAAATAATAAGAAAACAATAGAATTCCAACAAACGTTTGGCGGTGTGTGTGAAAGTGAAGCCGAACATTTTGTGTTTCTTTGAATAACTTGTTAATTTTCTCATTTTTCGTGATCAAATTAATTACAAGTCATTATTTTCTAATTAATTTCCAATCTGATTATTATTATAACGTCAAAAAATTCCATTTAGTGCGTGAATTTCGTGAAATAAGAACCATTGAAATCCGTTAAACTCACACATAGAAAAGTTGTATGAACCATATAAACGCGATAACCTCGATATATCGACTCTATTCTCGCGATTGTTAGGCAAAAAAGGTTGCGCGTCCATCTTTTATATAAAAATCGATTTTTTTATGACCGGCTAATCCTTCTACTGCATTAAGTTGATCTTGAAACTTTTCGATAGTTCTAGTTCTTCCAATTTAAAGGTTTTCTCTATAATCAAGACATTAATTAATATTATTCAACAAAACGAGTTCGACGATATTTTCATTAACTTTTTAATATTCTTGTTTTTCATGTTCCACATCATCAAATTTGAATCCCAAAAAAAAATAGCACACAGCATCCCAATTTTTATGAATTTACATAATATTTAACTTTTCAAGTTCATTCGGATGATGATCTCATTTATTTAAAAAGAACCCTCGTATGTGTTCGTATTAAAATAAAAATAAAAAAATTGTCACTGTAATTTCTATGTCAGGGATGGCGTTTGTGTGCTTTTGAAGCCATTTATGGATATTTTTAAAAATGCTTAAGCAAATAATTTCGTTTGAAGTCTTTTCTTCAGTTGAAAAACGATAAATTGCGGCCAGTATCTTGTCCCGTTAATTCCATATTCTTCTAGTATAACTTAACCCTGAACCATTCATTCAATTATCCAAATGAGCCGCTATGTGTTGTACAATCACGCACACATTCAATGACGTAATGATATTGAAGAATGTTTTATTCTTCTTGTTTCGAGTATTTGATGGTGCCAGGTGGTGATGTTCTCTTCATGGTACTAAACCATCGTTTCTCTCCACTACACCAATGTACAACAAAACCATTAGTTTGTGAAATCATCAGACTATAACATGAATAATTGATCATGCAAAGAATGCAACTGTGTGAGTTTCGAATCATTTTTCTTTTTTAACATCTTTCAACATGGTCTTGAATTTTCATATTCATTCATTTCTTTTCGGTAAATTTTCTGTAACGAATTCAAAATCATCATCGATTTTCCAAGCACGAAAGATTCATCTGCTTAACTGATTTTTGTGTTTTTCGCCCACTTACATTCGTCTAACCTTAATTCCATTTTCATCGATGCGCGAAAGAACTCAATAAAAATATAAAAACGAGAAGTTAATGGCCTTTCCGGTTTTTCTCTGTCTCTCACTCGTTTACTCGTTTACTCGCCCCCAAAGATTAATGATGAAAAAATCCGACTATTTGCTATGCAATCAATTGTGTTTGCATATTTAACATCACCATGGGGATTTGTTTTCTTTTCTTTCTCTCTTTCAAATAATAAAAAATAAAGAACCGGTGACATACAATCTATTAGTGGTGGCATAATTATGCTGACTCATTATTGAGGTTTTTGAAAAAACAAAAAGAATGTTTTTCGAATCAAACAAGCAACAAACAAACATCAGAAATTCGTGATTAAAATCATTTCTTTCTCTCTTAATTATCTTTTTCCAACAATAGTTCTGGGAAATTATTTCCGACGAACATGGCATCGACGCAACCGGTGCATACCATGGTGATTCCGATCTTCAGTTGGAACGTATCAATGTTTATTATAATGAAGCGTCAGGTGGAAAATACGTTCCACGTGCAGTTTTGGTCGATTTGGAACCAGGCACCATGGATTCAGTTCGTTCAGGACCATTCGGTCAAATTTTCCGTCCCGATAACTTTGTTTTCGGACAATCGGGAGCTGGAAACAATTGGGCTAAAGGACATTACACAGAAGGTGCAGAACTCGTCGACTCGGTCTTGGATGTCGTTCGTAAGGAAGCTGAGTCATGCGATTGTCTTCAAGGGTTCCAATTGACACACTCACTCGGTGGCGGCACTGGATCTGGAATGGGAACTTTGTTGATCTCCAAAATTCGTGAAGAATATCCCGATCGTATCATGAACACCTACTCAGTGGTGCCATCACCAAAAGTCTCAGACACCGTCGTTGAACCCTACAACGCCACATTGTCCGTTCACCAGCTCGTTGAAAACACCGACGAAACTTATTGCATTGACAATGAAGCTCTCTACGACATCTGCTTCCGCACATTGAAACTCACCACACCAACATATGGCGATTTGAACCATCTCGTTTCATTGACCATGTCCGGTGTGACCACCTGCCTTCGTTTCCCTGGTCAGCTCAATGCTGATTTGCGTAAGCTCGCTGTCAACATGGTTCCATTCCCACGTCTTCATTTCTTCATGCCTGGATTTGCACCTTTGACATCTCGCGGTTCACAACAATATCGCGCTTTGACAGTTCCCGAATTAACTCAACAAATGTTTGACGCTAAGAACATGATGGCTGCTTGTGATCCACGTCATGGACGTTACTTGACAGTTGCCGCAGTTTTCCGTGGCCGCATGTCCATGAAAGAAGTTGACGAACAAATGCTTAACATCCAAAACAAGAACAGCAGCTACTTCGTTGAATGGATTCCAAATAACGTTAAGACAGCCGTCTGTGACATTCCACCTCGTGGTCTTAAGATGTCAGCCACTTTCATCGGCAACTCAACCGCCATTCAGGAACTCTTCAAGAGAATTTCCGAACAATTCACAGCTATGTTCCGTCGCAAAGGTAAATAAAATGATTTCAATGATTTTATATTTTTATTAATTCAATTCTTTAATCATGACAACAGCTTTCTTGCATTGGTACACTGGGGAAGGCATGGACGAAATGGAATTCACTGAAGCTGAGAGCAACATGAACGACTTGGTCAGCGAATATCAACAATACCAAGAAGCAACAGCCGACGAAGACGCTGAATTCGATGAAGAACAAGAAGCCGAAGTTGATGAAAACTAAATTTCATAAACAACAAACAAACCAACATGCAGTCATTCTTTACTCGTTCTTTGTAACCCACTGCCTTGTATTTCTTGTTTCCTTCAACTCCCCCGCAACAAAAAAGTTTTCATTTCCTTCCCTTTCCAAACAAAAAGTCCTGCAATTTTGTTAACTTAATTAACCAAGAATATGAAACAAGAATTAAACTGCAACACGAGAAAAGTTACACAAACTTTTAAGTAAACAAAAAAAAATTTTTTCTTATCATTCCTGAAACAAGATAATTTAAGAATCAGAAAAATTTTATCGAATAAACATGGCAGTAAATTTGTTCACAATCTGAATCGATTTTTTTTCATAAATTTTCTCTTTCGCGGTAATTTTCAAGTAAAAAATTTTCACTCAGCTAATTTTTGGAAAATTCAACACAAGGAAACAGAAAAATGTTTGATGAAAAGTCACATTTGATTTGTATTAATAAAAAAGTCTCGTTGCTACAATGCAAAATTTGCTTTAAATTAACTAAAAAAATAAGAAAAACAAAAAAAAATTGTGGCTTTTTAATTTTATGTTGCAAAATAATTTTTATTGGTTTTTCAGGTTTGATTTTAATTTTCCTTGTTTTTGGCTTCTTTTGCGTAGTCGTCGATGTTCAACTCAACATTGTACATTTCTAAGTCTTCCGGGAAATTGTAAATTCAACTTCCTGTCGATTGCAGAAATGTGCAAGTTGCGCATAAATGAAGAAAGCTTTCCTTTCAAGGCTTGAACATAAATATTTGCATTGAAAATTGTAATCAAAATCTACTACCGACTTTCCTTACTGAAACATAATAAAATTGATTGGAATTACCGCAACAAAATACAAATAGCAGAGAATTTCTTTTTAAAGATTTCAGCGCATCATGAGATTAAAGTTCATGACTGCTTTGACGTGTTTGACTCATAATTCACGAAACTTCATAATGAAAAATGTTTAATGTTTGAGGAATGCTTCAACATTGTCGTGGTTTCGGTGAAAGTCACAAACCAACAAATCAAGACCGTCGACAAAATCACAGAAATGGGCACAAATTGCGAGCTTAAATCTGGTTCCATATTTGGAACGCCAACGTCTGCGTCTTGTAAACGAATGCACTGATTTTAATGATGAAGAGCTTGGAATCGTAATTCTTTAAAAATTAATCATTTCAGTTCCAATCTCTGCATTTTTAATATTTATAGGTCGAGGAATTATTAATTAGAAAAGTAAGAGATGAAAGAGAAAAATGAACTGCAGCAGCACTTGCTTCCAGACATCGACACTTTTTCATTCCTTATGTGGGGAGAAACAACAAATCGATAACATGAAAACATTTTTTCTCATTTTTGTATTCATTAAGCTTGCATAATTTATGATGACTTTGAAATGTTGGTGCTGTTGTTGTCTTTAAACTTCATACAAAACGGATTTCGTCTGCAGTACAGTAAAATGACAGACGAGTTGACGTTAATTGACGTCGCGTTGAAAGACGTTAGAGTTTGATTTCATTAAATTTCAATAATTTCCATCAAAACTTTTATCAATCCGGGATCAATTTTCTCACATTACCATCCATAACCTCATGAAATCCATTAATTGATCACACATGCTGCTTCAGCCACACCTTGAACTATAAGACTCTCGAATGTTGGCAATAAAAAGAAGACAAGAGAGAGAGAAAAAAAATAAAAATCAATGTGCAATTTTTTGTGTTCGTTTAACCGTCCCGCGGGCCTTGCTTTTCACTTATTTATGTTCATTTAAAGTGTCTGAAATTTATGTGAATCCCTTGGGCGAGTGAGGGTTGATGAATAAATAAAAGAAAAATAAGAAAATCCATTAAATCAATAAGAGAGTTCAAAATTTATAATGTTGGGGGGTAAATTGAGTGCTCAAGTCGTCAATCATCACCAATGATGATCTCACCATAGAAATGCTTTTAATTGGTTGAGAAACCCACTAATTGTTGTGAAACTTACACTTCTAATGTGAGAAGCTGCGATACAAATTTGTTCGTGTCAACAAACCCATCATAAAAATCCATTTTCTTCTTTTCTCACTCCATCTCTTAATTGCTTCTGGATTTTTGAAAGAAATTCTTTAAAATGTTGTTTTGGGTATTCTTAGAGTTGTCATGCATCGTGTGTTGGTTGTTTGGCTTTCATTTTTTTTCAATTCTTTCCTTTTTTTGTTTTGCTTTGCATTCAATCAGACAACACACGGTGAATGTCGTCAATACAAATTGAAGAAGAAAATAGTCAAAAATATAAAATTATTGACACAAACAGGCTCGGAAACAAGCAATAAGTCGTAAGCGAATGAGAAAACAACAAAACTTCATTGACATCGTCAGCAGCAGTTAACTAACAAGAAGTGAATAGAAAAGAATTCGAATGGGGGGAAATGAGAATTGATTTTAATTTTTATTAATTGTCAACTCAATGAACTGTGTGTGTGTGTGTGTGTGAGTGATATCGGTGTTTTGAGGCGTAGGCTAAGGAATTAATATCTTAGAACTGGTTTGTTTGTTGAATGAACTGAGAGAGAGACTTTGATTGTCAACGTGGGTGATAAACAACGGACAACTTAAGTTGGCTGACTAATGAACCCAGTACCGACAACCAAAAAGAGTGAAAAGCGAAGCCAACACCACAAATGGTTGATTTGATTTCCTCACGAACAAGATTTCAGTTGGTGAACTGTTAAATTATCGGATTCGATTTAGAGATGTGGGCAGTTATCGGTGTTGGTCATTCATCCGCATCGATTTAAAACTTAGACACACTAAATATGTATTACGAGTCGATTTGAGTCTGGGAATCTCTGATTATAAATCATTAATCGATTTCCATAATTCCAAGACTAAACATCGACTAAACTTCTGACATGCATTTAAGCTAAGAAAAACACGCCACCGCGGGTTTGAAACTTCTTTTTATATTTTTACACTCATTTAATCGAATGAGTGGATAGATATTTGTAAAATCCGAAACGAAAATAGATTTTAAGTTACTGTAATTTCTTTTTCTATTATTTTTAGCACCATTTATGTATTGAAGGGAAAACAAATGAAGTGAAATAACATCATTTAAGAGAAATGTTCGAAAAATGATCAATTTCATCTTTCAATATCCCAAAGAAATGGAAATCAGAAAAACAAATCGAAGTGTCAGAATAAAAGAATAAAGCGATGATGAATAAAAATAAATACAAAGTCAAATATGGCAACAGCGGCATCGTGCGATGCTTGACGATGACTTTTACGGCTCGAAATTTTCATCTGTGTGTGCGATAAATATGGAGCTGATGACATAATTTGCAAAGTACAAAATAACGTGAGCTTTCTAGTTCTTTTTTGTTTTTTTATGTCTTGTCTTTCTGCTGTTTGTTTCGCTCGGCTGCATTAATGACTCGCACCGACAACATCGAAAGGAGGATGTGTGTGTGGGTGTAAATAGAATGGAGTGTGTGCGAATAATAAAAACTACAAGATTTTTTTTTATTTCAAAGACAAAATGACAAAGGCATGTTATTGTTTTTTTTTCTTCACGATTTATGTATCGGGGTGGGAGTTGTGCGATGATTAAGACAATACAAATTTTTTGGAAGATCTTATTGTAAGCTTAAACGAATTGTAATGAGTTTTATGAAAAGACTTGGAAAAATATTAATTGCTATAAAGTTTTATCGAAGCTTTTATTGGCACTAACAGAAATAAAACTTTATTACAAGAAATATTTTGGACTTGTCGCATTGCAACAATCTTTATAAAACTTTCTTTATGAAGATTGTTACATTAACATTAAACACACCCCACACTACCGAATGATTATCATTACTCAAAAATAACTAACAATTTATCATACACTGTGCGAAAATTGTGTTTATTAGAAAATTTATAATATTATTACAGCATAGCTGAAGGCGTTTTCATTATTGGACTTTACTCACAAGGCATGAGAAGTTTTTTATTTCAACACGAGACGCGAATACTGAACATCCATTTAACTTTCTATTCAAAGTTGTTTTCGCCAATTTTGGTCATTTTAAATTGCCGATTTTGTGTTTGAGAATCGCAGAGAACGCTAAACGAATTTTTAAGTCGAGGATGAAATTGATTCGTCTCTTACTTTGACTTACATTTGAATGAAGATTTTTTTCATTGCCTGAAGCATCGTCTTTTAAGAGAAACTTGAATGACATCAAGATCATATTTATTTGTATCATATTTAAGCTGCAGGAATGTTCGCATATGACATGATTGTACATATTAATCAAATTTAGCTCGAGGCATTCAGAGAACAGAGATAACAAACCAAACATCAAATGCTCGTGAAAATTCAATAATCTTTCAATCCCACATCAGTCTCTTCTATCCCGAGTTCAACAGCCTATTATTGATCAAAAGTTTTCCCGTGCATGCAGCCGAGTCTGCTCAGTGCTGGCTGGAAAATTTTCCTGTGAAATTCATTGATTTTTATTTTTTATTAAATTTTTTCTTCTGTCGCAAAACTCTGATAACTCAATTCAATTGAACCATCATCGCTAAATATAAAATATTTCAACAACGATACAAAAGCAAAACAACTTCTTTTTCCATTGAAATTGTTTATTCATTCTTTTATAGTCGTGTTTGTCGCCTTTTATTCACCGCTTGGTGATAAGATAATTGAATTTACATTCCATGGTTATTTCAAGCTTGAGGATTACAATTAAATATATTATGTCATGTACACAATTCGAGTTCAACTGTGAGTGTGGGTGGCATCAAGGAGATAAGCATTGAAGGTAGCAATAGCAGCAAAAAAGATTGATTACTTCTACATTCAAGATAATATTTGTCAATAATGTTTCCAAACACTCTCACATTTCTTTACCTCGAACCATCAATTAATCATTTGAAACGAGACTCGCAAATTAAATGATTCAAAAAATCCGAATCTGGCTTAACTTAACTCCAAGCCATTTATTTACGTTAACTTTCCTTTCTAATTAAAGGTTTATGTTTGATTATGACAAAGTGCAAGATGTTCTCAGCCACGATAATTAATGTTCAAGGTAAATAAATTGATATCGTCTTCGGTTATGGTAAAAACTAAATGATTGATTGATTAGAATAGCTTAATTGAATTTTGTGTCGTTTAACTTTAACATGTAGAAACGTTTTTTACACTTTTCCATTAACATCAAAAGCACAATAGATACGAGGGGGATCTGAAGAGAATTAACAAACGAACGTCTCATTTCAATCTCATTTAGCCTTCTTACTAATGAATAATCGAATGAAAGTGATGCGAGTGGGTTGGAGAATTATAATCATTTCGTTTCCACTCTGTCGATTGAAAATTAATGATTGGCTTGACTTTCATATTAACTTATTATTAGACATGAACATAGTTAAGTTTTTGAAGCTGAAAATCGGAGGTCTTTGAAGAAAAAGAAAAAATTTAACTTTATGACATTTGAGTTAGACTGGAGACCATCGCACAATCGAGTTATTGTTTTGAAAAAGTTTCATCTAATTGCTGTCCACTTAAAATTGATGAATTTTGACTTTTTTCGCTTCGTATTTTGACTATTAAAACTCTTATCTAATGTTATTCAATCTCTTGTCTTTCATCACACCTTTAAGTCTACTTTCTTATCTATTTAAAAAAATGGGTAAACGAACTTTAAGTTCTTCTACTTCTTCTGCTTGACTGAAAACTCCACCAATGTTTTTATAATTTGGTTGACTGAGCTCTTTACAAGCTTTCGTAAATAGAAATTTTTTTCATGTTTTTGTTTGTAAATATCTTGAAAACTCTCAAAAAGTCAAAAAGTTTTTATCTCGAAAGCTTTGACCGACCAGAAGTTGTGAGATTTGGTACAAGACTTGTACATCTTGAGATAATTATGAATGGGATTTAATTTCAAATCTCAACTTAAAACGGATTTTTAGAATATTTCAAGTTTCTTAACTCAAATATATTTGAGAGTGTTGAAAAATTTTGTTATTACGATACATCGGAAGACGTTAATTAAGATTTAACGATCAACTAATTCAATTTTACTATCTCAAGTATTCTGTTAAGCCAACGACAAAGTCACACAATCATAACTAAGCGACTATCTCGAGTCGTTCTGTCTCGTACAAATCATTTGAAGTTTCTCAATGAAACCAAAATAATTTTATTGCAGAGCTCAAAAGTTCAGAAATTTTATTAAAACTTTATAAATTTCAATTAAAATTTTATTGATCTTCAACTCTTGAATTTTTTTTTAATTTTTATTAAAAAATATTTAAAAGTTTTATTAGAGACGTCTCAAAAGAAGAATATGAAAATATCGATTAACTTAACTACACCCACATTTGAATGAAATATTACAAGGACTTTTGAATACTTAGCGCAATAGCAGCAGCTTAAACAATTAACCCAAAATTTCTTATCGATTGTTTATGATTCATTCAGGTCGCATGATAATTCAGACCATCAATAGATTGTCAGATAAGCGAGCAAGTCATTTCCCTTCCCTCAAAAGCTTATTACGAGCGTTCGTATTGTGTTTCAAATAAAATTCATTCCATGAAATGTTAACAAGGAGAATGTTTTTCATGTTGTTGGAGATTTAGTTCATTTAATAGATAATTGTAGTAATTTACCGCACATCAGGTTATCCTTTTTTATGCTCTGAGTCATGGAAATGCAGTAAAAAATTATCGCTTAGAATTCTTCTACTCAGATCAAAATCTGAATTAAGAAAATCAATTTAATTTCCCAGAAATGTAATTGAAACTTATGTTGAAAATTTTCGGAAGTTGTTATTAGAAATTCTGAAAGCTTTTTGTAATTAATTCATAAGGATGAGATTAAAACTTTTCTCATCTCCATGCTCATTTCTTCAAATAGACGAGCGAAAATTATTTTAATCGTTCTTTAGGAATATTTACAGACTTCCAACTTAATATTTAATTTCTTTTTCTTCCAAAGCCAACATTCACATGAGATAATTGAATAAATTTACGATGTTTAAGTTTGTGCATAAATAAAATATTTTCTCAATTGCAAAGCTAAGATAAACATTAAGAATAGAAATGATGACAGCAACAACATTCGGTAGGTAATTGTTTCATAAAACTTTGCGCAATTTGTCATTGCGTGAATAATTTTTACGCCTGGGAAAATTCTAATTGATGATTAAAATCATTCAATCGGTTTGCTATCAAAATGATCTCTCAAAAGCTGCTCTCAAACTCTGCTTGAAATATTTTATTCAACAAGCAGATTTGGAACCTTATGAACGTGGAAAGAGTGACGATGGAATTGTCCTTATGCCATTAACTATGCTGGCACATTTTACTCATTAACGTTTTATATGTAGAACAAAAAATAAAATTACGATATTGGTTCTGTGGACACAATTTTTATATAAATAATGTCATGATCTTACATGATTGGAGATAGCATTTGATATATTTGTGCTTATAATTTGATATTCAAACAAGTTAATATTTTAATGAAAGCTGTAAAGTTTGAAAGCACACGAGGCATTAACCAAATTAATTGCAGTAAACATTTTTTCTGCATGCAGATGTTAGAAAAACTTTCTGCAGATAATTACAAGATAAACATTCATGTGGTTTAAAGCAAATCTTTTGTACAACATGAACATTAATTATCTGCGAGATATCTGAAATTGATAATTGAAAAATTATTTCACTATTTAAAAAGAAAGATTCTTGAAACTTTACAGCAGTTCTAAAGTGCATTCAAGTTGACAAAGTTGATGTTTTCAATGTGGAAAATTTTTTGTTTTATTTTTGTGGTTAAGCCAGTATTGGGCACTTTTGAACATTTCGAATTGCTTAATTATTCTTCACCACTTTCTCGGCCTTTGGCAAACCTTATTACAAATGCTGAATACAATGTTTCAATCTTATATGACAGACGTGAGTCACCAAAGGAAGTAGAAGACGAACTAGATCGAATATTTGAGATAATTGATGGGGACATGGATGTCATAATAAAAGATTTTTCTCGTCCAATTCTGCAGAAACACGAAGGGAACAGCTTCAATGTTGTGTTTATCCATTCAAATGAATCATTGGAACTATTTTTCAGCATAGTCAATTCCGATAAATTCACCTCTCAAAGTTTCTTCTTCATTGTCATTCCAGCAAGTTTTAAAATTTTCATTAACTTGGAAACATTGTTTGAACGTTTTCTAAATTATGGCGTTCCTTATGTTTATACATTAACCGTAGCACCGAACGATGAAGATGCAATACTTCACACTTATTATCCGTTCAGTGCCAATAAATGTTCCGACTCAACTCCAGTCATTGCGAATTATTACACAGCGAAATATGAAAACTGGACTGAAGCAGATTTCTTTCAATTTAAAGTGCAGAAAATGTTCGGCTGCCCTCTTCGAGTTGCGACTTTTCATTTCAATCCTTTCATGATTTTGAAGGAAGATGAAGATGGGAAAATAAGCGTCGATGGAATTGAAGGAAGTCTTCTGAACGTTTTGTCAGAAAGAATGAATTTTACTATCGAAATCATCACTTCAAATGACAGATGGGGAATTATTTTCGAAAATGGAACAACAACTGGTAAAACATTAAAGTTCTGAATGTAAAGAAATGACAATAAATCTGAACTTACAGGTAATGTGCAAATGATTTTAAATCGGACAGCAGACATTAGTTTGGGATACTTTTCTGTCCATGATAAGAGACAGAAATTGATGTCATCGACATCCGTTTACTTAATATCCAACTTAATTTGGGCTGTGCCACCAGGAGAACCTTATTCACCCCTCGAGATACTTTTGAAGCCTTTTGAGAAGTCATTGTGGAATTGGTTTTTTATTGTTTTGATCTCAGCTTTTGTGATCATTCGAGTTCTAAGAATGTTTCCGAAGAAAGTTCAATATTTTGTGTTTGGAAGAAACGTTCGACATCCAGTGTTGAATGTCGTTAATATTATGTTAGGTGGGAGTCTGCCCAAGCTGCCTGTCCGAAATTTTGCACGAACAATTATGATGCTTTTCATGTTCTACTGCTTTATCATGAATAATGCTTACAAAGGAGGCTTGTTTCAATTTATGAAAAGTGATCAAACAAAGCCTCCTTTAAGTACCACCACGCAACTTTATAATAAAAATTTTCGTTTCTACTCAATTCCAGATGGAAAAATTTTTCTGAACGAAACTCCGAAAATTCTTGATAAAACTATTTTTTTAAACAATCCTGAAGAGTATGACGAGGGATTAAAACATTTAAGAGATCCTAAATTCAAAAGAGCTCTTATGATCACACAGGAAAAACTGGCTTTTGAAAATATTAAAAACTCTCCTGATGTTTATTATCATCGAGCAAATGACGTCATTTTCCGGCAACATTTGGTCATTTACATGAACAAGTTTACAATTTTTGAATGGTCTTTTGAAGACATAATTCTACAACTCGTCAGTGGCGGGTTTATGGATGCGTGGATTAAAAAGTTTACCGACACTGACATTTTAAAGGACAGAGTGGAAGAACGAGAATTAGCATTAACTCTCGATCAATTAATGGGAGCATTTCAATTACTTGGCGTGGGTCTCTTCATAAGTTTCACGGTGCTTGTGTTTGAAAATTGTCTATTTAATATTAAAAAGTGTTTGAAAAGCAATTCTGATCAATTTTGTGAAAATTGTGAAATGAAATAGATTTGAACTTCACGTTTGTAAAATGCTTCAATAAATCAATAAAAATCACTTAAAATTCTGCTTGAAACTCACAACAACAGTAACTTTTTATCATGTTCTAACGTAACTTAATTACTAAAATTGAGTAAATGATTATGATGAAGAAAGGGAAGCAATGCACGTCATTTGTAATTAAGAATGAGAATGAAGTAAGCATGAAATCTAATGATATAATTTGAAAAAAATTTAATGGTCAAGAGTAGACTGCTTGCATGTTATTGCCCTAAAAAATGTATGAAACAACTCTTTAATTGCTGTGAGGGTCGCGACGTCAGCCACACCTTTGTTGGTGCATAAATTTTCCGGCACACATTTTGAGCCTGAAATTTAATAAACACGAGAATGATCCTCATTTGAATCTATCATCAGTCATCACTAACAAGCGTCATGCGGTACCGAAAGAAAAACTTGATCGTGTGAAAACGCCATAAAGATAATCCTTGACAGAAGCAGGTCAACTTGGTGAGAAGTTTTCCAATAAAAACGCTCTCCATTCACCACGTTTTCTCGTCTATGTTCTCCACTTTAAAAAAAGAACTCTCAGTTTTCAGCGGTAAAACTTAATTGCTTTTCGCCATTTTTATATAAACCTGACTTCACTTTGGCATACGAATGTGTTTTTACTTTTTATGCTCGTTTATATGTTATTTGCTTTATTAAAGACGTAGGCCGAATATGGAAGTTCAGCGGGCGACACTAAGACGATACTTGTGTGTGATGTAATTCCGTTCGTGCTTAAAAAAGTTTCACATTTTTATTATCCAACTCGAGATCTTTTCTCCATTTAAAAAAGAGATCTAAGCAAGAGCCAAATTATTCTTCCTGTCAGTGCCAAAAAGTTAAGCAAATTTGCAAAAACTAAAATAAATGAAATCGTAAAATTAAGGCAATCACTTGAGAATTACCTCATAACATGCATAAAATGTGGAATGAAATCATGGGTCAAAAATCATTTGCTTTCCTAAACAAATAAATTCGTTTAAGGCTTTTGATTTCTTTTTGATATGAATTCATATGAATATAAAATTTTCAACTGAATGAATAATATTTTAGGGCAGGAACAATGAGTTGTACATTTAGAATGCAAAAACTTTGAGAATTCTTGTTATAAAATTTTCAGAAATTTGATTAGCTTATGAACACAGGTGAACGTGACTGCGATACGAGCAAAAAATCTGCAATAGCTAAATAAACAAATTCAATCCAATCAAGATCTTCAGAGAATAGAAAATCTCTTAATAAACTTCAATCTAAAAGTTTCTAAAGAAGATGAAAGCAGAAAAGTTTCCTTCCACTCGCCCCCGTCAATTTTATATCAAACTCTAACCAGTTATGAAGAAAATCAATAAACTCATTGCAAAATGAGTAAAAAGAAAAAAGAAAAATTGAAGGAAATTCCCTAAACCAACAACTTCTCTATTGTCGCTTCTCGTTTTCGTCAATTTCATTTTTTCTTTGTTTATGCCTAACCGTGAAGAGAATAAAATTCAGCAACAACAACATTCAGGCAGAAGGAAGGAGAAAATGTTTTATTTCCACCCGTAATCAAGCCCCCCATTTACCCTATTTTCCAACCGACGACGATGAGTCATCCTCAAAATATCCTCGAGGCGTTGTTCTTGCATAGACGGAGCATTTTCAAAGCTATCATGACTTTCTCGTCAATTTTATATTTTCTTATTACATATCGAAAATTCTTCTATAAACCCTCAAAATCGCATTATAAAAATTCCAATCTTTCAGCCTTTCGTCTCAAGAACATGAACAAACGAATTTAATTTCGTACGTGATCTCATAAACAACATTGAGGATTTTTTTCTTGTTCTTCTTTTCCTAAAAGAATCATAAAACAACGAAACATGTAAAGTGGTGTAAATGGAAAATAAATGATGCTGGGGATCGAAAATGTAAAAGTTTTTCACTCAAAAAAATAAGGAAGATAAGGGGAACAGCCCCGACTGGATCGATACTGAATCTGCAGCATGCTTACCATTCATAATAATCTGTGCTGTTGCTTCCTCGTGTATATTTTATAAAGGCAACTACTAACCCACACCCAACATGAACTTCGCCCTAAAGAAAATCTTCCATTGCGCAATGACATGAAGAGCTGGATGAACGGGACTTTGCTGTTATTTTTTCCCGATGACTCATCACGCGACTATTGCTTGTCTCACTGAAAAGATTAGAACGGTTGGAAAGGGAATTGTTTGATGATTTAGTAGCGTGCACGACCTGTTGTTTATAGTAGAAAAATGGAGGGTAAACTGAAATAAATTGCATCAAGTAGGAAAAAAGGTTCACTGTACAATTGATTTTTCAGTGGAACTTTAAAAGCTTTTTGTAATCAGAAATTAAAAAGCTTTTGTAATTTATTAGATGAGAATGTTTGTTGTTAAATAATTTGGGTCAACTTCCTTCGTCCATAAGTGTTAAAGTCGAAATTTATGAATTTTATTAACCTTGGCACCATGTTGGCCACACAAAAATAGTTCTGGGGATTTTTTAAAATATTTTGTCAAGACAAGTAATTACATAATAATATTAATATGGATTAACAAACATGCGACATAGCTTCGGAAAAGTAAAAAATCGAAAAAATATCATTCAAAGAAATTTCCATAGCTAAAAATCCCACAACATGAATTTCTATCGTTGCATGTTCACTAAATGAGCGTGTCGAAAGACAAAACTGTTTTTGTATGATAATGAGATTATCCACAAAAATTCTTTTGATAGCTCTTGCATCATTCAACTCATAACGGAATCGAGAATCAATAACGTTTCAGCTTCTCTTTTATTAATAATGTTGAGGGAATTTATATGGGAAACAAATAAATTACGTTTTATTGATTTAGATCGTGATTTATGCGAGAAATATTGAATTGCTTTCCCTTCTTTATGAAGAACATCATTCAACATCAATAGATCTTAAGGGAAAATCTGGTAAAACAATCAAATTGTGCAACATATGTTTTGCTGTATTTATTATCGACCTTATTTTGATCAAAAAAGAAAAGGAAATCAACTTGGAGAAGTTGCTTTAATTATTGCACGACAAGACTTCCATCGTTCACCGACACATGTTCGATCGAATAAAAAAAACATGTTTCACTACTAAATAGAATTTAGTTTTGAAGTTACATGCAATACCATTTAAAGATTGTTACACCCACGCATAAAACAAACCTCGACGAGAAGCACAGTAATCATTCAATTTGAGTCAATATGAAACGAAGTTTAATGACGACAACTTTATTTACGGGATTGTTCTTAGATTTGGCAACGAATGGAAGCAGAATTTTTTTTTTCCCTATTTAATGTCTTCCAAATACGGTCAAGCTGCACACAAAAGCATCGAAAATGGAAATAACATTTTTTAAAAATATTATTTTTAAATTGTATCTACGATTATCCACTTTGCACAATGAAATTCTCGTAAAAATTAAACTCAGACATTTTTTTGTGAATTGATTGCCTAAAATAGAAACCCACGATCTCGATCTAAGAAGAAGAAATTTATAAATTATTAGAATCGAAATAAATTGTTTCTCGTCGACTTGGCGATGTTCTTCGTGTCAAGTAAAAGTTAAAAGCCAAACAAAGTTTATGTTTAGACAAATATAAATATTATTGCACGTTACATACTGAATTTTAATTAATATTATTTTAAATAAACTCTCGTGCTACTTCGTAAGCATTTCATTCATTTTATGATTTCTGTTTATGATCGCCGTCTCGCTTTCAGATGACGGGTTTGTCAGCTAGTAGTTTTAGAAACATTCACGACATTCTTTGTAAGGGTTCATAAAATCAATAATATTATTGTGAGAGTTAAAACAGCCGGAAAATATTTTGGAAATAACCTTCAATAATTTAACGGAAGTCCCATCGACTTTCAGCGATGTCTCCAAGCGTTACTGAAACGATGGCAATCTTCATAAAACTCAAAAGAAAAAGCCCATAAAAAGGAAAACTAAAATTGTTAAATATTGTGCAGGCAAATCTGTTGTGTCAATAAGTGTGATGAAGTCATATTCATATTAAATCACGTATGCAAAGCAGATTTAATAATTATTCAAAAAAAATCGTAGACAAATAGAAGCGGGAGAATGAAACAATTAACAACCTACAGAGGAAGCGCTTACCTTTTACGAGTTCATTTTGAAAGACGGAAACCTGATCATGGCCAAATTATAATTTGATAATCAACGATAACAAGAAGTGTTTTTGATCAAATGAATGCACATGCTTAACGCTTGAATGAAGAAAAATTATAATAAAATTAATTCAACTGCATTTCATCAACCTTTTACTATCTTTGAAATTAGAAATTATCCAATAGAGCGCATCATAAAACAACATATAAAAACATAACAGGTGCAAGTTGATGACGTCAGAATAATTATAAATTTATTACAATGTAAATAAATTCATTATTGCTGGGTAAGATCATTCTGCTCAAAATTAAACATCTAAATAATTCTTCTTATGTTTCATGATTATCAATCAATGCTTTTTTGGGGGAAGGAAATATATGAATTTCGTCATAAACATAATTTATGAAATTATATGAGTATCTTCTTAGTTTCAATCATATTTAACACTTTGATTCATGCAATGCTGTCTTCTTGAGATGTATACACCCTCACTGTTTCAAGCGCCATCTGTGAACGAACGGAGATTAAAATAATTCAAAATATTTTACGACGGTAAAAAATGTTTAAAAGCGAAGAATTTTCAAATATTTTATTGCTTACAAATATTATAATTAATTTGAGGAAGAATTTCATCACATTTTGATTGATTTATAAGGTTTATGAATTTTCCCTTTATATTCATAAAAATAAAGCCACAATTCGTGCAAATTTTTAATGTTTGTTTTAATTATATTTATCTTATCGCAAAAACACGTTTCGATAAAGCAGAAAACGAATAAGGCATGCTTTTTGTCATTTGCTAGTTGAACTCCATTTTTGCAAGTTTAATTTGTTCTCAATATATTTTTTATAAAGAAAATTAGTTCGATTATAAATGAGATAAAATTCTGATGTCTCTTTAGATGTCTGAATTATAATGTGTGAATATTAATTCATATTTCAAATGTATTTGATACATATAAACTATTTAACTTAGTAGATAAAATTTTTATATTCAACCGTACTTCAAATTGTACTGACAGAGTGAAATGCTTAATCATTTGAAAAAATGTTTTCTTAGTATAATTTTACTAGTTTTATTCGCATTTTTCTTAATATTGATGTTTTATAACAACAGTGAAGTTTTAGAAAAATTATTATTTCAAATTGTGGCAAAGGCAGAAAATGGAATTTTTGTTCCACCAACACCTGAAGAGATTCTGGATATTCGACGACGTCTTAATCTCACTAATCCTGGTTATTTAGGAAAAGAAGTTGTGCTTCCAGAAGATTTGCCCGCTGACATTCAAGTTAAAGTCAACGAAAGTTACGATAAATTTAAATTCAATGAATTTCTTTCTCAAATAATTCCATTAGATCGCGAATTGAAAGAACTGCGAGGCGAGATTTGTTTAAAAGCAACATATTCAAACAACTTGCCGAAAACGTCTGTGATCATTGCATTTTATAATGAACCTTTCTCAATGATCATGCGAACGATTTACTCAATTTTAAAACGTGCACCACTGGAACTCATTGAAGAAATTCTGTTGATTGACGATTGCTCAGATGACGGTAAGTTGAATAAAAAAGTTATTTCAATAAATTTCTTTATTATTGATTGTAGAAGAAATTTTGAAAGCACTTCATGAAGTTGTTCCAAAACTCCCCAAAGTTAGAATAATTCGATCACCAACACGACTTGGTTTAATGAAAGCAAGAGTACTTGGAGCTGACAGTGCCATTGGACCTATTTTGACTGTCATAGATTCTCATGTTGAATTTGGAAATGGATGGCTGCCGCCTCTGTTGGATCCATTCACGAAAAAGTCGAATATTATTATATTGCCAGGTGTTGAAGTGTTAAATCCAGATACTTTGAAATATAATCATGTCATATTCGACGAATATACATGGGTTGGAGGTTTCACATGGGAATTAATGTACACATGGACAAATATAAAGCGAAATAAGGAAGATATGATCAGCCCTGTTCCATCACCAACAATGTTGGGAGCTGCTTTTGTGATTCGCAAAGATTATTTTGAAAGTCTTGGACATTATGACGAAGGCTTTGAGCTATGGGGTGGTGAAAATCTCGAATTGAGCTTTAAAGTGTGGATGTGTGGTGGCGAAATGTATCAAGCATTCTGTTCGCATGTTGGTCACATGTTCAGAGCGAGACCTTATTGGGTAATTACAGTTGAATCTCGTTAAAAGAAACTATAAATATGTTTGATAATTCTAGAATGATGAGGCAGATATGAAAAAAATCAGAAACACTGATCGTTTAGCTGAAGTTTGGCTTGATGATTATAAGAAATATTATCATCAACAAACAAAGTTCAACAACCGAACATTTGGAGACATAACTAAACAATTGGATCTTAAGAAGAAACTTGGTTGCAAATCCTTCCAGTGGTATGTCGACAATGTTTACCCGGGAGTATATACCTTAAATTTTTAAATGTAAATTAGGCTTTTACTAAATTTAATCGAAACTTAAGTGCCAATTATAAGACTCAGTGAATATTTAGCAAAATTCAAGTGGATTGAATTGAAGAAAAAAAAAGGAAAAACAGAAATCCAAGCAATTTGTTTTTATTTTTATTAAGGTTTTTACTTCATGTTTAAATACAAATAAATTACAAATAAAAAATGTTTTCGTTACAAATATTATTTCAAGAAAGCGAAGTTTTCTTTCCTCTTCGTAAAAAAAGTATTTACTTTATGTTTGGCTCGTATTTACGCATCGTGCCATAAAAATTGATTATATCTCTCATCATTTCAATTCAAAGTAATGATAAATGCTTTTACTCTCATTCCATGCAAAAATGTGTTGGGGCAGTGGCAGCAATGCGAACGAACATTAAAAATTTCCATTTGAAACATTTCATTTCATTTTAAATTCACCACCCACCGTGTTGATTTTAATTATTTAAATATGTGTATCTCGGGAATTAAATTCACTCATGTCACCTAATTTCCAAAACGTCAATGAAAATGTTATTAATTCAATCTCTTTCTATATCTCTCTTTGGGCTGCTGCTGCTCGCTTCAAAACGTTCGCGTTAAATTTATTTATTTTTATTTATTTATGTAGATGCGTTTGCAATTGAAGGCAAAGATTCATCTTCTGTAGTTCTCGAAATGAAATTCCAACTGATGACCTTTTGATGTGAGGTGCTAATGAGTGCAATAAAATCATTTGATACTTTTCTCTTACTTAAACTCGCCTTAGCTACTTGTGCACAGTAAACATGAAAACCGTTAATTTTATTTTATATAAATCTAAGCCAAGCTACAAAAAGAAAACACAGAATTTCATTAGATACGATTCTTTTACTTTTAACTGACTTTCTACTTTAAAAAGCTTATCATAAAACTGAATTGCTACGAGTTGAGTACGAAAGTATAACATTTTAAGGTTTGAAATTTCAATTTTCATTAATGCGCGTGTACACCAGATTGCGTTTCTCCATTACGAGTGTATGCAATAAAGTTTAATTAAGCTTCCTAACTGTCTAGACATGAAAAATAAAAAGAGAAATGAAAAACACTATACGATTAAAAAATTATTACGAAAAGATTTAAAAAAAGTGCGCTTAATAACTTATTTAGGTAGATTAACAGACACGTGAAGTGAGAAAAGTGCACAAAGTAAAAGTTTTCTCTCATTCGCGTGACTATTTTATGCTTATATTGTTCCCGTCATATTCTATTAGTTTAATGGTAATTGATGTTAATCAAGTGAAACTTTAGAAGTTGATGCAATGAGTAATTTATTTTCTTATGAGTAAGCTAAACTTTTCCCTTTCATGATTTTATCAAAAGACGTTTTTTGTTTACGAGCTATCGCGAAAGAAACAAGATTGATGAAAGCTTTTAAGAAAACCTAAAGTTTGACTTGTTTATATGTCTTGAAAGCTCTCGTTGAAATGATTTACACGCATTCGCCATCGACTTCATTGTCTTCAACATCAAGCTCAAATTCATCGTCGGCTGTTGCTTCTTGGTATTGCTGATATTCGCTGACTAAATCGTTCATATTGCTCTCAGCTTCAGTGAATTCCATTTCGTCCATGCCTTCCCCAGTGTACCAATGCAAGAAAGCTGTTGACAATTAAATGAAAAATAAAAATAAAAATTACTTTTTTCATCAGGAAATTGTGAAAATCGTCATAAATTACCTTTACGACGGAACATAGCAGAAAATTGTTCGGAAATTCTCTTGAAAAGTTCTTGAATTGCGGTTGTGTTTCCAATGAAGGTGGATGACATTTTTAAACCTTTTGGTGGAATGTCACAGACAGCTGTTTTCACATTGTTGGGGATCCATTCAACGAAGTAGCTGCTGTTCTTGTTTTGGACAGCTAACATTTGTTCGTCAACTTCTTTCATGGACATGCGGCCACGGAAAACTGCAGCGACTGTCAAGTACCGTCCGTGACGTGGGTCACAAGCAGTCATCATGTTCTTAGCGTCAAACATTTGTTGAGTTAATTCGGGAACTGTCAAAGCGCGATATTGTTGTGAACCGCGAGATGTCAAAGGTGCAAATCCAGGCATGAAGAAATGAAGACGTGGGAATGGAACCATGTTGACAGCGAGCTTACGCAAATCAGCATTGAGCTGACCAGGGAAACGAAGGCAGGTGGTCACACCGGACATGGTCAATGAAACGAGATGGTTCAAATCGCCATAACTTGGATTCGGCACTTTGAGAGTGCGGAAACAAATATCGTAAAGAGCTTCATTGTCAATGCAATAAGTTTCGTCGGTGTTTTCAACGAGTTGATGGATCGACAACGTGGCGTTGTAAGGTTCAACGACAGTGTCAGATACTTTTGGTGAAGGAAGAACCGAATAAGTGTTCATGATACGATCGGGATATTCTTCACGAATCTTGGAGATCAGCAAAGTTCCCATTCCAGATCCAGTGCCACCACCCAAAGAGTGAGTCAATTGAAAACCTTGAAGACAATCGCAGTTTTCAGCTTCCTTGCGAACAACATCCAGAACAGCATCAACAAGTTCAGCACCTTCAGTGTAATGTCCCTTTGCCCAATTATTGCCAGCTCCCGATTGACCGAAGACAAAGTTATCGGGACGGAAAAGCTTTCCATAAGTTCCACAACGAACTGCTTCCATTGTTCCTGGCTCCAAATCAAGCAAAATTGCACGAGGTACATATTTTCCTCCTGAACTACGCGAAGCTGCTGAAAACAATGCAAAACAACACAAAATTAAAAAACAATTTTCATGAATTTAAATTCTTTTCTCATTCACCTGATGCTTCATTGTAGTAGACACTGACACGCTCCAACTGCAAATCGCTCTCGCCTTTATAAATACCACTGGCATCGATTCCATGCTCTTCCGAAATGATTTCCCAAAACTGTAATCAATGAATAATAAAAACGGTGAGAAGATTTATGTGAATGAACGCGCGGCTCGGCGACTGGTGCCAAGAGGAAATGACGATGGAAAAGAAATTGTCGACGGAACGTGCTGCTTTTTTTTGTCATGAATAAGAACGTGTGTTGAGTTGGCGGAAGTTCAGTGGTGAAAGATTTATGAAGTTTCGCTTGAACAATGCTTGCCAAAAAAACTTTTTTTTTTAACTAAACCGAGACTGTCCTTGTATTTATATTGAATCAATAATCAGTTGACATTTATGGGAGAATTTTAAGCGTGGATTTCCCCACTTGCAATAACATTTCCAGTTGAGAAATAGTTTCGTTATGGCAATCACTTAATTGAGTTCTAATTGTCGTCATAACATTCAATGGAAAGCCTCTTTAATGAAATTAAAATTCCTTTGTGAGAAGTTTCATTGAAAAAGTTTCAAGAATTTTTCTTGTGAGAAATTTTCTCAGCTCAATGTCGCATTATGTAGATACAAGCGAAATGATAAATTTAATAAATATTCTTCATAAAGTTTTATTTTTAGGCGAGCGACTTGATAAAACGGAAGTTGAATGGAAGCATCTCGTTGCAGTATAGACAGGATGAAATGAACATCGTATCTCATTAATTTATTTGATTTAATTTTTTAAAGCATAAAATTCTTGGTTGAAGTAGAATCGAAATATTTCATAAAAGAGCCTTTGGGTAAATAATTCAACATGAAATATATTCGAGACGACCATTTTGCACTCTCGCATGGTACACATGCATTGGATGAGCGGAAAGGAATCTTTGTCATAGAACTTCCATGGTAATTTAAAATTGAATTTCCCCCAACCCCATCAAATCCCGCATTACTCGTCGTTGAAAAGCTGGTGAAGTCAAGCCACACGACGCCGGGCGATAAATTATGTTCGTCGACTCAGATTTCAGTTTGTGAGAGAAAAAAAGTAAAATAAAAAGAACCAAATAGTGCTATGAGTGGAATTACATCAGATTTGGTTAAGGAATGTGACCTGAAAGCATTTTCACGACACAAATTACTTTTGTTCTCCGTCTCGAGATAAAACATTCCTTTTTTTCACTTTAAAATTTAGTCTTAACAACGTGTTTATACTTCATGTTTCCGTTCCATTTTATTGCACTCGTTCAACTTAGAATGTGATCATGTGAAATTTGCATGTTCTTCAATACGTTTTTAAAGAACTCCTGCTTCGCTATGCTTCAGAAATGTGCAATGTTTAAAAATAAACACCATAAGAATAATCTATAATGGCGGTGAGAACTTTTTTAAGTGTTATGTGTGCTCTGTTTAAAATTATCTCTTGACACTTGAACAACATGACAGAAGTTTGTTTTGCTGCTGTTGTGAATGTCTTGACTGGAGCGGAGATGATAGTGGCAATAAGAAAATTTGACATTCTCAAATTGGGAATGTTAAGAGTCGAGAAGAGAAAGATAAAAAATTCCCTTGCGGATCATCAGTCAAATCGCTTTGGACATCTTTACTGAAAGTTTATGGTTAAAGTGTTTAAGTGGTGAAACTTATTAAGAAATGTAACTTCAACTTTTTGTCTCTTGATTTTTATATCAGGCAAGCTACGTGTGGGTGAAAGAAGAAAATCTATTTAAAAAGATTCTAATGCATTCGTAAGAAAATTAATTTCTGAAATGCTCTGAAAACTGCATCATTCTTATGTGTCTCATCGCTCTCATTTATTCCCAACTCGCAGTCCCTTTTTAAACATAGAAGAATAAAAAGTTTGAAGAATTTTTTTTAATTTCTTTCCCAGTAGATTGTCTTGAATAAAAACCTATTAAAATTTATCTCTCGGAAAAATTTCTTTCGTTTCTCAAAAAAAAGACAAAAGAAAAGATTTTTCTTCATCGTCGTTTTCTTTTGTTTGCATTTGTTGTATGGAAGTGAAAAATGTTATTTGTAAAGTTGCTGCAACAAGAATCTTTTTTTTTTGAGTTTTATTCGTCCAATGGAATGATGAAAAATTGTTTTCGAGAAAGAAAATTTGTTACTGACATGTATCATTATTTCTGCTTCTTCGGAGAATGCTTTTCTCGCATGAAAGAACTTGTTACACTTGCACTACATGGCACAAGTATTTGCAGAGCTAAACTGATCTTTATCTCTTCTCGTTTGCTCTCTTAACGTTCCCATCAAACATGAGAAGCAATTCATCTCTGTCGACATATAGTGAAAGATATGCTGCACCATGGCGATGAAAAATAATTACTTTTTCACTGCTTCTTTTCGTGATGCGCTACCAAAAATAGTTTCGTTTTTATTTTCTTCGTTACTCGTTACTAAAACATGAGAAATGCGTGACTCTAAGACGAGACGACGACTGGTTCGAAAGGGCAAACCCCTCAAAATCTGAAACTTGTCAAATGCAACTAACATCAAAATAGATCGTCAACCATTCATCATGTTTCTTATGATGCGATGTAAAGATTAAATTCATAACTATTTAAAGCCAAACCAACTTTAAGTGCATTTCGAAATTTTCTTTCATCTTCCAAACTTTCAACAAAATATTTCTTAAACTTTTCACTTGATTAAATTATGCAAAAAAAATTGTTCCGTTCACTTAGCTCACTCAACTTGGATCTTTTACTTTATATTTTTATGGAAAAATGTGAGAAGACGATTTGATTTTCTTTCTTTCAACTTCTTCCTTTCCCCCACAACTCGAAAGTACTTTTCATGTTCATTTTCTCTTTTGCCTGGAAAGTTTGTATAAAATTTTAAAGAATATTTCATGTTATTCGCTTTTAAACATATCAAGACGTGTTGAAATTGTAGATCAGCATGACTATCGTAAAGGAAAATATATGTCGTAACATTTATTAAGACTTTAGTGAAACGTTTGATAATTTTCGAATGGAGATCAAAACGAGGTTAAAGCATGTATGTCTATGACAGAATTAATGTTTAAGATAAGAAACGATTAAATAGCAATTTTCATTATCCACATTCGTCTCGCTTCGTTCGTTGGCTTTTTCGTAATTTTCTGCTTGAACTTTCACTCAGTACCTTAATTTATGACCTGACTACTGAATGTGTCTGCATTCGTTTCTCCCGTCTTAAAAGAAAAACTAGAACCGTTAATTGATGGAGAAATTCTGTGTGCGGCTTTTGCTTCAAAAACAACCGCCAACGACCAGACCGGTGTGTGTGCACACATTTTCATAGCCAAGAACAATTTCCTTTTGATTTTCTACGTAAATATTCGGTGAGCTATGTTACAATTAATTTTCCATAAAGAACCAAAGCGATCGTAATTAGAAACAAATTTTCTTTCTATCCAAACATGGCCCAGATAAAAAAGAGTCTAACCAGCTCATTTAGACATTCTGAACGTGCGCTCATGTGTGTTTGCGGTCTAATGATTTTATCGCACAACAAATTTTCCGGTTAAGGAGTTACATAACAATTCAAAGTGTTTGAAAAAGGTGAAGGAAAATTTATGCACATAGTGAGAAGTGTGCGCATGTTAAAGCCAAAAGCCACATTAACATAATCAATTTGATTGCTGGCACACGAAGTTCTCGTGAAGCCGCAATTTCCAGATAAAGCGATGAAGAATTGATGTTATAGCATTTCGGTAGAACAATAAGTCTGTAATAACAAAACATTTCTGGGTGGCCAGACGACAAGTGAAAATTTCCAAATCAACTGTGAAAATTCTCTTTCCACAATTGCATGATGTGATGTGATGGAAATGAAATGGAATGAAATATGAGCTACTTTTCATCTCATCACTCTTCATGAAATATATTCAGGAAGTAAGTAAGGCAGGAACCAGTAAGTAAATGGTTGCTTGCCCCAATTTATGTTGATAAGAAAAATTTGTGGTGTGTTGGAGTCATAAAATATCTTTTCATGTTCTTCCAGAATTCTCGTTTATAATTTCATATTTATTTCCATCTTGGGTTATGGTGTTCAGACACTGACATACGCGCTTTATTGTGAAATCGAGAGAAGAAATGGGAAATAAGAACGAAACTCAATTGCATATTGATCGTAAAAATGTTTCGTACAATGTAAAGCGAAGCGTTTGGTTTTTATCGCTTTTGACTGATTGCTTTCCGCACTGATGCCGTTTCGCAATGTTTTTTTTTTCCACATATGTACATCAAGATATATAGAAATAATACATAAAATATTATTTTATACTTTACGAAGTCGTTTCAGGAAAATAAAATAACTAATGGAGTTCAGAAAACTTATCGACAGTTTCAATTCATTGCATGAATTAATCAAGAAGCAATTTGTAAGCGGACGATGATTTGCTGAGAAAAACGTTCTGAGAATTTTAAATATACATGAAAATTGAATAAATAATTAATGTTATTTTCACCTTTATTCTTTCTCTTTCTTTTCTGCTGTCCAACTTATGAGCTCTGATAGTGTTCATTATGAATTTTATAGTTCATAACAATTACGTTTTGGTATGTATTACAACTAACTTTGGGCGGGCCATTCACTCCTTTTGTCTTAAACTCAATCTTAAATTTTTAAGCGGAAAGAGCGGTAACATAATTAACAACTTAACAGAAGAATGAATTATCATAGAAATTGTTTGTTAAACACATAAAGTTCATTAGCACTTGAATTTCTGTTATTTTCAATTTTCAAAAGCTACATCAAACATATTTGGCACCGAGGGGGGTGCGATTGAAATTGCTTTTGATCGTTTTTGAAGTTGTTTAACAAGTTGTTAGAGTTGAATGAAATTCGATGGTTTAGTTGGATATTTTTGAATATGATTATGGAATGTGAAGAGAACAAACAAATTTCTATTGACTTCTTCATCCCCTCGCTCGTCATAATGTCATATTCATTGCAAATTGAGTTGGGTTTTGGTCAGTGGCATGTTCTAATTAGCGTCGAGTGATAATTAAAATGTTTGCTCCCACATGATTCGTGACTGGAAATTTTCAGTCGTGTATTGAATGGTTGTTCGCTCGAATTAAATTAAACAGAAACTTTAATTCAAGTTCACTTTGCACTTGTATAGATGATCTTTGACTCGTTTTATTAAAAATGTTTCAACTCGAAAGAATCACGATTACAAATTCTGATATAATTTCACGATTCATAGATTTTTGTAACGAAAGTTCATGATAATAAAAAAGCGATTTTTATGAAGATGTCGTGATGTGTGTGCGTATCACTTGAGATATCTGAACAAAAGAGACATATTTTAAATCGAAATCTTTTGGAATTGAATGCCGTGACTTATGGGGATTTTTATGTGTTTAACTGCGGAAAATTTATGATCTTATTGTTTTCTAGAATCAAATTATGCTGCTTTTTGTCAATCGAATTTGATAATGGCGAATTCTTCTTTTTATTTTGGAAAGGCCTTGAATATTTAATGGAACAATAAAGTGGAAATTTAAGAGAATTGCTGTGACGATTGTGCCACGGTTGAGTCAATTCCCGATTTCTCAATATGGTAATTCAAATTCGTAATTAGATTCACAGCCACTTGAAGACACTCGATGACGACATTCAGACGAATTGAACTCATTATCGATGAATTATTATAAGACATTCATTCAATTTATTATTCGATAATGAATTCACGCATAAATCTTCCATCGGAGCTTTACTGTAAATCTAATTAAGTCAATCTCCTGTTTCCCGTTTCACATCAAATTAAATTCCACAGAATTCACTTAAAAAAGAGAGAAAATAAAATGGAAATCATTCCAAGCTGTCATTCAACATGGTTGTCAGTTAAAAAATGCATTTGCATCGTGCATTTCTTGATGGAAAGTGTCGCGGGCTTTTCTCACAGGAAATGAAGGAAATTTTCAAATCACGCAGAAAAAAAGCATTTTTTAATTTTCCTCGTGTCAATCACATGACAAATCGATATCTTGTAACTCAAGACCATTTTTTCATGAGAATTGAAAGTTTGTTTCAGATATCTGATCTTTCTTCTTTGATAATTGTTCAACAAAATTAATTTTCTTTCTTTTCTTTTCATCTGTTAAGTCAGCATACGAGCTTCAAAGCATTTGTAGTTGTTGTTTAAGAAAGAAAAACAGTTTTTTAATTTAATATTTCTGTTTCGGGTAATTGACTTCATGTTCTTGTTTCATGTTGCGCCGAATAGTGTTACATAAAAATAGCTGCAGCGGATTTTTCTCTCTCAGATGCTTCCTTTACATTTATTTTTCCTATCTTGTCTTACTTTATATATTCAGTTGTTGTTGCTTAAAGATGTATAAACGAAACTATTTTTTTAAGTTGCATATGAAAACAGTTCTCGATCTTAATTACTTTTGCTCGTTTTTCACATGCTACAGTGTGCTAGATGATCACTGATTTGTGATGGGCATTAGAAACATTTGTAACGCAATTAATTCAAGCTGCTCGATTTCCAGATAAAATCTGATTAAAGCAGACCGAAGTTAATTTCTTTTTCCCCTGATGAGTATCGTTCAATTTATTTAGAACATTCTCAATTTTCTTCACTGAATTGATTGTCGTTGGAAAACATTTCATTGACTTCAAAGTGTTTGATTTTAAAAGGACACTTCGCCTTGTCGCATGATTAATGGAGTTTTCAAACGCTATAAAAATGCAATCACAATTTTGTAAAACATTGTCGTTAAACCACAACGGGAAACAATTTTTGCTACATTTCATTAGCATATGTTTTATGCAACGCAACTTCCTGAACAGAAAAAGGATCATAAACTATTTTCATGCAAACTATGAGTTGTTGGTGGCATATTATATTGAAAAAAAACATCGAAAACATTCAAACCGACATGGAGTTGTGAGCTGTGAACAGTCTCATAGATCCAATTATGCTTTTCAGTTGAATGACTCTTGAATAGCAACAGCAAGGAGAGAAAATTGTAGGATGACTGCATTAAATTACTTATTTATGTATACCACGAGTGGATAATTCATCGAGTTTGCAATGTAAAAACAAACAATGATCAAATTTGACTAAATGCAGTCGACAACCATAATAATCATATTTGACGATGAGTTAATAATATTTACAGCACTAGAACATGAATCATGGATTCGACACACGATTTCATAACAGTTTTGAATGAGTTTTTATGCGTGTCTGTTAAATATGATCTAAAAATATCTCAGCCAGTCGGCGATGAACATCGAAAGTTCATTGAACCTCTTGCGCCTAGGAACAGAAAGAAAGAAATAAAAAGAGACGAAAAGTCGCAAAAAAAGAGTTTTGGAAATTGAAAATTTCCGCGATTTCTCTCAAGTTCGTTTGAATTGAAATCTCAACAGCATGAATAATGACTTTTGAATTGTTGTTAAGCTTTAAGCTCAAGGCAAAGTCATGAATGACAGAATTTTCTAAAACTGTAACTTTCAAGTGAAATCTCGCACAATTTGTAAAATCAGAGCATAAAACTTGAACCATTACTGAGAACTTTTAGTGAATTGATTATTGTGAAGATTTCGTCGTAAGACTTAATCCTTTCTACTTAAGAAATTAATTTGCAAAGTATCTTAATGGATTGAAATCACATTTGCCATTCGTTCTAGAAAAGTTTTTTGCCTAATGAAACTGTTTGGTTTATGTGTACAAACTTTGACACATCCTTTTGTGAATTTTACAATAAACCACCATTACTTATACATAGTTTAAAAACTTTTATCATGTTTATTCAACAGAAACATCAGTTGATGTCTGGTTATCTTGTGAAGCTACTTCCTATCTCTTTTAAGGCAATTTTCTTACAGAAGAATCAATAAACAAGATTTTTAATCTGTTTGTAGAAATTACTTGAAGCATGAAATTATTTGATAAGAAATATTGGCTGATAATTTTATTCATCACTGATAAGAGGCATGAGCCGTAATGAATCAATCACAATAATGCCTTTGCAATCTTGGATTTAAAGAAGATATTGAAACTTTCAATCATATCAACTCATATGGGAACAAAAAATCTTATCAACAACTTTTATTTAACTGATAAATTTCATATCAAAATGGATTGCTTTTTGCTCTATTCAATTGATAAAAATGAACACAAAAATAAAAATGAAGTCGAAAGATGTAGTCTTGTGTATTTTTGTGATTTTCATTGCTTATGTGACAAGTGAAATTGTCGTGATCGATGATGGACCAATTGAAGGAACAGTCATGACATCTCGTCTTGGAAGAAGTTTTCATGCTTTTCTTCGAATTCCATATGCAAGCCCACCAGTAGGTGAATTGAGGTTTGAAGCACCGCAACCGCTAATTCCTTGGGCTCCAAATGTCTATAATGGAACATTCTACGGTCAAATGTGCATTCAACCCAATGGACGACCTGACCTTGGCGTTAGTGAAGATTGTCTTCATTTAAATGTATTCACAAACGACTTGACAGCTTCCAAACCCGTCATTGTTTATATTCATGGTGGTTCCTTTGAAATTGGATCTGGAACTGATCAAGGTGGACCGAATTATCTCATGGATCGAGAGGTTGTCGTTGTCAACTTCAACTATCGTCTTGGAGCTTTGGGATTTTTAGCTCTCGAAACAAAAGAAATTTCAGGAAATGCAGGATTAAAAGATCAAGTGATGGTTTTGCAATGGATTAAAAAGAACATTGCAAAGTTTGGTGGTGACCCAGATAATGTCACAGTTTCTGGTATGTCAGCGGGTGCTGTAACAGCAACAGCTAACATGGTGTCGCCAATGGCGCGTGATTTGTTTCATAGAGTAATTGCAATCAGTGGTTCTGTGACTATTCAACCTCCATTAGAAACGAATAACATCGAAATTGTAAGAAAACTAGCAATCACTTTAAACTGCAGTGACACGGAAAACATTCAAGAAATCATAAAATGTTTAAAAGCGGTAAGAAAATGTTTCTCAAATCTTATCAGTTTCTAATTATCAAATAAATGTTTCAGATTGAAAATCCACTTGACATTGTTAGTCAAGACTTGAGACCATTTTCAGAGTGCACTATCATTACATGGTTGATGGTTATTGAACCTGATCTTGGTCAAGAACGTTATTTAAATGACGATCCCATAAAGTTGTTTAGCAATGGAAATTACTCGAAAGTTCCTGTGATAATTGGAAGAACAAACGATGAATTTGTTGATGCTGTTGCTAGTAAAAACTTTTTCCTTTTGTTTTTCTTAATCCTTTGTTAATTATTTTCTTTCAGGAATAGTTGAAAGTCCGACAGCATTGAATGTGTTAAATGAAAACTTTTATGAATTCGCTCCTGCATGTTTTGGTTATGAAGCAAACAGTGAAAAGTCGAGACGATTTAGTGACGCTTTGTCAAAATATTATCTTCCATTTAGTCCGATTGATGTTCGATCGTTTGGTGGATTAAATCAGATGATAAGTGATGGTTACATTGGATGGAGTGTTCACAGATTAGTTCATTTAATTTCGGATCAAGTCGATGTTTATTATTACAAATTCTCTTATGTCGGGCGTTACAGTGTGTTTAGATATCCACGAAATCAGCCATATGGAATTCATCATTCGGATGACATTCAATATCCATTCAGTGTCGATTACTTCGGGCCTTATTTCACAGAAGATGATCCCGAAAGCTTCATGGTCGATCGAATGTCCAAAATCTATGAAAGCTTCGCAACGACTGGGTAAATTATCTTTTTCGTATATAATCATTAGTTAAATCTTTTCTTCTTCGACATTACAGAAATCCTAATTATAATGAAAATGAGATTCATTGGCCGAAACATAATTCCAGTCATGAGTTTTACATGGACATTGGACTTCATTTAATTGAAAAGAATGGATTATTCCTTGAACGTTATGCTATCTGGGATGAAGTTGAAGCTTCATCTAACACCATGATGCTATCTAGTCTCATTCTTATTCTTGCAAGTTTCATTACTCTACTGGGCTTGTAATGAAGTGAGTAATTCAATTACGAGCTCATTCAAACAGTTAAGAATTTGTCATTAGAATAATTATTTTCTCCTTCACTGTTGCAATTCTACTCAGTTTTTAATTCATTAACGTAACTTACATTTTTTTTAAATGCTTTCCATCAACAGGTTCATCCTTCTCCTTATTTTAATTTCATTAATGAAATAAACAAAATTTATCATCACAGTCAGTGGCATTTAATTCACTTTGATGTTCATTTCGAAAGTACTAAGTATGAACTCTTTCAAATATTTTCTCAATCAAATTTTTGAAGTACATTGAACTCGGAAATATCAAATAAAACAAGAAGTTAGTTGTAAATAAACAAACAGAAAATTCTTGTTTTAAAATTGTCGGTTTTATGTTTTCTTAATTGCTGCAATTTGGTGAAACCAGTAATAGATCTTCATGCAGAAAAAAACCGAAAAACAATTATAATTGAGGGTTTGTGGGAAAGTTAAGTCACGACATAAATGAACTTTATAACATGTGTTGATATTTCAATCAATCAAAACTTAAATTACTGAACAAGTTCGCCTGGAAATTAACTATTGATAGTCAGCGTATTTACAACACCTTAAGTATTATAACTTGATTGCTACCTACACCGTTTTTTACGTTCATTATCTATTTAGATACAAAAAGAAACTCAATCAAGTAACTATCAACTTCCTAGATTGATTTTCCTATCTTCTCGTCTCTCATCTCCCCAAAGAAATCGAAATAGCTCAAAGTTAACTTCAACTTTATTCAGACATGAATGTTTACCGCTTAACCGGCTTTCTTGGATCTGTTGGCTAAAACAACCTATCAGAGAAGGAGATTTATTGACAGATAATCAGAATCACCTTTCATCAAACGAAAAATGGAGTAGAAAGAATAAGAAAAACTATAATTTGTCTTTCACGAATATGTCAATATGTCAAACGCAAGGTGGAATAAGAAGTCGGTATAATGAGAAAGTCGAGACTTTGCTGTTTGCTTGTGTTTGGCGTCGTGATTTATTCTACATCTCCAATTACTCGAGAGGAAAGTAGGAAAAAAAACTTCCGAATGGTGAAATTAGTAAGCAATCTCTAATTTTTTTCCCTTCTTTCTTTTTTGGTCTGAATAACTTGTAAATTGATTTTATTTCTCCTTTTTCTTTTGTTTAGTCGATTTTTCTGTTGAAAAAGATCTTTCCATTTGATAACAAGGGGTTTTCGTTCTATTCTTCCATCTTCTTGTCGAATCACAAGCAGAAGCAGAGACTTGAGGGCCAAATGAAAATTGTTTACAAGTGAAAATGTAGATTGATATCAGGGCCAATATGTTTTGCCCAATTTCGATAATTTTTTTCCCTTCTTTCTGACGTAAAACAACAAAAATCTCTTATTTTCTGTTCTAGATTCGTTTTGCCCTCTGTTCATTATTCATTCAGAGTAATCAACTCGAATGAACTTTTTAATTAGTTTTCTCGCTCAATGTTTCTTTGCATTTCTCTAAGAAACATCGAAAAGCAATAAAAGTATTTTACGAAGTTAAAATTCGTTCGATAGTTAAAAGCATTTAATTAAAATTTAAGCTGTGAAAGAGAAGTGAAGAAAAGCGGGAAAGTTTCAATTAAAATTTGCATTTCAATGCGATTTAAAGAAAGAAATCATTGAGAAAAACTTAACAGAAAAAGTTTTGTTTACAAACTAATTACGATAAGTAGCGAAAACGATAAAATTCGATAAAGGATTTGAGTTTCAATTCTTTCGAGTGTTTCTATTTAAATTTTATTTTATTCGTTCGAAAACTTGTGAAATAAGAATTTCTTTTTATATTGAAAGTTTATATGGCTTGAGCCTTGAGCCATTCACGGATAAAATTCCATTTATGGAAATCTCTCGGATTTATTGATGATTGCACGCATAACCATGTGTCGACTCAACTCAAATGATAATTTCATGCCATAATGAAACAATTTAAATCGACACAAAATACATTCCATGTCAAATTTAACCTTATAAAGTTTGATTAACTCGTCATTTCAACAGCATATTGTTGTTCATAATGATTGAAAATTACACACGAACAGAGCACGAGAAGATAAATTAGTTTGCATGAAAGCACTTTCGTCGCTCGAGCAACATATTAAAATGACAAAAAAACGACGCAATACGAGTCAAGTGAAGTTATTTTGCTAAGTTAAAGCTCTTCAAGAAGATACAACATTTTATTTGATGAATCTTACATTCAAGTCTATATAAAAAGGAGATGAAACCTAAAAAATGAGAGAAGAACTCTGCCGAGAAGAACCTAAGAATAATTACGACTATTAACCCAATTTATCTTCATTATGAATCCAAATGTCTTCAATCTCAACATATCTTAAACGAATGCAAAGGAGAATTTCTTTCACAATTCACATTCACAGAGATTGTCGAGTCTCGAATGCTATTTAAACGAGTCTTAGGCCGTATGTCTTTCTTTCATTTTGAGATTTATTCAAGATTTCCATTTAAATTTTATTTGTCAATCTTGGAAATTGCTTGGGAAAAATGTGAAATGAAAGTCGGGGCCCTTAGCCATAGCTCTTAAATAGCCGTTTAATTGCATACTATGTTGTCGTGGTTATTGTGATTTTAATGCTTTTCTGAGCTCTTTTCATCCCGAAATTTCATTAATGTCACATCGAGCCGATGTGATGTGTGGTTTGTGGGTCTTCGTTTGACATACAATAAAAGTTATCGTTGCAACAAAACAGGAAAAAAATACTGATGTGGTCGAATTAATTATAGAATCCTATTTATGTATACTGACTGCTACTACGTTATGTTATGTGTTATGCTTTGAATTATAATTTGATATGTTTTATGTGTATAGATCTCAAGTATCAACGAATGTTTCTACGTCGCCGTTGATGAAGTGCAGTGAAAGTGAAAAAGTTAATCTTGAGAATGGAATCTAAACTTCTCCAATTTCTCGTGCCATTCGCTTTCGAGTCAAGACGAAATGCGACATAAAACATATGAATTATGTTAACGTCTCGCTAAGTTCTTCTGAAGAAAATAAGCGAATGAAGGAAAGTGTTGATGGAAGGAAATGAAATATTTTTCTTCGTCTCTTTTCTGTCATCGTCAACTCCTTTCTTTGGGAATTGGAAAAAGAGTCATAATAAGTGCAACAGAGTGTTTCGAAATAAATGTCGAGATGTTTATGCCATTTAACTCTGTAATCATTTCACTTTAATCACAGTCAACAAACGACACTTGTCAAATGAGTGTTGAGTGGAAACTAATGTTGCATGTTTCTCAAACTCCGCTTGACTGCATTTTTAATAATTTTCGCTCGAAAAATTTTTCATTTCCATACCAACCGAAGTACCTTTGTGTGTCCGAAAGCATCCTGCGCAACAATGGAAACTTTTCAATTAAACGATTACAAATCATGACAATAGTGGCCTAACGTCGAACGTCGATGGTATGGAAAGTAAATAATTGAAAGCAAATCACATAATCCCTTGTAGAGTTGTTTTTAATGAATGGAAGCTCGTGCTTTGTATCATGACAAATTTCATCCAATTTTCATCGTCATAAAACTTAATTGAAATTTATGATTTTCATTTACTCTTTATAAACCGTGACAAATGAAAAAGCTGGCGAAGATTCATCATGTCGCGAGATTAAATAAATCCGACCAAAGCTACGTCCATCGGTTGGAGATAGAATATTTAATTTCAAGCACATTAGCACACAATCATCCACTGAATTTGCATGCGTTCATTAATCCACACTAATGGAAAGTTTAAAATGCATTGCAGTAAAAAGAATTTCAAAATAGTCTCAGAAAAGATTTTTTATGCGATTTTGTAAAAATAAATCTGCGTCAGAATGCCAAGAACTTTATGACAAAAGTTCATTAAACTTAAAACGCTTTCTCAAAGAGAAAGTTCAAGTTTTAATTAAGAATTTTTATTCTTGCTTTTTGCTGAGAATCGACAAAACGAAAAATCCATAAATCAATTGGATTTACTTCAATTAATTTCTGCCTTTTTTTTCTCTCCCCCAAAACGAAGACGCTTTTCATGATTTACGTTAGTTGTAAAAAAATGTTTTAAACCAAAAACATCTTCCAATCTTTGTTGAAAAACAATTAAACGTGAGGAAGAGTTTGTTGCTTGATGAAATCAAGATAAATTTTAATTCATTTCATGACACAACATGACAACACTTTCAAATGACCCATTAATAAGAAACAGAAAAAAATCGTCTTAAGATTAGTTTCACTTTTTTCCTCTTCTTGTTTTATTCCCAGCAATCCAATTTAGGTTGACTTGGCCTTCCAAAGTTTTTCCTCTAATTCGTCACGCCGACATGAAAAGAGATTAATCAATTTTTGCGGAAATCTTTCATGTCGTTTTGTTCTAGAAGTTGTTGAAAAAAGGTGACAATAAAATGAAGGGAGGGAAGATGATAATCACACGTGCTGTTTTAGTCGTTTTTACGTATTAATTAATTAATTTCCTTCTTTTTGTTCTTTCTCTATTCGACGATATGTCATCATCACTATTAATGAAAAGATCTTCTAGCGTCGTCGTCGTTTCTTTAATGCTTTCTTTTTTAAAGTGAATGTTGAAAAAAAAACTCGTAACATACAAAACTTTATGTCTGTCATGTGACAAGTAGACAGAAGATTCTCAACATGAATAAAAGAAGACAGCAGAGATGGAAGAAATAATCTTGTAATTATCAAAGGTAAAGATTTTATTTTAAAGCTCTTCGAGAGCTCGGAAAAATAATAAAATGTCGTAAAATGTAATATTGAAGTGCTCGTGAATGTCACCTCAAAGATATTTTCCGGTTTCTTTAACATGGAACTTCCTCAGAAGAATGAAAAGCTCATTTGATGTAAAGAAATTATGTAAATTTGAAGGTGGTGTAATGAGCAGTGAAATGAATATTCATTTGAGTTAAAATTTAAAACCCCAAGCGTTGATTTTTATGAATTTTATCTTAACATTTGCAAGTGTTCTATTTTGTAAGACTAATTGAACTTTTTTTCCGGAAGAATATTTTTGATTCACATGACGAACAACATTTCTCAATTATCAAAGTAAGTTTAATTTGATTTTGAAACTTTGTTATTCAAGAATGAAATGAAGAAATTTTTGGTTACTTTAAAATTTCCTGTTTCTGCTTGTCTTTGCTGCGAATCTAAGTCAATGAATTTAATTAAATTGCTAGCGCATAAGATTATTTCCCTTTGATGTTTGCTGATCCGTTTTGTGGTTTTATTTTATTTTATTTTTCTCTTTTTTCATTTTCTTACTTACATTTTTTCCATCTTCTTTAAGTTGAAACAAATCATTAAAAACAAAGAGCGATAAACACTTTTAAGCGACCGTCTATCTCTTTGTTTATGGCATATTTTTATCTTTTATAATTTTCATGATCACGCTGACTAACGTTAAGCAAGCAAGAATTCTTATTGTAGATAAAAACAATGAATAGAAATTTTCTCGATGAGATTTTCAATCAAACGAAGGAATGAAAGAACAAAAAGTTCTCTCCATAAATTAGCGGATGATTTGCGAGTGAATGAATGGTGAAAGCTCGACTGTTTGAATTGTTTTAACGACGAAGAACGAGAAACATTTTTAATGAATTTTAATTAAGTATTTCTTATCGTCATGGATGATTAATACGAAATAATTAAACTAATTACCATTCATTCAAATGTTTTAACTTCTTTCATTGTGAAAATTTCGCAAGTGAAAAAGTCGAACTTTAATATCAGATTTTGTGAAAACTTCATAAGCAAATTATCAAATTATTCAAATGAGGAAGAGATGAATGGACGAGCAGTGACCGAATAAAAAGCAGCAACTCAACTTCATTATTTCACGTCAAATTGATATTAATTTTTCGCCAAAAACCAAATTATTGTCGTGTTAATTCAGTTTCATTCACTTTTTTGTTTTTGTTCAGCTGACGGACGCAGCAATTTTTCTGTCTGTGAGTTTCACATTTCAATTTCATTTCGAGACTATTCGTTGTTCTCATGTATGTCGTTTTAATATTTGAACAATTGTTTTAACTTTTTTTTATCGCGAAAAGAATTTTTCTTCAATTCTCTTTTTGCATACACACGCAATGTGGGGAACATCCATATAAAGTGTCAGTTTTATTATTTAGGATTTTAATTGATAAGAAGTGAAACAGAAAAACTCAAATTTATTCTGTTCATGTGCCGACAAATATCACAATTTTGGAAGCTTAATGATTCATTTGCCCGTTAACTGGGGTTGAGTGACTTCCATTTTTTTCGCGTTCGGTGGCGATCAAGCAATTATTCTTCGCGAAATTAATGAATTGTGATATGAAGAAGAAAAAAGTCAGCGATGATTTATGACGAATCGCCACGCTCGAACAATTAAACAGTTACCGAAAGAAAGAAAAATAAAAAGAAATTATCTATTGAGACCATAAAAGAAACAACAGTAATAAACTCAGAATAAATAATTTAATGATGGATTGAAATGGAATCAAAGGATTGAAGTCTCGTACTGTTATCTTCTGTTTAAAGAAAGCTTCGACATTTAATGTTTTCATTGAGATATGAAATGAAAGCATTTTGAAGAGAACCCAAGGCATCTGTAAACTTTAATTAGTTATAAAGATTTCGAAAGAAATTAAACAAGCGCTTTATAACTTCATAAACGTGAAAGAAAAAAATCTCTTCAAGAGATACTTTCACAGCCCGCAATCTCTTCTTCAACTTTAAGGAGAACTCTGAGAACAGTTGTCATAGGAATATCAAATAGCTGTTTGTATACTTGAATCGTTTTTATCGCAGCACTTCACAGCTCAAAAAATTCTTTCACTCTACTGACTTATCAAATTTTTGTATTCATAATCTTTTTTAATATTTATTTTCATATGAATTGTTGGCATTCCCAGTTGCTGTCTCCCTTTCTTCCTTCTTTTCAGTTGCCAACAACGCCAATTAAAACATGAATCAGTAGTCGTCATATCTCGTCGTGTTTTTATTTATAACAAAACAAGAAGCAAGCAAAGGAAATGACTGAATCGTCATCGAATGTCGCTTGTGGTCTTGTGATAAATCAAATTGAAATTCTACCGGCATCTTCTCCATAGATAATGGCAGTAAATAACAAGATTAGAGTGATTATAATATTCTTTCGTAAGGGTAAAGCTTTGTAGCTAATGAAAGCCGTAGAGAGAAGGTCTTTAGCTGAAAATTTATTTTGAAACGAAGAGAAAATATTTTTAATCCTATCTTAAAGTATTTTCACAGAATTATTACGATCCATTTGGGTTTCGTTTCTGTAAAGAAAGTGTAAGCTGGGAGATGATACTGAGAGCTAAGCTCTTTAAGTTGCTATTTTTACGAAGTTATCTTTCGTGAAACAGTGAAATAGGACGGTACTTGCTTTGGGTTGACGGTGTAATTATTACCCATAAACAAAGTTTTATTGCACGGGCAAACAAGACGAAAGGAGAAAAAAAAACACAACACAAAACAGTTAATGGAACAGTGATTATTTTGTTATTTTAAACCATATAGCAGCTAAAGTCGCGAATGGAGAGAGAGAGGAAGCGAGCGGGGAACAGAGAGATAAAGTCAACCATGCGAAAACAGAATGAAGACGTTTCAAACGGCAGTTCGTGGATATTTATAAGAAAAGTTCATCTGATTGTGCTGCATTGTGGCGAGTTCCAGCAAAGATTTACTAACTGTTTCTTTCCTTTCTACTCTTCTTTGTCGTTGTATTTTACTAAAATGTTCATTGTTGAAGAAATTTCTCTTCAATGGCTTTTAATATTTCATGAAATTAAGGTATCAGGAAGCATTTCAGGTTCTTTTGTCGATAATTTTCATGACGAACATGATGGTATCAATTTTAAGCGGATATTAGAGAAATACAATACGACGTAACCTGATGAAAGAATAACAAGCGATTGGAAATATTTAGGAAGCGACATAGGTCGAAAATTTATTGCAAAAGCATTAAAAGTGTTTTTGAATTTAATTTCAACATACATTGCATTATGTTTCATGGAATTCATTTGTGAAACCATAAATAACTTTGATATGGAATTTTAGGAAAGCTTTGGATATTCTTCGATTAAAATAATCGCCAATTAATCCTTGCATAATAATGAGAATGCAGATGTGATACATGATTAAGAAAGATTCATAAATAGCAATGCGAACTTCCACCCGCATTTTGTAGAACTAAATTCTCAGTCATCATTAATCATTTCTAGAATTCTTTTTCTTATTACGTTCTTGACCGTTACAAATGTCCACATCAACAGGAATTTTCATGATTATATTTTTTTTTCTTTCTTTTATTCACTCTATCAAGATGAACCGTTCCGATGATCTTCCGAATAATCTAAAAACCATTTCCTCGAGCTGTGAAAGCAATGCGAAGCAAATTGCCTCATCTGAATGCCTTCGATTTTATTTAAGAATGTCGACCAAAAAAAAAAATTCATTCACGTTTCTTATTTAATTTTACAATCAAATAATCAATTTTCCTGAAGCATTACAGGGATTGAAAATAACAAGAAAAAGAAAAAGAAGAAAAAAAATAGAAAAACGCGGTGATGGAAAAATTAAATGAATTTTAAAAGAATTTGTTTTCTTTTAAGCATTTTGTATAAAAAGTGTATCAAAACCCAACGATCGGAGAAAATTAACTTTCCTTTCGGAAGGCAAATAAAAGCAGAAAAAAAGGTTGGAAAGCAATGGAAGAAACCTTGGTGAAGTTCAATGATGCTGAAACAAAAGTATGTAGACCGGGAGAGAGAAGAAAGAAATTAATGGAGATGCACGGTTGATTTCTTAGCATAAACTTTGAAGAAAATAAGTAGGAAAATAGCGATCAGAGAAATGTAAAAGAGCCGCTGTCGCTAAGCACAAGATTTCTTTTCTCTTTCTTTAAAGAAAAATTCTTAAGATTAAAGTTCATCAAAAGAATTTCATGATTGTTCTTTTTTATCTTACCTTAGCGCCGATCTGATTTCCACATTGACCAGCTTGTAAGTGCACGATTTCACGCATGTTGAATTATTTTCTTTCTGCTTTACTTTGTTTTCACAAAACAAGAATAATTTCTTGAATATTAATTCACTTTAAGTTTCAAGAAAACTTTGAGAATTTATTTCTTAATCTCACGAAATAATTTCACTGACGTTCTACAATTTCTTGATATTTCTTTTGAATAGATTGAAATATTTAATCCACAGAGAGCTGATGTGAAGGCAAAGAGAGAAGACTTCCAACTGATCGACTGCACAACTGCTGAAGAACTGAATTTGAAAGCATGAATCAAAAATATGATTTCAATTTTTTTCTGTTGTTTTCTTTATCTTCTCGACTTTATTTTCCACTGTTCTTCTTCCTCACATATGGATTTAAGTGTGTTGATCGCTGCGCTTACCGTCTAAAGCATGTTCTCATGTATATTTTCCCATTTTTAAACTAACATTAGCACATTTGAGAATGAATGTTGAGTTGAGTTTTTGTTTTTGTTGATAAAATAAAATGTTTCACTCAAAACGTTTGCACATGGATAAAGAGAGTGTGGCTGGCGATCGTTTCAAGTGTTTCGTCTCATTACGTTTCTGTTTAGCTTAGCTGTGAATGTGAAAGAAGAAACATTGCAAGAGGATTTATGTTAATATACATTAAAAAGAACAACATTTTTTAAACATTCACTTGACTTTCTTCTTCATTCTCATTTTTCAAATTGAAAGTTAACTTGACTCCAAAAAAATTTAATCAACTTTACTTGATGTTGATTTGATTTAAAGTTTAAATGAAGTTTAAAGTTATAATTTAGGGATTTAGGAGAGAGAAACTCATACTTTATTCCATTAAAGAATTAAAAATAATTGCATAAAGTTCTTTAACACTGAGTTACTTTCGATTATTCTTCGTGTAGATATACGATGTAAGATGTATGTGCGAACACATAATCCCTCTGTCTGTATGTTTGCTGCTTAATCATCATAAGTTCTATAATCCTCTTGAACGTTATACACAAACTTATGATTCCTCATCATGAGTCACAAGAAAATTTCGTTGTGGCTGTCTGAAATGTCGCATGAGTTATGTATATGTGAACAACATCGTCTGTTTCGACATGAAGATAGAAGACAAACTTATGTCTCTTATGTGCGACATGCGGTAACACTTCTTGATTACTGTTGAGCGTTCTAATTAGACGACATTAATGAGTCTTACAGGCCTCTGATTCTTTAATAAATGTTCAAGTACATAGGACGATGATCTCTCAGAACTTTTATTTAGACCATTCACCATCTTCCTTCCACATATATCGCTTTGGTGAGTTAATGAATCGTGTGATTACAGTTAATTTGCGGCGAATAAGCTTTCAATATTTTCTTTTTTGCTACATTTTGTGTTTTGTAAAGACAATGAATAAAATTATAAGTAATAAAATAAAATTGAACTGTTTTAAATTTTTATATTAAAAGTACAGTGAGTTCTCTCTTAAGAAATCTACTGTATTTATAACAGGGTGAAAGCACAAATTGAGTGAGAAAGAAACAGTAAAAGTTGATTTATTTCACCTTCCAAAAGCTAATCAATCAAATGTCTAAACAAATTATTTAATTAATTAATTTTTCTTCCGACAATGATTTGACCTTTGTCATCTTTCGGATTCACTCAAATGTTTACTTAGTCACTAATCGTAGATTCATTTATCCAATGGTCTATCGTACTGAGTCACGATGATATGGTTGTGGCGATTTACTTCATCCAAAGTCATTCCTTTCAATTCACAAGCCATTTAAGTTTCCGAAGAAGAAAATATAAAAAAAAACCAAGAAACTGTAAATTGAAACATTTTGCAAGCTCAACTACGAAGAAGGAATCAAATTTGAAGTACTCATCATGAACAATACTGAAATGGTTGAACGAATTTCAATTCAACTCTCGCTATGTCTTTCTTCAAAACTTTTCGCTCGAGATTTTAAACAATTTCTAATTAAGTAAAAAATTTATTTCGAGCAGCCGCGGACTTTACGACTCAAATTAAACGTTTCTTATTTTTCTTTTTTTTTCATTTGTTGGTTCAGCTTCCAAGTAAATCATTTTTTCGGGGGATTTCATTTTTATAGAGCGCTCGATTTATTCGGCTGGAAAATTAATGCCACGACTACGAATCATTTTAAACTTCTAAGTCGAAGTACAAAAGTACAAATTGTACTGACTCAACATCAAGATGACTAATAATGTCAATGATGGAAAATTATTCATCTTCCTTAATTTCTTAAAATTGCTTCTGATTTTTCATTCCGAATGAATGACTCGTGTGAAGAATCTATTTACACGCAACTTAATAACATTTAATGATTCGCAATCACTTCAATTCAGCTTCTGAAGTTAGAATCGCTTTAACTTTAGCTTTGAAACATCAAAGAAATAACTTCTTTTCACTTCTTTGCCGATGATTACATGGGAAATCTTAAGCCTCTTTTGTGTTGAGAAGTTTATGCAAAAATTTAGTAAATACACTTCGAACTAGTTTATCATAAACTTTCCAAAGAGTTTCGAAAGACAATCAAATCGGTAGCGTTTGAAGTACTGAGTGTTAGCGTGAGTTTAACAATTTTTTATTGTCTCGCTCATATAACGAGACCACGGGAGTTTTATTTTCTGCTTTTTTTAAAAACCCCGCGTGGCTTTTGTGCTCTAACGACAACATTAATTCTTACCCTTGTTATTACAGACATTAACCCCAACCATCCTCGTCGGTGTAGAAAAATGTAAATAAAATTATTATTATTGTTGTCATTATAAAGCGAGTCTCCCTTCCTCTCCCCTTCTCCCTCTTTCTATTCATCTTACTTCGTCATCGTCATTTAGAGTAGATTCATAACTTTCACAGTTAAATAATAAAACATGCATAGGTTTCTGAAACAGAACATTTGCTAAGCACATGTCACAGCATCAAACAATTGTACTTGGATATATTTTTCTCCGACAGTTTTATTTTATTTTTTGCTGGTTGATACTATAAATAGCTTTGTGCATACATGTTCAATGCTCTTACTCGATGCTTTGACAAACATGCCGGAGCAATCACATTGAAGATGAAATGGAATATTTTTTCTAATACTTTTTTTTGTCGTGCGCATATTTGATCGCCACCAGCTTCATCGTGGTGTACCCGAACACTGAACAACGTCAAGCACAATGCCTATCGGAATTCTTTTTTGGTCGTTTTCATTTTTATTGCAGCATGTTAACGCGACGGGCGAAAACTGCCGTGAGAGTTGTTTCCATTATGATTGCATGTACGAACAAATAAATGAACAGAAAAGAAATAATAATAAAAAGACGCTTTTCTCTTGTTGTACTTTGCTTTGCTGTATTTTTTTGTGTTTTCGACATTAAAGGTTTAAAATAGATTTCCAATGAAATGTGAATAAGTTTTTTTCTCCTTTCTTTCTCTTTCTTAGATTTCTTTTAGATTTCATTTGATACTACACTGAATATGATGTGATTAATATTTTTGCTCATGATTTCATTTTAATTACTTTTGTCTGATGACTTTCAGTCAATATGTGTAATGAAGTTATGAAGCAAGACAAACTTTCAATAGAATTTATTTATGAAATATTGAAAAATAAAAGAAGTTTCTTTGTGCGCATGTTAACACGATTTAGTGGTGAAAATGTTAAACTGTTGTAAGGTTCTGTGGTGAACATGAAAAATTTTATCTTAATTTCCATTATCTTCTTAACTTCTCATATTATAATGTGCTTCTGCTATGCTAAAGTTCTCAATGATTATGCAAACAAATATTTACAAAGTTACGTGATGAATTTTGGATAAAATTAATGATGTTTTATTTTTCCCGTCATCTATGTCAAGGATAATGACATAACGGAAAAAAGTTTTCCTTTGTTGACTGCCACTTTCTGCTAACAATATTGCTTTGAAAGGTTTATGTTCTTAGCCAATATCACATTTCACACTGATTGAAAGTTTATTGCAGTAAAGCAGCAAAATCTGAGCATTTAATTCTCGTTAGAACTTCTGACTTTCTCCTTAATGGAAAACTTTTTTGATATTGCTTTTAGCACTGTTCAAAGCTGCACTCAAAGAAGACAGAAATGTTTATTCATTGACGTTATTTCATTTCATAAATTTCTTAACTTTGACCATTCAACGTCAAACCATTAGAGTACAAAAAGAGTTTTTTCCGACTTCCAAAAACATCACAACATAAAAACTATTACGAAACTGTGGAAATAAAGTTTTACAGAAATTCAGAATTCTCCCTCCAGACGAATAATTTTTCCTTTCCAGTTGGGAAACGTAAAAACGTTGTTGTTACGAGTACATTGGAGAAAAGTTTTAAAGTGGAGAATTATCGAGATAAAAGCATGAAGCAGAGAATCCGCAAGTGCAATAAAACTTTTCTTTTGTTTGGTTTGAAAGCAAGTTGCAGCACCGCAAAAAAATTCTATTTTCGTTTTTAAAGTGATGGCGAGACGATATGATGGAAATTTCATTAATTTATTAAGAAATTTATGTACACGCTTCTAACGCTTCTATTTTTTTCCTTTTCTGCTTTTAAAGCAGTCAGTGAGAAGTTTTCAAAGAAATATCCTGCCTTTTGTTTTTCTATACTTAATTTGCGCTAATGGCAGATATAAATCATTAGAGTCGGCAAAGCGGAGAAATGAAAGTGAAATAAATTAAATTTTTGTTTAATGTTTTATCGTTACATTTTTCTTTTCTTTTGTTATTTTGGTTTTTGGGACGTTAATGTTATCCTTGTTTGCTGGCCTGGCCTTGCTAGAGAAAATGGAAAAATTCTCGTCTCTAAGGTTGATAAAAACAACCCATAATGAGTAAGAGGAAAGTTTTTTTTTATTGTCTCGCAAACAGCTCTAAATCATGTGATTTCAACTGAATAAAAGGCGGAAAAATAGAAATCAAATGAGAACGAACGCTCATAAAAATTCATCATAAAGATATTTACAGCCCCAGTGCTTACAACCCGCTTTAGGCTTTTATTTTTTTGCTTACGTTGCAATTACATCATAAAATTAATACTGCAAACGGGTTGGGATTAGATTGTTTAATGGGCGTCATCACTGTTGAAAGTTCGAGCGAGTCACATTCATGCTTTATTATAAGCTAAATTTTATGTTAAGCTTTCAAGGGTAATTCATAAATTATATGATTTAATTGGATGAATTATGAAGAATTGTTGATTGTAATCCGAAAGAAGTTGAGTAGCATTCGATGTTATGTTTAGATCTCTCTCAGTTTTATGCTTTCAAACACATAGTTTTCAACTTGACTATGTTAAAGCAGAAAATTAACACTCCAACATTGAACAATCCCTGAAAAATGTCAACAACAACCTCAGTTTTTAATTCAATTTCTGACCTTTTATATCATATAAAAGCTTTGCTGAACTATTTATGCAAACATCGAATGAACGCTGCTTTTTATTTTCTCTCTCGAACACTCCTTTTATCCTCTGATAAATAATTCAAAAATTAATTTAAATATATTTGACTATTTATGAGGTGATTAAAAAGTAATTTATGATTCTATACTACTTATCAAGTCCCCTAAATTTAAACTGAGCTCTAATCTTTAATCAAAAGTATTTGTTTCGCTATCTTCTCGAAGACACGAAAGACGGAGAAATTCCGGTTCATTTTGTTAAAACTTAAAGGTTTTAATTACCGTGTTTAATTTATGCTCATTTCGTGTTTACGAAAATTGTAAATTTTCCTTCTGAGTAAATAAATATTTATTTGAATCCTTTAAACAGGGTGCGAAAATTTTCAAGCCTGAATTGATCTTTAAACACCTTAAAATGAAGCAATAATTTAAAGGATTATTTTAAAGTTCCGGTCCCTAATGGCGGGACAAGAAAATTGGATATCTAATAATGACTAATTCGCTTCTTCCTGTTGTTATTATTAAAGATGATTGAGGTTCAAAATTGAAAGGATTCAATTTACGCACTTATCAAGGAACTCGCTGTTGGTGATAATTGCTTTTTGTTCGCACATTAACAGCACATACCAATAATATGTAAAGGTTCTCAGCTCAATTTTTAACATCTGACCGAAAATTAACTCAACATGATGCAAACTCGTCGCTTTTAATGACCTTTTTCTTCTTTTATGCTACCACCCCAATCGTTGTCATCGAATCGAATAAAAAAAAAGTTGTGCTTTCAATCGGAAAATTTACACACCATCAAATAATTACGAAGGCGAGTGAAAAGTGCGAATCATTTTGAAATCATCGCAAATGATTATGAATATCATTTACACTAACTGGTCCGGAAAAAAAATCTCGCATTCTGGAATGAGTTCAGCAGAAAAACTTTTTTTCCCATTTAGATATTTACAGAAAGCCTTTTTTTTCACATCGCGTTAAACATTTATTTTCTTCTTTTTTTTCGGAATAGTCATGACGAAGGCCTCTGTTGGGTCTTTTTCATGTTCTCAATGCCAAATGGCAGAAAGGCCAAAGATGAATTTCACAGAGAAGGGAAAAGGAGAAGAACGCCAAACTTTGATCATTTTCCCATCGAAATAAAAATAAAAATCATTGGCATGGAGGCAGAACGCAAGAGACGAACACCACATTATACATGAATTTATTCAAGCTGTGTTAATGACATTCGAGAGCATGCTACCAACACAAGGGGTTACGAAAAACTTTTCTCTTTTTTTTTGAAAGCTTAATGGTCATTTTTATATTAGCATTTCAGGAACAGCTTCAAAGAAGAACCTTTCATGGCATGGCACAAATGGTGAGTCGATAGACGTAATTCTTTCTCGCCAAAATTGCTTGCTTTATTTTTTGCTTCTATGTTAACGCATCATTAGCTTTAAGAGCATGCTATTTACATGTGATGCCAAGTTTAAGCCTTCGATGGGGATTAAAAGTACTTTAAATATCGTGCGAAAGCGCAAATAAATGAAGCTTTAAAAAGCTTTACTGCCTTCCCCCTAAAGGCCCAAAGTGAATATTTATTGCGTACTAAAAATTTTATGACAAACATTTCTCATGAAGCTTGAGCGCTGTTTGAAGCATCATTGGCATTTAATGAGAAACTATCAGTGCTCAGCTTCATGAGATAATATTAAAAAAAAGTCGCATTTAAAAATATTTATACGAACAGCAAAACGGGAAGTTCCTTAATATCTTTTCATCACTTTTTCAATATATCATTTCCATTCCGATGCTCAGCCAATAAAGTCAATGCAAAAATAAGAACGAGAAAATTTCTTCAGGAAATTGTTTAATTTTGGATTTATATGAAGAATGTGTAACAATGAATATTTTTTATAAGGAGAAGCAAGCTTCATGATTCGCAGAAATTCATTTTATCCTTGAAGCTCCAAGATTTTTCCTTAAAAGTCCTAAAATAACTGTGAAATCAAAATATAAAGCAAAAGATCGCCAGTTGTATCCTTATCAATATTTTCACAAAAGCTTCTCTCTCCTCTTCCTCCCAGAAAATATTTTCCTCGTTCGAGACGCAAGCGAAAAAATGTTAATCTGAAAACTGTTTATTTATTCTTTCAGAACGTGTTCAATTGGAAGAGAATTTTTCCCTCGACATCATTCGTGTGTGTCAAAGCTTCTCACTTCAGAAATACAAGAAGGCAAAAGGAATAAATTTCTTCTACTACCTAAAATAGCACACCCAACGGAATCATTCACGTAAATCGTCACACCTTCAGGGATAATTGTTTCGAAACTCTCTGCAATGACTCTACTGCTACCATGATTGGAGGGAAATCGAAGTTAATTCACAACTCACGCACAGCTCCATTCCAACATTTTTTTCTCAGCGTTCAATTATCTTTTTCCACGAATGTCTTTATTGTGCTTTATGGATTTCTCTCTAAACCCGGAAGCTTCTGAATTCTGATTTAAAAGCGAGACTGCTTTTGAAATTAATCTCTTTAAAAGTGCTTTTAGGCAGTATGTGTCAGTCAATTGAGTTGAGATTTCCTTTCATCTGGGAGTTAAAGTTAAGCAAAAGGTGAGAAGAACACAAAAAAATCCGCGCCTTTTTGCGGAATTAAAAAAAAAGGAACGTTTGTGAAAAGATGTTAGAACTTTTTTATGGATGATGACGATGAATGGAGGGTGTCAATTCTGTCGGTAACAAAGACATGGGTCGCGTCATGATTCTTAGGAATTTATGTTTCGTTTATTTTTCTATCAGCCTTTTTTCTGTCTCTTTCTCTCTCTCTCTCTCTCTCTCTCTCTCTCTCTCTCTGTTCAACAACACAAAAAGAACGAAAGTTACAATTGTATCGTAAAATGACTAAAAGCACTTTCTTTATTAAATTCCACAGGTGAAATTTTTCACTGGATGGATTTTCAGGTTTGGGTTTGCCCATAGAATGAAAAGCAATAAAAATTCTTTTCCTACTTTATTTTTTCATCAAGACTTTTAACCTGCAGCTTGAAGGCGAAATATTTTCAATAAAACTTGAAAAACAATTTTCTATTCGCCTTCGAGCTGAGCATTTATTTAATTAAATATTTTTCAAACTCGCTTTTGGTTTCAGTTTGTTAATGAATTTTAGTAATTTTTCTTTTCTAGTTTGATGGCATACAAATTTTGTTTTCTTAAATAAATTCAAATTGAGATGCTTTCAATGCATAAATTTTCCACTAAGAATTATTTGAAAGAAAAATTTTTCGTTAAGCTTAATTGATGGTGCGGAACAAAAAGTTCCTTTCCATGTTCTATTTTTAGTTAATGACATCAATCAGCAATGTTTATTTATAAAAGTTAAGTAACTTTGTCGCCACGCAATTAAAATGTTTTCAAATAGAATATTTTTTCGCCGTTTTCTTTATTATTATTTTATACCGCACAACATTTTAACGCATGAATAGAAACGATAAATAGAATTTCCTTTCATAGACTTATTTCAGTTCTTTCTACCCAGAATAATATTTTTGACAGCAAGCTTTCATTCTCTTCTTTTTTTTTTTGAACGTCTCTGTGTTGAAGACAATTAATTATTGCTGATATAAAGAACGACAGAAAATGAAGGAAAAAAAGTTGACAGAACTTTTATTATATTAAGTGTTAATTGAAAAAGGAACTTTAGTGTTTATCTAAGTGTTTCTTTCCTTCTTCCGTCTATTCAGGAGACAGAAAATTTAAGGAAATAATAAGAAATTCTCATTAACAATTTTCCTTCATGTTTCTTGCAACGCTAAGCTTTCCTTCGACTTCTGTTTGCTACTAAAATTTCTCCATGCTTTGTTTTCTTTTCACAAATATAAAAAATGGAAAAAGGAAAAGAAAATTTCGCTTGGTTGTGTTGAAAATTTAATAATCAGATGGTTTTGCCAATTAATGTCGATGATTTCGTTATTTATTTTTCTTTCTTAGCATTTCGGAAAATAAATACTTGACGTCCCTTTTCAAGAAGTCTTCAATGCATTTGCTATTGAGTGTTATCTTAAACGAAATCTTAAGTCGTTGAATGTACAGATTTTATCTCATCGAAATGTTCTTTCGCAGTTCTTTCGAATCGCAAACAATATGGATGTGTTAAATATTGACAGAAGTTTTCACAACACTTCCTAGAGGCGTTAAAAACATTAAACAGGAATGAAGAGAATGAAGAGAAGAGAAATTATGTATCAAATTAACTTAATTGCTTTCCCTGTATACAATAAGACGCTCTTAACTTTCTTGTTAATTTGCAAATTTATTTAATCGGAAAAGCAGTTAAACTTAAAGACTTTCACCTTTCCCCATACTAACAATACAATCCCAGATGGTTTTGTTCGAACTTAATCTATTCTCGTAAGGGGAATCACAACAAATTGCGCTCTACAATCAGCATTTGAATTGAAGCTCCGACCCGACAGAAGGTTTCTTTCATGCTTCCCACTCACGATATTGTTAACTTTTAATTTTCTACACAAAAGTTAAAAGGAAATCTTTCCTTTGTGTATTGTTACGATGGAAAAACGTGAAAGAAATTCACGCTCTTCAACAAAAGCTGAAGACAACTCAGACTCACGTACACGTTTGTTGCTTAAGAAATTTATGCCCCTGGCAAATTCTCGTTGCTTTTATTTGTTTAGATACATCTGAGTTAAATAAGTAAGTTGCTATTTAAAGAACATTTTAATGCAGATCAGGATAAAATTAGTTTCTAAAGAATCCAGGCGTGTTACTTAACATTTCAACTTTCCAGAGGGTTTTTTATGGTTCGACGCGGGTTATAAGATGAGGTCATGCTTTCAAGAATAATATAATTTGAAATTTACCTGACGAAATCAAAAAAGGAAGCATGAGAAATGAAATTCAATCAAAGGATAGCAGATATGCATATTCTGATCTGGCTTATGCATTTGATGTAATTCGAGTTTAATGAAAGTTCCGAAGTTCATTTAAAATTTTCCTTTGATCACTGCAGGAATTGCTACAGTTGGTGAATTCATAAAACCAAAAATCATTCATTTTACTTGATTTTGAGGTAAAGAATTAAAATTCTGATGTTTGAATTTCCCTTCGAACTAAAATTACTTTTCAATCACCGTCCATGTCTGAGCGCTACAAAGTTTGAGAATCTCTGCTTTATGTCATGTTTCCTTCTCTCTTATTTATCTTCATCTAAGAAGTAAAATGACGTCCGAAATGTCACTTAATACGATACAATAAATCTCATTAGTTACACTTGACACGAAACTATCAAGAATCACTTTAAGGAAGAGGAGCAAGACATTTCTCAGTCTTATTTAATACAACACGTACTTCAATTTCCATAACAAGCATCTCGCACGACATTTACTCGATGCTGCTTCTCTAGAAAGGTTTCATTAAATTAATTTCAAATTAAAATTTCGGTTTCAACAAGATAATTCAATGTACATGCATGCATAAATTTGTAAATTGAATAAATCATAGCATTTTAAAGCATAAATTGCATTTATGATTATCTACAGATATTAATAATTTAAGTTGCAATTTTATTCCACAAGCTTAATAAGTTAAAGCTGAAATGTGAATGTGTTTAATATTTTTGTGTGTGTATGTGTGTGATTGTCGATTTTATTTAAAGCAACGCTAATAACATCTTGCGAACTCTACATTTGCCTTGTTTTTTTCTCTTTTTTCAAAGCAATGTGTGTCAAATATGACACAACAGGGTATGAGTTTGAAATGGGGAAAAAGCTGAACGAGATAGGAGACGGAAATCTTCCCAGCGTGGGATCGAAATACGAACTCATACGATAAAGAATTAATGTGCTTTCAATGCTTTTTTGTATCTAGCTTTTGAGGCACATTCTCGAATGAAATTAAATGTGTGTTTGTAAACATTTCTTAATGTCGGTTGCTTACCCAACAAAAGCACGGGTTTCATCCCTCTTCAAAATTTACATTTTCTGTTTCATTTTCAAAAAGCAGAAGCAAAAGCAAAGTAAGAAGACATATAATTCTTCTTTTTTTATTATTCATTGCAATTCATTTCGAGTGAAATGAGGGAATGGAAGTTTCATTATGCTTACAATTTATTTCTACTGTGATAATCTATTTGTGTAGGGAAATCCACTCACCAAAACAGCGGTAAAAGAGATTTTAATGTTTATGCTTTATAAGGTGGAATAAATTTTATGCAACAAAAACACGTACATTGGTGATGATTAGAATAAAGAGAAGAAAAATAAAAAGAAAATATGAAATGTGCACCTTTTCACATCAAAAATAAGACAGCACAAGTGGAAAAACATTCCGCATTATCATTCTGTTTATAGTTTATGCACAAATGAACTCGTCACATTGAGTGAATAAATTTTTCTTTCCTGATGCATTCGCTTGGAAACCCATGAATGAAATAAGCTTTCATTTCTTTCATGAGTTGCTTGTTTGTTTTTCAGGGTAAAATGATCTCTTTGAATAAGGATTCTTATTGTAACACCAACACTCTTTCACTGTTTTCCATTTATTCTGTTCTTTGAAACTTTTCAGGTTTTTAATTACGCATTTCAAGCGTGATTCTAATGATAATGCGAGAATCTGCTGTATGTTGCAACTAAGTACAACAACAACAGTAATGTCATGACAAAAGCTGTTATTATACTCTCATTGGAATTGTTCTTTTTCATTTAACAACACGGTGAGCTGTTCTGTATTCTGCTCGTCACCTTTTCAATTTCAAGTATGTTGCCAACAGCGAGTATGAACATCGTCTCTCAATCCATTCTTCGGCACATGCAAGATACATTTATTTGTCTAAACATGACACTACAACTTTTTCCATTTACTCTATCGCTTACCAAAGCAAAGCTCTAAAGCATCCATGCAAATCTGAGTTGCTTCACTTGCGATTCCTTTCATGTCATGGTGATACGAATATTTCTAATTTAGGGCGATGGTACATTGAAGCAAACTGTGAGATCGTCTTTCTTTTGTAACACATTAAATCGCGTCGGAGTGTATGTTACATTTGAGGTAACATAAGATTGATGAAAGCATAAAATTATTGCGTCGTCATTTATGAAAAATTATTAGAAAAATTTCAAATGATTTTCATGCAAATATTGTGTGTGGTTGAACTTTTCATATGCTGCTATTATCACAAATGGCTTAGAGATAACTTTTCGGAGAAACTCATCACTGAAAATTAATGGTAAAGTCTACGCCCACTACTTGACAGCTCTTGAGAAAAACAATTTGTATCTTTTGAGTTGTGAGGGTCAGAAATGGACAGAGAAAGAAAAGTTTTGTTCTCAACTTTGAAATCAACTTACATAACAATCATGAATAAAAAAGGAGTTTCCCCAATAGATAGGAAAATTGAAAATGTAATAAGAAATGAAAAAATAAGCTTCACATATGTTGTCGAAATACTCAATTACGTTCAAAGCCTAAAACAATTCTCAAGTCAGATGTTGCCATTGACGAATCACCTCGTCGTTGAAATTGGCAGCGAAATAAAATGAAAATCAATTTTGATTCAATTATGCCAATAACATTGAAAACTGTTATTGATGCCATAACATTCTCCGACGCGTATTTTTCGTCAGTTGAGCTCTGCTCCCGTTTTTGAAAAACACTAAAAATCCATGAAATTCTTTCTTTCTTTTATATTAATTTTTATTTCTTCCTTTTGTGTGCTTTCATTTTACGGTCTTGCAAGGAAATAAAAAAAGCAACAGATTACTCTTCCTTACGACGATAAATGTGAAACATATTGAGCAAATATTGTTAAAACGTCACAAGGACTAAGACGACGACGAAGACGACGACGACAATGCATGACACAATAAAATGTCTTGAAAGTGTTTTCTCTTCCAAAGGAAATTCGTCGTTCGAAATTTTCCGAGAAAAATTCTTTCTTCTCTTTTTCATTCATTCAATCTGAAGCTATAAATTCCAAAATGATATTTTTCTTAGCTTCAAGTGAAGGACGTGACGTGAAAAGAAAGTTTTTTTTTATATATTTTCACCTTTTAAGTTTAACGTACCATAAACTGATGTTGTAACGTCATTGAACTTTTTGAATAAAAATATTCATTTGACCAAAGAAAAACAAAATGTTAGGATTTACGATTTAGGAAGACAAACATGCTGAGATGAACTTATTTTAGTGAAGAAAATCTTGAATAATTCAGTGAATACATAATAAAAAAGGCTTTATAAGCATATCAAAGAGAAAATCTCTTCATCTTATTTTTTCTTTCCTCTAAGTCGTGCACTGCTTTTGATAAAAGTTCTCCAATGTTAAAAGCCTTAAGACTTTCGTCCCTTATTGTGCATTATTACACATGAAAAGTTTCATCCTTTCAATCTCAAATTTCTACGCGTTCACTAGCAAAAAATAAAACGAAAGCAAATTATTTTGCAACCATGCGACATGAGACTTAAAAAATGTGACAAAAAAATGTAAATTTCTTTGTCAACACATTGTGCCATGAACGGCTGGTATTTTTACAGGAAATTTATACATATTGTGCTTTTGGGGAAAAACTCTATGACAGAAACTTTTCCCACTCTCGCCATGATCTATCATGCTTTCAATCCAAATTTATTGCTGCATTTGGTGAGCACATCAATTTTGCAATTGAAATGGGCAAAAATAATTTCATTGAATTGCACTTTTCTATGTCACTTGGAGATGATAAATATAGTAGAATGAAAATGAACATTTTAAAGTTGAGAATTGTTGGAATTGTTTCATTATTTTGTAGCATTTGAACCTCTTAATAAATGCCGATCCTTTCGTATGTAAAATAAGTAGATATTTGAAACCAAATAACTTCTTGTGAAAAACAAACAAAATGAACTTCTGTTGGCAATATTTGTGGAGTGGAAATAACAGAAGTATTGTCTGAGGTTTTCCAGACAGAGACTTATGAAAGCTTTCGTTTTTTTTAATGTCTTTCCGTTTCCATAGAAATTTTTGTTATTTTTTTTCTCTGTCTCAGTTTAGAACTGCATAAATCATCTTTAGATGTGAAAATAGAAAAAGCTCGTTGATATTGTTTTCATTCATTTAAAATTTACAGTCACGTTCTCTTTGCGATGTGTCACAAGCGATTTATGTTGATAAATAATTATTGGCATCACATCACCCCAGGGAAGTTCAAGCATACGTAAATGAAATTAATTATTTTTGACATCAAAACGAACGATGTTAATGTTTTTATCTTTCTCGTGCATTCATAGCATGAGAGTACAACTTTTGAAAACTATTCTTGACAAAACAACATCAGAGAATTAATTAAAGAAAACATTTGTTTTAGAGAGCTTCTTAGAAATCATCGCTATTGACAATTTCTTTAATTCTTCTTAAACTTTCAACAAGCTATGTACATTAATTAATGCAACTTTAACACTTCTACAAAAGGAGTAAAACATCCTTTGACAATAAACAATCTCAAATGAGATCAAAGGACGAATGAGTTTGGAAAAAGTTTTGTGCAATTTTATTTCATGTCGCTAACCATTAAGCTCGCTTGAAGAACAAAAAACCATTAGCAACAGATGTTAATGGCGCTTGAAGTCGTTTCTGGATAAAAAAGTATCAAACTATTGTTTTCCATGGTTTTATTTTTGTTTTTTTGTTGGGTTGTAACTGAATTCTATTAGTTACTGTGAAGGTGCATACCGTTTTAATAACGTCAAGGAAACGAAACAAACATTAAAGTGAAGAAGTCGTTTGAAAATCTCGCATTAATGCATCCACCATTAACCCACAAGAAGCAGTCGTTAAGCATGTTTGTGTACAAGTCACAGAGCCATGTTCTGTTTCCAAATGATTGCGGATGAGGTGAAGATTAAAACGTGGAGAAGTTGAAGTCAAAATTATTTTCAATTTCCCACAACAATGATGCTTTTTAAGAAGGGAAAAAATAATTTTTTAACTGAAAGCTCAGCACGTAAAAGCAGAAAATTGAAACTCATAAATTTTTATGGTAATGATAAATGACAATAGCAATCAATTCTGCCTTCGTTCACTTCTTCTTCTTTTTCGAATTTTTATCTTAATAAAATTGTGTGTATGTGATGTTAGTGAAAGAATTTGGAGCAGATAGAACAGACAAGACCCATCAAGAAGACGAAAAAAAGGGAAGAAAAACGAAGATTGAGGAGATTTATCAAATCATTTAAATTAATATCAGCAACAATATTTCTACATCATGAAAAGTTTGTTAAAGCTCTCAATTTAATATTATTCAAAGCCATTCATAAATTTTTAACGCCACCAACAATAAAACCCCTCAGCTTTTGTGAATTGCCTTAAAAAGTTAAATATACAAACTGAAGCGGGCGTTGAAGAAAAACTGAAAAAGGTTTCAATCATTAATCAAATCATTTTCCAAAGCACAGAAGCATTTGTGTTCCCGTTTTATTTTTCCCACCTTTCTAGGATTCTCTGTGGCGGAACCTTTTTTAAACGTATATGAAATATAAAGCTCTATCAATTACAACTTGATAAATATTGGCAATTCTAATTCTTATTTGATATGTCTGTCGTTTGAATGAAATCATAGGAAGTGACTTTTTCATCAACTCGAGTGGGTTCATGTAAGAAAACGAAAATTTAAAGAGGGAGAAAGAAAGAATGAAAAAAAGATTGAGTCGACTGAATTGACACAAATTGATATTTCATGACGGTAACAGATCGATATAAATTGGTTTTCCTGGGCTGTTCTTGTTCTCATGTGGCGGCAGTTTGCTTTCAATTTAATCTCGTTCGAAGAAATAAATTATGTTGATCGGAAAATTTATGTCTCAAAAGTATTTAGCATAATTTTTTGAGCTTTTATCAACTTAACATTCCAACTTCAATTACTGTGAGGTTAAAGTTCATCATTGAATCTCATCCAATTTAATTTCAAACCCTTGCAAAAAATGCTTTCAAATCATAGTATACGACATCATCGAGAATTTTACATACAAGATGAGACATGATTGCTATTTTATGTCTCTCCCCAATCACGATAAGAAAATCTCAAAGAAAAAAAAGGGCATATAAAACGAGTTTTTGAATGAAATTGCTAGCATGTGAAATTGGAATCATGTAGTATTTTGTCACCAAATTGATATATGTATTCATCTTTGTATTTCTTTGGCAAAAATTGCCTGCACAATTGTAAACGAAACGTTTATCGCAATAATAGCAGAAAGAGATGTTTACTTATCGATATCAAGCTCATCATTTCACTTTTTCAGTTTACGTTTCCCTTTCTTAAAGTCTTCCTACGTAGGATGGAAAGGTTCAGTTCAGGGATGATTGTCATAAACTTAAGTGTTCTTTGAGACTTGTGTAGAAGAGGTAATGGTAGATAGAACATCATTTGATTTCAAAATAATTTGTTGACATGAACTTCGAATAATTGATTTTCGAATTTCGAAAAATATGTAAATATTCGAAAATAAATTTCAATTTTGAACATCCTAATTTATTCGATTCTCTTATCCGATCTAACATTGTTAAAACATTAAACAAATATGGGTACTTAAACAGGAAAGGAAAATGATAAACAACAAACTCAATACTCTCAATTTTTTATATTTACAAGATGGATCAACTCTCATCCCTGGAGGATTCAGATGAAAATCCTATCAACTTATGAGGGAGGAATCGAAAATTGAAATTTCAATATTCTGTAACTACCTGATAAGCGTTGACGCAGCACATGAAGTCATCGTATGAAGGCTTTATACTTTGTAGATTTTCTTTTCTTTCCCATGATTCAAATTGTATGAATTTCATACCCTCATATATCATTTATCGCTTCTTCATCTGTTATGCTCGATTTCTCTTTCATTCGAAGCATACGCAGCTGTCATGAATTTGTCAAACTTCAAGGAGAAGCAGGTAATAAGCCTTGAGGTTGTTTGAACAAGGAAAATGCTTTCTGACCGTATTCTCATATTCTGTTCTTCTGTTTTTCTCTATTCATTTGAAACATTTCATGATTTCAAGGAAATTCATCGTAGATGAAACACGAAACTTTTTGTTCGAGCTCAGATTTTTTTCCTTTCACTTCTTTCCTTCTCGGTTCCCTTGAAAGGAACACTCCATAAAAGTTCTTCAATAAAGATTGATTACGACACATTTCTCTTTTTATTCAGAATTAATGTCGGAACGTAAAAGCATTGTGTAATTTATTGCCAGCTCTTCGAGAGTGTGCGAGTGGTGTTTGCCTCCTGAGGAAACATATTTACACTAAAATGAAAAAATGAGTGTCATTTAAGTAGCACTCGGTCAGAACTGATAGCAAACGAGTGTGAACAGCGAGTAGTGTTATAAGTATTTAAGCTCATTTAAAGAAGAAAGTTTTGAATTATTTAAAGCTTATCCATTACTGGCAATTTACGAGACATAATGAGCATTTATTCCTCGTTCGTTGGGAGAAGAAGAAAGAGTGAAAAAAATGAAGAAGGAAACAAGATAAATTTAACACCCTGGCAAGTTCTCTCTGGTTGCTTTTATTGTTTCTACTCTGTCTCAAGAGAACAACATGGAAATATTTATGCACACTAAAACCCGTAATCTAACCGAAAAATTTTATTTATGTGTAGCTAATGGAGACTCTGCCATTCTTTTTCATCTTTTTTTTTGTTCTCCATCTCCAACTTATTTTGCTGCAGAAGCGGAGATTTGGGAAAACTTTTCTCTCGCTTTTATTTGGTAAATTTATTGTAGATTTTATTTCTGGTCATTGTAATAAATCTCACTTGCCTTTGCTACGTACATTTAAAAAGGCTCTCACTTTGGCTTCCTTGATTCCATAAATTGCTTCAAGACGAAGGGTGTTAAATCTATTATTTAATTTTTTTCTTTCTTTCTTTCATCCCTTTGAAGATGTTTGAAGATAATCGAGGTAGAGACTTGAATCTCTGCTTTTGTGAATTGAGTCTTCAATTTCAACAAGCAGCAATAAATGTGATTCTATTTTCTAAAATCAACGATGAAAGCGCACCCTCAATGAACGTGACAGATTCTTTGGCTTAATTCGAGAGAATAAACATTTTTAAAATGGAAAATTGTTTCTTTTGTATATCTTCTGCTTTAACCCAATTTTCAAGAACTTTATTAATCTTAAAGATTTAATGTAAACAGGATTTTCATGGGATGAACCAAGTAATGAACGGAAATTTTTCACAATAATCGAGTGAACGTGCTGCGGATTTAACTTGTCTACAAAGAATTTTTTCTTTATTAAACTTGACGACATTTATGGGAAAAAGAGCTTTTCCAGATCAGATTTTGAATCTTTATTTTTCTATTTAACGGATATTTCTGGAAACTTGTTTGAGCGAAAACTCGAAACTTGTTTGAACTTTTCGAGAGAAGAAAAACTATCTGTATTAGAACTTTTCTTGTGGAAATTATTTTTCAATGATAATTCACATCTGTGAGAATTCTTCTTATTGTATAAAATGTAATTTATAAAAACAATGCACGTATTTACATATGAAACAACAAGATTGAACTGATCCCTTAATTAAAATGTTTGCGGGTATTCATTGAGAGTAATTTTTTTTTGAACGGCGGAAGTTTGGAAATCGTTAGATTCGTTATTTTGATAGACTCTGGAAAGTTTAATTATAGTAGTTCTAGCATTGATATTGCCGTGGCAATCTAACATTAATACAAGGGAATGAAGATAATGATCGCCATTTCAAAACGACCGACATTCATATTAATTTACTCTGATTACAAAGTAGGAATTGTTATTAACAAATAGTATTAAATACTGAACTTTACACTTGAGAAGTGTTTTATAAACAATTTTAATTTATTAACATAAACATTGATTGACATTATTTGCTTGAACAATGTTGCTTGGACTTTCAATTTTGAAGTAAATGAATGATCTTCAATCAATAGTTTAACGCCTTTCGTTCTTATCTTGGCTGATATGCATTCGGATTATTTAGGTAATGATAATATATGTTTACATTCTAATTTAGAGAATATATTGATAGTTACAAACAATCGACGAGGCTTCGACGCATACACACACAAAGACTGCCTTGAAATATCAGAGAAAGCTTCAAAATTCTCTCCACTCACTCTTCAGCTTATGAGGCAAAAACAATATTAATGCCTCTTTTGCCTTTCAAAAAGAATTTTATACACAAATAAATTTCAAACTCGTTTTTTTTTTCATTTCAAGTTTTAGATTCAAAGAAAAAAAAATCAGTGGCTTACTCGAGACATCAAAATTTCAAAAATTAAACTTCTTTGTTTCTGTCGTGTTTTATGATTTGAATAATCGCAAGTGAATTTTAATCAAGAAAATTAGAGGAAAGGTAATTAAAGTGAAAAGTTACTTCCTTCAGCAGTAATAATAATGAAAGAATAATTTTAGGAAGATGAAATTGACAAAGTTTTCCTTTATCTTCTTAATTGTAATTTCATTGAGTGTTGCACAATCACAAAATAATGAACGCGAGTTCAACAAAACTGATTATCACACGAAACGGATGATATTAGGAACAATTGCTTTCTGTTTCATGGCAGCTTTAATTTTAATCATAATTCTTATTCATTTGAGAGCTAGAACAATTTCTGGTCTTCTGAATTTGATGGCTTGATAAAAATTTTATTTTTTGTTTTTTTCGCAAAACCATAAAAACAAAAAATATCATAGAAACACATATCAGGTTTTAATTTATTGCTTTCAACTTACACAAACATAAATAAATATTTTTGTATTCTTGGACACATAAATAAGAATCTAGTTTTAATTATCTTCATGTTTTTGTATAAAATGTAATCAAATTGTAATTTATTGTAAAGAGTTTCATATAACTCAAGCTCAACACAATGGATGTAATGAAAATAGGAATTTTTTAAATAATCTCTTTCTTCTCATGAAAGTTCATGACGCTTTTTGTTATTAAAAATCAGTGAACTTTTTTCGTCTCGAAATACAAAGTAAACACTTTTAGAAATGAAGCATCCCGATTCAATTTTTACTCCCTTAATCCCATATTAAAAATCTAAACAGCTTTTCTCGCTTCATATTTTGTTTGTAGTGTTTAAAAAAAGTCATAACGTTGCAAATATTTGAGCTTCCAGCTCATCCATGAAAGTTCCTAACCAAATAAATGCTGCAAGGGTTTGAGTTAAGCATATATGTATCTACATGCTAGTATATTTCGTATCTACATACTGAAAGAAACATCCTGTTGCTTGCAATTAAGCTGACTACGTGGTAATGTTTTCCTTATTAAGCAAAAGAAATTTCTTACGACAACGAAACATTAGCTGGCATTGATAACAATTGCAATTACACGTCTGTTTGTCAGTCACGTTACAAGTTGTAAATACTGAATTTTTTGGAATTCCGACTGTTTCAAATTAAAGAAGCTTCTTTTTTATGTCAGAGAAGCAAGAAATTATTGTACAGTCTTTGTCAACTTAAGTTTGAATTAAACACGAACGCGAGTGCAAGGAAAAGCTGGTGAAAACTTTTCTTGTTATTCATACAATGACGAACGTGTTTAGATTACGCACCTGACATCATGAATTATTTATTTCTTGTTAAGGAAAACAAAAATTTTTATCCACACACAGCTTAGCTTTAATTTTCAAAGTTAAATTATGTTTCCGAAAAAAAAGGAAAGAAAGGAAAAAATATTCATAATTTTATTTCTGACGTCGAAGCGGAGGCGGAAAGTAAATTAAAATTTATTCGAAACCCTTCCAGCATCTGTGGCATATGTTAACAGTGAGAAAAAGTTTTCTTGAATTCCAATGAGATGAAAAGTTGTCAAAAACGCAAACAAAATTCTGGAAAAGAAACTTTCCTGAATGTTTCGGAAAGAGTGTGGCAAAAAATGTAAATTGACTTTAAAGAAAGAAATGAAAGTTGCTACCTCACAACATGATTGCGGAAACTTACTTCCTAAACATTGACGTAGTTTTGAAAGTATTATGGAAAGATTCCAACTTTGAATGATGCTGGCTTTTTCAACATAAAATATACAAAACTTTATATAAACTTTGAAGCTTTGTGTCCTGCGAAAAAGATCTGAAAGTTGTTCCATTTTTAAGGGAAGCTTTTATGGTAATGTTGGACGAATATACTCAGACAACTTTTATAGAAAGGCGATAAAATTTTTATTATTCACTGGATGACCCGCTGCACGACCGACTTTCTCATTCGAAAGAAAAAAAAAGAAGCAATTCAATGAGAAAATATATCATGCATGGAGATCAGAGCAATTGTTTGACCATTCGAGATATGTAATGACAAGAATCTCCATTTAAAATGACGTTCAATGTGTTTTGGCGACAGCATGTTGAATGGACTTTTCTATTTATTGAGAGTTTGAATGCTACTTGAGCAATCTTATTAAATTTAGCTCGTGTTGAATGTACGATATCTGTAATAGAGTTTGGGATTTGCCGGATGCAACTCTCTAATATGAACATAAAAAAGTTCTTAAGAATGTTTGCAGCTTTAATTTCCATTGAAGATTGTAGAAATTGATGATTCGAATTTCACTAGAGTGCTTTTTGAGAAATAGCACAGATTGCATCATACTTTCCAAAAGGCGTCTACCGTTTGAGAAATAAAAAGTCGTCAATGGAAGGAGAGAAGAAAAAGAATTTAACGAATATTAACTTTTCTTTTTTATTACATCCGATATTTGAGTTCGAAGCTTAGTAAGTGAACCATAAATTCCGCAATTCTTCTCTCTCTTAAACATTTCGTTTTTTATAGAACAGTGAATGGAAAATGTCTTTCGTTGTAAGCTCACATCAAAATATATTCAAATCCATTTGAAGGTGTCTTTATAAATTCAAGGAATACGATTGACATTCATGTGACATGTAAGATAATATCGGAAGGAAGATATAAAAGCTTTCATAAATTATGCAGAGTATCATTATAAATGACAGTAAAAGTGTTAACTTGCAGTCGTTAACATTTTTTGTGTTGTCAATGTCCTCAAGGAAAAGAAAAAAGTGTTGAACGAGTATAAGATAGAAAAATGATGATGGTTTGAATGAAATTTTCTTCATTCGAAAAATTTGAAAATAAATCTTTCAAACATGAATGAAACAGATCAAAGTTCTCTGAAATTAACCTACTAAGAAATTTAATTTTCTGCTCCTTTCCTACATCAATTCAATGCAGCTTTAACAAACGATGATTACTATTTGACTTAAATCAAAAAAAACGACGCCATGTGTCTTTATTAATTTGAATTTTAAATTAATATACTGCATTATTTCTCTGGTTGATGAAAGTTTAAAGGAAACCATCAAATGAAACGTTAAAAATATTTTCATTGCGCAATAAAGAATCATTCATATTATGACGGTAAAAAAATTGTTTAATGGAAAAAAATGTTATCGCGTTTGTTATGAAATAAATTTGTTATGCAACAGATTTAACATTTATGATAATACGTACTCGTAATGAAGAAGTTTTAACGCTAAACTGTATTATTATTGAGCTCAGTAAACACCAAAGGGGTAGTTAATGGAATTAAGTATTTTTGTAGCTCTTTATGTCGATTTATTCCCATTGTAATTCATAATTATTAACAAACCCGGAAAAAGTTAAACAAATTCCGCTAATTTGAGATTTCCATCGAAATAATTTTAATTAAATTCAGAACTTTATTATCTACCGCACAATTTCTGACTAAAAATATTAATTATCAAAGTTTTTCCTCTTCACAGCAATAGCTTTCGATATGAAAGTATCTGCAGCATGAAATATTAATTCGTCTTGACATAAACTCGAAGAATATTTACAAAGCACAGAATGTATTAAAGTTAGAAAAATATTTATGAAAAAGTTTTAATTAGCGCTGTGCTTGAGAAAATCTTGCTAATTTTATGGTTTCAAATTTTCAACCAAGAAAGCTTAAGAGCTCAATCAAGTTTCCACGAAAAATTTTCATCGTGACGTGGAAAATGCTTGGTCAGGCTTTTCATGGATTTAAAGCTCATTATCCGAACGTGAACCATACTATTTCATCGTTAATGTTTGGTTTGAAAGTCGATAAGCTGAAAATAATAAATTAAAGTTGAACGCTCGTTGTAACTAACAACACACGATGAAGTATTATAGAAATGTTCAAACAGCATCACGAGAAGCAGAAAATAATAAAAAAAGCTAAAATAAAACAAACGTGCTGAGGATTTGTGTGTGAGGAAAAATGTCATTACGCAATCATTTATAATCATCAAGGTGAGACTGGAAATAAAATTTATTGTTTATTGTGGGTGGTAAAGGGGATTAAGAATCAAATATAATCTTTAAGCACCACAGCATTTACGGTATTTCTCCCTACGTTCGCTCCTTCTTAATATGTCATAAAATCCCATGTTTTGCTTTCGCATCGTAACTTGGTACATGTGAAGATTTATCAACACGAAAATTGTTCTTTTATGCAGACAGGACAATCCCATTTAACGTCAGGCGAGGTAGTAAATGCTTATGTGTGCGTTCCGAGTAGATGGAACATTCCTTCTTTGTAATTTTACAAGCGAAAAAGGTAGAAATTAAGTGAAATAAAAAGTGATAACTTTACGACTTCTTTATGATTTCGAAACTTTTTTCTTTTCCTTTCAGAACCGTCCATTGATGTTGAGCAACGAAGCTAAGTTTGCAATGAATTTTTTATTTTGCTTTACTTTACGTAAAATTTTCACCTCATTTCTTTTTCAATTTTCTTCTCGATTTTTAATGGTGGAAGCTTAGCTTACGGTCTGCTGTCAAATCTTCTGTTCCATTAATAAAGTGACTTGCGCTATTTATAAATATTAAATTTCCACTACATGTATATAAGGATAACAGAAAGAAGGAAAAATGAAGGACGTTATGAAAATCATAGGAATTATGCTGTCAATGTTGTTCTTGTCATATTTAATGACCTTTTATGCTTTCGATTATTTATTGTGTACGCTTCTTTCTTTTATAAAAAATAATTAAATTATCAATTGAAAGTCTTTCTTTGAAAACCTTGTCGTGGGTGTAGAAGTTTTTTTTACTTTTAGTATTTTTAAAATATTTGAGTTATTAAAGTTATTCTACCAAAAATATACCCAAAAATCTCTTTAAAAAATTCAGTGATAACCCAAATGATTGACTCCATTGAAAAACCAAGTTGTCAGCAACAAATTAGTTGAAAATTCGTTTTCCCTTCGATAAAAATTGTAAAAGCCCCTAAAATGCTTCAGGTCACGACATAAAAAAAATCCATTTTACCGTTTCTAGTTAGTCCTTCTTTTTCGTATGAAACTCCAGAGATAAAACTCCGGAAAAAAGAAGAGAAAAACTAATGAAAAACTTTTTTGGGGTCATGAAAATTTGACACATGTTTGGGTTGAATAAAAAAAGAAGAAGCAGTCGAATTACATCGGCAACGAAATGAAAAATTATGTTTTATGATAATCTTATTATGTTGAAGAATGAAATAGAAACTCATACTCGCTGTGGTAACAAAAAGAGCGAGTGAATGAGTAGAATTTGTAGAAGGCATGTTTATAAGCAAGATTGATATTTTATTTCTCAGTTCTTTTCGTTACGAATACTCAGATAGCAAAGGCATGGATAAAGCACGCTTGTGCTTCTGCCTTTTCTCTCCTTTTTTTATTTCTTTTGCAAGCGTCTCCGTTTCGTTGTTTTCCAATTTTGATCCTTTTTGTTGCTATTTTCAATGATATGAAACTTTACACAGCCAAAATCCACAAACATGAGAATAATCTTTCATAAACACATAAACTTAAAAGGAGAAGAAAAAAAGGACTTGGGGTCGTAAAGCATATTCGCTTAGATATCTTCAATTTGATTGAATTTTTTTTCTCTCTCTCTCTCTCTCTCTCTTTTTCTTCTTTCGGTTCCGTTTTCGTTCTTTCATGAACCTAAAAGATTAAATGTTAAATTCAAAGGACGGTGATGGGAACAAATGTCCCTTGTCGCTCTTATTATGGATGACTTTTATGCTGTTTTAACGATCTTCGGAGTGAGCTTTGAGCATTCGACAACAATAAATTTCCTTCTTGAGAAAGGAAATATTCTACAGTTCGCTCCGCAGGATATTAATACACCAAATAACATCTTAAATCTTCTTAAATACATGAAAATAAAACGGTTCATATCTACAATAAAAGGCTGAAATAAACTTTAATGTTGATATAATTTGCGTAAAGCTGGGTGGGGGTGGCTTAACTAAGCTGTAACAAGAAAGAAAAATATATCTCATTGTTGTAGTCGTCTCGAGAATGATACTAACATAACTTAAACAGTCACATCAAGATCAGAGACATTGGTTGAGATATCATCGTCAAAATGATATTTTTCGTCTTCACAAAATATTCTCTGATAAAAAAAAATAATCTCGAATATTTTTGTTTCGCCCTTTTCTTTCTTCAATTTCTAAGTAAAATGTATATCTTGTTTAGATTCATGAAATAATAACAAGCTTTCTTTTCTTTTGAATCGTTCTATCCATGTACAGAATTTGAACATTTTTCCTTTATGTTAACAGCATTTATTTGCCAGCAGAATCAAGAATAAGCATTTTTATTCCTCGACAAGGAATCAGCATAAATTCAAATAATTCTTGAGAGTCTCGCACGATGCCGACATGACTCACAAAAAAAGATAAGCGAAGGGAAAGGAAAGAATTCACCAAGAAAAATATAAATTTTGCGTAACTTATTCTATCCCTCCCACGACTCCAATAAACTGAGAAATTGAGATTCATCTACATGATAAATGAGTAGAATGCGCTTCTGTGAACAATTAGATTGCCTTGAGGCTTAAGAAAGTTATTCAGCGACTAATCAAGAATTACCGGAAATCAAAACGACTCGTTTCTGATTATTGAACTGAAAATATGAAACTGTTTGATCGATAATAACGTCTAAGCATTCCCTCCTGCTTTTCTTTATTCAAAACTTTATTTTCACATGATGAATATCACTCCATAATCCCAATTTTTTTATTCCGAGAAAAATAATTTGTACAATATTCATCAGCATAAAAGGTTAAAGTTATTCGTTTGATATCTCAAAAGCTCTTAATGCCCTTTTCACTTACCTTCTCCTTCCGGGTTTTTCACTTACCTACCTTCTCTGAAAGAAAACATAATTTAGCATGTGCCCACTATGGTTACCTTACTCGCCCATCCGACCTTCGACTCAGCCTAAATTATGGCACATGGAAAGCACGAGCTCGAATAACCATAAATTCTTCGCCTAGTTTGTAAAATATTTGAAGAAGAATTTTTTCTTCTCTCTTTATGGAAAGTAAAAAGTGCTTTTTATCATCATAGATTCATAAATAATAAGCTTTCTATGGTTTTACTGTCGCTTGCAAGTATATGTATATAAAAAATGAAGATCCCCTACATCTAAATCTGAAATCTGTGTAGAATGAGAAAGGAAGACCATGTATTAGCATAAAATAAGAAGATGACTTCACCTGTGAAATAAGTTCCATACCCATAGTCTCACTTACCAAGTCGTCTACAACTCTCATTTTATGATACATGGATTCAATGTGCATAAATCCTTCGAAATGGATTTCTAGAATTTACTCTGTTTAAAATTTTCATGACAGTGGTAGAGATTTATTTCAATGTCTACATTTACAATATTCCCGACGGTTTACGATCATTCACCGTGTGATGCGCTGTTGAACTCAGCAACAGATCCAATGTCGGAATTTCTCTCTCAACTATAAATTATTACCATTGTAAGCGCATTTATAAAGTGTGGGAGGGAAGCTTACAAATCTTTTTCAATTCCACCAAAGCTCATTACAATCTAATTCCGTTGAGAATCTGAAACACCTTTTTAGTAATCTCGCGAGGAAATAAATTAAAACAAAGATCTGTTTGTTTTTTTTTTACGAAAAATTAAAGTCTTCGTAGTTATTTATTCATACAAGAATTGTTATTTAGTATTTATACAAGACAAAACCACAGTTTCACTTTGAATGCTTATTCATAATTTACAAGTTGTTCTTTTTTATAATGTGGGTGGGAGGGGGGATCGGGAAACCATACATAATTATTTATGATATTATTCCATTCACTCATTAACATGAAAACATTTTTGCAATTTCATAACATGCTACACTAAAGATTAAAATCAGTGTAAGTCGATGCACGGTCGTTGTAGATGAATCAGATTTTCCTGTTGATTAAAATATGAAAAAGAGACGGAAAAGAAATAAGAAGAAGAGGAAGAATATTAATTCCATTAAGCTCCATCTCAATGAGAATTCTGGCGTTGCCGTTGATGGCAGACATAAAAAGGGCAGAGTGAAGTTTAATTAATGCAAGGATAGCTTTTTAATCTTTCTGTTTCTCCCACGAACTTTTGAGCAAGAGTTTGAATAAAAAGGAAAAAGAAAACTTTTATCGTTGCATTTGTCGACGTCGACTTAATGAAATTTGCTTTCACCTTGCAAACACAATGAGAAAAGCCAGAAAAAAGTATCACAAAAATAAATTCTCGCACACTCTTTATTTTTCGCCTTTTTTTATGTTTCAGATTGCATTGCTTTTCAGTTCGAAAATATGAAATAAAACCAGGATAAGTGAACGGGGAAAAGAGGGTTGCACAATTGGATTCTTTTTATATCATTTAAGAAAATTGAATTTCATGTTTCACTGATTCAAAAGCATAACTAAGATATTGAGAGAAGCAGAAACAGGTTAAGGGGAAGAATTTTCCAAGGGAGTTCACAGCTTTCAATTCCCCTCAACCATCTCTGGAGACAAAAAAAAGCATTGAAAATTTCAAAATTTTGTTCAGGTGAGAAAAATCAATAAACAATTCTCTAGTGTGTTAAAGGATAAATGTTTTCATAAATAAATAGTTGAAAATTTTTCCACTTACCAGCTGCATCACGATCACTGATAAAGGAAAAGTGAACTCCTCCATTATCGCTATTTGCAAGTATTTGTGGATAGAACTCCTCGATGTATTTTGTAACATCTTTTTCATAGATATCATAGATTTTTGCCACACATTGCAGCTGAAAGTTGGAAATAATAAATACATATAAAAATGAGAATATGCGGTGTTAGTTATGATAAATTCATGTTCTTAAAGATTTATGGATTTTGGAAACTGTTCGGTTGGAAATTTATTTGCGAAAGTACAAAAAACTATGAAAACTTTGTCTGCTTTGTACATCGAGGAAATTTATCACGATAAATCTTTAAGAAATGTTTGGTAAGAATGCAATTTTCAAAGAAGATACAAAAGCTACTTGACTCGTTCAATATCTGCACTTTTAAGCTTTCAGATCAATTATTGCAAAACGTGTCTGAATGTGAAAGTTTCTTTTTTGTCATATCCTCATGACTTTATTAAGTTTTCATTTTATTTGATCTCACGTTCCACATTCATCGATTTAATTTATTCATGAATAGAATCAAGTTAAAAACTGCACAAATAAAGTTTCCAATCTTTTTTCCACTCACCTTCACCCTGCCTCGATAAAAATGTTCATTCGTTAACGGTAGCCTTAAACCTAGTATGGAAGTTTCACGATTCGTTACGGGATCGACTATCGTATCGTATTGTATAGCATATTCTGAATTGTATATTGGCATATCGTTTATCCACCACTCGAGTTTTGCTGGTGGTATTGATGAATTTGACGTACAATTTGCTTCTAAATTCTCTCCTATGCTATAATATTGTTTAATGTCATCTATCATGGGATTTTCTTCAGGAAATTCTAAAAATGCACAAGCAAGGGATGAGTTGATTGAACAAGATATGTGATCGACATTCCGCCACGCATATATCATTTCGACAGGCATGGAATTGTATGGAAGAAAAAATTATATATTTGATTAATATGATTTGTTTTCTTAAGGCAAATATTTGCAATTATATCCACCTACTACTTGTAATTCTCCCGACACGATGTGCGTTTGAAATGATGGAGCATCGGCACTTACTTCACAAGCATATCTGCCTGATATGTGTGGCTCAACTTTATTTAACACTATTCTACTCGCATTCGATGAATCAACCTAAAGGTATTTGTTGTTTTTGTGGTGAAGGATTCAAAATAAACATAAAAAAGGATTAAATCAGATTACTTTGTGCTGACCACAGAAACCAACTTTTCTCGCCCATTCTGAATTATTGTATGAAAGTAAAGGCGTGTGAACAGAATTCGAAATGAGCCAAAGAAGGTGTGTGTGTGGGTGGGTGGGAGAAGGAATGAAAGAAAGTCATCTCATCTTACATCGACCCGTATTCCAGGTAACTTGAAAATCTTAATCGACGGAATTTCCTTCGGCGTGTATCGGAAAAATTCTCGTTTTCCTTTGTACCACTTCACTGAGTAGAGGTCGTCGTTTTCAAGTTCATATTCACACGTCATTATAGCGTTTCGTCCAGATTGTATTGCGTTTGGAATTGTAACATGGACCATTCCAAGACCAGATACTGTCAAATCTGTGAACATAATCATAAAAAAAGAAGGAGAATTGAAAATGAAATGAAAATAATGTCAAGAATGATTCGACCTTTCGATCTTTTCTTGCAAACTGTCAATGATTCTATTTGGGCTTGAATAGCATTTGTTTAATGTTTTTTCTTTAACCTTTTTCCACTCTCCTTCACTTCGAGAGTTCTTTTGAGATTCGTGATTGAATACGTAAGGCTGATAGACTGATTTGGAGTTGTTAAAAGAAGAAGTTTCCGTTCAGGAAGAACTTGAAGCGTATCTGATGCATTTTAAATATCTGAAGGCGTTTCAATGTGATGAATTTTTTCCCTCGCACATAAAATAGCAAAATTTATTTATTTATTTTCCCAAGAGAAATTTAATCTATTGTTAAATAGAAAAGCGATATTCCTTCAGATGATAAATACTCAACACTCAATTCTAAATATAAAAATCTTCTATTCGACCTTTAAAGTTCAATGACATGACTTGAACAACGAGATTTCTTCATCAGACATGCCAAACCATCAAATATTTTATGGTAATCAATGGTCTCATTAAATTTAGAATTCAAATTTTCAAAGTGAAAACAATATTTGGTAATTCAAGCCATCACTTTTCAAGTTATTCCCCTTTTGGAAAGAAAATGAAATTTCAGAAACAACATCAAAGCCAAAGGAGAAATTTTTAGAAAATCCTTGAAGGCTCTTGAAAAATTTATGAGGCTTCAGATTATATGAAAGCAAGTTTAGCTGATATCTGAACAGTTATCAAAAGAAGGAAGCATTGATAAAATATTAAAGAATGAATATTGAAATATCAGAAACTTGAAGGAATTTCCTTTCAAAATTAGCCTTAAGGAACGAGCATGAAGATTGTTATAAAGAAAAGAAAAAAAATTCACCAAATAAAATTTATTACCATGAAGAGTGATAAAAATGGTAAATTTTATGTTCTTAACCCTTCTCTTTCTCGTCTTCGTTCCGATCATAATGCTATTATGATGTTTATAAAATTTAATCAAAATTTATACGGGCGTTATGGAAAATGGAAAAATCATGTAAAATTTATGAAGTTTGTCGGTCGAGTTGAAAACGTAAATAAACTTTTAGGTGCTGTAGACAAGGGTTAATTCGACAATAAGCTTTTTTAATGGAGAAAGCTACTTAATTTATTATTTAAACGGAATGAATCATTTTCAAATCACAATATTGTTATGTAATCTGTTAAAAACGAATAACATTTTTATTATTAATTAGAAGTAATAGAAAAGAAATCCATCATGCGAAAACTTTGCCACTAAAATTAATGATGAGTCCGTTTAAACTTTCAAGAAAGCTTGCTTTATTAATACAATAAATGAGTGTTTAATGAAGAGTAAAACTTTAGAAAGATAAATTTATTTTTACCTTCCTTACTTGTATTTAAATCTTTTAAAACATAATTCATAATTACTTGATGAAAAGTTTTGCAAACTTTGCTCAAAATTTACTTCGAAACATAATTTTTAAATTCTTTATTTCTTCTTTTCTAAAATTGTGTAAGCAAATATTAAGTCAAAGTTACAACTGAGATCCTGGGTCATTAAAAGTTTTAAAAGAGTTGCTGAAGCATGCATAAATGAAATTCAATTGACTACTGTGCAAATAAATTTCAAACTTTGATCAAAAATTGAGGAAAAAACTTTTTCAATTATGAATATTTACATTGAAGTTCAACATCAGAATTGAGAGAATTTTACAGGATGTAAAAAAGGAAAAGTTTTTGGCTTTGATATTCCATATTTAAAATGAGATACCTGATGAACTTTAAAAAGGGCGAATTTAATTTACTTCTTTTAAAGATTTGTCTTCCTGTGAGCTGTGAAATTTCAAATAAGAGACAGAAATGAAAAAAATGATAGCCTTGACAACGGCAAGAAGCTTAAGGCTCCTTTGAAAAGCTTTTTTGGTGAAAGAGGGTCACGACAATAACGCGTTTTCTTTGCAAACTGAAGAAAAAAGTTTCCCAAGCAACGCCAGTTTCTTCTGCTTCCATAATTTTTATTTTCCCAAAAGGCCAATCATTGTTTGAGTATCCGATGGAAGTAGATGGAATTTTTCTTTGCAAACGAACCGCTCAACGAGTAAGATGAAAACAAATTCTTAAATTCAGCTTTTTCATTGTTAGGAAATTTTCGTCCTGACATTTGCATTTAAAGCATCGTCGGAGAAAAAAACAGAGAAGGGAAAAAAGAAGAACAAATACAGAAATGATCCTGTAACGTCTCGTTTAATTTTATTTCCGAGCTGAGAGAACAACGATTGGAATATTTTTTTAAAATAAGGAAAAAAATGACATGAAATGTTCTTAAATCAAAGGAAAATGTTTTCCTTTTTACTTTTTACTTCGTGACAATGTTTATTTGAAAGAAAACAGTGGAAAACTGTCAAAAAAGAATGAAAAGCGTTAGAATGAAAATAGAAACAAACGCGACACTTTAATTAGAGCTTTTCACATTGTTGATGAACATTCAATGTTGAGTTCGTTGAGAGAATTATTTCCTCTATTGTTGGATTTTCAACAATGACGTCAAAGTTCGAAATGATTTATGATTTTATGCTTTTTTATGGAATCATGTTATTCTATTTGTTTATTTTTAAGTTAAATTTATAATCCATGTCAAACATAAATAAAGAAATTAAAGCTTTTGATGCCTTTCGAAAAATAAAATATGAAAAAAGTATCTAAATTTTGTTTGTCAATAAACTGTGCAGAGATAAAGGAAAGAGAAATAAATGTCAATAGTCTCATAATACCCTTAAAAGATGAATTATTGCTTTATATGCCTGTGTCTATAACACTGAAATTGTTCTTTAAACATAAATTTTAAAAACAAGTCGCTTTTGTTGTGGCGAAAATATAATTTCGCTTCATTACAATTTGAAATTGTCAAGAGAGGGTCATGACATCTGTCAGACCTTAGGTCGATTAAACGATACGGAACCTTCGTAATAAAAATCACATTAAAAATGTCACAATTTATTTGACTTCGGCATACTAAGAGACACAGCTAAAAAAAGCCTTTTTCATTACACAAATAAAAAAAAAGAAGAAAACAAATGAAAACAGAAAAAACGAATGAAATTTCAACATGAATTAAATGGCATCTAATTTGGTCTGCCCCCAGGAGCACAATTCTTTTGCATAAAGCACTTCAGGCGCTTTAAATAATATAAATTTTGTAACAGAACGGATAATTAATAGCCTGGAGGAGGCATTTCTTTGGTTGAACTCTGTGGCAGTTGTGCAAACAACTGAAAAGCACAGTCAGAGACCAATTCAGAAAATAAAAAAACGAAATAAATTATTGTTTTTATTGCCGTTTCTTATTTCTGAGTATAATTAAACAGAGTTGAGCTATTGATTCTCTTTTCATATTTGCTGCGAAAGCATTTTCTGACGTTCGGTTTTTGTTCAATTGCAATCTCAGACTGGGACAACAAGGCAATGAACGAATTTCGAATCCATTTAACAAGCAATAAAGGAGTAAAGCCCTCATAAATTTCATCTATTTCAACCCAAGTGTTCTACTCGAAGCCCAAAGGGAAAATCAACAGAATAAAGCTCTTACCTTTAATAATAAGCATTATTGAAGTGAGAAAATATATCCAATTGTGTAATTTAATTATCATTTTATCATCTACACTAAGAACAGGCAGTCTAATGTTTCAAACGACTCGAAATTATACATCAGCCCGTTCTTTCCTTTACAAAAACACTTTAAAACGTCGTAATGAAAATTTATTGTTGCTTAACTTTTCCTCGCTCAACAAACAGCATTTTAGATAACAATTTTCTCTCATTTCCTCCACTTTTTTGTATCTTGTTTTTTACTTTTTTTTAATTTTTATTACTTTTATCTTCCTTTATTTTCGTCACTTTTCACTTCTTTTTATTTAATTATCATTTTTCAACACGCAACACTTGGAAATAATTTTCCTTTTTTTTCGCTTTTCGCCTGACTGAACGTTTTAAAGAAATCATTTATGATCGTTTATCATGTCGTTTTGTTTTCATGTTTTAATCACATTCATTTAAAGCACTCTCCAGGGAAGATTTATCCATTATTTTTCTCGATGCTCGCTTTCGTTTTCTCCCTCCTAGGTGTTAACAAATTAACATTTAATTAAGCCCAATGAAACTACACATTTCGCCCGTTCTAATGAATAATTAATCAAGTATCGGCAAAAATATTTTGTTGTCACAAGCAGATGACGATCAATTCTTATATAAACATCACTGGCTTGTAGTTAATCCAATCTTTTGATATTTACTTTCCACATGTTTGCTTCTGTTTCACAATAACCTTGAGTGAATATTCTGCTTTCTTCTTATCAGTCGTTCTTATTTGTGAGTAAAGTTAAGGTCGTCCGACTCTTGGGAGATTTGATTAAAGACTGTGTTGCTTTCAGTAAATTTCCTGCTGATATAATGGCAAACTCATATAAAAGAAAGATTCTCAAACTGTTTCTAAACTGCACATGCGCATTTATGCGTGAGACAAATCGAAATTGTTCTCACATTAATTTGATCGTAACCAACGATTGTTTCTCTGGCCTTGTTATACAAAAAAAGCAATTAATTACAATGAAAAACCACTAATGAGAATCAGAGAGAAGATGTTTGCTAGAAGCTTGTGAAACCGATGAACATTGTTAAACTATCAGGATGTGGTTTTTGAGAATAATAAAATTTGAAAAATAAAATAAAAAAATATTTCTATGAGTTTTCATGCCTCAACAGAACTCAACAAGTTGTTAAATTTAAGTTGGGGGTCGAGAAGAAAGAAATAATTGGTGGAAGACTTCGAGATAAAAAAAAATTGTAGACAAATGTGGCGGCGATGAAAATTGTGATAACGTTTTAATGGGCTTTTCTCGGCTTCTGTCGTTGTAGCTTTTGTTGCGTGGATGGTGTGAGAAAAAAACATCTGAATGTAAAACATTTACCACAGTGAACAATCAACGAATGCTGTTCATTAATTAACTTTTTTCTTCATTTTTTATTTATTTTATTTCGTGTAAATCCCTCGAAAAGAAATAACAGTCAATTGGAGATGGAACAACAAAGCTATAATTTTGCAATTCGAGTTCAATTGAACATTCACGAATGATTAAACTTTTCCGTTTTTTTTATTCTTTCTTTCTGTTCACTCCCTTGTACTGCCAAGTCCCACCAAATGCCTGCTTTTATTTCATTTCCTTTCTACAAAAGCGAAGAATTGTGGAAATTGGTTTGCTTTCGTTTCGTTGAACATCATCGAAATAATTTTCGTTTTCTTAAATTAAGGGAATTTCATAAAGTCACATTCTCTGTAAATCGAGACTTAAGTTTCCCTTCGTTCGTCTAAGATGATGATAAAGTTTGACAATTTCTTTCTTTATTTTTCGCTCTTTCCTTTCCTTTCGTTCGTTTGTTCGTGTATTGATCCCTCGCTTAAACTCAAGGGACTCATATGGCCATTAAATTAACTAAAGTTCACGTCAAAAGCTCTCATCGTTGGAAACATATGTGCACACAATAAAAGGTATATCGAATGATTTTTCTTCTTCTACCTCAAACGTGCGGGTAATAAATAAAAATATTCTAGACATAATTCCTTACGGAGATATTTCGACTTAACGACATAAATTTTAATGCTTTCACCTTTGCCAGATAATCAGAGAATTAGAGATCAAAATATCAAATTGATATTTTATGATGATGAGATTGGTGTCAATATTGTCGTGATTAAATTTTTTATGTGCTGGTAATTTCTTATTTGTTAACTTTGTGTTTGTTTTATCAAAATTATTATGAAATTTTGGTGTGAAAAAAGACCCAAAAATTGACTCAATTTTCCTTCTTATAATAAAAGTTTGCAAGTCTGCACATATTACTCATGTTGATCTTAAGTTCCCTAAATACAATTATATCTTCCTACCCGTGGATAAGTTTTCTTGTATTCATCCATTGTTGTGCAAGCTCTTATATTGAATGAGTTTCATTTTTGCTTCTTCACATTTAGATACTTTTATTCTTCTTTCATTTTTTTGTGTAACATCGAAAAAAAATAACATTTCTCGGTCGTTTCTGCACAATCAGAATTAATTTTTTTTGTGTTCTGTCAGCATTATAAGTTTTCTTCTCCTTCATCATCAACCATCGTCTATAAGTAATGATGATAGTGCTGAATTTTGCATTTGAAATCCCTTTTCATCATGAATGATTACTATTAAAGCTTTGCTGTCTTTGTCTAGTCTTCATTTAACAGAAAAGATTTAACAAAGATGATCAAGTATAAGCCAAAAGCTTTTCTATAATTTTAAGTCAAGCTTTCTTTGTGAAGGAAAAAACTTTTCCTTAGTTAGCTTTTGATTAAATATTTCTCAGTGTTTTGAACAAGAAAATAAAAATTTCAGAGAGAGAATTTTTGCAATTTATGGCTACATCGAGGGAAAATATTTTTCATTTTTTTACCTCCCACTCCGCTTGATAATTCTCTTTTGAATAAGACCAACTAGAAGCTTTTGGAAGCTCATAACTTGAACATTGTACTTCTTGTTTCATGCTTCTTAGTCGTCGTTTCGCTAAACTCATGACGGAGGACTTTTTTTATGTTATCGGAAGCTTATTCGAGAATTCAATAAAACATCCGGTTTGGTGTGTATACAAAGTGTATTCATGTATTGTAAATATCTTTTGGCAACCTCATTTATATTTATTGAATCCACACTTTTGCGGATGGGAAAGTGCAAATATCACGATAAAACCCACATATACACACAGAAAGTTGTTTACTTCGCTCCTTATTTTCCTTTGATATTGATAGAATGGACATGAAAATTTAATGTTTTAAAATTTATAATGCTCAAAGTTGAAATTAATTTCAAGCTGAACTCGTCGAACTGTTCAATTTATTGACACGAATGGTTGAATCGATATGCTTCTAATTAAAATTTTATGTCATAAATATGGTTAAGGTATTAAATATTCTTATTGAGTGACGTCTTTTGTCTGCCTGCTTTTTATTTCGAAAAAGTTTAAAACAGTCTCAAAAGCTTTTAAGAAACTTTTCCATTTATGCAATGCGTAAGTTCACCTGGTGACAATCTTAAAGCACATCAATCTCCCTTCTTCTCCTTCTTGTTCTTCAATCATAAAGTTTTCAAACGAAAATTACCTAAATTTTTGTGATAAGTAATTAAAACCAAGAAAGTTTAAGAATCTGAAAGAATGCTGCAACATCAAGGTAAAAGTAAGAAGTAAAACGTTTGAAAAGTGTCTGTTATGCAAAGTACCATTTACGTTAAACGGCATGGACGTAACAATTTTTCTCCCGGAAACTTTTTCAAAAAAGAGAAAAAGTAAAAAAGGAGACATTTCCCACCCTCTTGTGATATTTATTTAGTTTAGTGCCGAGTACTTTGGAACCCTTAAAGAGCGGAAGAACTTTCTCTGCTAAGCAGCAATTTATCACGCTCGCCTCGTATTGGTGCTTCATGAAAGTTGAATAGTGCTGAAAGCAGAACTGAGTGAGTTACTCAATGGTTTATTATCTTTGTTCAGCGACCATAAGCAGGCAAAAGCAACGTAAATGATAGAATAATCACGCTTGCTTGATTAACCCAAGGCATCAATTTCTAGCATAAATAACAGTGTACGTGATCTCCCTGTGAAATAATTCATTCAACGTTGTCTATGCTTTCACGGAGAAAAATGTGATGTTGGGAAAACTTACAAGTGAAATTATTCTCCTCATGTTTGGTGAATTAAAAGTTAATGTATGAATGAATATGTTCTGCTTCTGTGGGGGTGGATTTCAATTTTCGAAGCGTAATGAAACGCTTTCTATATTTAACACGAGTGGAAAAAATTTAATAACTTTGGAAGGTTAAACTTCAACTTGAAATGAAAACTAAAAACGAAACCGATGTGATTGCATGTATGAGTAGGCAGGAGCAAAGTTTCTGATTGAGTCTCGTGGTTTGAATTTTGGAAAGCAATTAACAAGTGAAAATGGTTTTTACGTGTTATCTTTAGGGGGTGGAAAAAAAGAAGCAGTTTGATATTCATAACCGACAAAAACGTTGGCAAGTTCTTCCGAAAACCATTTTTACCTGTCATGACAAACGATTTTAATTTTCTCTTTTTTGTTCTAAGTATTCGGGTGAAAATTACAAAAGGATGTTTCTACCTTCTTGCTGTTGATCCATCCTTAACGTTGTCTTGATTATGACAAAGCTGTTGTTTTTTAATTAAACGTCTTTGTTCTTATTTATATCTGTTCTATGAAGGAGGAACAATAGAAGTGCCGCGGACTATAAGGAATGAAACATCTTGCAGTGTAAATATGAGAAATAAAGTCAAGCTCAATTAAAACAACGGAAAAATGAAAAATGATGTAAAATTTTCATCACTAATTTAAAAGCTTTCAACATTGGATGATGATTAGTGATGAATACAATGTAAAATTTCATCGCATTTACTATGCTAAAATGTTTTAATTGATTTGCTTAATTCATTCGCGATAATACGGAAATGCTTTTAGGTTTCATTGTGCTGAATAAACAACAATTCGATTAAAAAGCGGCAGGGGAGTGAGGCGAGTGTTTGCTCTTTCATGCTTCACAAAAGTAATTTAAAAAAGAAGTTTTTTTTTGGAAATTATCACGGTTAAAAAGCCTTTTTTGTTGTTTTGTTGAAATTAAAAAACTGTTCGGTGTCTGACTTTCTCATTTGGAATGTCTTTTGAAACTTCAACCCTTGACAACTTTTGTTTTTAACAAAATATTGCTTTTTCATATAAATTTATTTCTCTCTAGCTTTTATTTTATAGTTTTAAATAATATCCAATATATTTGGTTTTATTTACAACAATTCACAATGTAATTTATAAAAGTACAATCTGTCCAACCAGAGGAAATTGAGCTTTAAAAGTAAATAAATAAATCATTCGAATACATTTAAAAAAGGGAAATTCATGGCACAATATTTAGATGAAAAATATTCCAACTGTAAACAATACCGAATCAAATATGTTTGTTGCATGAAAAGCTTTCCATGACAATACGAAATGCTTTCGAAAGTAGTTCGACATACTTGAATAAATTTAAATGAAGGTTTTGAAATCATTTTAATATAACGCTGACTCTCATTATTGACATTTAGTCTGTTACTTAACCGATAAAATTCTACACTATCTTCATTCCAGACTCATGCAACCCTTTTTAAGGTTCCCCAAAATATTTTTTATATAAAACTAAAATCTAGCATTCTGAAATGGGTCAAACACAGAGCTTAATATAACTGTTTACGACCAAAACTACATGGAAAACTTTTTTCTTTCATCGCCATCGAACGAGACTCAGTGGGAAGCGAACAACGAAATAACTGTATTAATAAAAACTTAATTTTCATCCGATTTCTCTTCGAAAATAGTTTTTAAACTTATAGAAAAAGTCTTTTCATTGAAATTCCTCGGAAAGAAAGCGACGAGAGGAGGGAAAAAGTATGAAAACATCTTTCATTATCCGCTTTCAAAGAAAACATAGAAAACACACAATTTCCATGAAAAGAGAAAACATGAAGGAAAATCAATGAAAAGTTAGTTTCTAAGCTTAAATCTGTAAATGTGACGAGAGTGAAATCATTCATTGAAATCGGACGAAATGAGAGATTAGAAAACGTAGCTTTGGGGAGACGACGAAACAAAACAAAGCAAAAAAAAAACGAAAAAAAGGCATATAAAATAAAAGGGATTAATTTCTTTCTTCCATCACAGTCAATTTATCTCAAATTGTTGTTGCCTTTTAAATACCATTTGTAACTTTCTAAATTACGAAACTTTTTGCGCTTCATTCTCTTCTTGCTTTGCTTGCCTTCATCACATATTAGGATCTCTAGCAATCCAATAATCTACGCAAATTCCTTTGGTACAAAAGCTCCAAGGGAGAGAAGAAAAAAAGCAAAGAAGGCAAAAAACATCTCAAAGGCGAATGATTGCGTAACAACAGCACCAACAACAGTTTTCCTCCTTTTTTTCTCTTTTACTTCTGAGTTTTGTTATGTTATTGTGTTAAGATGAATAAAATGTGAAAGTAGAAAAAAATAAATTGGAATTCCAAAGATTCAATCCCCAAACCGTATATTTGAAGTTACAAATGTAATAATTTACCAGTATACATAACCCAGCAACTCCTCAAAGCACCGTCAAGAATAAAGATCGGAAAAATAAACGAAAAAATCGCTTTTTTTCGCGTCGACAAGCCGAGAGAAAGAAGTCCAAGCAGAGCTGAGAATTGAAATTCTAAATAAGGATAAACTTTTTATAAACTTAATTTATAAATGTTTAAAGTTCAAAATCATCACAGAATTAATTGAATCAAATTAAATTGAAATTCCCAGCCCTGAAATAAAGTGAAACAAGTAGTTTTGTGGTTGCTCAAGTGTGCGTATGAAATGTTGTGCTTTTTTATGTGAAAACAAACGAGAAGGGTTGACATGAGTTCATGAATTGTATAACCTTGTATGTAACATTTAAGTTAACAAATTTAGAGATTTCATTCTTTATGTCGTTACTCGTTTGGTAATAAATTTAAGTGAAAATCAGCGAACTTTCACCGAAACGTCAACGCCAGTTAACTCACGTCACTTCCTAACCGAGTCTACAATGTTCATTTTCCAAGTTCTTTGTCATAATCAGGCAAAGATCAGTATGAAAAGTATCAATGTGGAATCAACTCTGTGCGTTGTTCTTTGTTTTTCCGTTACTTAACAGCATGTAGCAATCTGCTTAGATATGGATGTAGCTACGTTATCCCAGTTCATTCTCATGGAATGAAGTCTACAAATAATTTTCTTTATCAAAACCAGAGATCCCTGAGCTGCCATAAATTTTAAATACGAAAATTTCCTTCGCAATAATGAATGCTTTCTCAACGGCGCTACACAGCAGCAACCTAAGCAGCCTTCATGCTTCTTTGGAAATATTTAAATATCTTGAAAGTAATAAAAAAGTGATGAACAACTACGGGATGATAAATATGATTTCTGACATCATGAAAAATAAACTAATTTTCTGGGTTTGCGGTCTGTTGGAAATTCAAATGATCAATGATTTTGTATCAAGTTCAGTGACTCATTTATTTGTTAATAAAGGCCAACAAAAAGTATAAAACTTCCCTTCGAGCATTTTCCAACTGAAGCAAAAGGAAATTATAATTTATTTATTTTCTGTAAGTAATCAAATATTTTTCCCGAAAATTTCATACCCAAACTCAACAGTCAACAGTGATATCAATGATAATTGTCTTCTGTTATGAAATGAAGCTTTTATTTTTAAATTTCAACAGAAAACATTGAAGCGATGAAATTCAATTTGAAAATCATGAAATTTGTATGCAAGCCACAACATTTTTCTCCCCTCTGGCTGGCGTTCACAGCATTCTTAAAGCACGTGAAATTTGCTATTTAACTTTGAGGCTTCCTTGCCTTAACTTGCCTCAACTTCAAGTTGAACTCAAGCAAACCAACGGCAACAACAAACTTAGCGAAGATAAGAAAAGTTTAGCAGCTTTTTTTTTCTCATTTCTTCTTTTTTTCTGTGATTAATGTAATTTTCTTCTCATTTGTTACCATCAAATGAACGCAACCAAAACTTTTCTACTGAATATTAATTTCACTTCATTTCCATATTTTTCCTAGCAGTTAACATTGGAAGTCCTTCGACGAACATACTTGAATTGTTTCATTTTCTTTCTGTCCTTACTTACTTTGCTCAGCTCTGTTTGCAATCTTTTTAAGTCGCAAGAAGTATTTAAAAGAATTTACAGAAAAAAAAAGAAAGAAAGCAGAGAGATGAAAGTGAGTAAATGAAGTTAATTTTAAACGAGATGAGAATAAAAAAAAGATAGAACGGGTCAGATACAATAGATGAACAAATTTTTAAGAAAAGTTTCATCTGTTAGCTGAGCTTTTCAGGGAATTGTTCTTCAATGACGTTAGTGAATTTCCCATGGTGCGAATTTAGTTCATTTTTGATTGTAGTTTTTAACTAAATTGCAAGAGAATTGAGATAGAAAAAATGAGACAAATTTCCTTGCAAACTTCACTTCGCTTTATTGTGTTGAAAGTTTTGCTGCAAAAGGCAATTTCTCTATGAGCTTGAAAGTTTCTTCACTTATTTAAACAAACATGACGAGAAAAATATTCCCATTTGTTGATTTAATCGGAAATCATGAACGTTTAAAACATTTCATTAAATTTTCTCTTCTTATTTCTTCCTTCTGTTGGTAATTTCATCGCTTCAAGAACGAATGATTGACTTAGAAAAAAAAATCAAAACAATTTGTTTACTTCCGAGAGACAAAAACTCATAAATCATAATTTCCAATTTGTTCTTGTCATGATATCAATAATCCATATCCTGTGACAAAAACATATTGAAATGGAAATTGCTTCAATATGCAATCGTAAGTCCAATTGGAATTGCGAGTCTGAAATTGATTGGAATATTATTTTGATGTCACTTTCTATGCTCATAGCATTAATTACAATTGACGATGAATTAATTATCGTTGGCTTCCTGGGTGTGTAGCTGTTAATATATGTAGAATGATGCACATGTTAATGTTGCCATACTGTCTGATACATGTTAGAACAAAAAAAGAATCATTTACGTGCTTCACTTACATGACCGATCCATGTAACTTACTTTGGAATTCCAAATCTTTCAGAGATTCTCAAACTTTTTCCTTCATAAGCATGCGCTTGCTCCACACAATGATTCAATCGACTTCTTCTTTGTAATTTGTTGGAAATTAAAATCATTGATAACATTCATGTATAGATGGAAACATATCTAAGATATTAACCATCACAAACTTATCGAAAACGTTCTACTGCTTTTCCAATCGATCTCACTATCAATTCTCAGCTACGTGATGAGCTGATGCATTAAATCATCAACTTAAATATCTGAACATAATAACTTATTAAACATTGCTAAGCACGTTCCAATGAACGAGGATGAAAGAAAAGAAAACTTATTTCATTGTCAACTTTTTTTTACACGCTCCATCATAACATGCTGGCAATGTTGTGTTATTGAACGGCCTCTGAACGAGTTCGTAGTTTGTTTCTTAAGCAGCATCAAGAGTATTCATATACAAATATACTCACAACTCATATTATATTGAATGAGGAAGACGAACTTCACATGGTGCGCTTTTAATTTTCTACTTCTCTTGGTATTTTGATGGCAGTCACTTATGAGAAAAATAAGTGATTGATTATGGGACCGTCAACTCCTATATCAACATCGATAAACAACGAAAGATGAAATACAGTAATGGTGGATAAAATGTTGTGTGTGCATAAATATTTACAGCAGAATTTTCCCAGTTAAGGATTAAAAAATGTTGTGTTTGTTGTATGTCACACAAAGGCTAAGTATGTATGTATGTATGTATGTTTTATGAAATATTTTCCAACATGTTTTCAAAGAATTTCAAAAGCAAAATGTTGTTTCTAGATTTACTGAAGGGGTGATGTGATATTACTCAATAGAGGAAACAAAGGAAAGCAGAAATGTTGAAACAATGACGTTTGTTGGCTACTTATATTGTATCCACGTAACATTAGTCATTGATGTCGCTGCATATGGCAGATTATGTTTTGTGGCCCACACGATTAGAATGAATGTCACTTGATTTTATCGACCGACGATGTGAACTTAACCAACAACCAACCAACCATTCTTCTTCCACCATTCACTCTGATGATGAAAACAAAAGAATATTTCTGCCTCGTCAGTATCTCATCTCTCATCGCGGTATAATGAAATGTCATTGTCTGCCTTTAGCTGTGATAAGGAAAATTTATGTTCCCTGTGAATTACCTGCTTATTATATCTCAGTATTCGAAAAATGTCGTAAGTACAACAGAAAAGAATTAAATGATGAGTCCTTTGTCTCTATCTCACTCTCCCACTTTTTCCCTTCATGCGCTGTTTCTATTTTATTTAGCTTGTTGAACAATTAAAGGCTTTTTGTGAAATTAAGTATAGAGTAAAAGAGAAGCTTAGTGTAGCATAAGATAACTGTTTTCAACATTTCCTTTGAGCATTTTTAAGAAGCTAGACAGTTAGGATAGCGAATAAGAAGTAGAAAATATTTATGTGAAAGTCTCTTTCACTGACTTACAGAAAAAAGGTTTAAAGGTTTAAAGGTTTGTTGCTTGCTTATCAAATATTCTCTGTCGTGAAGTTCAATTTTAGGAAAAGATTGGAAAAGGGATTAAATTGAAATGAGGAAAATAAAGGCATCATTAGCGATATTCCTAGAATGATTTTGTCAGTTTTGTCAAATATAATTAATTTTCTTCTTCTTTTCTTCCTTTCTTTATTAAATATCTAATCAAATTTTAATTTCATGTCATCGTTGAAATTTGTCAACCAACTTTGATGTTGAAAATTATTCAGAACAGAAAATTAAGTCATTAATTGAAGCTTATAATAATATTATGATTTATTTATGAGCTTTACAAACAGATTACGTAACTGCCAAACTTTTTTCTCTTTTTTTCTTATTCATGCGTTTTTATTTTCACTTCAAACACGCGCCGAGGAACTTCAATGTGCTGATGCTGCTTAGCTTTTCTCTGTGAAATTGAGCGTTCTGTGTCATTGCGGATAAGCGAATTTAATCCGAAAAATTACAAAAATAATGAAGTAAAGCTCTTTTTGAAAGGCTTTCTACACTTGTTGGTGTAAAATGGATAAAGCCAAAGCTTTCCTTTTATTTAATTGATTATTTTACTTCAGTAGGAAAGAAGCTTCGTTGAAGGTAAGTAATAAACAAAGTTTCCTACTAAAGCTTCTTGTGAATAATTAAGCAATTAAATGAAAGAAGAAGGCCGCTTGCTTCTTAATAAATAGATCCATTACAAAGCGACAAGCCATTATTGCACTTTCCTAGCCGTGATACATATTTTATTCATGAAATAAATCTTTTATTATCTTGATCTCTGCGTGGGGTGTTCACGGAAGTAATATAAGTTTATGTGAGGAATCTTCACCTACAACCAGACGGTTTGCGAATAAGAACATACATGTCGAAGAATGAATGAATGAATAAAGAAGAAATCTTTGAGAATTATTCAATTATTCAATGGCCTGGAAAACCTTAAAAACCGAAGAATAAATAAATAATAAAAGATATTTCCGATGAAAGCTCAAGAAAGTTAAACACTGTTTTCAGAAAATTATACATTTCATGGCTTACCGACTTTATTGACTCTCTTCTCTCGAATGAAAGCCGAGATAAACTTGGCAAATATTTAGTCGGAAAAGTTTTATTGAAGCCACAAAAATATCTCACTAGTAGAAACGATGGTGACTTAAAGTTTTGTTGACATTTCAATGTCATGACATTACTGACAATGTTTTTAAACAAAATTTTATTTTCTTTAATTTATTTACTTTTGATACTTCCATTAGAAGTTAAAGTTCAATGTCTAAAATTTAGAATTAAGTGCTTTCTCACAAAGTTTATGTTGTCTAAAAGATATTTGACAATTGTTATGAACGTTCAAAAAAAAAAAAAGAAGAAGAAAGAGTCGAGAAGACCTTCCCACTCACGATACTTTGACAAAGTAACATAAAATTCAATTTCATAGCTTTTCTACGGGTACTTTATCGCCATTGGATATCATAAAGTATGAAATGATATTTTTCAACCTTGGCAAAGTATTAAAAGGTTTATGACTGCAAGTTCTTTGTAAGTGTTCAGATTGAAAAGTAAAGTTGAATAGTAAATAGCTTAAAGAGCCTTAAGGTTGATAGTCGTTTCGTGTCCATCACTCTTAAGTCATTCTGCACTAAAGTTTTGTGAATAAATTAAATGGAAAAACGTCGCTTTACTAGATAGCAAAATAAACTCGAGAGGTTAATTAAAGATTCATGAAGTTATTCCAGGGAACGCGATAATTACAAAACTGCAATAGTGAAAATACATTTTACATCTTAAACATGAATTTTATTGCTTCGTTATGACATAACAAGAAATAAATGAAAAGCTTTTATGGTTGTAAATGTCTTGTTTTCTATTTGAAATGCGGTTTGACAGAATAACTTCGCCGCTTTGAGTGAGGAAGAAAGTTTTATAAGGGAAAAACTTTTACACTACTCATAGAAAATATTCAAACATCTACAATGTTGTTCTGAAAATATCAAATTTCCTTTATACAGTTTAAGCTTCGTTCTTCATTTATTTCCTTTTTTATGCTTTGATTCAGAACAGAAAACTATTTTCATGTAACGCGAAGCAATCTCAAATACATAAATTTGTTCTCTTATTTAAGTGAAGTTTAGTAAAAAAAAGCTTCTTCTTTGATTGAAGATTGTGTTTCTCGTTCCTCGTTCAAAAAGAAAGCAAATCAAACTTTTATAATGAAACTTCTCACCGAAAAACGAAACGAAATTGCTTGCGACAGCAGTAGATTTGTGAACATACATCCGATGAACAATAAAATAAAAGTTTTCTTTTTTCTTCTCTTTTGTTTCAGTTTTGATTAATTTTTATGTTCTAAGCATGAAACTGAGACGAAAAGTTTTCACTTAAATTTGATGTCATATCATTGAAATAAATAAATCTAAAACAGTTGAAACAACAAGCAACTGAGCAAAATTTTCTCATTGTTCACGTTTTTTTAAATAAAGCAAACAAAATATGTAGAACAAAGGAAAATATTTACTAAGTAAACTTTTATGGGAATTATTTGTGTCTCCATTGAATTTCCATTTAATATCTTTGCAATTTGAGAAAGCAAAATTTATGTGATTTAATAATTTTTGTTATCTAATCCAACTACTGAAATTATCTTTGACGCTTTCAATTACCATAAATCACATTGCAAAATTCATAAGAAAAATTTTCCAAGACTTTCTCGAGCTGAGAAACTGAGAAACTTGCTTATTGAGATGAATCTATTAGATGTTCATTGCTCATATTCAGTTCCCAAGAGATGATTAAATCATCGACTTTCTCTTTCAAATGATTGAGATTAATAACATTCTTTAACTATTCACTTACTGAAAAATTATTCTTAATTTACATTATGGAAAAGTTTCTTTCGAAAGGAATTTTCAGATCTCGTTAGAATAAACCCCGATGCTCAACATCGTTATCTGATATGAATTTATGTAACATTCGCTTCTTCTTTTTTCACATCCATAAAAATATTTTCAATGCAAATTCAGAATTTTTCGAACAGTAATCAAAGAATGTCAAAGAATGTCAATGCAAATATTTTTCATTAGTCAAAGAATTTTCTTCCATTTGATTTATTCGATATTTGTCTGTGAAAAATTGATTTTCTTTAAAATTCGCCTCTGCATGTTTAAGAAGCATTTGCTTACTTAATCTGTTTGTTGCTTAAACATTTATGTGATGCCTAAAACGGTAAACGAACAAAACAAAGAAATAAAGTTGATCTGCCCACAATAATTGCTGATAATCACTGGAACTTGTCGCCTTAGGAAAGGTTCTTAAGCTCCACAAAACTTACCAAAAGAAGATGAAAATAAAAAGAAAAAGCAATCATTCCATTTCCAATTCGGGCACAAAAACAAAGCTGAATAATCAATAAAGATAGATATCAGCTTTGAGGCATAATATCATTAACAAGACGAAATATTAGCAGACCGCCTCGCCATCTCCACTTACAATTTCACATAAATCATGACGATAATCATCGAGAACATAAAATATTCGAATCCCAGTGCGAAATGGAAGAAACAATGAGAATCGATAAGCTTTATAGAAAAATCAATGGAGGCAAACTTGTTGAGAAAAATTCCCATAAATGTAAATTGAAAGTTTAACACAGTTTATCAAAAGTTCACGTAATCTAAAGTATAATTAGACTCAATGTGGGTGTAAAAATTTAATTCTTCAACAATAAATAATCGCGATAACAGTTAACAGAATGAACATAGCATTCAAATGAGTAAATCCCACAACAGAATCATTTGATATATCAAAGGGAAATTTAATTTGTTTGCTTGGAAAATCACAAGGTCGAATTAATGTTTCATTCATGATTTGTTGGAAGATAAAGCTCCAGGCTTCAGCAACACCACAGCCAACTTCTTTACATAATGCGTCTTCATAACAATTTAAGATGTTTTTGGCATCTTCGCAGAGATTTGATGCGTTCATGTTCTCGTACCAATCTGGCTTACCATCACAGTCAGCAAATTGTTCATGTAATGAGATAAGCTCATCTTGGTGCTGTAAAAATATTCTTCGGTATTTATCTTCATTGGTGCAGTAGATTGAACGAAACTTTTCAACAGCTTTAAAGAGACGAACGTAGAGAGAGTTTGAGGGAAGGTTGTGACGATATCTTTTGAAAGCATTCACGTATGGTTTAAGCTTCTTGCAAGGCGATTCATGAGTTATGTATGTCATAATGTTCTCGGGACTACTGATCTCTAGTTGAGCTAAGCCATTTAATAGCACATTTTCAGAAGCTCTTCCTCGACTTTTATTCCCACTCGTTTCAATGATTTCGTTTATCCACACAGGTGTTTGCATTTGTTTGATTTCTTCTCTTCGTTTCCAATGTATAATCTCGTAAGCGTCTTCAATATCCCTTGGAGAGAAACAGCACCACAATGTCACGATTAATAATGCTATCAGAATTAACAAAATTACAGAAATAGATATAAAATTGACGTGCTTCATTTTCACCAATTTTTCTCTCCTTTTTTTTTCTTTCGTACCTTCAAGATTGCTTTGTTACTTTAAAAAATAAAAGGTTGAAGTTAAGAATTTAATTGGATCTCTTCCAGCCACTACCTTTAATTAGTCTCGAAAGGGTTCTTTTTTGGGACGAATTCTATCGGTTTACAATCGATTTAATAGTCTAAAATGCTTGTTTGAATATACCAAGCAAACTTCTACTCAAACCACAGCCGACTGTTAGATAGGACAGCTTAAGAGAATTTAGAAACCGATCATATTAAAATTTCAAGTGAAGGAAAAGTTGGATTCAGGTAAGGTTTGTTTGCAAACATATTCTATGATAAGAAAACTCAGACAAATTCTTGTTTGAAATGTTGAGAATGGGAAATTTATGAACTATGTAAAGTGAATTGATTTATTAGCTGATTTTAGAAATAGATATTCCAATGGCTTTAAATGGTTGAAAATTTTGCTTCCATGCCGAATCATTTTGCTGATGTGAAATGAAATTGATCAAGGGTAAATGTACCTTTAAAAATAAAATCTTCTTCCTTTTCCGATTCATAATTCTTCAACTTTTCCGACTTTATTATTGAGCAAGTATAAGAACAACTTCATTTAATCCACGAATCTCTTCAAAGTTTTCATCAAATGAAAATGAAATTCATTTTCCCAGCTTTTGTGTTTCAATTGCTGTTCGTCTTTACACGCCATTGAAGCACTCGAGAACATTCCACATAAATTGAATGTCACAGCCAGTGAGTTCGGAAGAAAAGCATTTCTCATTCTGCTGGTTTTGTGGCGTACATTGAATGGGAATAAAAATGAGGAAGAAAGAAAAACAACATCAATTTTTTTAATCGTTTTCTGATGTAAAAGTCATTGATTATTATTCTCAATGGAATGCCATACTTTCTTCTTTTTTTCAATTTATTTTTGTTCATCTTGAATTGCTCAATTAACTAACAATGAAGAAAATTTTGAGGGCGTAATTGAATTAATGAAAATTTCTGCCATACTTTTCTGTAAGTACTCCAAGAAACATGTGGAATAACTTCCCAAGTTTAGGTGAGATTGGAATAACATTCATTTTATGAGTCGTTATGAGACTTTCAATATCAACCACAGAATCTCATTTTTGAGTTTAATCAACAAAAGGCTGATCAAGCTTGTAGTAAAAAGTAATCAACTCTTATTAAAACATTGAAAACAACACTACACTAATTAATTTATGAGTTTAATTTGATTAAATAAGTAGGAAAATTTATAATCTAACACATAATTTCAAAAACTTTTGCTGAAGAAAATTTCTTTCTCACAAGAGATAAATGTTTGAAATTCTCAAGAAATTTCTGTTCCCAGTTTCCTCACATTTTAATCAATCAAAAGTAATGAGGAAAGTTTTTGATTTCTGTTCGCAAGTTACAAAATTTCCTTGTATTAGATTGATGTGTTATTCTGTTCGCACCATAAATTTGTGATCAAGTTAGATACTTACATATAAACATTTCTAAAATTTTAACATTCACAATAATAAAGAAAAGTTTTTTTAACAACTTATTCTCAAGCTCAAACATTTTGTCACATAGCATTCATTTGACTTTTTTGATGATCCAAAGTTTAATAATAAAATTCCATCCTTGGTAATATCGCTCTCAATTAAATTTCTATTAGTGACATTCAGTAACACGATAGGTCATAAAATGATGAAACCACAGTACTTATTCCAATGATTTATTAAAAGCTTAAATTTCATTCTCGACGACAAAAACTCCATAGACTTTGGATTGGGAGTTTATTACGTATGCAATCCCACATTAGTCACATAACATTGTCGTAAAAATGTTATAAAACCAAAATAAATGTTTTTATTAGAATTAATAACTAATTCACTGTTTATAACGTATGAGAAATTTTTGAATTTCATTCATTCAGCGCCATCTAAGAGAAGAGAATAGATAGAACCTTACAATTGTTTAAATAAAATCTCATTAGCTGTTTTATGAAATGAATAAATATTTCATACTTCACAAGCGCCTTAAGAATGAATATTAACAGTAGAGCACGTAAAATGTCAAACCGGTATCGCTTCTCGGCTGTAATGGCTAAGATCAAAGTGTAGTATCTGTTCTTATCAGCTTAACATCTGATAGTCCTCTCATAGAGAGGCAACAAATGTTAAACTGATTTTTGGAAATCGGCGGAAATAATGGGCTTGCTCAAGTTCTGCCTCGGGTTGGCCTGGTATTGCAGTACCTCCAGGATCGGCCCAAATAAAAATTCACATAAATAAAATTGACAATTCATGCCTTCAAGCAAATGTTGTAGCAATGTTGAACAACATTTGGTAATGTTAAGTAAACTCCTTTTCCGATTTTTTGTCACTTAATAATAAAATCGTCAACTGGATTAGATATTTGAAACTAAAGGTCAGCGGAATGTTTCCTATCAGTAACCTTGAAATACTTTTACTTTCTTGTTGCACTTAATTTTATTATCAATATATTTACATCCATGTAAACAACTTTTCTCATGTTACAACTACAAAGATTCAATCATCTCTTTTTTTACCTCGTAGCATTTTACACGAAAGACTTTCATCGTAAATAATAAGAAAATCGGAAAAAGTTATGCAATCATCACGAGTCGCACCATTAAAGATTGTAAATACGATGGATGAAGAAGAAATATAATTGAGGCTTAATGCGAGTAATATTATCTTAAAATTATGTAAGTGTGACCAACAAAATAAGGCAGTTTGAGACTGACCATTGTTGTGGCTTAAAGTTTTAAGTTGGTTTGTATGTCAGTCATTTCCGAGATATTTAGTTTGCAGCCTCTTTTTGATGATGTCATTCATTTGATTAACATAAATTTAAAGAGTAAAAGGAGTCCAAGTTGTAAGAAATAATTTTCAAATGTCTATAATTAGAATATTGAATGAATTAATCAATTCATTCTTTAAAGTTATTTAGGTAAATAGAATTTTTATAATTGCTTGGCAATTAGCATAAAATTCTTAAACCTTTCATGGGTTTAGAAAAAACCTAAAGAAATAAAGAAAAATTTTAACATAAAGAATGTTTTAGCTGGTAATGACGTAGATGGGTTTTTTATTATGTTTTCTAATTAAGTTTACAACATTAAAAATAAAAACCTAATCGACTCAGGTATTACTTGAACTCGTAACAAAGAAAAGTATTTTTAAACCAGATATCCGAAAACATTCAAATTAAAGAGACAGAAAAAGTGTAATGGCAAGAAAAAAGTCTTAAAAATAAAATATGAATCAAACGTAATCATGACATATTATACCGGCTTCAAGCGCTTTTCTGCTCTCTTTCTCGTCTCTCTTGTGTTGTAAACTTTAACAAAAGTGTTAACATTTCTCGCGCGCAGTTTTACTTTTCAGTTTTCAACCATCAAAATGTTGAATTTTGCTTTCAGTTGTAAACGGTCAGCAGTTGCGAGCACATTAAAAAGTGAAATATATCGAGGCTGCTTTCGGAAGATTTTGATTTAGTTTCGGATATTTCACAAGTGAATAAATTTAAAAATAATAATAAAAGAAAATATTTATGGAAAATTGTACGACAAAATCGGAAAAATGAAAATATTTATTGTCGTGTTTACTTGCTTGTTGTTAGTGCCAGACTTGATGGCAACAGCAACAAATGAAACAGAAGCATCTTCAAATGACTTTATAATCATTGCAAGAATAGCCGAGAACATTAGTCAATTGAAGTCTTCATCATGTAGGAACGATTTGAAAAGTGCAGTCGATGCATTTCGGGAACGCAAGCCATGGGCCGTTTCAAGTAAGAAGAAAAAAAAAGTTCACACAAATTAACATCATAAAGCTGAATCAAACATTTTTTTAATTTAATTATTTTGTTGTCAAACAAAACACGGAAAAGATTTGTCGTGAAAAATTCTGTTTGGGTCATTTAAATGTGCATGGTTGTTCAATTATTAATGATTCAGAATGAAGAACAAGAGTTATGGGAATAATTAAGATATTAAAATGATGAGATTCGTTGTCTCGATGGATTATTTAAAGCGCCAGTTGTGAAGATTGGTATTTCTAATCAGTGGAAGTAAAAAAAAAGTCTTGTTGACATAAATGATTTATCTATGTGCTGAAGTTAAACAAATTAATTTACCTCTAAAAGACATTGAGGACTTTGTAAATAAACTTGTTGAAAAGATTAGCAGCTAAGAAAAATTTGAAATTTTAATTAATTGATAAGTACCCGCGATGTAAACAATTAAATATCTAACGCCAATAATTATTTGTTATGTCTCATACTGAAACTATGTTAAATTGCACAATACAATGCGAGACGAAAAAGTGAAATGAGAAATGGCAACAAAAAATGATTCAAGGCCGCGACGATTTTTCACACTTCGGAAAATAATTAAAAAAGTTATGGGATTAAGTTCAAACTTTACGTTCAAATCTAAATATATGAAGATTGTCTAATTAGTAAATATTACGTCACGAAGACGATCGAAATTTACACAAAATCAACTTTAATTAACGTAGAATTTGTTATTTGTCTAAGGCAGATTCATGAACTTGTTTCAACGTTAAACGCATTTAATAGTGAAGGTTAACATACTCACTTCTGTTTTATTACTTTATTTATATAAAATAATTATTTCAATTGCCGCAATTCTCTAGAAATTTGTTAATTAAATGCTCGTTTCTCAACAGTGTTTGACGCTTCCGTGAAGTCGCCTGTTGGAGTCGAGAATGGCGTTGAATATCAATTCGGAAACTTTGACGAGTGTTTACAAATCGCAACAGATTTCAAAACTGATGGCGTTGATATCCAGCCGAAATATTGTCTCGCTGATGTCACAATGGATGGATATGTCGTGAGAAAAACAGCATCGCGAAATGTTGAGGTAAGAACAACTCAATATGATTAGTTAATTATTCAATAACTTATTTGGTGATTATCCTTATTGCATGTTTCAAAACAATTATAACTTAAGAACAAGCAAAGTCAAAATCATTTCCCAGATCTTTTTTACTTTTGCCAAACTCAAACTCAAGTCAATAATTGTCTTCAGTGAAGCATCAAGTTAAAGTTCTTATGTTAAAATTCGCACTCTCTAGAATTTGACTTAAGAAATATTCAACAAAGTCACACAAATATCCTCATTGACGATGTTTAATGGGAATTAACAAACATTAAAATCTCATCACGTAAAATGACAATCGAAGTTAATTCTTGTGCTAAAAATCTTCAAGTTTTTAAGTTTTTAAGTTTTAAGAAATCCCGACTTTCAATTTCATTTGAAAAAAGAAACTTTTCTATTGGCGTCACGTAATCGAAACAACGAAACTTTTTCTGGTGCTTAACATGAACACATGATTCGAGACGGAACATTTGTAAATAAATAAATAAATAATTCTAAGCTCTGACCTTCAATGACAGATTAAAAATTCTACAATTGTACATTGGGGAGTATGTTTACCAGCATCATGTTCAAACGAAGACATCAACTTACTCATGAAGTCCCTAACTCGCCAATCAGAAGTCAACATCGATTCAAAGAAGTGTCAAGTAAAAGAAACATCAAAATTCAGTGGAATTGATTTAACATTTGGGTAAGAATAGATGGAAGAATTGTTTGCGTTTTTTATTTAAATCAGTTTGCATAATTCAATTGTGGCAAAATTTCGCGACTTCTGTACGAATTAAGCACGCACGCTTCATGATTAAATCATTTTTTGCTCGTGCACTTAAGAAAGTTTGTGAGAAAAAGAAAAACAAAGAAATTAATTACAGTCAATCTTTCTCGGATCATGACTTATGCATTCAAGGTCTCAATTGCTTAAATCTTTCGTAAATTTTGTTATAATTAATTTTGTGTCGAAATTCATAACGCTTAAAATTATTCAATTTATGCACAAAACGCAATCAAAGATTCAAAGAGAATTGCTAAGCGACAAAAATATTTTCGAGTTTTAGTCAGAAATTTATTGAGAAATGTTTTTAATTCTTCAATTTTTACCCTCCCCAGTTTCACGATTCTGAGCTTCCTGACAATCGTCACATTCAGCACGATGTATCACATTTATGTAATTTATACCAGAAAAACTGCAAAGCTTCGAAATGACGTCACGATTGATGAGATTGCGAAATCGTTTTCAATAATTGGTGAGTAACAAAAGCAAGAACATTTGAAGTGTCACATTAGTTAACGTCAAACATTTGAATTAATAAAGCAAACGCCAAGAAACTTGTTAAAGAAAGCAAAGATGAGCTTGGTTTGAGTTGTGTTAATGGCATCAAAGCTGTGTCAATGTTTTGCATCATCTCAGGACATGCGTTGGTCTTCATGGTTGGTGGTCCGGTACAAAATACTGAATTTTATCAAAAAGAAAGCGTGAAAGTTCAAAATGCTTTCCTCCAAAACTCTCCACTGTTGGTTGATTCATTTCTACTCTTGTCGGGATTTCTTTTCGCAAGACTTGTTCTCATTGAGATGGACAAACGACGAGGAAAAATTAATTTCGGAATTTTATACATTTTTCGATACATCAGGTGAGTAAACAGAATTGAAGTTCAATGTCTTCACATATTTACTTAAATAATTCAACAGATTAACTCCAGCATATTTAGCGATGATTGGACTCTACTCGACTTGGTTCATAAGAATCGGCGATGGTCCATTGTGGAAGCATCGAATATCACTGGAACAAGAACGTTGTCAACATTCATGGTGGAAGAACATTCTTTACATTAACAATTATTATGGAAATGACGAGCTTTGTATGTTTCAATCGTGGTACCTTGCAAGTAAGTTTCTTTGTTTGATAAAAACATTATTAGAAATTTTAAAAATATTCATTTAACTCTGTCAACAGCCGACACTCAGCTTTTCATCTTAGCACCTTTGCTCATCTATCCACTATGGAAATCAATCAAACTTGGATCCATTTTCATTGGAATTACCACAACAATCTCAGTTATTATTCCATTCTACGTCACATTCACTCAAAAGCTCGACCCAACGTTCATTGTTTGGCCAAGGTTTGTTATTTTTCTTCGATAAAAAAGCTCGTTGATGTTGATTTATGAAACTCAATTACATATTTTTAACAGTGAAATTACTGACCTATCAGCAAACACTTACTTTATAAATACTTATGGTAAGACACATATGAGAGCGACTGGTTACATCTTCGGAATACTCGCCGGCTTCTTAGCCTTTTACGTCAACAAGAAGCAGTAAGTGTCATGATGAGACGATTTTCACTAGAGATGCTCTTAAAAAACATCAACTGAAGAGCTGTTAAAACTTAAATCAGTGCTGGTCAACCTTCTCTGTTTATCAAACTTATTCAAAAATGTGCAAAACTTAAAAGGTTGAGCGTCACTGATTTCGAAGAATATTTTATTACGATTATGTTTTCTAAGAAGTTTATTCATTGATAGAATTACAATATCGAATCGTACACGTAACCTGCTGTGGATTTTGACGTCAGTGATTGGGATTTATTCGATGTACTCTGTGACGCTTTACTACATTCCAACGTATCGTTACTCAGTTCTCGAAAGTGCACTCTACAACAGTCTTCATAGACTTGGCTGGAGTGTCTTCACAGCCTGGGTTGTCTTCGCTTCTGTAACAAGTGAAGATGGAGCTTTGAAGAGTTTCCTTTCATCACGAGCTTTAGTTCCTTTAAGTCGTCTCACATATTGCGCATATTTGACGAATGGTTTCATTGAACTTTACATGTATGCAACAATCCGAACGCCAAAATTCATGAGCGTGACAAATTTGGTAAGTTCTCTCAGCCTTGATAAACCGAAATCAATTTTCGTGACCATTTCCAATCAATTTGTTTAGCTTGGTGAGACACTTTCCCACGTTTGCCTTACATTTTTGGCTGCGCTCGTACTTTGTTTGTTGTTCGAATCTCCGATACATGGAATGGAAAAGATGTTGCTTAGACGAAGTTCACATGTACAATCACGTGAGAGGTCAAGTGAGTCTGATGAATTCAATGTCAACAGCAGTCGAAGTGCAAGTACGTCTGAGATATCCGCGTAATGTTTAAGATAATTTAAGTTAGTTACTTTAAGTAAGTTCAAGTCATTCTTTAAAGTTTAAATTAAACATTATGACAAAGATGTAGAGAAAACTTCAAGCAACAAAATAAAGGTGGAGTTAATTAAGTTTTTAACATTTAAGATTAAAATGAAAACAATCAGAAATGGAGAGTTAAAAAGTGTCATAAATTCATTTCCTTGCCAATAAAAAAATTTGTTCTTGGAAAAAGCATTGAAAAGTCTTTTTCAGGCATCACAAAATGCCTTTTGGTCTTAACATTTCTCGTCACAATCAACGACAAGGTTGTACAAATATATCACAAATAAATACAAAGCTAATCTTTACTGAACTCAAATCTATTGTTACGCCATTGAATATTTATTGTTATTTTTTTCTACTGGAGCTTTGCCTTGTTTGTTTTTGTCTTTTGATCAATGGTGGTGGGCTGGACAGGCAAATTGTTGTTAGAGACATCTTGAAATCAACAATTTCTCATCCTTTAATGTTAATTCGACAACACATCAATCTTTACTGCAGATATTTTAATTCTACAAGGATTAATGACGACTCCTGAATGTGTTCAGTGTTTGAAACGTTTGTTTGTCTTTTGTTATGCTACAATTTATCATCAGCGTTAACGATTTCTTTCAATTTTTTTGAGTTTATAATCTGAGAATCTTTAAGAGTTTTAATAAATTTAACTGCCAACTGTTGTTTGCCATTTCCACAAAAAATGATCAAAGCCAGAACAAAGTGAAGTTTAAGACACTTCAATTAAATTTTAAGGATTCTACAAAGTTTATTCATATCATTGTAGTAACAAATTAACAAATTAATTTTCTGAATGATTCAGGATCATTCCGAAAATTGTTTAATTAAGCAATTATTCGTCAAGAATTTCCCATTTCCAGCGTCTCGCGTTCATATTATTCTCAAATTTTGATGATTTTCTTGGCTTTTCTTCTTCAGTCTCATTCTCAATGCTTCCATTCAAGTGCCTGTTGTAGGACAAACAAAGGAAATGGTTAATTAATCTTTCAATTTAATTCAAAATATGAACTCACTCGCCATTTGTATTAATCTTGCTATTATCTTCATGTTTCAACTTTGTTCGTCGAAAGACAAAATCGTCTTCGTCATCTGCAAATGGACTTTCAAAATCAACTTCTGAAGATTCTTGGTTTGCTGACGTCGGTTCCTTTTCATGATGTTCACAATCGAAAAGAAGTTTTGTGATATTTTTGAATGGCAAATCTACACATAAAGTAAAACAAATCGCTGCAGTGAACACAATGAACAACTCCAAGCGATCAATATAAGACGAAATGTAAAATTCTTCACTACTTTTGTGACTTCCACTGAAGTAAAAGAACACAAGAAAGACGACGAGATAAAGCGAGTATGAGATTCTGCTTAGAAAGATCATTGGACGTGAACTTAAAATGTCATTCAACTTCCAACTTGCATCTGAGTAGCATGCAAAGATGATCCAAGCAATTGAGATTGACCAAATCATTGGCGACATTGCCGAATATTGTGCGGCAGTTGTCGGGTCATATTGATAATCTTTGTGTGAGAGATTTGATGGCGTATAGAAGCACCAAATGAATCCACACAGTGTCGAAATCCATCCACTAATAGCAACGCCAAATGGAAGCTTCACTCGTCCATATTCTTTAATTAGAATTCCCAAAGAAATTCCACTTAAATATGGCGTAAGTCGATGAAGTGCAACCGAAAATGTAATGTTGAATGTTCGATAAAGTTGACTGAGTCTGCAAATAACAAAGCGGATAGAAGAACAAAAATTACTTTAAATATTTGAAATTTTAAATCAATTACTTCATCCCATGGAAAACCACAACAGAAAGACGATTGTCAACAGTCGATGAGAAGCGAGCGGCTGCCGAAAGTGCGTGCAGAATACCGTAAAGTCCAAGGCCAAAACTTGGATGTTTATAAATGAAGAATATCAGAAAAGGTGACAATATCATCAGTTGCATGTCAACTGCTAAGTGATATGTGTGGGTGGCGCACTTTAAATATAAAACCATTAAAACATTAATAAAAAATAATTTAATTAAACTTCACCATGTCTTCAATATTATAGAAATTCTGAATAAATAAGAAATTCTTCCACATGTTGCTTTTACATAAGTCAGCATTTTTATCAACAACAGCTGACCATTGTGGACCAGTTCCGAGATGTTCCCAGACGAAAGCATAAAACAAGAGCACGACGATGAGTGGCAAGACAAGTCTTAAGACTCTCATCAGCACTTTTCTAAACCACAAACTCTTTTTATCGCATGAAATAATCTTTAAAATGCTGAAGGTTGTTAGAAGTCCACTGATCAGGAAGAAGACATCTTCATACAAGAACGAAGTTCTTATAAATACCGAGAACGGTGAGTTGAAGAACTCCGTAAGTTTGTTACGATTCGAGTATGGCACTCGACCCATTGGAATCAATTTCAAAGAAATTATCAGTAAAACAATTGACAAAGCTTTTAATCCATGCAAGCATTTGATGTCATCATCGGAAGCAGTCAACAAATACGTAAGATTTCGCTTAACTGAAAAGCATTTTAAAATCTGATTCGCGAATCCATTTTTAACTTCAACTTGTTTGCTTTCGTCGCGTTTTTTTACATCTTCGTCATTGTTTGACTTTCCAGTGAGAATTGATGAAAAAATTGGAGAATCCAAATAGTCGTTCATTGTTGCGAGAAATGTTGCTGCGACAATAAGGAGAAGAAGTGAACTGGAAGTAAAAATTTGAATTAATTTATCATCATAATGAATCGTGAAAGTTCTTGCCATGTTCCGAAAATCTTCCAGTCGCTTTTCACTAATTTAACGACATCGACATGCTGTCGAACGTAGCAACTGTCTTCATTAACATTTATGTGGAGTTTGATGCCAGTCGAGTTGTATGGGCCAATGAATGACTCTAAAATTTGATCAGCATCGTGGTATGTGCATGCCGATGGCAAACAAAGTCCCCAATTGATGGTTGAGTAACGAGGGAAAAAGTGGTTTGGCTATTAACGTGTGAAATGTGAGAAACACGAAATTATGAACTTCATGCGAACTTACGTCATTGATTGTACTTCTTATGAAGTTTCTGCCCTGAATCAAATGAACTGGCAGTTTCAATTGATCAGCTGCCGCCACGACATCAATGTTTGCTAAGCAATATTTCCCTTTCATCTTCATGTTGTTACTTTCGGAGATTTTAATCTTTTGCGAGATTTTTGTGCATAAATCAAAGTCACCAAGTTGATTTGTGTTTCCCCTCATTAATCCAGAAGGAATTTTAGCGTTCGCATCCATCATTTGCAGTGCCCAAATGCGCTGACCACGAAGTTGTCTTTGAAAAACTTCGCCTTGCTTTTGGCATTCAGGATTTTTAACTTTCGAATAATCGGGAACGAACGATGGAAGATTTAAAAGAAGCTTCTCGAATTGTTTCTGAGCTAAGTGAGCTTCTTCTTTAGATTTCTTTTTAACAACTGGTTTCGATGATGGTTGCTTTGGTGTTTCGGTTGTCGTTTCAGTTTTCACAGCTTCTTCTTCGGATGTTTGTTTGATCAGCTGTTCAGTGTGTTCACGCTCATGTTCTTGTTCTTCCTTCAATAATCTTCGATAGTTGATCTCGTCTTCTTCGCTATCTTCTAAATTAACTGCATCTTCGTCATCTTGAGAATCGTTAAAATCAAAAATCAAGTTGAAAGGTTTTCGATTAAATAAAGCCGTCCACGATTCTTTTATTTGAGATTTTCTTTTGCTTTCAGGAGTTTTCTCGTCTGATTCTTTCTCTTCGTCGTTGTCGTCATCATCTTCGTTGTCATCTTCGTTGTCATCGTCATCTTCATCATCAAGTTCATCACTATCATCAGCAACATTCGAGATTTTCTTTTGCTTTTCGCGTGCTTCTAAAAAGTCTTTAATTTTTTCAAAAACTTCTGATAAAAATGGTTTGTTTTCTTCCATGTCGTCATCATCGTCATCATCGTCTTCCACCTCAGCTGATTCATCTTTCTTTTCATCATTTTCTTCATCGTCGTCTTCTTCTTTTTCTTCACGTGGTTTTCTCTTGAAGAAATTTAAGATTTTTGAGAAGAAGGAAACTTTTTCTTCGCTCTCATCATTCTCGTTGTCATCGTCGTCATCATCGTCTTCAACTTCATTGTCTTTAATTATTTTAGGTTTGCGAAATTGAGCTAATTTTGAAAATCTTAAGTTCGTTCGTTTCTTAACTTCAAATGTCGGTTTTCGTACTTTTGCAAATGTATAATCATTTGAATCTTCAGAAGAATCTTCAACATCATCATCATTGTTATCATCTTCATCATCATCATCGTCGTCGTTTTCTGCAGAAATGTCAACTGTTTTCAACTTCTTGAATGGAAATCGAATTTTTGTTGTTTTCTTCCCGCTTACACCTCCACCGACACTTGTCTCACTACCACCATCATTCAAATCACGTAATTGAAAATTTTCACAACTTTTAATCGCGATCGTCAGGAGAAGAAAAATTGCCAGAAAAATGAGTTTTGGATCAAAAAGCTTCTTCATTGCACTACTTTATACATCAAATATGAAGATTAAAATCAAAATAAAAGAACTAAAATGAAAATATTGAACTTCTAAATGCAAATTATGATTAAGATTGTGTCAAAAATGTCGCGATCTAAACTGAAGAAAATATTCGAGGGAACTGAGCGAAAAAAAAATCCCCGAGAATTTTATTTTTTGTGAGAAAATGTTAAAGGTTAAAAATAGATCGGAAAAACTTTAATTTTCTCCTTCATTTTTGTCTTTAAAAAAGAAGAAATAATTGTCGATGTTTGAGTATAAACAGAGAAAAGCTTTGAAGTTTATTGAGAAAAATATAAGCAACACGTCATGACAACAATGCAACAAGTGTCAGTCTATTTCTAGGCAAAGCGTTAATGAAACAAGTCTAAAGATTAATTCAGAAAAATTCCCCTTTGAACAATAAAACTTTAAAATGTTCATCAATTATTGAAACATTCAAGGACGAACAGAACATTTAAATTAGATATATCAACAAAGAAATAAATGTTCTTGTTTGTGGCTACGTGAGAGTTAATGAAGATTTTGGTAAAGTCAAAGTTAACATGCAAGGGTAAGAATGAATGATACTTGGCTTTTCCAGTACGTAAAACTTACTGTTTTAAAAGATAAGAATAATATTTTCTAGGAATATTTTTTGGGATTTACCAAAATTGAATAAGATAAATTATTTTTGTTCATTTTTTAGTTCCTCTTTATCAAGAATCTAGAGATCAATTGACAGTGATCGTCTTATTTTTTTCACGAACCATTTTTAAACACGCCAATTCATTACAGTAAGTTTATGAACAATAAGAAATATTGATTGATTGATTGATGTTTGTTTTATTACCGATACGGTACTTTTTTTTTACATTAGATTAGTATTTTGCGAGATGTACTCGTCTCGCGCTCGAGGTAAATACCTTATTTTTTTTCCTTATTCTTGTTGTCGATTTAAACAAAATTATTTTTGTCATACTTTGTTCAATTTTAAGTCTTGTTATGTTATGATTTATTAGGGGCAAGCGCGAACGCAAGCCCCTGCTACCAAAAATTGCGCGAACGAGTTATTCATATGCTGAATAATCGCAACCGTCAAACCACCCGTAGTGCAATGGGCAGTCCTCAGATTGGGGGAACAACCTTCCTGATCATTGTAAACCCCTACGCCAGGTAAGTATGAGTTCACCAACTTTCACTCGCACTACTCATTACTTGTCTTCTTAAGAAAAATGTGAAGTATGAAATTAATCACAAATCGCTACATCAAAAATTATTAGGAAATTTGTATGGAACAAAGTAGAATATGAAACTGAAAACATTTGAAGGGTTTCAAAATCAATAACAGCATTTTAGATTTAAATTTATTCTAGCCGTTTTATTCACATAAAAATATTTTCGTTATAAAAATGTGTAAAAAATATATATTGGTAAGGCATTTTGATGTAGGAAGCTCTCGTAAGATTATGTGATCACAATTTCAGGATTTGGTTGGATGTCATATCCATGTAGACTATAGAGAATTGAAGTGTACCATGTGATCTGATCGTTGATGTTATTGCCGGCAATAATATGTCCAATAAATGGTGAGTCTCTGTTTCTGTTAATAAAAATAATTCAGTAAATAAAACTATGAAGATAAAATTCATTTGCTCACCTTTTTGCAAAATTTAACTCAACGAGAGTCAACGCCCATCGCATTTGACTGTCGCGTTTCTTCTCAGCACCAAGATAAGTCAAACAATTCGATGCATCAAAGTCTTTTACTTTAACATTTGCTCCTTTCTCAGTTTTCAGAACATTAATTATCGTATCGTTAAGTTCAAGAGTAAATGTTTTCATTGTTTTGGTTTTTTTATCAGCAAACTTCAACTCCATGCATGGTGTCAAGGATGGAAGCGTTTTAAGAGCTCGCTCGATTTGTTCTTGAAATTTAGTTTTCGGTCGAAGTTCAAGATAATTTGTTTTTCTATCTTCCTCAGGCCAATTAGCCCAACGTAAAATAGTGTGTAGTACTTTCTCATTATAATGTAATGGTCGCTGTAATTCGCCTTTTAGAATAACTTCCATTAATGTCATTTGATGTGCTGGAAGATTCATCTGCGTCTCAAGTTCTTTGCAAACCTCATAAACAGTTTTTTGCGGTGTCACAGCGACATTTACTTGCTTTTTATCTTCAAGTTTTAAATTAAACTCGGGATGATTATCAATTGTTACCCAAATTTTAAAGTCACCAGAATGCTTTACAGTGTGAGATAAATTTTCAGCAGCTGAATGATATTTTTGTAAAACTGCCAACATAATTTGCTCGGTTTTAATTTCATCATCTGACAGCTCATAAAGTTTCTTATAATTCATAATAAGTTCTGCAACAACTTCAGCATCTCTTGAGTCAATTTGATATTGATTTTCGTTATTGTTTGGTTGCATTAGTGTCGGTCCGAAAACCATCGCAAGATTTTCCGCTCTCATCTTATTTACACTTCTCTGGGCTTGAATGAAATGTAAATGACCGAGAAGCTTCTTCAATGTTTGATATTCGACAGTTGGCAAACGATTTAGAAGTTCACGATATGCAAGAATCTTATCCGTCTCGGATTTCATTTCAGAAACACTTAGGAAACTGACAGCAAATTTCCCCATGAGTGGTTCCGGCATGTCACGAAAGAAACGTTTCAAAGCGGATGACACGTCATGCTCGTTGTATTCACTTCTTGTTATTTGAACACTAAAAGCATCTTTCTTCAGAGATGTTATAAGCTTCTGTATATTTGAACTCGACCCAGCTTTTCTGTAAATTCCTTCCGACATTATTCCATTTGTGTAGATGAAGTTGACGCATTTATCAACAAAAACTGGAACATTATTTTTCGTTAGCTGATGATGACGCAATTGTGTTCCATTGTTGTGTGCTTCATCCTTTATCACAACACTCCAAATCTTCGTCTCTCTCGACGTATTCATGACAAAATAACATGTGTAAGGCGGACAATCGATAAGCATCGTTGGGCCTTTCTCAACGAAAAGATTTTGAGTTGATTCATCGCTTTCCTTTAATCCGATGCAACGAGCTTTTCTCAAGTCTAAAACTTCCAAACGAGATTCAGTGAAGTCGTAAAATATTAGTTTACGTCTTGATAATATTAACCACGTTCCAGACCATGTAGATGATATTGATTTCTAATTAATAATTAATCATTTTTGATATGTTAGTTCATTAATGAGAAAAGTGGGTGAGGGTGAAAATAACGAATGAAAAAAAAACTTCAAACTTCCTTTCGTCATTTTCAACTTCACCCTTTCAAAACTCACCTTCATATAACACCAACCAGCTCGCATGAAATCAACTGTGTACTCTTTAGGAAAGACATTTGTAAGACTTCGAAGTATTCGATGCATCCAAAGACATCTAAGAAAATTAATTTTTTTATTAAAAAGGAGTTAAAATAAGCAAATTTAATTAAAACCTACTTTTCATTTTTACTATGAATTCCATAGACATATGTGAGTCTCTGCGTCTTCATTGGACTTCCTTTGCTATCAAACAAAGGATTAATTGCACTTGGTGTTGACTTAGGAATTGCTAAATTAATTTCAAAACAAAATATTTGTCTTCCTGACTCTGTTTTGTATTCAGCGAATTTGTGATTAATCAAATACTGAATACTCGTCAAATGAGTTAAATCTAAATGTTCTTTAAGTACTTTAAATTCCGAGTCAGAAAATGCTTTAAATTGTCGTTTCTTCACTTCAACAAATCTCGGATTAAGTTCTTTTAGAATATCTTCAATGACACCTGATGGAAGTTTAAAGAGAATCACGCTTTTGTCACTGCCACCATGTGAAGAATCATCAGAAAAAGGCGGACGGGGAATAAAATCTTTAGGGTCAATTTTATTCTCCTTTAAACTCGATCTTCGTTTCAAATTGAAATTGAACAATGACGATCGAAGCTTTGATGTTCCATCAGATATTTTCTCAACCATTCCAATGTTTACAATCTCATCGTTCTTCGACTCTTCATATGTCGGCAAATATTGTTCACGATTTGATGTGTTGTTGACTTTAGGTGGCAGCTGTGGAATTGTTTTTGTCACTTTATCGGCAGATGATGATGAAAAGTTGTTAAGATTGTTCTTGTCAAGATTATTCTTTGTAAATTTTTCGGCATCACCTTCAACAAACCAATTTGTTCTTGGATGCTTTGGACGACTTAAATCCACAACAGCGGTTGCACTTGTCGAATTGTTTTCTTCCACTTGTGCAAGATACGGTTCGGCAAGATCTTCTACACTATCTTTAAGTTGAAGATTTTGATGAATGATAACCGAAGGTTGTCGTTCAACATTTTTCTTCTCACGATGTGGTGGCTTCGGTGCTGGTCCTGGTTCGTTATTTTCATCACGATTCATTGACTCAACACTCGAATCTTCTTCAATCTGTTCTTGATCAGGCACAGCCAACACTTCTTCAACTGTCCCATAAGTTTCTTCACTCAACAACGTTTCCAAAAGTGTCAAATGATTCATTTTCTTCATTATAAAATTATCAAAGCTTTCACGTGATAATGGATCAAATTCATTAAGAATTTCACGTGTTACTGACTGTGACTTTTGATCTCCACTTTCAACTGGTGTCGGTTGCAAAGGTGTCAGCAAATTCGTCTTAGCTTCAAACATTCGACTGTACATCGATTCATTTCCAACTCTTTCATTCTCGTCATTAGCATAAATTGGTTCATTTGATTCCACAGATTCGACAGTGTCAAGTGAAAGATTGTCAACAAACTGCCACGATTCACTACGATCAGCAATTTCATTGATATTGTTGAAAGATTTCCTTGATGGTGCAAAGTTATTTAAACTGTTTTCTTCAGATGTTGATCCACAAAGTGTTGCTGAATCTGACGTGTCATTGGAAGGCTTTTCAACTTTCTTATTTGGTGGCGGTGGAGGTTTCCTTAAAGGAATCATTGGTGCATTCTCGTAATCAGTTGACGCCACCTTTTTAATCCTTCCATAAATTTGTTCAGGCAATTCTGGAGCAGGACAATTGGGCGGTTCACTTTCGGATTCTTCGGATGAATCCGATTGAAGATTTTCGAGATTACTTAACTTATTTTGTTTGGGTGTAGTCAAACTTTGTGTCAGTTTCGTGTTTCTTTTCAAAAACTTTTCTTCTTTAACGACATCTTCATACGAAGGTAAATCACTTCCGGAATGTCGATTGAATGATTTTGGAATCTCATAATTTGACGAAACTTCATTGGGAATGTTCTCAAGATTGTAAGATCGATTGCTTAATGGACTGTTGAAAGTTAATGACTGAAACATTTGTTCACTTCCTGCTGAAATTGTTTGTGGACGTTCATCATCTTCAACTGAAAAACTTCGTTTCGCTTTGTTTCGATTTAAGGAAAAGCTGTCAATTTTATTGCGAACTTTCTTAAGCTTCTTACTTGTTGTCGATTTTGTTTCATTTGTCCACGAGCCCATGACGTTTTTCGTGTTTTTATATTCTTTAAGTAGCTTGTGCTTTGCACTGCTTGTCTTTTCACCCAACCGCTCCCCAATCGCTTCACGAAGCATCTTCGATGAACTTCCAATGGACTTTATGATTTGACTGGAAGGAAAATCGAAAATTAATCAAGAAAATAGAAAATTGAAAAATAAGAAACTTACCCAGGACTTGGCGTTGTATATTTAGAATCATTAAACGACTTGCTACTTGTCGATGAAGTTTGCGATAAAACATCAAAGTCTTTCGCTTCAACTTCATCGAAGTTATTCTTGACACTTGGAATGTTGGGAGCTTTTCTAATAGCGCCAGTTGTTCTGGATGGCGATGATGCATCTGCAACTGGCAGTTGATTATTCAGAGGTGCAGCAGTTTCTGGTGAATTCTCGTAATCTCTTTCACGTCTTGAAACATTTGTTCTTGCCCTTGGCGTAGGAATTGGTCGTTCTGTCTTCAACTCATTTAGTTGAGTATTTAAATCATCGTAGACACTTGCGACTTTCACTGAATAATTCTCGTAAACTTTCGTCGTTGCGTCTGTTTCATCGCTGGATTTTAATTGCCTCGGGCGTGGTACGGGAATTGGCTTTTCGTCTTCATTCATCTTCTTTTAATTACTTAAATCTTCAAAAAGTAAAATAAAATATCGAATGCGATTACAAATAAATATTTAGTTAATGTTTTGAAAATTTTTCTTAGTCACAACATTGAAAACGCGCGCTGACTCTTTAACAGAATTAAAATTCTAATGAAGTCGACAAATAGCAAGAGAAGTATGCGAAAGGGAATTTATCTGTTTCTCGGGTATGTTCGTTGTGGCGATAAATGAATCATTCAACTGGCACTTCCCTCATCTTTCCTTTCATATAAAATAATGTCATTTATTTCTATTTAAAATACTCTCAATAATTTTTGTTTTGGAATCATTATTATTGTGTTGAACACCGTAAAATTTAACAAATATGAATAAAAACAAGTTTTTCAAGATATAATGCGATGAAATAATGTTAAAGCAATATATTCGCAAATGTTTCACTAACTTTGCACGAAAATTGTGCAAATAAATTTGTGAATGTGTTGAATATATGTAAAGCATCAAATAAACGACAAAATATTAAATTTCATGATGTTCTGTCGTACAAATGATTCATCTTTTCATGAATTTTTAATATTAATTTGCATAAGAATAAGTTGAAGAGTTCAATATCTAGAAATTCGATATGTGTTTAAATAATTGGCACATGTAGAAATCACAAAGAATTCTGATAAGAAAAGACCTTTCTTTATCACGCAAGTAAAGTAAACATAAAGTTCATTCAATGTTTCTTCTTCGTCTTTTTTCTTTCTATTTTTTTTGTGAGTCATCAAGTATCATAATTTAAAGGGTGTTGGAAGCAATCAATTGGTTTAGTTTAATCTAAATAAACACTTACAGTTTTGAAGGCTTACTATTGCTGCAAAAGCGGTTGATTTGTTTGTTTATCCTAATCGAATATTGATGATTTATGTCACGCGCAATTTATCAAACATAGATATTAAATTCTTAAATGCTTTTATCTATGAATCATTGCAATAATGATAAATTCACTTCACAAAAACTATACCAGATAAATTTCAAACATTTATTGCACTGATTTCACTTTGGACAAATTCACAACAATTAATCTTAATTAATAAAAATAACAATGGGATATTTCAAATAATAAAAAAATATTGTTCACTTGTTGCTTTCTCAACATGAAGTAAAATCGACACAAAGGCTCTCGCAAACACCGAAACCGATGATTTAGCTTCCAAAAACATTACTGAAAAGTTTAAAATTGACTGTCTAGCCATTCGCATGTCATGTTGCGTATTAAAAAGCGCTTTTAATGGGTTTTCTTTGAATCGACAAGTCGACAAATCAACTTGCAATTTTAAATTAACGGACAATTATGAAATTTATTATTTTTAATGTTTCTTGAAAAGTTCTCTAATAATTGACAATAGCATTGGAAAATCTTTGTCAAATCCATCACCAGCCTTTTCATTTCTTATCTTTGATTCAATGACATCGCGCGATGTTGAGATGGTTGAAGAACAACATCCGCTTTCAGTCATGAACATTTCCTTTGAATATTGAAATCCCATCCATTCGAAATATTCAATAATGAAATGATTTGCAAATTGGGTAGATGAGTTCAAGTTTTTAGAATTGAAAGTGTTTATGGGGGAATCATCACCTTCACGAACGTCTTTAAGCACTAAAGAGCGAATTTCACTTCGAATTTTTTCCAATTTTCCATTTTCTGCAAGACGTTTCCTGATTGCTTCCTGGAGCGCTTTAGCTTCATTTGTTTGATGATTTTTATCCATGACTGCTCCTGTTGAGGTTTTTTAATAAAAATAAAAATAAACTTCAAGAATGGCCTTTCTCAGAAGGTTTTCATTCAAAGCTTTCTACGTGATCCTTAATAATTAATAAGCTTTCTGTAGCCTGCTAACATCAATGTTTGAATTAAAAATGCATTCTCACTTCATTTCTACAAAAACTTTAAAATTTTTCATGAATGAAAACATGTTTTTTCATTACAATTGTTTACGTTAAGTGAAAGAAAAAAATTATCAACTTAAAGGTTTTCTTATGACATGACAAATAAAAGAATTAAACTTTGTCCTGAAATTAAGAAAGGAGATTTCATGTTATCAAAAAATTTCTCTTGTTTGTCAACATCTATTTTATATTTCTTCATTTATTTTCTTCTTCAATGGTCAATGAATAGCACCGCGAAATTATCATCATTTATATAAGTACGAAGATTTAAACATTAAACATTTATTTTCAACTACAAAGACAAATTTTTCGCGGAAAAGCAATTATGTAGATACTTGCCACAGAAAACGTCACCCACAGTGTGGACATTAAACAAATTTTCACAACGGTTACTATCATCATCACTTTACTTTGTTATCGTCTTTAAAGTTACTTATTTCAGTTCATCAAGTTAAATGTGACACCATTCCGTCAGGAAGTGAGCTGTATTATTTCTGAATTAATCATTTCTGTCGATCCATCAAATTTGAATCCGTTTGTTGGCCCATTGATGTAAGAATCTCCACAGCTCGAAGAAAGAGAGAGACACAAATTAAATACTAATTTATGGTGGTTGAAGCGGAAAAAAGAGAAGAAAATATGAAATCATAAAAAAGCATAAGTTTAATAAAATAAAAAGGAAATAAAATAAAAGTAACGTTGACATCTGGAAAAGATATTTACTTAATGCAAATCGTTTTCGATGACTCTCGGCTAAAGTTCTCCATTCTTGAATTTTGAGTCCTTTTACGTTTCGAATCAGAATAATGCGTATTAAAACTGAACTATAAAAGAAAAAAGAACATGTAAGTTGTGATATAAAAAGCAGCAAAATAAAACAGAAAAGCACATTAGACTGTCAGTAGCATTAATAACAAAGGAAGTTAAAACTTAATGAGAAATTTTATTTTCTATTCTTATATTACATTTTTAAGCTTTAAAAATCTAATATTTATATAAGTAGATAATAATTATCTCAGAAGATTGAAGAAAATTTGTGTCGATATTTCCTTCTTTACATTAAACGTATTTTCAATCAATCTTATAATGAACTTTCAAACTTAGTGAATATGAAGAATTAATGAGCATTTGTATTCAATTGACGGCAGCATAAGCACTTCATCAACATCCTCAAGTAAATAATGATAATAAGTATAAAAGTTATTTAATCTCGTTCTTCTCATACATATTGACTTGAGGAACTTTTACTTATTTTCTCTTTCGTTTGTTTCTTTTTCACAACTAAAAGTTAATTTATCGACTCATCAGTCAAATTGTTAATGAAAGAAACTTTTCGTTTATTCAACTCAGTATCACACTTTTTCTTAATCGAAGACTAGATAGTTTTAAAAGTTATTGTGAACTTCTTTACCGTGTTTCTGTCGGTTTTATTTCGCTTTAAATTGAAGACACCATAGACAATTGGATTCATGCAGCTATTCGTGCAAGCGAATAAGTATAAGCTTTTCTGTAATAAAATATCAGCTTTCTTTGCTTCTTCGGGATCCATGAAGAACCTTCAAGAGTAAATAAAACGAAAGGTTTTAATAAAAAGCATTTGAAGCCATCAACAATTTTTATCTCACCACACAACCATCACGTAATAGGGCGTCCAACAAACGATAAACACAATCACTATTAAAGAGAAAAGCAATTAATTGAAATGTTGAATAGACTTGTTGTCAAGAGATCTTCATAATTCCAAATTGGATTTAAATTGTCTGAATCAAAAGGAAAGGAAATTTTGAGTTTTTGGAAATGGTAGATATGAATCCAACAAAATTACTAGCCTAAAGCCTTTTTTTTTTATTATTTCTCTAAGTATTTGTTTTCCATCCCAAATTTATTAATTTTTTACTGCCCCTCTTACCAATTGTAATTGTCATCCTTAAAGTTCTTCGTTTCGCTCGACCCAACACATTTATACTTGATCTACGAAAGCGGTCTGAAAAGGCAATTGAATAGAGTGAACATTGTTGACAAATTACAAAACCAAAAATAAACTTTGACTCAATGTCATTAAATATTAAATTTGATGAAATTTACCTGAATTTTTTATTCGACTTTTTTGAAATATTTCGTAATAAATTGAGCCATAGGAGAAAACAATAATTAAAAGTGGCACCGCATACATCATCAATAAACACAAAATATTGTACGCGAACTGTTCAAAAGGGAAAAAAAAAAATATTTAGAAAATTTGTCAACCCCAATGAAAACCAAAATTTTTCCTGTTCTAAAAAGTCAAATGATTTTTCTATTCTATAATTGTTTCAATCCCCAAAAGAAACCAATTTAATTACCTCTCCTGATGTTGAAAGCACATTGAACGACACGCACTGCGTGAAATTTGAGAAAATTGGGTGGGTGTCAACATGAAAAATTACCGACTGTGAATGATTGGCAGAATGAAAGAAAACATTTAATATATCAATTTTTATATAATGTCTCACAAAACTCAAATTTAATTTCTTTAATTTGTTTTGATTAAAATATTTACATATACATAAATGTACATAAAATTATCACCTGTGGAGCTGAACATAGAGCAGAGAGAATCCAAGCGATTGCAATCATGATTTTCCCGCGATATTCTTTCATACTCAAAGGTCGTAAAACTGCATAAAATCTGAATAAGAAAATGTGAAAAGGAAAATTTGTTTCAAACAATATTAGAGAAATAAGAAGACATTGGAAAGTGTGTCAAACAAGGACGAAGCTTTTTACCTTTCTCAGTTTATAATAAAGTGATTGATGTCTCGGAACATTATCTTTGTTCTGATTTTCTTAATGTTTACGTGGGTGATGTTATACAATTTATATATAAATAATTCATTTATCAGGATAATTATTTTTCGCTAATTATGTTTTTCCTGGAGGCGATAAATTACGGATTGTACCAATTTAATTTATCCTTAATTTGATTTGATATAAAATTTTCACGCATGAAGAAACGTTTTATGAAGAAGAAATTCTCACTTACCATCAAATGTGTAATTGGAAATTCAATCTCCAATCACAATGTAAGTTGAGATAAAATGATTAATGCGCTTTGGTAAGCAAGATGCGTGCTCGTGTTGCAAATATTAATATGAAACTTACATCCGCAATATGGACTAAAATTTCAATAAATCAGTCATGGAATTTACTTTCTTTCATGTTATTTTTTTTCGCTTTGATTCATATAAGATTCAACTTTTCATAATAATATTCTAACGTACATACCAACATCGAGCTTTCACCATTTCATGGATCAAAATTGGTTGTTATTACAATCCCCATGTTTTGAACGATGATTTCCTTGGTTATTTTAATTTATATTTTTCTAAAAACATGAATGTTTTTTTTGGAAATGATTGAAGTCAGCTTTTCCAGGAATTTTCTTTAATAGAAAATTTCACAGAAATTCTCACAAAAGTCATGATTAAGAATCTCTATAAATTCATCGGAATTTGATTTCCCATTTTATTAGAATGTTTCTTTGGCGTGTGATATTCCTTTTCCTTCAAACCTTGAGTCAAAGATATGTATACATATATTAAATAGGAAGTGCGTGGGTGTTTTTGGAACAATATTCAACATGAACTCTTTTTGAGTTTTCAGGAATTCAAACAACTTTCCCACAGACCAAATATCTTCAACTCCTGACGATTCTTAACATTTTATGTAACAACTGATAATGAAAATCCAAGCATTTTAATCTAATTTTAAAACAAAATGAAAGTTTTTAGAAAGGTGAGATTATGTGAGACTCAATTGATATTTTTTAGACCAGAACGATAAACAATATCGAAACCACAATCTCAATGTAGGTTGGAAGTTGTTTGAAGAAGAATCTTTCAGAGATTATATTTTTTTAAGCTTCTTACAGATTGATGTTTTAGAAATTATTTTCAATCGCTTTGATAACAAAAATATTTTAAGCTTCCCGTTGGTCATTTTCAACACAATTTTCTTTTGAATCTTCTTTCATAATTCAAAAAAGGTACCTGAAGTGAATTACTTTGCTACTAACCTGTCTACTGATATGCAAACAAGAATGAAACTTGACAAGTACAACCCAAAAGTCCGAAAAAACATCATAATGCGACACATCGCATCACCTGCTGTCCACTGAACTGTTATTGCCCAACCAATCTCAAGTGGCATTAGAAGAAATGTAACCTGAAAGAAATTTCCATAAAAGATGAATATGAAATTTCATTGAAAGGAAATATATGAAAATGTTTTATTAATTATAATTCTTTAATGAAAATATCCGTCTTAAGTTTGAATTCATTGAGGCATGAAACTTATAGAAATTTATCAAAGCAAAGTTTATGCTGGGATGACACCACATAGCAACTAAAACTTCAAACTCATTTTCCATGAATTTCAAATCTTCAATTAAACTTTTCTTGGAGAACAGCGTGATAGAATCTCAAGAAAGTTTTATTAAAGAATTAATTCCATTACTTTAACGGAAGGAATTTGCAGCATTGAAATAAAAGGAAAATTCATTTTGTGTGTTCAACAAGAAAGTTAAATGGAATTGAAAAAAGAATTTATTAAAGTTGCAGAAATAAATTTTCGTTTCGTTTCATTAGTTTTTATTCGAAGGACAAATAAAATGTATTAAAGGATATTTAAGTAAAAGTCAAGTATAAATAAATAAAGCCTTGATGAAAAAAGGTCGAAGGCTTTTATTAAAAATAATGTTAAAGAGCTTACCATTAAATCAGCAATTGCTAAATGAGTTAACATAATGTCAAGTCTGCTTGGAGATCGTAAGCGTCTTTTTATAAGAAGGACTAATACAGTAATATTCCCAAAAGCTGATATAAACATTAAAATACTGTTCATGTGGAAAGAAAATTTGTCAATGAACTTGAATTAAAAATAAACACAAAAAAGTGTGTTCATTGAACACCAACCTGTAGACTATTATTGACAACTGATGTCCGGCATTGAAAACCATGTCTTCAGGCATGGAAATATTTATCGTTGGTGTTGTCGTCATCATTGTTGTTGACATTAATAAATCACTATCCATGATGGATGACTCTTTATCCAGAATCAATGGAGGATTCGGCATTTCAAGCATTTAAGTATTTGTGGCTTAATTCACTGCTTTGAAAGATCTCAATTGATTTTATTGTATGCCAACGAAAGATTTATTCTAAATGGAGAATAACTTTGTACACTATTTGAATTAATCTTGAACTCATTTCAAGAAAAATATTTTCCACTATTTTCACGCATCTTTTCCTTTTTGTTTCTCACTCATTGATGATGTTCCGTACCAAAATATTTTTACAAAGCATTCGATTTCTCTCGTGTCTGGTTAGATATTTGTTTACATTAACCACAATTGACGTGAATATCTGTTGAAATTGAAATCATTAAATACACATAACAATGACTAGATTTTCACAATATAATCGAACATGAATAATGCTTGAGTTGAGATTAATTGTGTTTGAATGAAAATCACTTATGTTGACAAATCAAGCATAAAATTGTATCAGCGCGTGATCGAGAACTTCAAAAATTAATAGTCACGCATTGAATTATAAGTAATAAATAATCAAATTCAATTGCTTTTATCGCACATTGATACATTGAATCAACAGCTGTATTGTTGCTTCCTCAACATAAACATTATTAGGAATTTATAAACTATGAATTATCTGATGACTATGAACACTTTTGAAACTCTCATAATAATTTTATTCAAATGAGTTAGCATAATCTTCAATAATCAGAATCATTTACACACAAAATTAAACTAATTTGTAGTCAACGAACTTGCTAAAGTCGTATTGATTTACAATTTGAATTGTTCACTGTCTAAATATTTTCAAATTTCATTTTTCTGATCAACAAAAAAGCTTTTCTACGTCATTAATCTTAAATAATGTAAACTTTCTCTTGAAAGCTTTTCAAAATTAATTCAAAATTGCTAAGTCATCAACCTTCTCAAATGTTTAACCATCTCAAAGTGAAAGAATTTAATTTAAGACAGAAAGTGTAGGTTTATTATCTTTTCTTGGAAACCCTTAGACTAATTAAATACAAGCAGACAATAGAATTCTTTCACTTTCAAACATCTTAGAACTTCTCATAATTGATTTGAAATAATTTAATATGAAATATGAAAATGCGTGAAATTGGAAAATGAAGAATTTTCATCTCTTTTTATTATTTGGAAAATAATTTCTTCCGTTCATTAGTAAAACCCACACAATTAATACTTTTATCCTTTCTCATGTTAATAGATTCATTCAGAAATCTTCTGAATAAGATTGACATCAATTAAGTTGTATGCTAAGTTTCAACAAAATATCATGAAAGCTCCAAAGGAATGAAACTTAATGAACTAAGCAAAGTTTTGTTCGATGAAAATACCATCAATTAGTTTTATATGTTTTAGGATATTGTCCTTTTATTTTTGGTAATGATTTCAATCAATTGCCTTCAATAAGTTCTAATGTAGGAGATAAAAATAAATTTCTAGCCTTCACTTAAGGACGTTTTGTGTATTCCTCATCTTCATGCCTAGTTGAGTAGTTAATTCATGAGGGTGAACATTCTTTTATTACTTTGTGTTATTATTTTCTTCACGATATAAACAATTGAAATATCTTCAAAGAATTTCTCATTTATCAAGTTAAATGATGATTCTATTTAGGAATGAAGATTTCCGACACGAAAGACATTTGTTAATGAAACATAATTTTTCAAGAATAAAGTTAGCATCTGAGTGAATTCAATAAAGATAAAATAGCCATAAAACTTAAAATGGAGTTAAATGAAATTTATCAATGAAGTCCTAAATAACACAATTCCGTTTAATGTTAGTGGGAAGCTTGGTTTAACCGGACGTAATCATCTTAATCATGAAGAGTAAGCACACTTCTGTAATCAGCAAGTAATAAAAAGTGAACCTTTGGATGTTCACTCTCATAGCGGATGCTATGTTCATGACAATGTGTCATGATCATCTAATTGCGGAATAAATGCTTCCAAACATTCAAAGCCTTTTGACCCCAAATATTCAATTTGAAATTCTAATCATACTTAACAATGTTGGATGAAAACTTCCGAGAGAAACTGCGCGCATTATTGAATCTTAAAGTACTTCAGGAACAGAAACGAAATATTTATAGAACATGTTTGTGGTATTCATATGATTATTTACAGGAATGTAGGTTATTGAATCAATGTTTCGAATATGCGACCCAAAAGTCTGTGAATTTTTGCTATTTTTTTAATATTAAACAACGGCTGTGAAAAGCGAAAAAAAATAATGAATCAAATACATTGGCTTGTAGCTGTTACTAATCAATCATTCATTTGTTCCATGTAGTCAATTAATATTCAAAAAGTGAAGAAAATATATTTATGGAAGTTTTTGCTTGGTTTTTCTTTTAGTCACGAAAGGTTACAGTAGTGACAAGGCTAGAAAATTTTCATTCAACCAGAAAGGGAAAGAGCAGTAAAAACCAATTTAATGATGTCGGTTTATTTTTTTCTGTTTTTCATTAAGCTCCATTATTAATTGATATTTAACAAAACTCCAAATAATGAACATAGAAGTAATAACTACGTCAAAACCAGCAATTATAATTAGATCCTATGCAAAAATATTTCAACAGCCTCATTTATTTTAGGTTTTCATATATTTTCGTTTCATCCTGATGAAAGCAAATTAACTATTGATTGTAAGTAATTTTATTTTATTACCACAACTCATCAAAAATTCTTTTTAAATCATTTCACACAAAGATTGGCTTCCACTTCTTTCTTGTTACTGAATTTTCCTTTTTTCTCTTCTAACATTTGTTGAAACAAGTTTAAAAGATTTTTCGATTGTTGGAACTGTCCAAGTCAGATACAGATTTCTTTTATTATCTTGATAATTTTTTGATTAAAGAGTAGATTGGAAATACACGAATACACAAATATTTACAGTAATACTGATCTTTAAGAATTTCAGTAACATCAAGCCAGAATTCACATCAACAAGATTGTTTGCTCAATTATTTATAAGCGTTAAGAAGTATCAAAGAGTTCTCCTCGAAAATCGATCATCATTTCAGATTTAAAGTTAAATTGTGCTTGAGGTTCGCCGCACTGAAATTTTTTTAAATCACATGACATTGTGTCAAACTATTCAAATTATAAAAATAAACTTTCTAGTCTGATGGAAAGTTCTATGTTTTAAATTAAAACCACACTTCACAACTCCCTTGGCTTTTAGTTCAATTTTGATATTAAATTTTGTTAATTTCTTTCTCTTCTTTTTCGACAGAAACACCAAAATAATTAATAAAAATGATCCCGTATAAAATCTCTGTCAATAGGTTATCGCTGTCAATCCACATTCGAGATTTATTCGTTCTAAGTGTGTTGTTTTGAATTGAATTGCCCAGAAACTGAATCACGCTGAAAGCGTTCAATGAATAAATATATTCATGTATTCGTGTATTCGTGTTTGATATGAATTCTTGTTGTTTATTATAATTAAACTTCTTTTATGTATAACCCATTTCTCCTAAGAACTACGTCTTCATTATTTATTTTTGAATACATTATCAGATTCACTAGCATTTCACTTCCTTTATACAAATAAACATTCACTGAATTAATTTTTATTAGATAATATTTAGAAATTAACGATTACGACAACAAGATGAAAGATCAGACACCTCGAGAGTGATTTAAAGAATTAAAGACTTAAATTAGTGTTTCCAGCCTCTTATTATCTCGCCAGATCAACTCAAATATAAATTGAAAGCCTTTTCAAGATCACTTACTATTAATAGAATAGATATTTGCTTTTTGCTGTAATATTGTAATCCAATAAATTTTTCTCTCGGTATTTCGATATTTATTCACTCTTTTTTCATTTCACTCGAATTAAAAGCAGGAAATCGCAGAGTTTACTTTACAGAAGTCAATTTAAACAATTGGTAAGACAATTTTCTTTTTCTTGTTTCATCAATATTAATTTCTTTTATCGTTTTATTCTTACTCAATAATTGCTGGTTAATTTAATAAGAGTTTTAACACAATTAAATGATCTCCTGCTGATACAACAATTCAATCACATTAAATTACGATTATTGTGTCTTATTTAAAAAAATATTAAAACTTTCTCGTGTTTATAGTTTTTTTACTCGACTGTTTTCGTTCTGATTTGCTCGACGGTTGCTTGCTGACTGATAAAAGTGAACTTGTTGTCGCTCAAAGCACATCAGAAAAATATTTGTGCGAGGACATGGTTTGTGCGCTTGTGCTCAAACGATTGTTATCATTTCGCAACTTTTTCTTCTTTCAAATCTCTACATAAACATAATTACGAGTAGGTTGTTTGGTCGCATGGAAAAATAAAAAGTTCTTTATTGTATTTATTAAAGCCCAACTAATGTCATTAGAATTCACACTTTTTTATCTGAAAGTAAAGTCTCGTTAGCGTCATTCGTTATGAAAGCTGCTGGTTTTCACATAAAATCTATTTCTGAAGTTTTATTCAATTATCCTTGATAAAGGTTAGCTGAATAACAAAGACCAAAGCCGTTTAAAAACGAGTGAACATAAACATTTTATTTATTTCAACAACAGATTAAGAATTTGCATCCATTAAATGAGATAAGTTCGATAACAAATTAAACTGTTTACCTTCGATCAATTTATTATTTATATCCGAACAATCTTCAAAATATTATCGGAGATAATCTGCAAAGTTCTACGATTTATGCATCCGTCTTTTTTTCGAATATTCTCTGATATTTTTTTTCCAATTAATTATTTATCGAAGAATGATTTTCCCGAATAAATGATGAGAGGCTTCAAAAAAAAAATCACAAGTAGTGCTTGGCTATAGCTTACAATTGGCTACTTTAGGAATCTAAAAGATTTGTTTTTATCCTTGCAGATTTAGAAGAAAAAGTTTTTCTCGAAACAACTGTTGTTATTCTTTATAAATCAATCAATCGAATGACGTCATTCTTTAACACAAACTTCCACTTGTTAAATCGAGGAACAAAGTCATACGAATCTTCATTGTGAGGTTTGAAAATGAAAAAGGTTTTCATGCATAAATTTAAATGAAAATTGGGCATATTTGAACAATATCAAATTGAACAATAAATTTGTCTTTAATTTCATTTCATGAGTTTCATTAGTTAAATGTTTGGTGATACATACAATAAAAATCAGAACATGAACAAAAGAAATTTTCGGATATAACTTTTCAAATATTTGCCTTAAACCTTAGGCCTTTTTTATTTTGTATAATAATAAATCTTGTCGTAGATATAAAATTCTTAAGTCGATATGAAAAGTTTATGAACAAATTCTATTGTCTTTAAAATTTACATTCAATGTCAATCAGTAAAGGGAAATATGTTGACATTTCTTTAACATGAATGTAAGTTATTGAAACAAATCTTTCTGCATGAAAGCTTCTGAATGGAAACTTTATCAACTTATGTCAAACAAGAGAGAAAGAAGCTTGTGTGACATCTGATAAACATTTGTGATGTGTCGAAACAATCACAACAACAATGCAACATGCCACGTTATAGTTTCAAGGCGATACATTTTTCTGTCTTCGTCTCGATACAAGTTAGTAGTTTTAGCTTTGTATTAAATACTCAAACAAAAAATCAGGTTTCTTCTCTTTTACGTTCATCATCGAGAATAACAAAGATTTTAAGAGAAAATATTTATTTTCCGTGTCGATTGATCTCAGTGCAACTGGTGATGTTAAAGCGTAAAGAAGTCTTGTTTTAGATCGCGCGTTGAATGGAAGCTGCTGTTGAATTAATTAACATGTTTGTAGCTATTTACGAGTGGATTTTTTAACATTCAACAGTAGATAATCGAACGATAGTTTCTTTGAAAACAACATAAAGTAATAATACTTTAGTGCAATTCTATAAAGCGTGATAAAAAATTGAATTTATTTTCACCTAATAGAAAATAAGAAAAGCTTTAAGGAGTATTAATAAACTTTATGATAATTAAGTGAAAATTAGAATCTTTTTCAATTCTATTCCACTGTCTTCTCGCTTAAATAAAAGACAAAATTGGCAATTATAAGAAATATTTATATTCAAGGATATTCAGAAGAAATATTAAGGCATCTGGTAAGTGACTTCGTTGAACGTATTAATGAATATTTCCTTTGAAATTTGCTAAGCAACTCATTCATTAAGCTCTTATGTACATGTGGTGGTGCGGCTAAAAGAAACTTTAAGCATTTCTCCAAACTTTAAAAATGGTTTTTTATATTAAACCTCGTTTCAAAACTTTCATTAAAGGTCTTATGTAAATGTCGTTTTATTATCAATTAGGTTTATTAAAAACTTCAATATCTAAATTTGAAGCAAGCTCCAATAATTTGGAATACATTTAAGAGATTTTAATCTGAACTTCTCAAAAACTTTGTAAGAAATTTACAAGAGCATGCTTACCAGCATTTAATTCAGATATTGAAATGATACAAAGATATGCCGATCCCACAATTTGAACAAAATGATTACACAATTGGCAAATAGAGAGATTCTCAATTTACCATTGTGAAGTTAGTTGAAGAATTGAATTTAACAAAGACAAAGATTAAATATTGATTTAAAATATTGTTCTTCCATTCAACAAAATGTTGTATGATCAAGAAGAATGTTCAGAAACGTGAAAATCTCATGTTTTTCGATTGTTGCTATGTAGCAGAAACTTTAGCATGATAATGGAAGGTAAAATATTTGTCTAGAAGACTTCAAAAATTTTTGCTACTTCTACTTGTTACTTCTACTTCTACATGAATGAAGTTCTAATCCTTAGCTATCGAAAATCAATTTGAGGTTTTCTTCTTCATAAAAACTTTTTTAATCGTTTTCAATAATTTTCAATTAAATTCTTCGCAATTCTTAATTGCTAATTTTATTATAAATTTTCTTTTGAGATTATAATATTTGATACATAAATAAGCATAAAATTCATTATCGTATCAAGCTATATTTTGAGACTCATTTAATTTATTATCAACACTTTCTCTTCATCTGATGGTATTCTTCCTCAGTTGTTACTTAATGACTTAAACATTAATCATCTAAATCAAACGTATATGGAAGTAAAGTTTAAAGAGTCTGCAGATTGAGATTGATATTGTGTTCGCGACAGAACAAAAAAATTAAATAAATACAAGACGGAACATTTTTCTTGCTTATGACAAAATAATAAAGATTTGAGAACAATGCCTGAAAGACGCCTAAACATCATTTACTCCATATTGTGAATCATGTGAACATTTGATGATATCATTAATAATTTAAAAATTATCGCATGAGGAGTAACCAACAAGCCAAATAAATTCAAAACTTCTTGTCAGTTTGTCAGCTCCATGAAGTATTATTTTAGGGATATAAACCAACTGTTGTTATTTATTGTTAAGTACCTTGAAAAAGTTTGATAGCTCCCCAGATGTCTGTCAGCCCTCTTAAGCTTTAGACTTGCAATATAAATAGACAAGAAGCTTGTGGTAAATTTAAACATAATTGAAATCATCGAATTCCCATCTGTGGTGCTTTTAACAGGCGCCAACAATTTCCTAACATTCCGAAATAAGCCAAAATTCTGAATACAAGGAAGAAGTTTATCAAAGAAGAAATTTACTTTTTCTTTTTGCTGTCTTTTGTTTCTTTCGTTAAACAAACCATTAATAACGCTTTCAACTTAGTACGAAGTTAAGAAAAATTGAGATATTTCTGTTTTTTTCAAGAGAGTTCTTGCATTAATTTTTTATTTATTTTATTTTGTTGTTCAAACAGCTATTGCAATCATTTAACGTACAATAAATCACAATGAGGAAAATATTTATGCTGCTTGCTTTTGCGCTTATGATCGAGAGTGGATTGAACCTGTCACTGGATCCAGGTGATGAATTATACTTTTGAAGTCGTAAGTAAATAATGAAACTGATTCGAGTGTTTCTCTTTTTCTTTAAACAGATGCATCCACTGATTTGGAGCAATACATTCGAGACGACTTCACAATCTCACTGAGGCACATCAGGTAAGAGGTCTTTCTTGCGGCTCTTCTCACATTACTCTTGTGAATTAAGAGTTAAAGGAATTTTTCGTTAAATAAACATTCTTTCATCAAGTATCCATTTTTTATATTATTGACAAACTTTTTTCTTCTTCGTTTTATTTAGACCACGACGAAAGGCAAAGATATCAATTGAAGCACTTTTCATGATCGATTTTCCATCTGCTAAAAATAAATTCACATTTTATTTAGACCGGAAAGCTAAGCGTGTGACCATCGATATAAATTCAAACTCACAAATCTTTTCCAAACATTTAAACGCTCCTTCATTGAATGAAACAATAACAATTCGGTCTCTTGCTGTGTCGTTTTCTGAAAATAAAATTGCATTATTCATTGACTGTAAGAACGTCTACAAGGATGAAATGGAATTCAATCTTTCTAAACTTTATCTCAACATGGATGAACCCGATGTTAAACTTTTACGCGAAAGAAAATATCCATTATTTATAGACAGAAACATTGAGAGTGCTTTAAGTCGCACCAACTGTCAGAAAACATCTAAGCAAAAGGGATATCGGAAAATGATGAAAGACAGTGAAAGTCATGGTTACTACAATGGTAAAGCTCGTAAAATTAACTTTGTTCATCTTTCAATGACTTTTTCCTTTGCTTTTTCTGAAAAGATCAAGATGTGAATCGTAAGAGGGGACGAAGAGAGCATCGTTATAATAATCGATACGGTCACAGCCAAAATCAACTTATTAATCCCTCCTATCGAGGCGACATATCGGTTGTTAGTGGAGATTGCGATGGTAATAAAAAAATTGAATAGCGATTTCAATATTTGCCTTAATTCACTATTGATTTTGTCTCTCGTTTGTTTAGAAAACTTGTTGGCTAAAATGAATGATCTAATAGCGCTCGTTAAGAAACTTGAAAAAGACATTGCGAATCAACATGGGGATGTAAGGCGCCTACAATCACTCATCGAAAATTGTGCTGGTTGCTAAAATTTTGATCTAGTTTTCATTGAAACTATTCACTTCAGTTACATTGTACATACATTTAAGTATTATTCACATTTTTCTCAATTGAAATGATTTTGTTTGTAAATTGTTGTTGAAACATGTAATTTTTCTTTTTCCAAATTTTTGTAACTTTTCTTTTTTAAAAAATATCATCAAACTGAGTGAGAAATATCAAATAATAAATTTTTTTATAACATCATTAAATAATAAACTTTAAATTGAAATAAACAATAAAAATATTTTCTTTTATTCATTTAAAATTCTTAATTGAAGTTTCGTTATTGTACATTCGTTTCTTGTTGAAAGGATTCTTTGTTAGAAAACGACATTTGTTAGTATAGTTCTCGTCGTTCATTTGATTATCATTCAATTATTCCACACTTCTTATATTTTATCCTTAAGTTGCTGATAAAGAAAGTTTCTTATGATTCTCAACACATTTTGATTCGAAGTTATGACAACTAGAACCAAGGGCAACAAACATAAAAGCTTTTGTGAATATCTCTTGCAATGTGATAAACTCATTCAATAGAAAAATCAATAAAATTTTCCTAATTGACTATCTTAATGTTTTATTGTAGCATTCCGAAATTCTCCTTACAATTAACTCAAGAAGGCAATATTTCGATGTCAGTTTGAACTTGACTATGAGATTGATTGTATGAACATTAATTTTAGAGAAGGTAGCAACAGGAAATACTTTCATTCATTCGTCTAGAGAAGTTTGCTATTGCCAAATAATACTCAATAAATATTTGTTCCTTCTCAAGCTGAATTGCTAAAAATGTTTCGTTTGCTTTGCTTCTCATCACACTCAAATATGAAAGAACAACTTTCAAGACATGTAATGACAACTGGTAACTATCTACGATTAAAAACTGTTACTAAGCCTCTCAATTGGCGGTAACTTTTTGATTATCTCCATACAAAATTTATTCGAATATTTAATCAAATATTCAAACACAAGTTGAGCGACACGCGACAACTAACGCAACGTTGTATGATATTTTGATATTTTTTTGTTTGCTGGCTTCGCATCGATTTCTTATGTGTTGAGACTTAAAGCATACGTTAAAATTTTGTTGTTTTTTTTTCTTCTCTTTAAGAATCACACGGAGAAAAAAATGAAATGATTACAAGACGTCGATTCAGTGCATTCGTTGATGTCGAAGAGTGAAGAAGTGATTAAGAAGTGATTTTTGTAGGTAAAATTTAAAAATGAGATCATTTTGTGTCGCGTAAATTTGAGCTTAATTGAATAATTTTGTTTTTTGCTTATAAACTTTTTTGCTTTTTGATTATCATTCACTTTTGACTACCTTTGAAGTTTGACAACAAAGAAATAATGACAGAATGATACTTTCGTTAATTTATCAAACATAAGCTATCATCTGTTAACCATCAACCGGCTAATTTATTCAGTAACACTTCTTAACACGTATTCTCCCTTTAACTCGCTCACTCTTCAAGGCAGCACGAATTTTTATTTTTATATTCAATCAATGAGGAAAAAAAATTTCAGTTGTTGACGAGATGTAATCAAATTAATATTAACATAATGCTGAAGTCTCTGAAGAATTCGTGATGGAATTGAAAAAGTTTGTTCCAAAAACATTTAAATCTTTATCCCTACATTAAGACATTCCAGCAATCTTTGTGTCACGATAACAACACCCAACAAATTAATGCAAAAATGTCGATCCCTTTTTCTTTCAACCCAAAACAAAACTATAAGAAAAAATTAAACTTTTTCATATTAAATTGAAAAGCAATTTTCGCCTTCGTTGAGATCTTTTGTTCAGAGAGACAACACATAAAAGCCAGCATTTCGACTCGAGAGACTACGAGCTATGCCCACATAAATTACACGCTGCCCACGCAACTCTCGTGCTGCTTACCTGTGTGTATTTGAATTAAAACGCGACTGCTTTTTCTTCATTATTATTCTTTTCTCTTTTTTTTATTTTTTTGCTCATTAAAAACATTCGAGAGAAGTTAAGAAAAATAAAAAATTTTAAGTCATGGATGTATGTCTCGCATAGTTTAACGCTGTCTTTAGTAGATATCTCTTTCGGTCAATTGGTGTGTCGGATTTGCCACGAGACATGACTTCACATGACTAACATCATTTATCTATCATCTAAAAAAGAAAGAAGAGAAGCGAAAATAATTCATTATGCTTCGCTAATGGACACTCTCGGTTGGTAATTGACCATTCCATCGTTCATCTCATTGCCGTTTCAAAAGCGATAATCTTATTGATAGATCATTATTTTAATTTTCCTTCTTATTGAATGTTTTATTTAGCACTTCAACATTATTATTATTATTATTCTTATAGAAAAAAAAGACACGAAGTATCATTTGTCATTTTTTTAATGCTCAAACTTGATAACATTTCAGTGAGAAAAACATTCGATAACTGAATGGAAGCGGATCGAGAGTGAAAGAGTTAAAAGCAAGAAAAGCAACTACATAAACTTTTAATTTGCATATTATTAAACAGTTTTTAACTGGCTTTAAACAGTGTAATCAGACGAGAACGAGGTGAGTTGAAAGCTATCGTAATCTACTGCGTTTCAGTACAAAGAAGAATGAACAAACGAACGACATAAATTATGACATCTTGCTTTATTCTCTTGGTCACAGTCGTCAGCATAGCTTCTCTTAACGACGTGAGATTTAACAATGATCGTAGTGTCGTAAACTCGCAGTTTATTGCTTTTTGAATTACTCATCATTACAACTTTAAAATATTTCTGAAAAAGAATTATTAAAAAGATTCTGCGTGACTCCTCGTGAGAAATCTGAAGAACTTTTCCTTCACTTTATTTTCGTTTTCCTTTTCATCTTATGCTTCACATAAGTCTTGCCTCTACAAAGCAGGTATGAAGCGATATTAAATCATGGGATGGAAAAATAAAAATGCATTGCGAAAGCCGAGCATAAACGACACAACATCTGTGACTTAAAGTGGCAAATTAGACACCAAAGGAAAGTCCGAAAAAGCAGAAACCGCGAAAAATTGACTCCAAATGCGGTAAATTTTCAGTTTCCAATAAATTTCATAAAATCTTGATAGTTGACAAAATGCTGGGTAATGGAATTACTGCAGGAATAAATAACTCAGTCACATTGCGTCTGTGTTTAATGCTCCATGTTGATATTGTTGCATTGCTTCGTGAATGCGATTGCTTATTTATTTCATTATTCATGAATAAATGCATGTGAAAGTATAGGTGAATAATCTCAAAGATTGAAGGATCGTGCGAATTAAGGAAACATTAAAGATATTGAATTTCAAACTTATTAAATTTGGTAAAAACATAATATGAAATTCAAGCCTAGAGGGTTTCTCATTGATAACTGTTATTTGAGGATGAGAACGACCCCGGAAATTGAGCAATTCTGCATTTTGTTGTGTCTGCCAATCTACTTGACTTTTTAATTTCTTTACCCAAAATTATTATGAGAAATTTTCTTAAATATTTTCCTCGCTTCAATTCATGAAATTATTTAATAATTGCATTGCTTGTCACCAGCAATTTTACTATGATTTACTTCCAATGAAACATTGAATTTATGCAGAATCTACATATGAATAGTTTATTTAGCTTACAGTTAATCAGAAACTAAATCAAAAGAAATTTATGTGAGATATTTTGGGAAGTTCGGTTTCATTCAAGCTTTTTCTTCTTGAATTTTAATTTAAGGTGCTAATGAGCATCCTCAAATGTGGTGATTTTAGGTTAACGATGCTTTAAATCAAAAAATCTTCTGACTTTTATTTCATTCACCAACAGCGAAGCTATCGAAAAATGGACCGCGACATGGCGCGTCGTTTCTTTTATGCATTTTGCCTAAAATAAATCTCAAATATGTTTCTACCTTTAAAAATTCCATTTCAATTTTAATTAAGTAATTTAATGATCTGCGTCTCCCTTTCATCAACTTTTTTATTTAACAAATTCACAATAATATGTAGATTTATTCGTTTGAATAGCATTCGAAATAATGAATTTTTAAAAATGTTAAATCGTGTTTTTCTCATGCAAAAATATTCACTGCCTTACGCATTGCCATGAATTTTGAATCGCTTGCTTCAACAAAAATGTTGTCAACAAGTGCCAGGAAACTATCCCAATTTTAATTGAGATGTCTGCAATCCTCATTCAATTTGATAACAACAGGGAAGAATGTTTTTTGATGGAATTATAATTATGTTTACCGACCAATAAGTTCAGAAATTAATCTTTCAGGTGTTTGTAAAGTTTTTAACCTCTTACCACTTATTGAAAAACATTATTTAACGACTTTATCATCCTACTAAATAGCGAATTTGAGGATATTTTTCATCATAAAATAAATTGGCGAGTTGATAGCAAAATATCTCAAAAAACCACACCAATGGACGATGCTTAATGAAAGTTCACCATTTTTTAACCAAAATGAATATTTTAGAATTTAAATCGATATTTGATGCTAAGATATCAAAAAACAGGTAGCGAAGATATCACAATTCAAAACAGAATATCATTTTTTCGTTTCTTAAAAGATTCAGAACAGAATTGAAATGTTTGAAGATTTTGGGAAGGAAAAAAAGAATTTTGGCACTTTGTGATTCTCATGGGTGAAGAAATAGATAAAGTTATTGTAATGTTGCTTAATATCAATTCATGACCACATGGTAATTGAAATAATTTTAATATGGACAGCAATAAACCCATCAAGATAGATTTAAGGCTACAATTGAATCACAAGAACCTTCTCTTCTTGACCACATGGTAATTGAAATAATTTTAATATGGACAGCAATAAACCCATCAAGATAGATTTAAGGCTACAATTGAATCACAAGAACCTTCTCTTAACCACTTGTTGCATAATGTTTACTTGAAAGCACACCACGTTGAAAACCAAATATTGTCAAAGATTTTATGTACACTTGGGTGGAGCGAGACGTTCAAGAGTTTGTTTTAGTTTGACAAACATTTAATTGTTTAATTTATTGTTGTAATTTGACCTTCAAAAGAATGTTTTGCTGCTGATGGTGCTTTAGACACTTTCGGTTCTAAAAATGAATATTTGGCTTGTCTGTCATTAACACATTTTAAAATTTCAGAAAATTAATCAAGTAAGTTGGCAGTTTAATGGATCACGTTTTCTTTTAATATCCTGTTTTACCAGGCTTTTCAAATTCATCGCAGAATTTCTAAAATTAAATTTCTCTGTCAAATATAAGGATAATTGCGTAAGCTTTCGAGTGATGAAAGAAATTCCATCCTATTGGATACTCTCAATCTAACTTTAGCCCTTTCAAAGGTTTATTTCAATCCATTTATAAATTGTTAAACATTCTAAGAGAAATTCCGTAACGGATTTTGACTATAAAATTATTCCTTTAAATGAAAACAAACAACTTGAGACATGTTTGATTGTTAAAAATAGTTTTGTGAGCATAATTTCCAATGTAAAAGAAGACAAAAAACTTGTTTCGAATCGACATGGAATTTAGATGGCAGAAATAAATTGTGTAAAGGTCTTTATCAACATTGTTTCAATTCATATAAATCGGCACAATTAAATCTTGAAGTCTTCCTGCTAAATAAATTCAAAATATGAAAATGAAATAATTTGGCGAGTAAACTCTGTTTCAACCATTAATAATGAATTGTCTCTTTGTACATATCTCAGCATGATTTTAAGAAAATAATTAAATTGCTTTCTTTGATTTCTTAAAACTTGTTCACAGTTGAAACAGTTGAAGGTAATAAATAACTTATAATTATCAGACATCTTGAGACACTAAGCCAAGAAGACTTGACTAGTTTTGATTAGAAAAGATTTAAAACAGCACCAGAGTATTATTGAAAAACATTTTCCTATCCGCCAAGTGGTGATTGCTGAAACAGCAAGCAATCCCCGTGTGCCACTTCAAATTTATGGCAAATATACGCGAGACGAAAATACCGAAAAAGGTAAAAAATAATAATCATGAAAGAAGAGAGAAGCAGAAATCTTTGCTTATGTAAATTAATTTTGATAAGCACTTCGGTGTTGAGGTCTGCTGGAGTTAGTCGCAACATAATAAATAAATTTATGGGGAAGTCGAAAAAATATTTTTTTGAATATGAAAAATTATTAGCGTATTTTATCATAATTACAGTACAATATCAATAAATCAGACTCGTATAAAACAAGATTCATTATTTTCGAATAAAAGCGAATTAAAAATCGATTTCTTTGTTTCTATTTCTTGTTTGGATTGATGCCGCATTCGGATTAATATGATAACAGAAACAATAAAAACAAATTAAGAAAGATTACGGCATGTTTAACTTAAAATAGATCGCTTTTTGTTAAAAAGGGTTTTTTTCTGCTTATAAATACAAATCGATTTACCGCCTTATAATGATACCCTAAACCGATCGATTAGGTAAAGTCTTAATTTGCAGGTTTTAACTGACAAATAAAATTCTTTAACAGGCTTGAATTGCCAATGAAAATAAGTAAAACCTTTTTCTTTGTCTTCAAACTATTTCATGGGCGTCAAAAACAGTGTTAAAAATTTAACTTATCTTTATTTGCCTCTATAAAGCAGCTGTGATTTCATCTCAACAAAAAAGTGATAGAGTTGACTCGAGACTCAAAAGAGAACAACAAATAACATTTTTTCCATTTAATTTCTATTCAATTCACTTCTACCATGATGCGGCAATCTTAAGTTTTCTTCATCTCTTATTCTCTCTTTATTTTCTTATTAAGATTTTATATAATAAAATTGGCTGGTCTGCCCACACCCGCGCGCTTCATTCATTGTTACATTTTTTTTTGATTTGAAGGTTCCTGTTTTTTTCTTCTTAATTCTTAAGTCTCACCTCACCTTAAGTCACAGTTGTTTGGTAATTCTAAGGTTTCATCAAACGATGATTGTGAATCTGAGAAGTTTTGTTTGATTTAAAGTTTGCCAATTCTTTTCTTCTGTTGACACATATTAACTGACGATTGGATTTGTTTAGCTTCTTCGCACGTCGATTCTATATTTTTGGTTTGTGACTGAATAAGGAAGTTGAAGATTGAAATCTTCAATGTGAACGTCAGAATAATTGATTTTATTCATATCGAAGTCATTTTTTATGAATCTTACTGTCACAACCCTCTCCATAAATCACTCAAACCTAAGCTCGAGGCGCCACAAAATAAATGTTTTTATTATTAGAAGTCATAGACAAACTTGGCTCGATTATTTTATAAGATTCTTTACGATTATTTTTTTTAATAAATTGTTTTAAATTTGATTCTTTTCAGAAACTTTTTGCAACGTTTAAACTTTGACCATTTCATGATTGTATGATTTCATCATGAGAAACATTTTTCTCCTGTTTACATTCGCTGTCATCGTGAATGAAGGTCTCGGATTGTCTCTCGATCCAGGTGAGAAAAGCATGAACACATAAGAAGATATTTAGAATCACATAAGATGAATGAACAGCAAACATCAGACACTCAACGTGAAATGCGTGTGGCGCAATATTTACACACTTCAATGCTTCGAAGCATATTTATTTTCATATGCTGGTCTTTCTCTACAAATTCTATTTTACTTCGTCGTGGGATGTAGATAAATAAAGAAAACATATAAAATTTAACATTAGGCAACATCATAAATTAGTTTAAAAACTCCCAGATCGGAGAAATTATGTTTTTATTTTCAAATTTCGGGAAGGAAAGACAACAAGCGCGAGATTTTTTATTTAAAATGACATTAGAATGGTCTGCAATATTTCATTCGGTTGTCTTTTTCTTCTTCTTTAGAATCACTTTTGGACTCTCAGTTCGTTTTTTATGTGATTATTCCGATTAAAAATAATTAAATTGCTTTTTGGAAAACTTCCTTCGTTTCCATGCTTGCCAACATTTTGTGTTGTGATAAATTATTTTTCCCAACACCTTTTCTATCTACAACTGATTTTTCATATTGTTACTTGTGACATAAAAAGATTTTTATGCTCGGGAAAAATAAAATTTTACTCAAAGTGTGATGAACATTTTGAAAATGATTAATGATATCGCAATTTGTTGAACTTTTTTCTCTCAGTATATAATTCTCGTGAATTTACGAAGCTTACAAATTAGCATTATTTGTTAAATCATTATTTATGTGTTTTAATTAATAAAATCTTCGTAAAGAAATTATTTCGAAAGCCGTGAGCGGTTGACGTGTTTCAATATCCTGTAATCGACCTTTAAACAAAACCCACAGAGAGTTGTGTAAATTAGTTAAGTTTACTTTAATTTAACTTGTCTTAAATTCATGTTAAGACAACAAACATGAAGACTGGAAACGGTTTTCTTAAGCAAAAATGAAGCCCTAGGGATATCTTTTGCATCGTAGGCATTTGAATTTAAATTATGAAATGAAATAAACCAAAAAAAAGGCGAAGATTGAAGAAAATTAATTCCGCTCATTGATTTTTTTCGTGTATTCAGCAAAAGCATAAACAAGAAAGTTTTTTTTGTCTAACATTCTATTTTCTATAGACACGTACAGCTGAGAAAGGAAGATTAAGAATTTCTCATAAATCATTTTTGGCATTTCCAACGGTCAAAGATGGAGAAAAAAATTTAAACTTTCTCCTTAAAGCTGAATAAATGATGTTTGAAAGCTCCTGAAATCTCACGACAAATAGAATTCAGACCACAATGATTGAGATTATTCGATTATCAGCCACAAAAGCATTTAAAATATTTTATCAAGCTTTTAAAATGTTTGTAAATCATTGATTGAAATTTCATAAGACACACAAAGTTTGTAGATTGATGCAGTGAAGCTTGTACAACTAATGATGATTCTGCAGTATTGAAACATGTCTTTAATTCCCAAAACAACTTTAATAAACAACTGCAAGAATGTTCGATTATCATCGACATGTTCCATTCTCATGTTTTCAACATAAACTCAAAGTGAAACATGTGCGTAGCTTCATATGAATCAGTCGTGACTTGAAGTGAGATCTCAGTAGCTTTATCTTCTTGAAACCTTTCATAATCTTCTTAACGTTACAGTGATTCATACTTGGCGAGTTTTAAATTATATGCTTGCGCACTTTTAAATTATAAGCTCGAAATGTTTTGAATTTTTGATTGAATTAAGATTTCACTTATTTTCGAATAATAATAAGTATGAAAGGTGACGAATTATTTGCAGATCAGAAGAGTTGAAAAATGCCGACGACTTCATGTTGACTTGTTTGTTGTTAAATTTGTTTCATTTTACATGAATGACAAGTTGTTGAAGTTTTGTTGATTTTCTTCATCAAAGAAATATTTACAGCAACAAGCAGCCTTTGTGTGGTTGAACATAAATGCTTTGACTACATTTTAATGTTCAAATCAAAATAGATAATCGATAAGTGATAAAAGCCACCGTATCTTCTCTTTTTTAGAAAAAGTAACAGAAACAAGATTTTGCATTCTGAAAGTTCTTATTTATCTTCATGGTCGAATTGCGGACCTTTTTACGAATTAGTTGACATCCTTTTCTAACTTTATAAGCGTTTCACGTCAAAAACATTCAAGACACTTTATTTAAAATCACTTAAGATCACATCTTCGCCTTTTTCTTGCTTGCTTGTTTCAAGTGAAAACTTAAAGTTGAATAAATTCACCAAAGCTGAGAAAATTCTTTTAAATATTCTGAGATTTTCACTTTTTCTCATTTCACTTTCATTGGAAAAAAATCATGAGCAGTTGGCTATCAACTTGTAAATTATAAACTTGAAACATTTTTTAATAAAAATTGTCAGTTATTTATGTGTAAAGGAAATAAAGTTTCAGAAAGTGAAAATTTATTGTTGAACATTTGAAGGATGAAGAAGATTGAAGTTTTAATTTATTGTTTTGGGAAAAAAAAATCCTTAAAGCTATCAAATTCACTTAAATTAATAGCAATTCTTAATTTATGATCAACAGTGGCATCGACTGACTTGGAGCAATATATTCGTGATGATTTTACAATATCCCTCAGGCATATTAGGTAAACGCTTGTAACAAGACTTGTTAAATGTTTAAATGAATATAAACAAACGCTTTTTCATTCATCGACAGGCCACGAAGAAAGTTCAGAATTTCTCTTGAAGCCCTCTTCATGATTGACTTTCCAGCAGCTAAGAACAAATTTTCGTTCTATCTTGACCGGAAGGGAAAACGTGTTACCATTGACATAAATTCCAATGCGAAGATATTTTCCAAACATCTCAACGTGCCGATGTTGAACGAGACAACAACAATTCGATCGCTTGCACTTTCGTTTTCGGAAAATGTCATCACTCTCTACATAGATTGTAAAGATGTCGTGAAAGATGAAGTAGAATTCAATCTTTCGAAGCTTTATCGGGACATGGAGGAACCAAACGTTAAACTATTCCGAGAGAGAAAGTATCCTTTGTATCTTGATGTTTCAATTGAAAACGCTTTGGACCGGGCCAGTTGTCAAAAGTTATCAAAGCGAAAGTTGAACAGAAAAATTGTGAAAGACAACGAAAGAAAGAAATATTACGAAGGTACGTGCAGCCTGTTATTGTTGCCATTAAGCTGTCCTTAAAAATTGCGTTTAAAGAACTCCTTTTAAAAAGAAGAAATGGAGAAAATTTTGGTTCTTACCAATTGTAAAGAAAATCTTTTTTTATGCTACTTGACATCAATATTTCTCAAACGCGTAACAGAAGATTAATTAGAGAAATTAGTTGGCAAGGCACGTATTCAATTTGAAAGGTTGAATGTGTTATTGCCTTTAATAAATCGCTCGTGTAAACACGAAAAATCTTTTTATAACTTCACTTTATAATTCGTGACTTGACGACTTTTATCCTTTTCTGAATATGATTTTTCAGTAGGTAGATTCAATCAAGTTTCCCACCCATTCTCTCTATTCAATGCACACTCAAGTGAAGTGTAAAATCTCAATTTGCAATTTGATTAAACTTTCCAAGAATTTTCTTTGTTTTTATTCTTAAAATTCTTTTTATAATAACGAAATATCATATGATATGGCCTACTTTTTATTTATTCCACACATGATACTCGATCATAATTAGATTTGGGAATTAAAAAAATAATTATAAAAGAGGGAGAATTTATTTTTAGATATAATTCAACGAATGTGAATGACATTTCTGCAGAAAAAATAGTATCTAAATAAAAACATCCCCAATGTGAAAATGCTGAAATAAATTATAATTTCAGGATCAGAGAAAAACCGGAAACGAGACTTGAATCAATATTATCGTGGAAATGAAAGGGAACGAACAAATGATTTCAGAAATAACAACAACGATTTGCCAGGTCGTGGTGATATTCCAATCATCAGTGGAGATTGCGATGGTAAATTTAATGTCATTTATATCTCTCCCATTCTGTTATGGATTGAAGTTGTTATAAAGATTTGAATCAAATTTGACATGCAATGAAAAGACAATCCAATCGATTCCGACCAGCATCATTTTTCCATTAAAAAACTTGCATATTTATCCAATATTTATTCAATCACAGAGAATTTGTTACGAGGCATAAACGATTTAATCGCTTTAATAAAGAAGCTCCAACAAGATATTGCTAATCAACATGCTGACATTCGTCGCCTTCAATCCTTAATCGAGAATTGTGCAGCTTGCCAAGGCGCGCAACCAATAGTTCGTCTCGATACCTGTCAATATGCCAATCCTTGTTTCCGTGGTAAGTGGTTTTGAATCATCGCCATCATCACAATAAATTTACCTTCTGCCTTAATTTGCATTTAATTAAATCACTTTGGGTGTTATTTTTTCTCTTAATCTTAAAAATTAGGTGTGACCTGTCACGATACATCGGGTGGAATGCGTTGTGGACGTTGCCCAAGTGGATACGTTGGCGACGGTCGCAGCTGTCGACCCGGTCAAACTTGTGACGATCAACCATGCTTTCCGTAAGTTTAAAACATTTAAACAACATTAAGAAAAGTCTCTTTGATAATGAGGTTGTGAAAGGGTCGATTGAAATCAGCGAATAAATATGATGGTCAACAATCAACTTCTTTTTAAATGCTCGTAATTCATCATCATGCCATAAAAACATTGACTTTTACTGTACAATTAACGTTCGTGCTAAGACATTTTACGATTCTCGCTCAAACATGAAAAGTCCATTGAATCATCGATTGTTAACACATTTCCTTCTTCTTCTCCTTCTCCTTCGTCTTTGTTGTACGTTTATGCCCAACCTTTATCGAGCATAAGTTTCAAATCATCGAGGACAAAGCTATTTAATGAACTCAAGATTTTGATTCTTTTTTTCTGTATAAATATTTTTCGTGACACAACAATCTCTTGTCTATTTCCTTCTGTTTCTCTTTGCCGATTATCAAAGACATTCGGTTAAAATTTATGTTAGACAGCATGATATCAATGTGTGTCATTTTATGTTCCTTGCTCTTAAAAATTAATTATTCAAACACACACCGCAGCCTTTTCCGTTTATGTTTAATGCTGTGATCATCAGACAAAAGGAAACAAAGAAGAAGAATTCACAATAAGATTTGGTTGTTTGTTAGTGGTTTGTGACAAGGTTTAGATAAGTTTAATAGAATTAACGATCATTATTCTAACTTTTATTATAATAACAAAGATACAAGCGGCTTCATAAATTAATTATATTGCTTTCCGAAGAAATTCTTTCTACTTTTCACTTGAGAAATGATTTCTTCTCCTCCATCACCAATATCCAAGACAATAAGAAAGATATTTATGATTAAAACAGAATAATGGAATACGAAAACTTTTTCTCTCTATAAAAGTAAATAATAAAGGGAAACGAGTGTTAGAACATCAAGCGAACTTCTTTTCAATATTTCTTATTTCGATTTATTTGCATTACGTGTTTTATTGAATCTTCTTTTCAATTATTTTCATTGACAACCCATTTTTATTACTTTAAGTTTTTATTCGAATGCCATTTATGAGATATTTATGTTATTTATAGTTTAAATAATCTGATTGACAGTTTTTTATTAATCAAAAATTACTTAAATTTGTTTACTTACGAGATGAATGATTTAAAATATTTTATTAGTCATTTAATTTGTTAAGCGACAAAAACATGGGATTATTAACTCCGAAACTTTGTTTCAATAAAATTTGTTGCTCGTGTCGCGTGCGGCTTTCTTGTTGTTGGAATGTCACATTCATGCTTTAAGCTTGAGATGACGCTACATGAAGCGCCACATGTTGTTTTATTGTCATTTATCGTCATAACACAAATCAAGTTCACCCACGCTGATTGAGTTGATTTTTTCTTATATTCTTTCGTCTTTCTCTCTTTATCTGTTTTTTTTTTCTATGAAAATGAAAACATGAAACGTAAATATATTTGGAATCTTACGCATATATGCAGTTTTCATAGTGGATTATCTCACGTGAATATGTTTTGAAAGAGAAAATATTATGCTAACAGATGGTCTCATTTTTTCCCCGGGCAGATTGTTTGCTTCAATATTTACTGAAGAAACTCACATCGCATAATTCCTATGCATCAATTTTCATTTAATTTAACAAATTGATGAAACTTTATACTTTTTCAAGATTGAGCGCATTTTAAATTTGTTTCTATTTTACGAATCATATGATACATTAAATACTTCATAAAATAACTTCAGCTATAGATGACTGCAGACAAGACGTTGAAAGTGAGTAACTTTATTGGATACTTCTTATATGGAAGTTGAAACATAAAAAAAGTTTTTAATGACTCACAAATGCCTATCATTCTTCATTTCCATATTCTGATTTTTTTTTATTAAATGAACGTCAAAAGTTGATTGGACATAGTGATGGGATTTATTGGCACAAATGATTGTTTAGCAATTTCAACAGCATTCACATATGAAAAGATTTCTATGCAGCATCATCTGACAATACAGCGTCAATATGCATCACGACCATTTCCATTGAACATCCCACACATGTCTCAAAAGTAAAGTTGAAGAAAACCCAAAACATTATTTAAGGAAAGGCTTGAAGCGAAAAAGAATGAAAACACGTAGAAATTTATGGTTATTTGCGACTTACTCGTACGATAAGCTCTTTCACGTAAAAGATACAGAAAAAAAAGGGCGACGTGAGTATCACGTGAGAAACAAAAGTTTTTGACAATGCTGAGAGACGAAGTTGAATGGGGATGGCAAATGTTTACTTATTGATTAAAGCCCGAAACGACTAATGATAGCTTTGACCATACACGCTTCCAAACCTCCGATATTTTCCTTTGTTTGTCTTAATAAGACGCTTGATAGTATAAACGCAAAATCAACAGCAAAGGAGCGAATGAAAAAGAAACAAAAGAGGATTAACAGACGTGAATACTTCTCATTTACAGATCGTCTTGTTCTCTGTAAGTTACTTTTTTGCGTTGTTTATTTCTCTGACACACAAGCCCACCGAAGCGCGATATGTTGGCGCCGTAGCGTTTAATTAAGTGTGACTTATTGTTTTTCAATTTCATATTTCATTCTCTTTAAAGAAAAGATTCGTGGCTTAATTAACACTAAAATAATTTTCTCTTCTCATTTTTTCATTTAGTGGTGTGCAATGTGCAGACACTGTAGAAGGCGCTCAATGCGGTCCATGTCCCCATGGCTACGAAGGCGATGGCAAAACTTGTCATCAACGGCGAAACCCATGCCACGAAAATCCATGCGCATCAGGTATTCAGAAAGAATTTAACGTCATAGCTGCATAATGATCTTAGAGTCTTATTCATACAATCATTCTCTTGTTTTAAAATCATTCAGCATAAATATTTACATAAAAGCTTATATTTTATTTAAATCAATTTAAAACAAAACTCAATTAAAAATATTTCAATGTTTAATCTTCTTTTTTGCATTTTGTTATTAACAAGATTAAAACTTTTGTTTCATTCGATGTCGTTACATGAAAATGAATTTTAATCAAAGTGAATCGTCATGAAAGGAATTTAAAAATTTTCCGTACAGGGAAATCTTTTAATTCGTTTTAGTTTGTTACATTCAAAGCTGCTTAATATTTTTAATCCTCATGCATCAAATAATAATATTAACGATTGAAGAATGACAACATCCGATGAAAACTTCTACCAACTGAAGAGCAGAAGTCACAGAATACCTTAAAGCTGACCTTTATGCATGAAACCACGAGATTTTACCTTTTTCTTTTTAATTTCTTTTAATGTCAAATAACATTCATTTGCCTTTTTTTTCGTCGATTACGGATAGAAATTAAGCAAAAAATCTCTTGTAGATCTGATTCTTTATAAGCCTTTTAATGTTCTATTGAAACATTACAAATTAATTTAATCACAGAATGCCAGCAAGGCGAGGAAAAATGTGGATAGTTGTAAATGAAATCATAGTCATTAGAAAAGGCAACTCAAAAGCTTGGAGAAAATAAAGTTTCTGAAAGGTTTCGTTTAAAAATCCATTTACAGAGCTTAGCTTTCATTTCCAATTTATATTTTTTTCTAAAATACTTCTTCTATTTGTCTCTTCAAGGCGAAGCTTCGTAACAGAAAGAAAACATGAAGACATGTCTAGTCTCGTGCTGAATCCAATTTTCAAATCTTTATTCAATAATATAAAAAAAGAATAAATTTATTAAAAATTCATTTCATATTAATGTAGACATTTATTTTCCGTTAGAAGATTGTAATCTTTTATTTCTACAAAAATGATCAGAGAACGATTAATAAATCATTACTTTTATTTCGTTTTAATTAAAATATTTTTGGGATGCGTTTGAGATACGATATAGTCTCATATCGAAGCGAGACTTGTTTGATTTTTTCCTGAATGATAAAGCTAGAAAATACTTATAAATACATAGCGTATGCTAGATTATTTGATTTCCGTTCACCTTGAATACGTCGAATTTGATACCTTGTTCAGTGAATTGTCAATATCTCTGAAAAATCAAGGAGTTATTTCCATTGGGTAATAATAAAAGAATTTTCTGTCGGAAATCAAGTTAGAAAAATCATTGCATAATATGCTTGCGAGGGAAAAAAGATTTCAAAAATATTTTCGCTTCACATTTCAATTCTTCGTATCTTGAAATGACTTCTTAAGTGAGTTGAGCTTTTTTGCGTCTATAGGTAAGTTAGAAAAAGTTAGCTATCAATATCAAAATATTTATTACAAAAAGGTATGAGGGACAGGAAATAAGAAGTAAAAAGTTTAAGGTTGTAGAAATTACTTTACGTTTGTTTATTTTATTTATTTAGAACTTCAAAATATTGAAAATTCTGTTAAAACATCTAAAAATAAAGAATTTTGGTAGACATGTTTTTTTTCCAACAAGCCACAACTTTCCATTAACATTGCACTGCACATTTAGTTTTATTAAGAATGTTATTAGAATGTATCTTTGCCTGAAAAGGATTATTAAACTAACCATAAAATAGCTTTCAACTAATTATCACATCTACCCAGAAAGGGTAATTGAATTCATTAAACAAATTACTTAATATTCATTTCATGGATTATTCATTGTTGATGAAGAAGGGAGAAACTTGTTTATTGATGAGCCTGGTTTTAAACATAAAACATTTTTTGATTGATTGACTCTCTGATACTTTTGGGTTCACATACATAAATATTATAATTTTATCTACATAAATCTGTTGAGATTTCCTGTCTCAATTTTAGAGAGAAATCTTTAAAATTCCTTAAATGACAGACTTCGTCTGTTCTATATGTTTGGAGTTGACGGGTTCGGAAGTTGAATATCTGTTTTGACAGCCTTAAGAATCTTGAGTGAATTCTTCTTATCAACCACACATTTTGATGTCGTTTTCTCACGACAACAACTAGAAAATATGTAAATTTTTCAAGTTAAGAATTTTCGCTAATAAATTTCTTATTCCTCGAAGCATTCAAATCGAAAATAACAAAATTTCCAACTTAATTGCAAAATTTCCAACATTCTTTACACATTCTTACATGGAAGCAAAACACTTTTCGAGTTTTGTGTGGAGATAAAGAACAAAAGATTATTTGTTGTATCAACTCATAACATGTTGCTGCACATATTTAAAACGAAATGATGAGTTAATCTCAAGACCTGTCAATCAATCATTTCTTCTTCCACACACAATAATAATATGTAGCCTCATAAATAGGAATGTTAAAATATGTTGCTATAAAAACTGATTGCGTCAATCTTGTGAAAGTCTCACTTAGAGAAGGAGAAAATAAATCTTTGAGAAACGTTTGATGATAATAAGATTATTCCGATTCCCTCCCTAACATTACCTTCCGTTGCACATATGTTTATGTAAATTGAGTTTTTTTTTTGTGTTATGCTTAGCTGCAGCTAATGAGGTGATAAATTGGATCAAGGAAAACAGAAATTGAGATACTTTGCGGTTGATTCAGATATCAGACACAGAAGTTGGAAGTTGAAATTATAATCATAGCTTTAATAATCAAGCACCGCATTTTACAAATTTGACATTTCTTTTATGATTTTCCTAGTGGGATTAACGGCGACTTAGAAATTTTGAAAACATTTTAGTACGTCAAACAACACAACAGCATTAAATTCCATTTCTCTCTTTCTTTTTGTTAAGGTGTTCAATGCGTTGAAATCAGCCAACACCCATACTACAGATGTGGAGCATGTCCGTCTGGATTTTCGGGCAATGGCACAGCATGCAAAGACATTGATGAGGTGATAATCTTTTCAGTCTGTCTAACTAATGCACAAGCATTAGTTACTTAGATCTATTTTGTCTTTCTTTTTCTTTATAAATTATAATACTTATAGTGTGACTTGATTGAACCGTGTGACCCAAGAGTTCGTTGCACTAATTTGTCACCGGGTTTCAAATGTGAACCTTGCCCTCCAGGTTATCACGGCCAACATTCACAAGGATTGTATATGACATCTGCTCCCGATCACACATTCCAAAGGCAACGTTGTGAAGATATTGATGAATGTCGAGAAGGAATTGCACGTTGCGGTTCGAATTCCGCTTGTGTCAATACTGAAGGTTCATATGAATGTACATGTTCACGTGGTTTCTTAAGAAATGCAACAAGTTGTGTACAAGTGCCTGGAATGTGCCCAGATGGAACAATTTGTGATAGAAATGCGGTTTGCATGCATGCCGGTGGAAACCGCTACAGGTCAATATTAATTTTAAATGCGAAATTTTTCAAGGTCACAAATTTATTTCCTCAAACTTGATTTAGATGCAAATGTAAAGTGGGACATGCTGGAAATGGACATCAATGCGCTAACGATGTAGATCTTGACGGATGGCCTGACTTTGATCTTGGTTGTACCGATCCGAGATGTCGTGCTGATAATTGTATGCGCATTCCAAATTCGGGACAAGTAATTGTTATTAACTGTGGGAAATGACAAATTTATTTAAAGATTTCTTTCTTCATTCATTATAAATGAATGAATAGGAAGACGCTGATGGCGATGGAATGGGAGATGCTTGTGACCCTGATGCCGACAATGATGGAATTTTGAATGATCCGGTAAAATTACATGATCTGACAATCAATGAGAAAAAAAGGAAATTTTATGAAATTTTTGTTCTTCATAGGATAATTGTCCATTGATTTATAATCCCAATCAAGCTGACACGGACTTTGATGGACCTGATAAGCAAGGAGATGCTTGTGACAATTGTAATTTATTATTTTATTCTTCTCAATCTGTGTTGTTAACAAGAGACATAAATTCGACTTTCAGGTCCAACAGTTGCTAATATTGATCAATCAGATGTCGACTCTGATGGACTTGGTGATGCTTGTGATCCGGTAATAAAAACCAATTCTTCTTGTTGAATGTTGATTTTAATTTGTGATTAAATTAGGATATTGATAACGATGGAATATTAAACGAGAGAGATAATTGTCCCAAGAAAGCCAACACTGATCAAAGGGACAGCGACTTTGATGGTCTTGGAGATGTTTGCGTAAGTTTTCTTAAAACTTATTAAAAAATAAATTTACTGAATTAATTCTTAATCCAACTAGGATAACTGTCCAAATATTCCTAATCCAAATCAAAGTGACAGAGACAACGATCTGGTTGGTGATGCATGTGATTCTGATATTGATCGCGATAGCGATGGAATTCAAGATTCAAACGACAATTGTCCAAATATTCCCAATTCCGATCAACTTGATACTGACAGAGATGGAAAAGGAGATGCATGTGATTCTGACATGGACAATGACGGAATCTACAATGAATATGATAATTGCAGAATTGTTTACAATCCCGATCAGCTTGATGTTAATGGCGATGGAGTTGGTGATGCATGTGAAGACGATGAAGATGACGACAAAGTTAAAAACATTCATGATAACTGTCCCAATAATTCGATGATCTTCTCAACTGATTTCCGAACTTATCAAACTGTTGTTCTTGATCCAGAAGGTGAATCTCAAATTGATCCTAATTGGGTGATTTACAATAAAGGCGCTGAGATCGTACAAACTCAGAACTCAGATCCTGGATTAGCTGTTGGTTACGATTCATTTGGAGGTGTTGACTTTGAAGGAACGTTCTTCGTTGATACAGAAATCGATGATGATTATGTTGGATTCATATTCAGTTATCAAGATAATCACAAATTTTACAGCGTCATGTGGAAGAAAAATATTCAAACCTATTGGCAGGCAACGCCGTTCAGAGCATCAGCTGAGCCTGGCATTCAACTCAAGCTTATCAACAGTAAGACTGGGCCAGGTGAAATGCTTCGTAACAGTCTTTGGCATACTGGCGACACCAAAGATCAAGTTAAACTTCTTTGGAAAGACCCCAGAAATGTTGGTTGGAAAGAACGAACAGCTTATCGTTGGTTGTTGCTCCATCGTCCAAAGATTGGACTCATTCGTCTCCGTATTTTTGATGGTGAAAATATGGTTGCTGATTCTGGTAACATTTACGATTCAACTTTGAAGGGAGGACGATTGGGAGTATTCTGTTTCTCACAAGAAATGATTATCTGGTCAGATTTAGTGTATCGTTGCAATGGTAAGTCATCAATAATCATTCAAAATTCAATAATTTTCTATTCCTTCCCTTCCAGATAACGTTCCTGAGACAATCTACCGGGAATTGCCACCACGCTTGCAAAAGGAAGTTCATATTGATGAAAGAATTTAATTAACTTCGTGACACCTGATTTGAATACAATTCAGTAATTAACCAAATAATAAAAAGAACAAAACAAAAATCAAAGTTTGATACAAAATATTGATATCCTAACTAACCTGGTGATTAAGATTGTTAAACATAAATATTATTGAAGTTGAGCCAGTGATTAAGTCGTTGATACTTTAACAATGCCATGAAACTATTTAATTATTGTCAATGCTTTTACTACTAAAATTTCAATCAGTCTCAAGTCAAACAAATATAAACATTCAATAAAATGTGTTCTCAAATATAACATAATTAAATTATTTAGTGACTTTATTTGTCTACTTCCTCAGTAAGTTTTCACATTTCAGTCTTATCTTAAAGCTTCTTCAATTTCATCACCACTTTTGTTACGTGTTTCGGGTACATAAACTACAATAAACATCATCCCAAGGAAAATGAATCCACAAAAGATTAATAAACTAATGTAGAATTGTGCAAAGGCAACTAAATTAATGAAAATTTTATGTAATATAAATGAAAGTGTCCAAAACAAAGCCATACACAAGGTCATTCCAATACTTCGAATCTTATAATAAAAATCAATTATTAATTGCTTGAAATGAAAGGAATTAATATGAAATTACCTTTTGTGGTAGAATTTCCGAGAGAAGAACAAAAGTGAGTGGTAAAAATCCTGCCGACGCCATAAAAATCGCTAGCGACAAAGCCGAAATTGACAGCCATGGAAATATTGTTCTTTTATCAAATAAATTTAAGCAGAATCCCCACGCCAAGAATCCCGAAATTGCCCCAAAGCACGTGCTTATGTAAAGTAATTTTCTCGTCATGCTTCCAACAACAAATGTAGAAACAACTGATCCTATTACTTGAATTATTGAAATAATAATTGCAAAAAATTCTGGAGAAAATTTCAACCCAACATTGATAAAAATATCAGCTTTATAGTTCATGAACACAAGACACCCGCTGAGCTGATTAACGGAGACGAGTACAAGTCCAATGATCAAAGATTTTCGTGCAACAAGTGTCCCTGAAAATAAAGAAGATTTTCATTAATTTAGGTCAACACAATTGACGGCTATGATGAAATTGCTTCATATTTACTTAATTTGTCAATTATTGACACATTTTTGACCAAAGTCTCTTCTTCAATTTCCTTTGAAATCACTAGGAGTTCTTTCTTGACTTTTTCAGGAACTTCATTGAAGTTTTGACAACCTCTCAGAAATCTAAGTGAGTTTTCCGCCTTCTTGATTTCTCCACGTTTCAACAAATATTGTGGCGTTTCAGGCAGAAACATGAAGGTCAATGTGAAGATAAATGGAATCGAAATAAAAATTTTTGGCACGATTGAATAATTTAGGTATTCTACAGCAAGAAACATTAACACAGTTCCGAGATTTATAGCAAACATAAAAAAACATCCAAGAATTCCACGTAATGAATCTTTAGAAATTTCTGATATATAAAGTGGAACCAACACAAACACACCGCCTGCTGAAAGTCCTGCAAAAAATCTTCCGATCAGAAGAATCGTAAAAGATTTTCCAACGATGACGCAAATCCACCAAAACTGTAAAGAATTCCCATTAAAAAAGTTTCACATTATTTGTTAGAAACGAAAATTTCTACGATTTGTGGCAATGCAGTCATAAAAGCTGTCCAAAATCTTCCAATCCTTTCAGACAGATATCCAAATAGAAAAGTTCCAAAGATTGCACCGACAGCCAAATTGCATTCCACCCACGACGCTTCATTTTTTGTGAGTGGAACTTTTAAAGGGGATTCGTTCGACGTTTTTATAAGAATTGGCAATGTTTGTGATGACCATCCAATTGAAGCGCCAACCCCAAGTGTGATAATATTCACTATTGATTAAAAAAATTAACACTGATAGCACGTCATTTTAAAGCTTTTAATTTCTTTGCACCTGTAAAAGCAGCCAAATATTGATTTGTCTCACTTAACTTTGCCATGAACTCTGTTGAAAAACTTTTATTCACGATTGCACAATCATCCAAATGAATAACTTTTGATAGTGGCATTTCCGGTTTAGTCTCATTACATTTTTTACTTTGATGAAGAGTTTTCATAAATTGATCAAAGAGAAAATACTTCATCGATATGAACAATTGAAATATCCTTGAATTCTGCGCTATTGTGTCGGTTGGTCAAATATAAACTCACGACTGAAACCACTAGCAACGAATAAATAACAAAATCAACTCAGCATGCTACTACCGGCGATAATGGAAACAAAAGAAGAAAAAATGGCAATGAATGAAGTGATGAATAAGCGATGTGTGTTGTTTACCTTAAGCATGCGATGTCCATTAATATTTATTGTTCAGTTATAGTGATAATGAAGACGTAGCTTAAGTATGCATCACCTGCATGATTGCATTGACAATGAACTTGAAATGTTGATATTTATGCTGGGCTCGTATGAAATCAAAATTAACTGACAAAATCAAATCCACGTGACTGCCAAGTAATCAACACGAAGTGAAATCTCATAATGAGTAATTAATATCGTCAAGGAAACATAAAATTAGGAAGAAATGCACTGTAAATGTAAATGCCCTCTTTATTCTTAGAAATTTCATTATTATATTTATGCTATTATTAGGGACGGTAGATAAAAAAGTTATCTCGAATAATTATTAGAGAAGTTCTACGATTAATCAACTTCTTTCGGTTGATACTTGCCATAGCAACTCATTGAATAATTATATCTTCTTTGGCGTCTTTTATTTAGCTTTCTCTTGATAGTAAATTCTTTTCTAATGAACATCATGAAATTCCTTGAAGAAAAAAAGAATAAAAGACAAGAAAATTATTTTATATCAACATTTTATTAAATAATAAATAATTCTTTAAGATATCTGCTTAGAGTACGAAGAATTTCAATAAACTTGACTAAAATGATTAAAAGTTAATTATTTGAATAGTTAATTAAACAAGAATTCTTAGTTTATTCAACTTAACAAAATTACAAATTATTAAGTAGATAAATTCAAAATTTTCTTAGAAAAGTTTCTTGAACAACTTCTTAAATGAGTTTGACTTCTTAAATTTCATTGAGCTTTCATCATCGTCACGAAATGATTTTGATTTTGGAATTTTAATTGAATTTTCATTATTCCCATTTGTGACACTACGCGGTGGACTTTCAGACATCGCTTTCTTTGACCATTCTGGTTTTGTTCTGTCGGTGATGGATTTCATCGGTGACTTCTTCAATTGAAACGGCGATGACAATCGTCTTTTGAATTTGAAGCTTTTATTTGAATTTGACTTCTCGCTTTTATCGTTCGAAACAGCTGATGCTGTTGATGCCGTTTCCATGTCATTACTCTGAAGTGAATCATTGTCGTCGTTTAACTTCAGTTCATCGAAACCTGGAATCAGAATGTCATCATTCTCTTCGAGCATCGCTTTCATATCATTAAAGTTCTCTTTATTGTCTTTTGTCGACACGATGCTATTGAATTTATTTGGCGCTGAAACTGTTCGACTAAGCACTGGAGTAACAATTGGGAGATTCGTGAATTCGCATTTCGTGGCTGTTGTCGCTGATCTTTGAGTTAAAATATTTGGCGCTGAGATTTTTCTCATCCTTTGCTTGGATCGTTTTCGTCCAGTACTTCGACTTTTCTCACTTCCATTTGATGTCACTTGATTTTTCTCTACACTGACTAATTGCTGGGCAGCAAAAGAATTACGTAAAATTGATATCCTCTTAAACAAAGCAATCACAAGAAGCGTTTGGAATGTGAAGAATGCGCTGAGAATAATTAAAATCACTTCCATGTATTCAGTTTTCTTATTCAATTCCATGACATTTTCCAACAATTGCTTCATCTCCTCATTTGCTTGCATTTTATTCTCAATTTTCTGTTGATTTTGTTCCTCAATTGATGCTTGAAGCTTCGCAAATGATTGTTGAACATCTTCAATCTGTTTTTTATATCGTCGACTCAACTCTTCAAGATATTGCGTTGACAACGTCATGTTCTTCTCCAACGTTTTAATTCGATTTGATAATCGAAGAAAGACACTTTCCGGTGGGTTTGATGATCGATACTCACCATTTGTTTTGACTTCAACCATTTCCGGTTGTGATGGTTTCACTTCCTGTTGAGGAATTTTAACTTCTTGTTCAGGTTTTTTAACTTCAGTAGGAGGAACAACAACAACAACTGGTGGTGGTGGCGGTGTCGAGGTCTCTGTTTGTTCTACAATAACTTCTGGCTTCTCTTCATCTTTATTGACATCCGGAATTATTTTATATTCTTTTAGTTCAACATCCGCTTTCTCTTTTGTGTTGTTTTCCACATCAGGAGAATTAATTGTTGTTGGAATTGATTCTGTTGGATTTTCCAAAGCAGTTTCTACAACATTGAAAATATTTTTCTCGTCTTCGGTAAGAGAATCATTTAATTGTTTCGAAGTGTTTTCAGTAGTCTCTGGAGGATTCTCTTCAACTTTTCCATCATTTTCCTTCGTCAAATTAAGTTTAACAGCTTCTTTCGGTGGAGCATAAAAATCTTGTTTGCAAAGTGAATCTTCAATCGGTTGTTCTTTCTTTGAAATGTTTTTCAGACTCACTTCATCTTTTTTCGATATCAAACTTGATCCAATACTTGAAATGTCTTCATTTCGAAGTGTTAATGATTTCTGATCTGTTGCAATGATGTTGCACATCGCTGCGATAAATTTCGGTGGTAAAATCGAAGCGAGAAAATTTCTACTCGAATCAAAATCATCACTTTTGAGATCAAATCCGAGAATGTTATTACAAGTTATTGAATTAATTAAAAATCGTCTAACGTCTTCATTATTCTGTAGAAGTTGTGATAATTCTAAATTCTTACAACTGATAATATTATTTAACTCATTACGTTCTGTATTAGTGCAGTGTTGACATAAAATGTTATGTGATAAAGAAATGCATCCACGAAGAAACATTTCACCACTAGATACGTTCATTTTGGCTCCATTTCCATTACTTTTAACGAGAACTTCAGCAGCTTTTTGAACAATACTCATTACAGCAGCTCCAGCTCGATTTAAAATATTCTTTGGTTCTTCAACTTTCATTTGATGTGTCAATTCATCATCTTCAACGTCAATAGCATTTAGTTCCTCTGTCGCATCGTTATCAACTTCAAACGCCTCAATCTCTGATGTACCAAATATTCTAAAGAAAGACAGCGGACAATAATGTTCCGTGTTGGTGTAGGTCAAGTCGACGCGAACAAACTTCCCAAAGAGCGTTGAACTTAAATCAAATGTTTGAACATCGCGCTCACTTTTTGCCTCGAATTGACCCGCAAATGTCCATTCGCGAGTAGGAAAACGATTACTGACACTAATTGTGACTGACTTGAGAGGTGATGAGAACAGTTCAAAGTTCGCTAATTCAACACGTTGAGCTTGAATTGAATCACAAAGTTCAACAACAAACCAAATTCTATCAGTACATGGACTCAAAAGATAATCATCTTTGTCTGTGAGAACTGATGACGTACTTTGTGCTTCTTGATTACTAGCAAGCACTTTTGCCCCACAATCTGGTGATGCGTAATTCTTTTGACGCATCTTTACAATTTGATGTTTTGCCAAAGTTTCATTCTTTATGTCTTTGTTTGATTCGGTTGAGTTTGTAAGTTCAACGAGTTTTTTCTCAGCTTCCTGCATTTGTTGTTGTGTCCATTCGGAAAAAACTGGAATCATAAGATTTTCCTCGGCAGCTTGCGAATCGTTGTTATCGCTGTTTGAAGGAATCACAGCAACTTCCGGCGTTGTAACAGGTTCAGAAACAGTTTTTTGTTGATCAGCAATTTCAATGTTTTTTGTTGTTTCATCTTTCATTTTATCGTTGTTAGTTTCTAGAACATTCGCTTCACTGAAAGAAAGTGTCGCAAATTAATATTTAGATCAATACATTTCAATTCCAGACAATTCTGTTTTACTTCGAAGCAATGACGAATGTCGGTGACTCATTACTGGACTCATTTTTATGATTATCAAGATCATCAATCAGTTCTTCATTTGAGGATACGTGGCTTTTAAATAGAAACGGTTTTTTATCATAACATGCGATAATTAGAATTTGATTTAATTTATTCTCACCTTGAAATATTCACAGAAAAAATTAAAAGGAAAATAAAGATCGATTTAATGTGTTTCATTTTATAGCGTAATCTCTAAACATTTCTTTTGTGGGATCAAATGTGTTTGACTAGATAATTTTTGCAGTGATTTGATCTTTATTAATTAATTTTGCAGAATGTAACTTGTGTCAATAGCCACATAATCCGAAAACAGTTTTCACTTATTACATTCACTTCTTGTACTTTTCTTTTTGATATTGTAACAAGTTTAGTCATTACTATTATTAATTTACTGTTCTTTAATTATTCAAACACTTAAAATATGTCAAAATACGTGGGAATTTCTGCATTCTTTATTTTAAATAATCTTCCTTCGCAAATCAAGTCAAGCAACTGACAGCACAACAAATACCTACCTACTTAAAATTTGTTACAGCATTTTTGAAATAAAGGAAACCGTTAAATACTTTTCAAGAAATTTAATTAAAAAATTTATTCACCAAATAGTACTTAATAAAAGTATTTACAATTAAAACTCTTCTATTTCTCTATCATCTCGATTTGCAATTCTATCACGGATCATTCTCACAGTGATTATATCTTTTAAAACGAAATCTCTTGTATTCATATAATCGAGAAGATATTCCGCAGCATCCAATGCATCGTCCCATCTTTTCTTCTCAGGTTTATCAGATTTCAAGGAAATTTTTCCTATTCCGTATCTTTCTTTAAACCTGGACAACCAACCATTTGTAGGCAGCCAATCATCTTCATCATAAAGTCGAGAGTTTATTCGAGTAGCTTCTTCAAATAAGTCTTGAGTTTGTATAGGCTGATGTGTCTGTTTTTGTTTTAAGTACCAATTATACAGTTCAGTTTCAACATCATGTTTTTTTGGTGCTCTCATTGTTTTTCTTTTACTTGTTGCTCCTATTCGATTGTTCACTGCTTGTTCTATAAGATCTCTTCTTTTAACTATTTCTGAAACTGTTGATATTCCTATATTGAACTTTTCAGCTATACTTTCAACAGAAAGTCCTACAAAATTCATGCAATCATATGAGATGTTAAATTTTGAACTTTTGGAATATTCAGATTATTTTTCTTTCATAGAAAAATTTTTTCAAAACAACAAAACAATACCTTGATCTCGATAGTTGACGACTTCAAGCTTTTCTTCAAGTGTTAAAACAACTCGTTTCCTTTTTCTTTCTGGTTCAAGCATTATTGTTCTTTAATTTGGACCGTTTGTTTGATAGATTATTTTTTTCTGTTTACTTGAGAATTTTCTTGTATCACGAAGGGATAGTGAAATCAAAAAGAATTTTCTTTTAATGCTAACTTGCCCTTTGTTGTTTAATAGGAAAATGCTGTTAGTTTATGAACGCATTCCTTATGTTTCGAAAAAAAAGTAAATAAGTAAATCCATAAAAATAAATTTTCGTGAAATTAGAAATGTTCAATATGTCAAGTGAGTTATCAAAAGTACAAAACTATTTATCAAAGTGTAGATGTTGCTTGCAAGGTCCTGGAGATAACATGATCTTTACTAAAATCAATAAAAGCATTGCGGAAACATTCTTAAGGATCACAAATGTTAAAGTAATTAAATTTATATCCACAATGGTTATGAGTTTCAAGTTTTTTACTTATTTCACAGCTTACAATTTCACCATCGCTCTCGTGTAACATTTGTACTGTGTGTCATTCAGAAATTGTCAAGATTTCTGCATTTTTAGAAACTCTTGTCTCAAATCAAAATTTTCTTTACGAACTGATTTCAAATTCCGAGACATCTGAAAAAGAAAAAAATGAAAACTTTTCCAATCTCATTGAAGATGAGTCTAACTTTATAAAACTTGAAACTGATTTTACTAGTGACTCTAATTTATTTGAAAATTCTGAACCAAAGAGAAATTCACAGAAAGATGTTGATATGAAGGGAAATATTAAAAAGAAACAAATTAAAACAACTATAGGATATCCTGAGTAAGATATAGAAAAAGCTTTATATTGCTTTATTAGTAAATATTTTATTTTTTCAAAGCAACACATGCCCAGAATGTGGCAAGAAATTTACAGAAAAGCGAAAAATTCCACTCCACATTCGACGAGTTCACATAAAAATTAAAGACTTTCATTGTGATTTATGTGATTATTCTTCTTACACTCGTTTCGATATTGTGCGACATGTGAGAAATGTTCACACACCATCAGCTGAAAGTTCTGGTGATCATAGAGTTTGTCCGCATTGTGGAAAAGTTGTTCGAGGAAATAATCAATTAACATTGCATATTCGAAAAAAACATCTCAACATAAAGAAATATCAATGCGATATGTGTTCGTTTGCGAGTTATTTAAAATATGCAATGAGAAGTCATCTCGAGCATGTTCACATTCCCAAAGAGTTCAAAGAATTCCACCAGTGCAATTTATGTCCTTCTGTGCTTTCATCGGCTATTGGGTTAAAAGTTCATATGCAACATAAGCACTCAGGATTAAAGCCTCACAGCTGTTTTTGTGGCAAGAGCTTTAGCTTAAGAGAAACTTTAAAAACGCACATTAGAAATGTTCATAAAGGAGAAAGAAGATTTGTTTGTCAATTATGCCCGAAGCGCTTTGGACAAGCTGTTAGATTAAAGGATCATATGAACAATGCTCATGGAACTAAGCAGGTAATTAATCTGTGTTTCGTAATAATATTGTGTTTTAATCATTCTCGTCAATAGGAAATTCCTTGCACTCTATGCTCGAAAATCTTTCATTCATCTCGCAATTTGAAAGCTCATTTGGTTTATCATGATGTTCCGAAGTTTAATTGTGAACAATGCGGGAAAAAGTTTTATTTAAGCAACAAACTGAAAGAGCATCTAAAAACTCATGACGGTACACTACATATCTGTAATTTATGTTCAAGATCGTTCCAAATTGAGTCTTCACTGAAAAGACATTTGAAAAATCACATAGAAATGATCTAAACAAATTTCTCTGCCTTTTTATTACTTTAATTGAAATTTCAGATTCCATTTTATCGCATTTAACGGATTTTAAAATTTCAAATTAACTTTGCGCTGTTGCCAAACTTCTTCACCATATGAAGTGACAACACAACTGACAGCAATTTTGTGTACAATTTCAAAATTTTGCAAAATTTACTAATGCTATAGGAATCTGATTAAAATTTTAACAGAAATGAGCAATGATGTATCACATTCTAGACATGAATCAAATCTTAATGATATTTTTGGTAATTACGATAAGTGGTCCTATCAGGTAATATTAAGATAACAAGTTATAAATTATTATTACATTCATCTTGTTGCAGTCGCCATCATTACACCACAACAGAAATCATGTAGTACTTTTTCATCTACCATTTCAAGAGGAAAACGATCTTCCAAAACCTCACCGAGGTTCTATAAATTGGGATTTCAATCATGTCAGACTTCCATGCTCACCTGAAAGTTTGTATACAGAAATAACAAATCAAGGAAAAGTTTTAAAGTCTCGCTGGCATCTCATCGAAACAACTCTGCTGCAACCTATACTGAATAGTCACGAGCTTGAAGGAGCAATTAAAACATATAATACACGTTATGAATCAATTTGGAATTTTTCAACACTTCACGAACTTTTTGAAGTTCATCTTCGTTCGGAAGACGTGACGTTTTTCTTTGACCAAGTTTTACCGAATCTCATCAGACTTGCTTTGCAGCTGCCGCAACTCATACAATGTCCAATTCCTCTTCTAAAGCAAGGAGTTAATAAATCTATTTCTATGTCACAACAACAAGCCGCTTGTCTACTTGCCAACGCATTTCTCTGTACATTTCCAAGACGAAATACTGACAAGAGAGGTTCCGAATATAGTAATTATCCAACAATCAACTTCAATCGCCTCTATGGAGCTCATGGAAATCATGTCATTGAAAAGTTAAAATGTCTCTGTTCATATTTCAGACGCATTTTGTGTGTCGAAATGCCAAGAAATGTCATAACATTCCAAAGACGTTTTCTTAAAGATCACATTGATTGGAATCATTCAGAGAAGAAAACTTCAACAATTGAATATAAAATTTCGTCGACAGGAAAGATTGAAGATGCATATGGAATGTTGCAAGTTGATTTTGCTAATCGATTTGTTGGTGGCGGTGTTTTGAATCAGGGATGTGTGCAAGAAGAAATAAGATTTCTCATAAATCCGGAGATGATTGTTGCGAAACTTTTCACAGAAAGTCTCTTGGATGATGAAGCTTTAATAATGATTGGCTGTGAACAATTTAATGATTATACCGGATATGCTTCAAGTTTTAAATATGCTGGTGATTATTCAGATAAAACTCCATTGGATTCATTTCGTCGCAGAAAATGTCGAGTGGTGGCGATTGACGCACTTCCTTATAAAGACAACATCGAGCAATTCAAAGAATTTTCTATTCAAAGAGACCTTCATAAAGCATATTTAGGATTTTTTAATGACTCAACTGAGAATTCTCCTGTAGCGACTGGTCTATGGGGATGTGGAGCATTCAACGGTCATCACATCAGAGCTGCTTTAATTCAATTCTTGGCATGTTGTGAAAATAATCGAAATCTTGTGTTTTATTCGTTTGGTGATGATCAAACAAAAAAAGAAGTTGAAGAGATTTTTAATCTTCTGGTAGAAAGACAAGCCACTGTTAATCAAGTTTTCAAAACTTTAAAAAACTTTCGAAACGAAATTAATTCTAAAAACTCAACTTCATTGTTATCATTTATTAAAAACCATTTTGAAGTGAAGACAGTGCCTGAATCAAAACAAACTTCATTGTTCAATTTCGTGATTCCCAAGTCATCAAAACTTTTTGCAGTAGAGGAAAATAAAACTCTTCAACCATCAACCAGCAATCAACTAAATTTCAGTAAATCTTCATCTCGTGATAAAAAGAAGTTTGACGATATTGAAAATACATTTTCAATGTTCACACAACAATCTTCAAAACAATCACAAAACACGAAAAATGCCCAGCCAAAGTCTTTAATTGATAGTTTAGATTCTGATTTTGAAATGAGGGATGCATGTTGATGATAATTATTAGAAAATTTTTATAACTTTGTGAAAGTTTTGTACAAAGCCAATAAAAATTATTTGAAAATAAATTTAATTTTTTCTATGTTCATTTTTTTGTTCTATTCGAGGAAAAATTCATTCGTCGTCTTCTTTAATTTTCTGCAACTGTTGCATCAAACCTACTACCAAATATTAGAATTTAATCCATTAGATTACGATTCGTGATAGTTTTCAACAAATTTGTTAACATTATCAAAATGATCGACTAATTGAATAAAGTTTTCTTCATTCAAGTATCAAACATGAAGCTATCAAGTTGGAAAAAAGGAGACAACATTTTCAAAATCTTTTTCATAGTTTTGAGGATTCATGGCTTCATCTGTTTCACAATTGAATATACGCAAGATAAAAGATTAAAATTTAAAAAGTCATGGTGGGAGTTTGTTTGGTTCGTTTTAAGTTCTATCCCAACTTTAGTAGTTTTGAGTTCAGTGAAAGTGTTAAATGAAGAAGTTGAACAAAAAAGCGAAATATTGTTTTTTCTGATAATCTTTTTAATCTGCGTCAATTTATTGAAAACCGTGTACATGCGAATATTTCAATATTTGATGGCTAAAACTTTCTTTAAAATAATCTCGTTATTCAAAATTATCGAAATTGAGGTAATGACAATTTTTATTAATTCTTTTTTTAAATCTTAATATTTACAGTCAAAAGGAACGCGCATTGAAAGGATCATTACATCTAAAATTGAAAAAATGAAAACGACATGCTTAGTAATTTTGTGTCCTTCTATAATTTTATTAACCCCACAATGGCTATTAGCATATCAAAATTCATTTATCTATTCATTGTGTTTGTTGTATCATCTCTCATTTTATTATTATTTGTCTAGTAGCTTAATTCTGTTCTTAATATCAATTAACCTTGTGCTTGAGGGTGTGAAAGCGTTTATCGCTAATATTGTCAAGAAATCACATCTTCTGAAAGAATCAGAAATGATTGAAGACATTTTATTATCAAAGCAAATAATTAACATGATTTGCGAACTTTCAGATAATGTTGGAAAAGTTTACGCTGTTCCCTTTTGGTCGCAACATTCGATTACATGCTTTCAATCATTAATATTTTTTGTTAATTTAGTAAACTATTTAGTTTTTCCAAATCCGGAGGGTTATCAATATTTCTTAATAATGATTTACCCGTTACTACTGCTCTGGTTAATACTTCTTATAATGTTTGGATTAAGCATTTGGATGAAAAATCAAGCGGAAGAAATTGTGAAAATTGGACTTCAGATACAATACAAAGTGAAAACGTCACCAAAAGTCATCAAATTTGCTCAACTGCTTTCCTTACAACTCCATCATCGTCCACCATTAATTTCTTATGGAGTGTTTGTTGTTGATTGGAAATTTCTATTAGCAACATTTTGTGTCATTCTTGGTGATATTCTGGTTTTATTGTAATGAATGGAATTGAAATTTAATATGTAATTACCTAAATATGTAGTGTTGGAAATGTAAAATTTCTCTTCATCATTTTTATGTATTTCTAGGCTTGTGAATTATCTTTTGAATGTTCAGTTGTCTAATATCCAACTTTTATTTTAATTTGATTGATTGAAATAAAACTTCTGATATATTCTATTATTTCCTTAAAAAGCATTCAATAATCATTTATTTCTAGCTTTTTATAATTACTTGAGAGTTTTCTTCATTCAAGTATCAACCATGAAGCTTTCAAGTTGGAAAAAATGAGAAAACATTTTCAAAATCTTTTTCATAATTTTGAGGATTCTTGGCTTCGTTAGTTTCACAATTGAATACAATCAAGATAAAAGATTAAAATTTAAGAAGTCATGGTGGGAATTGGCTTGGGTCGTTTTAAGTTCTATCCCAACTTTAGTGTTTTTGAGTTCAGTAAGAGACAAGAAATACGCATATAAAGATGATGAAGATAAGGAAAAAAGCGAAATATTGTTATTTCTGTTAGCATTTTTAACTTACACCAGTTTATTGCAAATCGTGTACACAAAAATGTTTCAATACTTAATGGCTGAACCTTCCTTCAAAATACTTTCAATATTTAAGATGATCGAAATTGAGGTATTAATGGAAATTTTTATTAATTAATTTTTTAAATCTTTATATTTACAGTCAAAAGGAACGCGCATTGAAAGGATCATTACATCGAAAATTGAAAGAATAAAAACGATAACCTTCATCATTTTATTTGCGTCTATAATGTTTTTAATCCTACAAGTGCTTTTTATATATCAAAGCTTAGTTCAAGGATCATTTTTCAAACACTTCGATATGTTTCAATTTGTCAATTTATTGTGTTCGTTTTATTATTTCCAATATTATTACTTTTTGTCTTATAGCTTAGTTCTGTTTATAATATCAATTAAGCTTGTGCTTGAGGGTGTGAAAGCGTTTAACGTAAATATTATCGAGAAATCATATCTTCTGAATGAATCAGAAATGATTGAAGACATTTTATTGTCAAAACAAATAATTAACATGATTTGTGAACTTTCAGATAATGTTGGAAAAGTTTATGCTGTTCCCTTCTGGTCGCAACATTCGATAACATGCTTCCATGCACTAATATTTTTTAAAAATTCAGTAAACTATTTAGTTTCTCCAAACTCGGAGGGTTATCAAAATTTCTTAATGACGATATACCCGTTACTACTGCTCTGGTTTATTCTTCTTATAATGTTTGGATTAAGCATTTGGATGAAAAATCAAGCGGAAGAAATTGTGAAAATTGGACTTCAGATCCAATACAAAGTGAAAAGCTCACCAAAAATCATCAAATTCGCTCAACTGCTTTCCTTACAACTTCATCATCGTCCACCTCTAATTTCTTATGGAGTTTTTGTTGTTGATTGGAAATTTCTATTCGCGACATTTTGTCTTATTCTTGGTGATATTCTGGTTTTATTTCAATGAGTTTAATTGAAATAGTATGCACTTCATTACATAAATATTTCTGTAGTGTTGGAAATGTAAAGTTTCCCTTCATCATTTGTATTTCTAGGCTTGTGAATTATCTTTTGAATATTCTACCTGTCTGAATAATTTCCTACTTTAATTGATTGAAATAAAACTTCTGATATATTCTACTAATTTCGTAGAAAGCATTCAATAATCATTTATTTCATGCTTTTCATAATTATTTCAGAGTTTTCTTCATTTAAGTATCAACCATGAAGCTTTCAAGTTGGAAAAACGGAGACAACATTTTCAAATTCTTTTTCATAATTTTGAGGATTCATGGCTTCATCTGTTTCACAATTGAATATACGCAAGATAAAAGATTAAAATTTAAAAAGTCATGGTGGGAGTTTGTTTGGTTCGTTTTAAGTTCTATCCCAACTTTAGTAGTTTTGAGTTCAGTGAAAGTGTTAAATGAAGAAGTTGAACAAAAAAGCGAAATATTGTTTTTTCTGATAATCTTTTTAATCTGCGTCAATTTATTGAAAACCGTGTACATGCGAATATTTCAATATTTGATGGCTAAAACTTTCTTTAAAATAATCTCGTTATTCAAAATTATCGAAATTGAGGTAATGACAAT